GAAAGAGGCTAGCGCAATCACGTGGGGATAACGTGACGACTCTCCCAAAGTCGAATCCTTTGACAACACGGCACACGGCGACGGAGTATGGTGACTATACTCCCACAGAGTGAGATGCAGCCCTATGTATGTAAGCTCGGTGGCTTCGGCGGTACAAAAGATTGTAAAACCTGACTAGCCTACCTAGGTACTCCCACATCAAGCGTCACCTCCACATCGGGCACTACACCCACGTTGGGTAGTACTCTACATTCGGCCATTATCAGAGATCTTCACGCCCTACAACGGTTTGTGCCTTTCTGCGATCGAGTGATCCCTGAGCAAAAACCGTGCGCCTAAGCACCATCTTCGTGGCGTCCGCCGCTTCCGGAAGTACCGCATTCGAGATACCGGCAGTCGTCACGCCCAAGAATTTTGCTTAGGTCAGGCCGTTCGACTTGGGTACATCCGGGAAACGGGTAATTTCCGAGAACATCCGCTGCTCCTGTTGTGAACGGCAAACTAGCCTCACGCGGTAGTGATGAACTGCTTGTCTTGCCCACATGTGGTACGACGGTCGCCGAAGATTGGGAGGTCAATTCACCGGCGGTGTAGTACAACGGCAGTAAGCTTGATCATGGTAGCTGCGATCGAGGGAGTTCCCTTAAGGCGATTTACGCGGTAGCCGCACGCCGGCGGCCATCATGCTACCCTACAGGTGCTTCTTGGTGTGTACCCTGAACCATTCCATACTGACTGTTGAATGCAGGGTCAGACGGAACAAAGTTCAACACACTGTGCAGATCGAATAGAAAGACCACGTTTTCTGCAGGGGACGCGATCTCATCTTTATTACGCAACTCTTCCGAGTCGCCATCGGGAAACTCGTGTCGACATAGGTGACGTTGGCTGACTGTCCAGAAGGCGCTGCCTTGCTGGGAACTTCTTCTTTCCAAATCCGTGGTCTTATGCGGTACGTGCGTGCGAGGCCTGGGGTACGTACATCCCGAAGTATTGCCCACTGGTTCAAAGTATTCACAGTCACGATGCAAATAGTACATGAAAGCAAAAGCTAGCGCCAAAAAGACGTAGGGAGTAGTTCTTCGGGCCGACCTCCTATGTAATACGCCTTGCCGAGCAAACCTAATTTGTGACAAGCATCTGTAGCGCGATGCGGGTACCGTGCTCCCGACCCGCAGCGCCACGAAGAGCCTCAGTTATTGCATATCATGTCTTCTTTCATTTGCGCTCGTACCGAAATGTGTTCGACATATCGGCACTATGAAGACTGGCAAAGCAGAGGCGCTTTGCTACTACACGGTCGTGTGATTTTCAACACATAATTCAAAGCACTCATGCAACATCGTTGAGTCCAGCTCCGCTCGCTGACATAAAAGGACTTGATCTCTTCGTTCGAGAGGTGCCGATCGTCTCTATTGTTGTTGCAGAAAACTGGAGAAACCTCGAATCATCCGCACCCGTAGCCCGGAACTCGTCCTCTGGTACATGTGGCCCATCAAAATATTATCCCGAGAATCACACGGTCAGATAATACGCCCAAGAACTTCTCCGCAGATGTGAGGAGGTCCAGGAAAGTGATTAACGCCAAGGTCAGATCCAATGTTCCAAGCCTCCATGCCCAGAATTTGATCTACAGTATAGTGGCAGTATGCTCGCATACGTTCGAAGGACAACCAACTATCTTCACGACACGACTACCTACTTCTCCTACTTCTCCAACTACAAATTCTTTCTATAATACTCATCTCTCCTATCCTTCCTGCTATAGACGTGTAGGAGGCTGACAGAATCGCGCCAAATGGGTTCTGGTGCTCGACTTTCCAGTAAGGCCGCGTAGTGCTTATGGTGGTAAGCAAGGTGAACAAGCCTAGCAGTGCAACACTGGTACTCATAGTTAACTCATTTGGGAAATCGAAACGTTCATCTTCCACACCACAATACGAGATGCGGCCGCCAGGCGTCACGGAGTTGCAGTCCTGGCTCGCCTCAAGCAGTATGCATCGATCAGTCTGAGCAGTTCTCCAGTTACTGGTACGGCTTTGGGCTGGGCGGACAGCGCTTCATCTCTAGTCGAACAGCTAACAATTTATACAAGACTGAAGGGCGAGGTAGAGCTTTGCATATAGGACTCGCTCAACTCAGGATACACTTGTAGCAGCGATCATAGAACACCACGGCGAAATTCTAGGTGGTCTCTCCGCACTGCTTGTAAGAGCGGTGTCTACTCTCTCGTACATCCAGGGTATGAGTACGATCGTGGAAGTTGAAGGCGATGCTCCGGAAATGACCACGCACCACGGTGCTTCAGAATCGGTCCTCTACGCTCGTCGACTTGCCCTCGATCGAGGTGGCTACGTTGATGGAATGTCTATATAAGACCTCACAGTTCACTTCTTCTCACTCCATCACAGCAATCAGCTTCAGTCACTCATTACCACACTCTCTTTACGAAACCCACACTCCTTAAGATCTCCCGATCATCCCAACCATCTTCAAAATGCACTTCAACTTCTCTACCATTGCCGTGGTCCTCGCCGCCATGAGGTATGCGACATCCATGTTTCATCACTTACCTCGCTAACCCATTGAACAGCGTCGCCGTCGAGGCTGCCCCCAAGGGAGGACGCGGCCGTGCGAGGGTCAAGCAGGGTGCCAAAGACCACGCCGGTGACGTTATCGGCGGCGCCGGCACTGCCGCCGGCTTCATCCCATCGACTGCTGGCAAGTAAGTCTAACGCCCAACCATATCCTGCAGCAATTTCGGAGCTGATGGTACGACTCAGGCACGTGATGCACAACTGCTGCATCAACTCCGGCGGTTGGACATACAACCCGGACGCTGTCGAGCTTACCAAGAAGGTGTGCAAGAACTTCACATCCGCCCAGTGGTACAACAACGCTTGTACTGAGGCCGCGGGATCTGAACCAATCTCTGGTGACTCTTTCTACTCCGCTTGCAAGGCCGCGAAGCCCGAGGGCGGCGACACCATTGGCGCTGGCTACCGCGCTACTTGCTAAGCGGCCAGTGCGGTTGCACATTCGCGACGAGCCGCATTGTTCATCGATGGGAGAACTTGAAGAGATGATTCAAGAGATAATGAGGCTGGCGGGTTAACTTTCAAGTCACTCCCTTATGCTACTCTGTTGAGTGGATATCTATCTTTATCTGTAGTACTTAATATTAGGCGTTGTTTTGGAAAACTTTGAGTTGACTTTTGCATCCGAGTGAACATCTTGAGTGATATGGTAGAAAGAACTTTGTCACCTGCTTACCATAGAACACCATTAAAGAGTTGATGGTACTGACAACATATCGCCTATCCAGTGAAGTCGAGGCGATCAAGGCATCAGTCTTCTGTCTTCTCTTAGCATCTTCTCAAAGCCTCAGCCAGAAGGATCAAGATGTCACAAGTAGTACAACCAGAAGAAAACAGAAACGTTCAGATATGATCACAGTATTATTATCCTCCACATTATGCAGTATCTCCCTAATCTCAACTCAAGTCCTATAAAACGCCTCGTAATCCCAGTGGTATATGCGCATCCCCAAAATCACTTTTTGTTTTACCCTTCCCCAGGGTATCTGCGCATCCCAATATCCCAAAAAGAATTCACTTTTGTTGACCCGTTTCCCATTATTAACATCCTCGGATCTTCTTTTCCCCTCAAGAAGCTCACTTCGCAAAGTCGCTTCCTAGTTGTGAGGAGCACCGTAGGTGTGCTCGTAAGCATTGCTGACGCTCCTGTGGTGCTCAACAATCTTGTTCTTGAGTCCCTTCCAGGCCTTCTGGTAGTTCCTGGGTCCCTCTTGCGCAGCCTCCTTCTCCTCAAAAGTAGCAGGCGCAGCACCGACGCTCTTCCTGGATGCCTCGCCGCTCTGCCTCGGGCTGCTCGCAGTAGACGATGAGCGAGATGCGGAGGGAGAGAAGCTGGGGCTGTAGTAGACGGCAAAGGCAGAGTTCATCTCTTGGTGGTGCTTCTTGAGGGCTTTCCAGGCCTTGGAGGCGTTTGTGGGGTTGCGCTGTTGGCTGGAGGTGGTGGAGGGGTTGCGGGAGGTTTGTGTGGAAGATGCGGGGCTGGTGTAGGTAGATACGGAGCCGCCGTAGTAGGCGTTGCAGGCAGCGTTGATGCTCTCGTGGTGGGCCTTTGCGTGAGCCGCGACGGAGGAGAGGAAGTTGGGCATTTTGGTGGTTGTGGTGGTTGTTTGTGTTGGAGTGTTGATCGATGTGATGTTGATGCTTGAGATTCGATTGAAGATTGGTAGTAGTGGTAGTAGTAGTTGCTATGCTTGTAGTATGCTTTACTGTGCTGATGGCCTTCATCCTCACGTACCACCATCCCCTTTATACTCCCCCAGCCAATCCCCCAGAATATTCTCTATGACACTTGCCAAGCATCACCGGTCACACCTTACATTCAAAACTCTTCGCCAAAATTTTAACAGACCACACCGTTGCGCACGCCCTGCACCTGTCGACAAAACGATCGTGAGATTCTGTGGCGTCCGCCGCTCTGATTGGCCACAGGGCTGACAAACCCATAGAATTCCTGTCATCGAACACCTTAACAGGGCGTGAGAGGGTCCGTGCCGCGATCATTATGACCACCAGGTGTCCACGCCCTACCATGGTGCGTCTTTTCCGAAGGCGCGCCGGAGCGTTTCCCGTCGGCGGCTAATTTCGTCAGGGCGCATCGTGTGTGTAAAGGCGCGGTGATGAGTTTTCGGTTCGTGTCCTCCAAAGGCAGTCTTCTAGCAGCTAACGGCATGGCGGGGGAAAACTCTGTTATTGGCTGCCACGCTTCGTCGCACCACGCTGTGTACCTGATCCACGCAGGGCCTTTCCCGCCGCCCAGTTGCCCGTCGGATGCCAAGTTTGCTTCTGTGCTTTTGGGCTAGACTCTGCTGTTGCACTGGGAGTGGATGTTTGTACGTAAAGTCGCTGTTTTACCTTGTGCGACATGTCCGTTAACTGTTAGAAGAATGCCTTTGGAGGTTTGGCGACGAAAATTTGATGTTTGGTGAGGGCGCGCCCGCGTGACGACGATGTGGTCGGTGTGGATAGGGGGTGATGATGTGACAGCAGGTGAGTGATTTTCTGCAAGCTCACGATCGTGTTCACAGATCCTTCTCGATGGCACAAGCTGTCATCTGACTGCCGTGATCGTGAGTCTTGCGATGTGCGACAGACGATGACTCTGCGTTCATCAGCTACAATACTACGCGCATTACGCAGCGTCAGCGACCCAGCGCCGTCTACATCAACGTGGAGTTGTCGCAAACATCAGCATGATACGAGCTTACGTCTGTCACCAAATGGCCGACCAACGATGCAGCGCAATTTTCGTATTCTTAGTAGAGACTCGCAAACCAGACGCCATCCGATGCAAAGACAGGTCTATTACGCAAACATCTATAAATTCATTGCGGAGGAATACGCGACCCTGTTCATAGTCGGATTGTGAGAATCCCCACACCCCACCAGACCAGCAACAGCAAGCCTGCCGGCCAGCTTCCTGCGATCGTACTATGGGCTCGTACCGTACCAGCGATAACCGGGCCTCCTGTGGGGTACAAATAGCCGTTCGACTGCCCGTGATAGCTCCCTCCACTTACACCGCACCCTGTCCCCAACGGATCTGGCTCCCTCGTCAATGTGGCGATTGTAGTAATGGGTTGAAGGGTTCTCGTAGCTCCTTGTACGACTACAGCAGTTCCGCTATGATCTAGGCTCAGCGTCGTGCCGTTTACAGTGACGGGGGCGCCGCCTGGAATAAGAGTTGTACCAGGACCCATCACAATGTAGCCAGCGCGATTTGGCGTGTAGACATGATTTCCGTAAGTTAAAGCAGCTGCAACTGTGGTATATACGTTGCCAAAGATCGGGGTGATACTGGTCGTTCTTCCGTTGACGATGAGCGCTGTTGCGGAAGATGCGAGGGCAAGTGTTGTGCCAGATATCGTAAGTGGTTCGCCTCCAGGAAGAAGGGTTTGACCTGCGATCACGTACTGTGTCTGCGAATTTGGTGCGATGGTTTTGGTACCAATAGTGAGTATTGGTGGAAGTGGTATCGGTGGTTGCGAGACGGGCACATCCGTAGCTGCGGACTGGAAAGGCAGCAACGAGATGATGGTAGTACCAACGACGATCTTGGTCTTGCCATCTGAGGTCTCGATCGCCACAGGTGTGTCTCCAATGGTAACGGTGTCGCCAGGCGTCAGAGTAAGAGAACCCCCTACTGCAAAACCACTACCGCTTGGGTCTTGATCGACGACAATGTCGGACGCACCAGCCGATATCGTTACCTGCGGAGGTCTTTCCGTGGTTGCTTGCGCAGTCGCTTCTTGGATAGTAGAGCCATGTTGTTCTCCGACCGGGGTATCAAGCCACCCTGTTGCAGGTATCTCATATACTGGCGAACATCCTCTGCATGGCCGTGTAGAACTGAAGTTGGGCTCAGGGATCTCATGATGGCCATTCGGGTCTCCAACCTCCGTCACGGCTGGTGGGATTGGTCTTAGGCCTTGAACTGTCGATATCATTGGTAGCGTCCCTGTAGCATTTCCTTGAGACGAGGTTGATATGGTTGTCACATCTGTTAGCAATGCGTATGGCGGGTTGAGTGCTACGACTGAGGATGGCAAAGGCGCTGTTGTGACGATAACGGGTGAAGGTACCGTCAGAGCTATGGGCCCTGATGTGGAGGACAGACTGCTGAGGGTAGACTGAATAGGCCGCGAAGGTATCAAGTTAAGAGGGCGTGATCGGACAGCCGGCGGAGGCGCAGCATTTGTTGATGTACCGGAGTTAGAGTCTAAGAGGTAACACACGTTTCGTCAGTCATCGAAAACTGGTGTTCATCAATGCAACTCACTTGGCTCCAATATTATTGAGTTCAGGCTTCCCGCTGCCGCTGCCGATCCATGGTCGGGTAGTTCTTTCTCAGATTAGCACAACAGGTTTTTGTTTTTACGACCACCAACGTCCGGTGCCTACCCGCTGATGGTAGTGCAGATGTAACACCTATCCAAATAGCGCCAAGGCACAACAAATTGTACAATGGGAAATCGATAACAGAGCAGGTGATGCGCATGGCAGTCCTTGGAGATGGATATCATCGGGTCGTAATGCGGAAATAGTAACCACGAGAAGCAGGAAATCTGCAGCCTTACATTTCATCCAGGTGACAGCCCTTCTCAATACCTGATACGGAATCTAAGCAAGCATAGAAAGAGGATGAATCGTAAATCTCCGCGTTCTACATATACCGAGGAAGTGGCCGGTGACTGAGATAAAGACTAGAACAGTGGTACACAGCATCTACTTAGATTGCTATTGATTAGACTTTCATAGAAGCTGGGGTCGTTATTGTGCCGATTGGAAACGCCCGAGTGTGGAGATGGCTTTACCCGGAGCGGGAACGCGATATTATACGTCAGCTGGACGTTGGCCAGCGGCTGGTTCCTTCTAGGTAGCTTAGCGAGCCTTGACCCTTGTCCAACACTCGACTCTGCTGCAAAGCTGACAGCGTTCCCCCATGAACGAACGAGTCGCGATTGCGCAGGTTTTGGTAAATGTCCACAACCAGGTCGAACGGATTCCAGAAGCAGGGATCATGAAGAAACGCCATGTGGCCGACCAGGGCGCCAATCCATAAGTGATGTATGCTGTCTTCGGTGCGTGCGGCATCTCATGATCATCTCGACATGACAGGAGCTAAGCATACATGGTTAGTCATGTTCCATGGTACTAGTGCGTACCTACGATCTACAGTCTAATGCTTTTTGTACAAGCTTTCTCGACGACGAACTAAAAGTCCTTTTCAAAACTTAAATGCAGTCAATGAACTTCCAATGCAAACACGACTTGTCGACACAACATTGGGTTTGCGGAGAGACCATGCGAAGCGCTCGGGACGGGTGGCGTGAACGACATTCACCCGGATCCATACAGGCGGCAATCCTCCCATGCAAAACCGGACACACATGGTAAAGATGTGTAGAGTATGTTTCCAGGCGCCCGCTAGAAACGTCCCTCGTGGCAACCCACAAATCACCGGACCTGCATTTGTCGGTGTGCTCTGGGCTTGATACTATCTGGGCACGGAAAGGTCTTTGGAGACTTGATGTTTTGATCATGCGGCTGCTTTCACGGATGATAGCGGAAGGTTCATGCGTGTAGCCGGCGTATGCCTCGCTCCCGATGTCGCTCCGAGCTTTCGCATAAGGAGTTATGTTGGTATGTTGAATCGGGGGGTGTTGTTTGGATCACCGGCGTTAACGTTTCTTTTGCCAAATTCAAATTTCGTATAGCGGGAACAAAGACGATGAAGGGTGTTCATGATTGGCCTTGGGGACCAGAGGCCGCTGATCTGACCTACCTGGAGATGACAGCATCGACAACAGCTCCTTCGAGACGGGTCGGTTGCCGCGTTGCCGTATATAACAAGAAGAATTGGTGAGATCAGCAGCATCAGTAAATATCGAGGAAGATACAACCTTAGCGTGCCACGTGCGGCTAGCAGCTACGACACTCAGAGATCGATGTAGAAAGTTGCAAAGCAGCAATTCGGCATAGCGGTTGATTGCAGAACTCTTCATAATCAAGAAGGTACTGCCCGCCCAGTTGGTGACTCCTGACTGATAGCTAGACCATTGGGTTGCAGTCCAGTGAGCATCTCAAGCTGCTATCCTGATGCTGTAATCAATGCCACCAACCGTAGGATGCGATGCCGCTCAGTTGACAAGAGATAGAGGTTCCGGTGCCGCAGCTGCATCTTTCTTGATTTTCATCGACGCGGGATCTGTGATGTTGCTGGCAGTAGAAGGTGAGGGCTGGTGATGGTCCGACTTATCGATGGGGGCGGCGGAGCGCGACTGCCCACCACCTGCTCGCTTACTGCTAGCGTCCCTTGGCACCAACGCAGCTGCGAAAATGAGTTTCGCGAATTTCCTCTTCGTCTTCTGACAAGCGCCAACTAACCCTACGACAACACAGATTGCACCAGGAGACCCGACATCAGGTACGCTCTACAGAACACGCTCTATTCGAATACTCGGAGCCGTTCAGCATTGCGACACTCGAAGCTGCCCCGCGACTGGTCCGCCGCCGTCAGACGAAGTGTATGGTCGCACGCGAGCCGTTCGATATCTATCCTTCTACACCTGGCTATACAAGGCGGGGGGCTCTGCGGGCAGTGGGAGCAATGTTTCGGCTTCATTCAACTGCAATTGAGGACAAAGGCTAATTTGATTGTGTCGGACAGCGTCTTCTGAACAACCGCAATCATGGGGTATCTATTCTTCCCTCACCCTCAGTCTTGTACAAGCACTAACACCCGCCAGTATCTCACGAGACTCTCGCCACAAGCGTTCCGCGTCCGGTGCGAAGCGCGCATACTACCGCAAGAAGAGGTATGCATAACCCGATCGCTTCTCTAGTCATGTCTAACATGGCTTCAGGGCTTTCGAGAAGGGCCGCCAGCCTGCCAACACCCGTATTGGCACAAAGCGTGTTCATCTTGTCCGCACCCGTGGCGGCAACCGCAAGTTCCGTGCCCTTCGTCTCGAAGCCGGTAACTTCTCCTGGGGCTCCGAGGGCATCGCCAAGAAGACCCGTGTCATCGGTGTCGTCTACCACCCCTCCAACAACGAGCTCGTCCGTACCAACACCCTGACCCGCTCCGCTATCGTCCAGATCGATGCCGCCCCCTTCCGACAATGGTACGAGGCCCACTACGGCTCTTCGCTCGGCCGCAGGAGGCAGGTCAAGGCCGGTGAGAAGGAGGAGGACAAGAAGAAGTCCAACTCGGTCACCAAGAAGCAGGCCGACCGCTTGAAGAACGGAGGAAAGATTGAGAACGCTGTTGAGAAGCAGTTCGAGGCCGGTCGTCTGTACGCCGCTGTCTCTTCCCGTCCCGGCCAGAGCGGTCGCTGCGACGGCTACGTCCTCGAGGGTGAGGAGCTTGCTTTCTACCAGCGTCTCCTCAGGAAGTAGAGGTGATATTTGGGGCTTCTTCGGTGCATTGGTCAGGTCAAAATGGGTGTTTAGTCATGTATCTGGTCTGCATAGTCGCGGGACACTGAATGCACGAGGCATCATAACGCCACTTCTCTAGATACCACGAGACTACGATGAAATGGGTTTCAAATGTTCATGTGGAGTCTTTTTTTTTCCCTTTCGGTCCATCCTGCTACCACTGCACACCATTCATCAGTCCAACATCATGAAGCTGACATACCACATCAACATATGTCCATCACCGTCGCTCCCACGACGTTCAATACGATGACCCAGGTAAGAATTTTATACATAGTGCACTATTAATCATCATCATCATCATCATCACTATGCATAACTTCCCAAGGTAATCCCATCGCCCTTTCACATGACAACCCCTCTTTCTTATCCATGCCAACCACTCTTCACCGAGCCCCATCCCTACCATCCACGCACTCTTTCTATCCGACAACCTGGATCACACACCTCGGCACACGTCTCGTTTCGTCACATCTACAGCTTCGATGCCGCGACCGGAGAACCGACCTATGGTGGTAGCCGCGTCAGCTTAGATTCACATGCTTGAGGTTTTTTTCTTTTTTCTTCTTGTTTCTCAGCGCAGCGGCGGTGTAGGAGCGCGCAAGTGTAGTGCAGGTAGTGGTGTAGGCAGGTGATAGCAATAAAAACATGATGGAACGCTTCTTTGCATTTTTCATTTTAAACACATCTCTTTTCTCTTTTTTTCCACTTCAAAAAAGGTCTGGAACATTGGTATAAAGGTTACAAGGATACAGCAAAGTGGATAAACTCATAATAGTAGAAGAAAAAACCATGACAAAAGACTACAACTTGGAGGCTCCCTTGGGCGGACCTACATTCGTAATCTCATTGTAGAGCAGTCTGGGCATATAGTTAGCACATGAATCCATCTTTTACCATTGGCAGTCCAGCTCATAGGATGAATGGAGAGAAAGTCACTTACGAAGTCAAAAACTCGGCGTAGTCTTCACCAGTCACCTGTCCCTCAAAGTATTTGGCAGCAAGATGGAACTTGTTGCCCTTTGGCGCCTTATCACTCAACGCCTGCGCCTGCTCCTTCAGCAGCTTGAGGGCGTAATCCTTGGTCACCTTCTTGCCCTCGGCAGTCTCGACATTATGCCTAGTCCACTGCCACAGTTGTGAGCGTGAGACTTCAGCGGTGGCGGCATCTTCCATGAGGTAGTTGATGGGAACGCAGCCTACGCCACGGATCCAGGCTTCCATGTAGGACAGTCCGATATCCAGGTTCTTGCGGATACCGTCTTCAGTCACTTTGCCGGGGACGTTCATGTTGAGGAGGTCGTTGGCAGTGATGTGGACGTCTTCGCGGCGGACGTGCATCTGGTTGGGAGCAGGCATGTGCTCGTTGAAGACCTCGCTTGCAATGGCTGCGAGGGCCGGGTGGGCGACCCATGTGCCGTCGTGGCCAGCGCGTGCCTCGCGCAGCTTGTCGGCCTTGACCTTGGCCATGGCGGCGTCGTTGGCGGCTTGGTCGTTCTTGATGGGGATCTGGGCTGCCATGCCGCCCATGGCGTGGACACCGCGCCTGTGGCATGTCTTGATGAGGAGCTTGACGTAGGCGTCCATGAAGGGTGAGGTCATGGTGACGGAGTCGCGGTCAGGAAGGACAAAGTTGGGGTTCTGGCGGAAGCGCTTGATGGTGCTGAAGATGTAGTCCCAGCGGCCGCAGTTGAGACCGGAGGAGTGGTCGCGGAGCTCGTAGATGATCTGGGAGTAATTAGTCAAAGCATTGGATAGAAGTAAGAAGTGAGACATACCTCGTCCATCTCGAAAGCAGCGGTGATGGTCTCGATCAAGACGGTACCACGGATGGTTCCACGCCTCATGCCGATGTAGTCTTGCGCCAGGTTGAAGACGTCGTTCCACAGCCTGGCCTCAAGATGCGACTCCATCTTGGGCAGGTAGAAGTATGGTCCGGTTCCGCGCTTGACAAGCTCATGTGCGTTGTGGAAGAAGTAGAGGCCAAAGTCGAACAGTCCACCCGAGATGGGCTCGCCATCAACTGTGAAGTGCTTCTCCTCCAGGTGCCAGCCTCGCGCACGAGCGATGAGTGTGGGCAGTGTTCGGTCGGTGCGGAGCTTGTACTCCTTCTCGCCTTGCTTAAAGTCGACTTGCTTGCGGATGGCGTCGTAGAGGTTGAGTTGTCCGTTGATCATGTTATCCCATGTTGGCGCAGATGAATCTTGGAGACGTTAGCTGTCATTCCCTGCTCAAGGCGATGATGTACATACCCTCAAAGTCGGCCATGTATGTCCACACATTCGAGTTCAGGGCATTGACAACCATCTTGCGATCTGTCGGGCCAGTAATCTCGACGCGCCTGTCAACAAGACCCGGCGCTGGTGGTGCGCCTTTCCATGCATCGTTCTCGCGGATGTGCTTGGTCTCTGGGAGGAAGTCGAGAAGGTTGCCCTTGTCGAGCTCAGCTTGTCGGATTACTCGTCGCTGCAACAGCGCTTTCCGGCGCTCATTGAATGTGCGGTGGAGGAGCGCAAGGAAGACACAGGCGTCCTTGCTGAGGATGTGACGGTTCTGGTCGTTGAGGTCGCCGAGGATGTTGACCTCTCGTAGAATACTGTCGGCGCTAGCTGCCATTATGGAATATGTATATGTTCTTGTACAATTGATGAATATCTTCAGGGTATGAGGAGAGGAATGCAATCAAGTATGCAGCGTGCGGAGAGGGCTGGGCGGCCGGTAGATAATATATTCATGATACAAACGTCACCCATCTTGACGTCTGGGCCGAGGATCATCTTGCGTCGGCAGACCGATGCAGGCTAGTCGGCTGGCCGTGAATGGTAAACTCCAGGCCCAGGTTCGGGGGAGGGGAGCTTCGAGCTTGTGACGATGCCAAGTCCCGAGCGAAGATGCGGGGATAACCCAACCCGTTAGCACTAACTCGCCCGATCAGCACAACAAACCCTGACGAACAGTGGGTTAGCAGACGATTAAACGCGATAAATGTCTACGCGATATCGCCGCAGTAATGATTTTCACGCTGATATGTGGATAGCAGAGGCTGCAGGCGGACTGCACCGGCAATTGACGGAAGTCGCGATGCTGATGCTTGATAGCAATCGCGTTGCCGACAGCTTCGCCGGCCACTTCCGATGGCGCGTCCAGGTATGTAATCTTGCGCATTCTTACCACGGCACTTACACAATGATGCTGGAGTCTAGCGACCTTTTTATGATTCTCAGTCCTGATCATTAGCGGTGGGCTGTGTCGATCGCTGAGCGAAGACGTCAATCAGTCGTCATTCGCACATGGCAAGTATAGCGGGAATAACACCAGCCGAGCATCGCAGCACATGCAGAAGAAATGAACTAGAGCGCGTCACACAAGACCATACGATGAGTGCTTTGCCCTCTGGTCCGTGTCAATGAGGAACAGATATCATGCTCTCAGGCGTGGCCGAGGTATGCCTAGCGCTCAAAACCTTCACAGTGTTAGACACATATGGTAGAAACGTCAACAGCATGATTGCTGCAGGTTACGTCTTTTAATCATGAACATGTATTTTTTGTAGATCTCATGATAGAGGTATGTCGCATCTTCGATAGACATTGAGCCCATCAGTGCGCTCTTCAGTCGCTTTTAGCTAACCTCTCGTATAGGTAAGCTGGTCACGAAACATGCTATGTCCCTTCCTCCATCACCATCAAGCACACAAAAGCCTCGTTGCCATCCTCTACACCTTCGTCACCGCAATCTCGAATGGAGTGTTCGCGTCCTTCAAGCCCCACGAACAAACTCCGCTTCCACCACAGCTTCCAGAAAGGTTCTCCCCAACCGCAAAGTGTCCCTCCGCCTCGAACGACTCCGTGAACGCCTCGCCCCGATACACCAAATCGGCTACGTGCGTAAATTTCAGGTTGAAGTTACCGGTTGCGAAACCACTGCTTCCCTCAAGCACGTTCATGACCCAGTAGCCCTTGGACGTGGCATCGCATGGCCAGGTACGATCGAGGGGTGACTCGCCCTTGGTGTACCATTGCGCTTTGCAGTTCTAGGCTCGGGTTAGTGGAGGCATTGGCATATTTGGGAGAAGAGGATGAGCATACGAGGCCCTGGCTTCCTGCTGGCACGGTTACGTTGCTGCCATCAGACTGTGATGTGCCGAGGTTGATCTCGTTGGGGTCGGTCACGGAAGCTGTGATCTGGGCCCATGGATAGCTGCCGGGCCGTCCCGACGGGCTATAGGAACTTACGCTCGTGACTTGGAAGTCCTGAAGCGTACTTTGACGGGCTGCAAGTGGAGATGCTGCGGCCGAAGATGCGACTGCCAGAACGGCTGCGAAGGCGGTTTGTGTGAAGTGCATCTTGATGGTAGGTTTTGAAGTGCTAACCGTGTGTGTCCAGCAAAATGGAGCTTCAGTTTGGCCCTTCTTATACACAATACATTGCTTGAGGCCTCCCAATTTTAAAATCACCATCACCGTACATCCGCCTTCCCGAACGAGTATCCACGATATTCCGTCAACCAGGACCTTGACAGGTTGCCTTGCATTAGTCACCCCACATTTAGGCATCCCGCGCCTAATTTTAGGAAGATCTACGTCAGTGTACCGGAATACGATACTCTCCGCCTCGCGATGCTGGATTACTGATGCTCGTATGATGCTTTGTACAAAGTGGTACGACATACATGTATTGAGATGTCGAGCGCGATTCTGTCCTTTTGTATGGACGACCGTGGGTAGGTGTATGTCGATACCAATGGTTCCAATGCCTGGTCCGTTAGAACTGTGTTGCATAGTATCGTACTCGGGAAAAGCAGCATCCACACCGCCTTAGTATTTTGTACCTGCCCGGCCTTACACATCACGTCCTCAACCTTCAGGCAAAACAAGTTACCGTCTCAATCGTGGTCAATGCAGTGCAGCGTACGCGAGAGCAGCTACGCAGAGCATATTTTCCAAGAATGCATCTCTTCTGCGAGGATGAGAGCGTATCTCCTAGGATAGCCAAAGAGACAAACATCACGTCCGTTGTCCGCCAAGAGCTATACACCGTTAGTCTTCTTTGAGCCCTTCCTCACAGTCCGCCACCGCAAACGCCGCTCTTCTGTTTCTGCCTACCGCACTCACGTTAAAAGAAGTCTAGTGAGGTGTCCTTGACGGGACACGAATCGAACATGAGTGCCAAACATGTTAGACCGCTACCTCCGCCGTCCGCACCGCCCTATGACCCTTCGTATTCCCTCGTAGTGTGACAGAGGAAGCACATCGGAGCAAGTTATCAAGATGGCAGTGCAGGGAAGGATCTCTAGCAAGAGTTTGTCTTGCACTCTCGCGTATTCTTTGCTCAGAAGATATCTACACAGGATTAACTATGGTGGAGACCAAGTGCATACATGTTGACCGCGCACAAGCCGCTAGTGCGCAAGATATTGAGGCAGAACTAACGTCTGATTGGTCGCAGGCCTTGAGCGCTCTTCATCATACAATATCACACGAGCATCCCAACTTTTTCTTAGCTCATCAGCATCTTTTTGCATTGTCTGCACTACGAAGTTCTGCAGCGAACTTTCAAAGAATTTGTTTATTGTATACCAAGTGAGATAACGTTACAAGATGACAGCCCGACAACGTCCTTTTCATCCACCCAAACCGATACCATTGGCACAATGACGATCCCGACTACGACGGTGTCCCTATGCTCCGCCACCTCCAGTTGCCTTGTCTTAAGGAAGAAGGCTACGTTAATATGCGTTGCACATGGTTCTTGGGCTGCCTCAAAGCGAGTTGAGGCCTCTTACCGCCTCCAGATCACCATTAGGTACACTCTAAACCCGGAGTTTGGATCTACTGAGAGTTTTCTTATCTGTCCTTCCAACGCCCCACCGCCTCTGCCTCCTTAACGACCACCTCCTTCACGGCTACCCCATCAATTCTAGGAACTCATTAAATCTAACATAGTCTTCGTATCGTTCTTGAAGCCGTCGTCTTGCTTCGTCTTGCCGTCGTATTCTTCTACGTCGTATTCTAATCGCACAGTCTTCAGTAAGAGATTGGATTAGCTTGGGTAGGGTGCGCTTCAAATAAGAAGTTATAAACTTACGACGAAACGGCCTGTATAACCACTGGCGTACTGTAGGCGAGGCGACAAGCGCACCAATGAAGATACCGACAACTGCTACGCAGACGCTGACTAGGGTGAAGATGTCTTGTCGCGACCATCTCGTGGAAAGTTGGTCAGATGCGACGGATGCTTTGTGATTGAGAGATGCCATGTCACGGATAGTTAGAATGGGAGAAGCATCGAGCAGGGTAATTGGAAGAAAAAGAATTGCAGTGATGAGTGGCGTCATATTTAATCTACATTCAGTCCTTTCCATCAGGTGGCATTTTGGGTAGGTATATAGGGAGCAGCAAGATTTAAGTGGCGTCCTCAAAACGGATGGACCGCCAGGGAGAGTTGCAAGAGCGTTGGACGTGGCTCTCGCCATAATCCTTGCCCCTAGATCCTGAGGTCGTGCGCGCTGCAGCATGTTATTGGAAGCGCCGCTTTCGTAGCGTTCAGCGCTAGTGCAGGTCGGGACCGTTTCGTGGGCTAGACCGATGCGGCCTTTGGGCCATTCTCTGGGCCATTCTTTGGGCCATTCCGACAGTCTGGTTTGGGATGACCATCTGCAGAAATGAATGATGTATAGCTTCAAAAAGTGCCACGACGTGAGACTGACCAGCCTTGGCGGGCTGACTCAATGTACGGCGCCTTAGGGTGCTGGAGGGAAGTAGCAGTGGGGCGACCGTAATGGACATGAGACAGACGCTCATTGCTTAGCAGATGGCAAATGAACATCGAGCGACGAGAAGAAAGGCAACAGGTTCAGGCACGAAGGACATCTACAACCGAAGCTGGATGGGTGAGAACTCATAGCGTCCATCATACTAGATGTCGCACATCACAGCCATATACCATTGTTGTTGCCATCTGCATACTACACGTGGTCGCTATTATCAAGAGGACCTCTGCTTCCGCACTCCCAGCGTTCCCATATACATCCGCAAGCCGTTCCGTGAGTGCAATCATTTCGAAAGGCGCGAAAATATCATCAACAGCGTTATGCTATGGTATGCGCAGGTACCATGCTAGCCCGGCAGGAAGGGGTGTGTACCGAGGCAGGCTTTCAGCATGTCCGCATTCGCTTGCAGGACGTCTTCGCTATCTGACAGTCTGTGCGTATGATTTAGTGAATGCATTCGTTTGATGCTGAACTCTCTTCAGACGGTCACCCTTGCAGCCAACGAAACTCCACTCCAACCTTTCACCCTATATATCCATCGTTGGGCAGGGCTCAAATGACCACTATTACTACCCACTACACGCGCAAGCTCGATCTCCTGATCGCTTCTACTCGCCTGGCATTTTCAACCCTGTCGACGCCATGCAGCGACAAGGACATTGGTCTGCCAGACGCACTAAAAGGCATGGAACGGGAATACGGATGGATGAAGGTGTAAGATGCCAGACTTTCCTTCTCCAGAAAGACCGAGAATTAAGTGATTTTAGCTCAGCCACTGCGCGTTTTGACGGCAATCTTTCGCTCCAAATGCATCTTGACAGCGTCCAAATGACATCATCCGCCTCAGCCTTGCGTGCCGCGACTACAAAAGTATCGCTTTGTCACTTACCAGGATTTCCTCGACTTGGCCTTGTTGATAACACTTGTCAACTACAAAATCTAAGCAGATGGCATTTTCAATATACGGCGAGATCATGCTTCCAGGAATTGACCATGCCCATGACTTCGAAGGCTTGTTCATATCGGCTCCTATGAGAAGCTTCGCTGCATACTCTGGCGATGCAACTACATAGTCATTACACCTTCCTAGTCTGTCAACTCTGTTGTTGCGCCCGTCCCATCTCCCCAAGATTGGATCAATCTTACGTGTCCGTGGCGACGAAGAAGTGCCTCAATCGCCACGGCGCATTAACGATCCTTCCCACCTGCTGATGTTATCATAATTCCAAGTCTGGAAATGAACAGCCGCTTCCTTTGGAAGCAGTTAGAATTAGCCAAGCTTCGAACGGATTCAGTTCCTTGCCTAGAGAGCTCGATGCAAAATCCTCTCAGGAAGCTACTGTGCAGCGCACTATCGCAGACTGCAGAGACCTCGTAGGTCTTACAGCAATCGCAAATGTAGCCAAGGAAATTCGTGATGTTCATGCAAAAGCGTCTCATGAAAGCTCGGTAAAGTCTGATGCTGGAAGAACTGTCGCTGTAGGAAACCACACGATGATGTGTAATGTGTATACAATTCAGAACAGCTTCTTCTCCGCCGACAGAAAGCAGTGTTTCTATTCTTGCCCATCAAGGAATGCCCATCCCGGCGTATCTCACTGTCATCGCGCGCTGCCACTTAATTTCAGAAACTCAATAAATTCGAGGTACTCGTTGTATCTCTCTTGCATCTGTCGTCTGGCGCCGTCCTGATCTCGTGTGTGCTTTCGACACATCGTAGATATACAGTCTTAACGTAGAGTGTCATCTTAGTACAGTTTCTCAAAGAACAAGGATTTCCCTTACAGTGCAGAGATTCACGGAGCCGATAACGTAGTTTGGGCGAGGCGATCAACAGACCGATGAATATTCCAGCTATGGCAACACAGATGCTGGCTAGAGCGAAGATGTCTTGCCGCGACCATACCGTCTGTGTCTTGTCGGAAGCAGTAGGGGATTGGCTGGACTGTAGAACACCCTCACGGATGGGCGGGATTGGAGACGAATTCACAAGTCTAACAAAGAAGCATGTTGCTGTAGCAACAAGGAGGCACATGTGGATAAGTGTATGGTCACGTGTAACCCAGGAGTCAGGATGAGAGGAGACAGGTTGGAAGGAGATCTGACCGGCCGGCGAGCACGTAATATCTATCAGCAATCTCGCCGACGGCGAAGCTCGTATGGGACACGTAATGCATGCATATAAGCCGCCGCGCGAGGGGCAAGCACTCATTGGTCATTCATACCACCAGGCAGAATGGATACGAGCTCAGCCACCCACGATGCAGTTGTGATTCGACGGTGAAACGGCCAGCCTTACCGCTCAAGAATCAAGATTCAAAGTTGAGACAAATCTCAAGACTTGCCTTCAGTAACATGTCAACGTGGCCACTGCCTAAGATACCACATGTGGTGGATGTATAACAAGCTGAATATTCTGGTTGTTATGTATAGGGCCACTTCAAAACAACAAGGAAGAAGAACTATATACAACAAGAACCAAAGTACGGAAACGGTCATAGGAAGTAAACGGAGATGTCATCGTTGACACCCATTTGTTGAACGATTCCAAAATCGACTGCCACATTTGACAAGTCAAAGATCCCTCTCTACATCAGAAACCCCCTCGTCTTGCCTCTAGGAACTCATTGTAACGGGTTTGCAATTGATGGCGGACCGCCTTCTCATCTCTTTTCTTCCAATTCTTAATGGTTAATGACCGGCCTTGTGGTACGGACGAGGTGCAACTGTCTCTTGTAGCTGGTCCGTAGTCAGCACTGCTATCTTTACTTGTAACAAGAACATGGAGATTTGCTTACTACGTTTCACACGCCATTTGAACCAATGGATGGGCATGCACAGCCACTCTCGTATCTTGGGCGATGCAACAAGAACGCCGACCAATCCGATGATAACAGTGACGACACCAACGCACACACCAATAAGCGTAAGGACATTCTGCTTTGACCAATACTGTCCACTCGCAGGGGTGACGGCCGTGTTTGAGTAGTCTTCAGCAAGCGAGCGGATGGGGATCGCTAGTGCGTGCATGAAGAAGCTCTGGCCCAATACAAACGCGAGCAGCATCGAAGCTTGCATGATGCGGAAGGTCACGTGTAGTAGGCGGTGGGAGCAGCTGGTGTTGGCTGCCCGCCATCCTCGAGGGGAATGCGTGGGTTCCTATGGTGAATAGTTCCGCAGAGCCTCATCGTTGGAATCCAATAAGGTTGTGTTGGTCGACAGCAACTGTGACCCCAGTCGACCCCTTCACCGGTCATGAACAGCCTATGCATGATGTTGACCGGAAAAGCCTCTGGGCTAGGACGTGCATGAATAGCAGTTGCTGTTATGGTATTGCTCAGGTAAAGTAAGTTTGTACTTCTTGCCATGAACGGCGCGCTTTAGCTTCTCTCCAGTCGTTCGATGATGTCTCCTGCACTCGTGTAGTTCTTGATATCCCAGCTTTCCGTACCAATCTAGAGTTGCTCGGGTGTCTTGCACATTGCAGGAAAAACTGGTCAGTGGGCGAAATCAAGCTTTCCTGGAGGTTAAAGCGCAATACGTAGGGTTAGTCAATCAGCATTGCGCAGCGTTACCGATCAGACAGGGTGAGTGATGCAAGCTACGTGTCCGACGCCGCATTGCGTATACCTAATGCCTCAGGCTCAACCTCCAGATATGCTCATGAAGAAGGATGCAATTCACATCTCACTTCCACTGAACAGCCAACAAGGACGATGCTCGGCAAATATTGTTGAAAACCAGGTATATGGCATCTTCTGGCCGGAAATCTCAAAAGATAGCTTCCAAGACTCAGGTGTAAACTCATGTATGCTTTCACGAGTATTGGGGCGCAGCGGAGTCAAGGTTGATTGTGGGGAATGGCAGGCAGACGATAAGTGGCTGTGCTGGGGCTATGCGTGTTCGACTTGTTTCTTGTCACAAGGACAAGCCGACTTCGTGAAGGACTGATGTGTTAGTTCTGGCCACTGTTGTCATCTAGAAGTATCAGTCTGTTGACAGAAGTATTCAACGGCGCAGAAAGACCTGATTCAGTAACCTTAAAATCGTATCATTCGGATGTCGTAACGGATAGCTAGTATGCTTTCATGAGAAAAAGAGGAAAACCTGTCGCAATCCGACTCAAATTAGATTCCACGAAACTTTCAATCGACATCTACAAGTTCGCACGGTCGAGACGCTTGCCGCTCTCGTCGAATCGAATCTGCTTTCCGCTGACGAGCGCTTCTTGCAACCAGGCGCCGATCTGCACAGCCTTGACAGCGTTCTGGAACTCCAGAGGAACCGGTGTGTTGTTCAAGCACGCGGCTGTGAACTCGTTGGCCTCCTTGACGAAACCAGGCTCGAAACGACCCCAGTAATCGGCGGGTACTTCCCGGGTAATGCCAGCCTTGGAGTAGTAGTTGACGAGGTTCTTCTGAGGGTTGAGGTTGACGGTGAGCTTGCCCTCAGTACCGATGATCTCGGTTACATCTTCTTGTCCGTGGGTCATCATGCGGGAAGCGTAGTAGTGGGCGATCCTGCCGTCCCAGAACTCGACAATACCGACAGCGTTATCATAGTCCTTGTGTTGCTTTAGGCCTGGTAGAATGGCAACAACACCGTTTGCGGAGATGGACTTAGGTACTACGTTAGAGCCGAAGTACCAGAGTGTTAGGTCGATGTCGTGCACGGACATGTCGACGAAAACACCGCCAGACCATGCAGCATATTGGACGAAGAAGTCTGATCGAGGAAATTAGTATCTGACTCAACGATATATCGACTACTGTTTTACGTACCTGGGTCGGGATGTTGCCTGTCGCAAGTTTGTGATCGAACAACTGTGGGTCGGCCAATGGCACCTTCCTCAATCTTGCGTGCAACATCTTGGTAGCTGTCGTCGAAGCGCCTTGAGAAACCGCACATGACCTTGAGGTGTGGCTTCTTCGCAGCTGCATCAACGACATCCTGGCAGATCTGGACGCTGGTGGAGAGAGGCTTCTCGCAAAGGACGTGCAGGTCCTTCTCGATAGCTTGGAGAGTCTCCTCGGCATGTACCGAGGTCGCTGTGCCGATCACTACAGCCTCTAGGCCCTTGTGCTCAAGCATCTTCTTGTAGTCGTCGTAGAGAGTGACTCCATATGGCTCGAGGTGCTCCTTGCCCCATTTGAGCTCATTTTGGTCGGGGGAGAAAGCAGCGACAAGCTCAGCACGAGGAGTCTTGTTCAAGATGTTGAGGGCGTGTCGAGCGCCCATGCGGCCGAGACCCGCAACGGCAACTTGGAGTCTGTGAGGAGCCATCTTGAAGCGCTTTGGGGAGGAGTGAAAATGCTGGCTTTTGAGATGGTAGAGAAGGAGAAAGTTGAATGAAGAATGGGCAATCGAAGCGCATTGAGGAAGACATTATATACTGGCTGTGGGCAGATCACTAATTCTCGTGCACCTTCGGAGGAGGTTTTTGTCAATGTTCTCAGCATCTTCGTCAAGTTCGCTGATTGGCCAGATAGCGTTTGTATGAACTTCGGAGGAGGTTTTCGCAATGCTATGCGCGCCGGTGTGGGGAATATGCGGGCGGAGTGCTTGGGATAGGTGCCAACAGCACTGGGCGGGGCCCGGAGGAGGGTTTGCATTGTAATTTACACTAGCGTCCCAGTCAAGACCGGCACAGCACCGTGCGTAACCCTCGGAAGAAGGTTTAACGATGGCAAAACACCCCGCCACGGCAATTTCCCCCGTTTCCTTCTCACCAAACCACGAATGGTTCGCCCTAAACTGCACCAGAACTGGATAAAAGACGATACCGCCTCTATTTCACTCTATCTCCACGCCGCGACCCCAGATATGGCCTTCCGGCGTCAGGCGCGGAGGAAGAAGCGCCGAAGCTTGCTCCGTCTGTGGACGGCGGCGTGTATGCGACCAAGAAGATAACGACCCTCAAATTCAGTCTCATTCATCGCTCTTGGACGCATGCTTCGATGCTCGGCTCGGTCTCGTGAATGTACATATTGTGCATGTCCTGACACCCTGCAGATCGGGCGTAGCCATAAATCACCCTTCACCGAGACCGTCAATCGAGCGAGCAGATCATCTCGATTCGCATTTTGGACACTTCGCACTTCTGACTCTGCAGTTCACGAATTGCCATAGTCTCGCGAGCTATCTAGTACCCTGGAGTCGCAAGCAACGATCATATAGTCATCTACGGATAATGAACATGGTGCTTCTCTGGCCACAGAGAGTCGGCAATCCGCAGGATTTCTCCCCTTGCGAGTCCTAATCGCTCGCCAATCTCACCCATCAAAAGAAGCTGGTCCAACGCAATACCATCATTTGACAAGGATTTCAGTGCGATAACCAGATTCAATACTGCGTCATTGACTGGTGTATACATTGGCGAGTGCTGCAGCCGAAGAAGATATCGCTTGTTTTCGGGTTTGAAGAGCCAGTCATTTGAAGGTATTTGCATCGTCAAAATACGTTCGCCAAAGTCTATCTGAACGCGGCAAGCTGTCACAACAAACTCAGCGTTCAAAGGGGTTGATGCAATCTTCGTAGGCTTTTCGTCCATCAAGGACCGCACTACAACGACCTTCTTGCTTGGAACCTTCGAGCCAATCCTGGTATTCCTAGCCGCTCGCATGGAGATTTGTTGCAGGGCAGTGTTGTGGTCGATATCTGAAAATTGCACTGCTGCATCGACGCTACCAACCTTCTCCATTGTCAGCACTTTGTCGCCACTTGGTCTTGCAAAATATCGGAAGCATCTTTGTTGAGTACGGCCAGACGTAGTTATATATGGTAAGGTCTCGAATGACCCATTGTATGGCACTGTGAATGCCTTCACCGAGAACACAGGGTCGATGACGATGCAATAAGAATCCATGAAGACTCCAGTGACGCAGTGATAGGGTTGAGTTGAGTCGGCTGATGCTGGACAGGCGACTGTCCTGAGTCTTTCCAAGCCCCGAGCGAGGCTAGGGGCGGCTCTGAGAGCAGCACCAAGATTCTTAGCCACTTGGTAAGTCATTCCAACACATGTTGAAAAGGGTGCGATGTCTTTCCAGATACGGACGTTGGCTTCCGTGACACCAGGGTTGACTCGAGTATAGTAATCCCACGTGTGCCATGTGCTCCAATGGACTGTCAAAGAATGTTGAAGAGAAACTTGGTCTGCGATATCAACGAGTGATTTTTCAAAGTCAGATTGCCAGGAGTCGACATGTCCTGGAACCAGAACTGACCAGTCAAAATGGTCATCGTTTTCAACTACTGTTGCTGGATTTGAGAGCAAGGCATCGATTTCTCCGACCGAATTGACGACTGATACTACGGCAACACTGTTCTCGGAAACAAAATCCAGACTTTTCGCTTTGGTAATCCAGTCCAGCAAGGGTGTGTAAAAGCCCTCGAAGTTTAAAAGCACAATGGGCCGGCGCCAGACTCCAAGTTTGGACCACATTCGCACGGCTGTATATTCTTCAAGTGTCCCAAAGCCGCCAGGCAGGATTATGAACGCATCGGTTAACTCTGCTATCCGTTTCTTTTGGGTGTAAAGGTCATCCACTAGCTCATGATGGCCAAATGTTGGAAGTTCGCCCGTTTCTTCGTACTTGAGAAATGGGCGGGGCTTGACGCCATGAACATCGACACCCAAGGCTGACGCTGCCTTGCCAAGAGTTCCCATCAGCCCTCGTGCGGATCCACCATACACCAAATTCCATCCATTCTTGGCGAACATTGCAGCAACATGGTGTATAAGCTTCTCGTATCTGATGTCATTCCCCGTGTTTGCAGCCAAGAACACGGCGACAGATTTTCTCTCTTTGCGACCTGCTGCCATGTTGGTAGCAGAAGTGATAAGGCGTTGGCGGCAAGAGCTTAGCAGCAGATGATGTCACGACAGATTTGTTGTGTAGGATCTAGAATCAAATCGGGAAAGGCAAAGTATGGTAGAAGAAGTTCCCAGGAGCGTGTTGAAGCTGATTTGAACGGTGACGAGACGTGCTTATGTATGCGAGACTTGTGGTTTGCATCTCATGTCACGTCATTCTATCGACCAGGCTGTGCTGAAATTACTCGTCAACTCTGCACTCCAGGTCCTTCTTAGATCAAATTGGATGCAGCCACATGTAAGCCCAATCGAAGGCGATCATCTCTAGGCTGAGCTGAATGCAAACTATGTGGCTGGATTATATGCAGTCCACCAGGCTGAGCTGCAGGGGACCTAATCCGGAAGACGACAGAGCTAGACAAGGTGGGGCAACGAGATCTCTCGAGAATGGTTTGATTTGCATTCATAACTTGTCCACTTGATTAACTTCTCACTTGTGGTAAACAGTTAGAAATGCAATATACGGACTGGATCAAACCACGCCCTTTCCAAGATGATCCGGGATTCATTGGCAAGACATTTGCGGCTCAGAACAAAACGTTCGGACTGGAAGAGAGGATGTGTATTCTTGCGACTGAAATTTGGATCGATCGGCAGACGCAACTGGGTCGGAGGTCCGATAGTAATCAAAAGACTGTCCTCGATACGGACGAACTCTGGTTCGGTAAGCGCAAAGTCCTTTATCGCATACGGATGCCCGATAATTCTGTGTGGGTCGCCCGACTACACAACACACTGTACAGTAAGACCGCTATCATGGACCACACAACACGTACCGCGAATCAGGTCCTCTTATTCGAAAGCGAGGTCGCGACTATGCAGTTCGTAAAGGAAAACACGAAGATTCCTGTTCCCGAAGTCTATGGATACGATCCGTCAACTACGAACGTACTTGGAACACCCTACATCTTCATGGAATGTATCGCAGGACAGCCTTATCCATTCCCGTTTAGCAAAGAGCGTCATATCAAGGATGAAGATTTGACAAAGATACATTCTCAGTTGACTGACTTCGCGTGGCAACTCTGGAACAAACCATTTGACACAATCGGACAGCTTCGTTTTGCTGCTGACAAAAGAGGAGGCGTGGTTATTGGGCCTATAGTTGATCGTAAAGAACGCCTTTATGGTCCTTTCGCGTCTTCGAGAGCGTTCTACAAAGAACGCGCAAAAAGGGTTTACGAAACTGAAAAGCGCAGGCGTGTGTTGGGAGAAGGATTCCACGTTGACGATAGTCTCGAATCTGCCGCGCTACATGTCATGGCTGCAGAGCACGCTGGCAAACAGTGTTTCGACTCTGGACCTTTCGTACTTCAGCATGCCGACTTGCATTGGCAGAACCTACTCTTTGACGAACATTGTACGATAGTAGGCGTGATAGACTGGGAGTGGACTCAGACCGTTCCGGTGGATTCTTTCAACTTACTTCCCTTTAACTTTGCAACAAAGATGTTGCCATACCGAAAAGATGTGGTCGAAAGGCATGAGAATCATTCGATTCAACATTTCAACACTCTTTCAGACACGGGAAGCACTGCCGATAGACTCAATGCCATCAAGGCCATGACTTCCTTCCAGAACTCTCAGTCTCAATGTCTCGCTCGATACATGGAACAGTACAACTGGCCGGAAATTCGGAGAAAGCATTTTGACCATTTAAAACGGCTGGTCGAGAGCATGGGCAGCAGTCAATCATAATGAGGAAGTGATGGATTGGGACGACTATGTACATGCAAAGACCAAGACCTGGCGCGTCGCTGAATGTATGATTCATTATCATCGCAACTATATTTAATCAGCTTGAGAACTTCAAGGATACAGAGGCGGATCGCAAAAACGTCGACCATGTCGACGCTTTGGATCGTCTACCAAGTTCACAGTTGCACTGAGAGTAATCCCTTGATCGCCGACGAATCAATGGGCATAGTCCAGTGATCGTAGCGCATTGAAGCATAGCTCTAATGCGAAAGGAAGCCAGACAGCGATCTAAATCAAATCCTGGAAGGTGCGAAGCTTTCACCTATGGGCATCCACGCGTATTGTTTACTTCATCCCACCGTCGCGACTCTCAAGGGCGATGACCCCCGATTTTGCCTTATATTCTCGTATTATGATAAGGTAGGTCACCGGTGAGGTGGGGCGTGGCGCGATCTTAGCCAGCGAGCATCCACCGCTGTCGCTTCTCTGGCTCACTTTGCATCGAAGTGTGCATCCATGAATGCTGAAGCCTAGAACTTGCTCTGGGTCCTGTACAACGTGAACTGCCCCGGACATAGCCGATGATGGGGCCAGAACGAAGGGGCTGTGCGTGACCGAGTGACCTTGGCAGCTCAGCGGCACACAGCTTCGTACAGCCTGTCTTCTGTTGTCAACGATTGGCGCAGTGTTCATTATGGATCTTGGAATACCTGTTTACCTTCAGCCAGCCACACAAGTAACGGTCAGCTGCATTGAAGTCACCACAGCCTGATGAGCCGATGCATACACTGTGTTTCTCCAATGTTTGTCCGAGACTTTTTTGGGCTTTGACTAGGTAGCACGAGTGGCTTTCTGCCCATCATCATCTTACGTACGTAGTTTTTCATTGTTGCGATGGCGGGAAAAAGGAAAGAATGTGTCTCTACACCCCAAAAGCCACGTCTTGTCGATCAGCCGCGATTGGGTCGAGAGAGGCTAAAGCGGGGCTTCTCACGAGGGGTAGGCATGTACCCAAAGTGAAAGCCGCTTTCAGGCCTGCAAAGCCTCGTGAAGCCATGAATGATCCTGCTTGCACCCAAGAAAGATAACTTAGGTACCTTTTCAGTTGCGCGACTTTCTCAAACTACCGTCGCCTAAGTCATTCGCATCCGGGCCCTAAATGTCTTATTTCAGCTTCGTCCTGAATAGACCTCGAAAACACGAACAAACAAAAACTCAGCCTTGTCTGGGTTCTACTGCTTAGTCATGCAATCGTTTGTTCCAGACACATTGCAGCCTGACTTTGTTCTCACCACTCTCTGCTACTCTTAACATCCTCCTGTGACAAACCTTGAAATTCCACTCGCGAACTACAGACGTGCTCTCGCATAGGTCGCTCAATCACGACCGGAAATTCGATGATGGGTGAGCTAAATTGGCGATATGACTAGCAAACGCTAACAGTTGAGCAGAATCTACAACGAGCCCTCGCATTCACATAATCCGTCACGGACAATCTCTCCATAACGTCGATCGCGGCTACCCCCACCGCGACCCACCCTTGACGGATGCAGGGCACGAACACACTAAGCAGATTGAGATCCCAGCCGTCCCAGATCTCGTTGTCATCTCGCCCATGACACGTACCATACAGACTGCAATGAACGTTTTCCCGTCCCTCACCTCGGCTCAAGACAAGATCGAGGTACAAATCTGGCCTGATTTGCGCGAGGCTCACGAAGCGATTTGCAACAAAGGAATTTCTCGGGCCGAAATTTCTGCGAAGTTCCCACACCTGAACTTCTCGGATTGTCCAGAAGAATGGGACCATCCGCCACACACTATAGAGGATGCCACCATACGCGCCGAGGAGGTTCGTAAACGCTTGAAAGCCCTCCCGAAGGAATACAAGAATGTCGCGCTCATTACTCATCGAGGATTCATTGCGTTTCTCGTTAAGGGAGATCGGTACGATGTGTGTGAAACACGCTCTTATCGTTTTGGCACAGATGAGGAGAGTGAGGCAGAATCTTTGAGGTATGGAACCAACGTCGATACAAGGGCAAAGCAAGACTTTGGCCCAACAGTCCTTATACCATGCTCTTTCAAGGAAGATTGAATGAGTAGTTTCGCAGGGTTTATCAGAGCCCACCACTGGCTTCCATAAAGGGACGGGCACTGGTAGCTAAACATCATGGAATCTGTAACGACATTACGACGGCATGGAAACTGAGGATCTCCTATGCAGCTATGTGACAAAATACATTAGACTATGTCTATGAAATAAAGTCATGGTTGACTAGCAATACATTGCTCATTCCTGTTGATGACAACCCAGAGACTTTGCAACGAATGCGTGATAGTTATCTGTGATCACTAGCAACCAGACAATTTCCGAGTTTTTCGACTCCAGCGCCTACTTCTGGAGGATCGACGAATCTTAGCACGTTGGGTTGTCCAAGATTGCTGCCTATCTAAGACTACTTCTCACACTTGACCAGAGCGGGGTAATCATCCAACCATACCCACCCAAGTCAGATCAATCACTGTTTGCACGGAACAGCCATATATAAGCTCCCACCCAGTTCTGCAAGGCTACGCACACTTTTCGACTTCCTGCCCGTGCCAAGTGGGTCTCCTTTCTCTAGCAATAACCTGGCATTAACACCTCAACGTGGCGACCTTTTTTCGCATACACACATACATACAACATAATGACAGCAGTCATCGCTCCCCAGGTTCCAGACGATCCGATTTTTGTGAGTTTACTAGCTGCGAGTGCCACGTACCCCAGGTCGGAACCTATTGTCTACGAGAGAGATGGCCATAAGAAGACGTACCCCGAACTACTTAGCGACATTCTACGTACGCGCAGCGTTATCCGCGAAAAATTACCAGGCATCAATCGAGAGGGTCTTCTGTCCGACCATGATGTGTACATTGCCATTGTTTCACAGAGCATCTACGAATTCATAGTTGCCTGGTTTGCGGTTTCTGCGATCGGTGGAGTCAGCATCATCTTGCGTGAGTGCAGCGCTCAGCTAGTATGACGCCCAGGCTGACATCGTCCTAGCATCTGGAATTCGTCCCGATGAAGCCAGCCTTATACTCAGGATCAGACCAGGTTGCATCCTTGCCGGTAGCGAATCTGCAAACAAAGCAGCGGCTATCTGTGACATCATGAACAAGGGACATGATTCAGATCGTATCTTCTCGATGCCGATATCATCCAGTGCAGAGCCTTTGGAACAAAGTACCCAAATCAGCGTCGACCGCACATTGCAGATCGACTCAAGGCGCGCTGGCTCGGTACTGTTCACGTCTGGTACGTCTGGTCCTCCTAAGGGGGTGGTCCTGCCAAGAGCATCTTTCCATTTCGGGCGAAAGCCCGCCAAACCCGGCAGTGCAACTTTGGGCTATAAAGGGGCTTATTGGTGGACTGGTTGCAGGAAAGCACTGGAACCTGTCATGTCTGGAAAGAAGCTTTACCATATTGGAGAAACAGCTGGTGCACAAGAAGTCTTGGAAGCGCTCAAAAACTACCCGATTACCACAGTAGGATTCATACCAGCACTTCTTCACGACATGAAGGAACACATATTGGCGAACCCACCAGTGGAAGCATGGTCAAGTTGTTTTAAGGAACTGTCCATGATCTATTGTGGCGGCGCGACCCTTGAGCAGTCCAAATTTCAATTTTGGAGCGACCTCACAAAGTTACCGATATACATCGTCTACGGAGCAAATGAACTGGGAGGCCGTGCAATTGGTGGAATATCGGATACAGAGGTAAGAAGAGCGCGAAGACTGCTTTACAGTGTATCGAGCCGTATCCGGAAGCTTATCTGAATCGTCACAAGGGTCTGATAGGGCGTGCGGTCTCTGACACCATAGTCAAACTTTCAGAAGGTGATCATGGTGAACTCCTCGTGAAGAGTCCAAGGATGCTATTAGGGTATGATCTTCAAAACAGATAAAGATACAAGCAGTTATGAGGGCTATTCCTACTGACTACGCCTTAGTTACTTTGGCAACGAAAAGCTCACTGCCGATGCTTTTGACGACGAAGGATTCTACAAAACTGGAGATCTTGCGGAGCTTCATGATGATCAATATCGCTTTTGCGGCCGGGCCTCTTGTGATTGTGAGTTCAACCGAAGGGTCTAAAAACCTTCTCCGGTTCCACCAAGATACCGGCATATAAGTCTGACATAGTCCAAATGCGGCAGATATCCGTTTTCGACAGCTTCGAGTGTCCATCTTAGAGGTAGAAAGCAATTTGCTGAGACTCCCATACGTAGCGGAAGCTTCCGTCCTTGCCGTTCCTCACCGAGAAGCAAGGCAGTTGTGTGGTGCCGTCGTTCGGTTCCAGAAAGAAGGGTTTTCGAAGCCCGGCGCCTTGACACCACTTGCTCGAATCAGAGCTGATCTGGCCAGTAGCTTGGCGCCATATATGTTGCCTACTGTGCTGAGTGTGTTGGAACACACTCAAGAGCTCCCGAGAACACATTCCGGAAAGGTGATGAAAAAGAACGTTTTGAGAGACTGTCTTGGAGTAATCGAGTGGTTCTCAGCTGAGGCTCTGGCACCAGGTGTTGAGTTTTGGGGGAGCGATCTACCCCAGGTGGAAAGCGCAGGGGCTAGAATGTGGGATCGCGGAGGAATGCAGGCTTCCAGTTGATCTTCTTTTCGCAAAGATCATCTGTTCCATTTCGTGCGCTGTGGGATCTGCTCCCTAAATTGAGCTCAACCTCGCCGCACACCCTCAAGATTATCTTCACCTTATGCATTGTTCTTGATGCCTTGTCGATGAGATGGATCATTCGGCGAGATAAAATTCCAGATGTGCATCATTGCATCCATCCGTGTATCAGTATCCGCTCGTACTGCACTTGGTAGTACTGTTGATGCTGTAGTAATCGTTCGTCGCTGCCCGGAGTGCGCATCCAGGCTCGAATTGGGTGTGGAGACGTGAAGGGGTGGCTGTGCGAAGGCCGATTCGAGAGGGGTAGATCTGCGAGTAAAACACCTTGTCAGCTTCTTAGAGGTTTGAGCGCGCTGCGACACAAATGCATACCTTCTGCGTTGGAGAGTGAAAGCGCCCGGTGGGATCGACCGCGCGCCCACCTCCTCTGCTTTGACCACGCTAACGATGACGCGATGCCTATTATGGCTACCACCACCCCAATGATACCAATGACTGCTTCCACAGACATATGGCCATACACAGGTTCCTTGTCGTTGCTCGAATTCCGCCGCAGAATGGTTAGACGTGAACTGGTCGGGCTGGCATGTGCAGTGGTCATCAGTGAAACAGAGAGAACAAGCAAGTAGAATGACATTGGCAGACGTGTTTGGAAATGAGAAATGGGTTTGTGAGAAGAAACCGCAGTACAGGATTGAGAAGTATAGATCCGAAAGATGGATCAAAAATGTTTCTGGCAACTCCCCAATTGATACTGTTTATTACCTGCTCGACCTGGCGGGTGGGGACGTTCGGTGGGGCATACGGCGGCTGCGTCTCGGATCCAATAGCAGCGTGCCTCAATGTAGGTCACGCATCTTTCGAACTATTACCCTTGGCACCTTTCTCCGCTGTTTCATCAGGACAGCAGAGCGGAATATCTAATATCAGACAAGCTTGGAGGAACCGAGTAGGTAAGGCAGCCCACGGTACCGCCAGAGCAAGGTGCAGTGGACATGTCTTGTCAAACGTTGGCCGCCACTATGAACAACACCCAACATCATCTGCCACTACGAACAATGACTCTGTCACGACATCAGCTGATAGTCGCCCAGCCGTCTGGGGGGTATTGAGATCGCACGAGTATGCGGAACAGAACATTCCTGCGCAGATGCGATGAATTCCGAGTCTGAATCACGAACGATGACTGCACTGTCAGCAGAACATGAGCCGCGCGTATGCCTGCATTCGAGCACACTACGCCACCTGTCTAGCTCAGGACAATTTAGTAATATGGTGGTGTCTTCGGGCATAGACCGCTTCGATCGAGACTCGACCAGCTTCAATCTACAAGCAGTGCGCTCAAGGGACCGAATAGTTGATGCGCGTAGAAGGAACCAAAAATCAACATAATGGTAACGAGTATCGCTATTTGTGGCGTAGCATTCGAGGCCTGAATAATGCCAGTCTGTAGACTTGCTAGTTGCCTCAAACCATGACCAAGGTGTAAGCAAATGTGCGCCTTCTCTCGTGGTAGCAGGAAGGGACTTGAGCCTACCAATCAGCACCGGAGCCTCAGTCTGAGCGGAATTGGTCAAACAAAAAGCAAGAGGATGTGCGCCGCCAGGCTACCAGCCGACACAGCCTCCGCTTCTTGCGGGGACCAGATATCTCACAGCAAGGAGACCCAGGTTCATGTTCTGATGGCATAGTCATATATGTAATGATGATACAATATATGAATTCCTGGAAAGTGCGACGCCGCTCAACGCCAAGCAAATCGGACCCAAAAATGCAACTCCATGGGCGCTCTTTGATGCTCAACCATCACATCGAGCGCTGCACCGTCAGCCGCTCATAGTGTACATGATAATGGTATTCGTGCGACAAGTTCTGTCCGCCGTTGCCAGCTGTGCGCGTCCGGGTACCGATCGGGTACAATGGTGTGAAAGCACCTCTATGCGTTGAATAGTTGGAGGGTATCAATTCTGGCGAAACGAATTAGTTTAGCGATCTCGAAGTGGTGGAATCTCGACATGTGTATACCTTCTAGGGTGCGGCGGGATCCACTGAGCGACTTCCCCCGCTTCGACCACGCTAGCGAGGATGCAATACCTAATAGAGCAACGACCACGCCAATAACACTTATGATTGCTTCCGTAGATAGTTGACGGTCTCCATTTTGGGTATCCATAGTTACATCTCGTCGATAAGGGTTTGTGTATGGACAAGTAGGGGTGGCTCGGACGGCCATGGCCAGTGCAAACATGCATGTAAGTGGGCTAGGAAGCATTCTCGTCAACGGCTGCGTCGGTGCGGAGAGTTTTCTGGTTGACTTTTTCCTCTTTCTACTATTCTGACTTTATCTATCGTGTATGTGTGCATGCTGGCCGGAACTAAAACTATGGTCTGCTGGCCTCGCAATTGGGTCACGTTGGGAGATAGAGGTTGAGGCGGTGAGTCCGGTTAGAATGGAGCCAGATCATTATGGCTGACGAAGAGCATGCGACCACCTAGTAGCGACACACCTGCTCTCATATATCTGGGGAACAGAGCCAGCCGAACCTTCAAGTCGATGCTGGATCGAGTGACTGAGACGTTGACAAGAGACCTATATCCGAGTGATGATGAACACGACGCAGGGCAGATGAAGCATTGTCTAACGTTCATGTTCACAAGATCTGTCAAACGCGTTGTGCAGATACTTATCAGTCGAAGATTTGGAAGGAGCAAGGTCAATACATTGAGCCATACATTCATGCTTTCTCTGACTGCGTAAACGCCTGTATCGGCCGATTGGGAAAGATTGGAGAGCCGTTCATAAGAAGAAAGTATAAGCTCCATCGATCCATCAGTGTCCGAACCGACACAACCGCGCAACATCCAGTCGCTAAACGGTTTAATATCAAGCTCGCGTGGTGTTTGAATTCTGTTCAGATGGCTACACACTTGACAGAGAGTGAAAGTGACGAGATTCGGGAGCCGCAGCCCCAGGGGACCTAGACGCCCAACTCTAATCCACATGTGGTAAAGTTTGGAATTTCGCTAGCGTTGCTCCTGCATCAACACCAAACATAATTGGAGCTCCGACAAATCAATTCTCCCACCACCAACGCTCATCCACGAACCAAGATGGACGAAACACTCAAGGAATTACATAGTGATCTTGCCAACAAGTACCGGCAACATGGCCCGCGAATTGAAGAGATGTGGCGTTCGCTCGGCCAAGAACAACGCAAGAAGATCATGCAGGCAGGCTCTCGCGATGGCGCTGTGCTGAAGCATGCTGAAGATACAAGCCTAGAAAATGTCTACAAATTCATCCCAGAATGGAACTTGCGCGACATCACTTCAACATCATCAGAATTCTTCCTCGACATGCTCAGGCACAGAGCAACTTCACCGCTACAAACCCAATACACGACTGGCTTCAACGGACGACCAGGAGATCATGCGCACATAGTTGATATGATGCAGAGGAAGAATCTAAAACTTATCAACGCCTCTCAATACAAGAATTGTTATACACTCTTCTTGACAGAAGATGGATACGGCGAATCGGTCAAGATCGTCGCGGAGAAGCGGGAAGAAGTTCTCGCAAATATGAAGCCAGCTATACAAGCCCAGATGATAGTCCCTCAAGCTACCGGCGAACTTATCCTTATGCGACAGATGAATCTGTTGCAGCTCCTGAACATCGCCATCGAAGACATCCTCGATACTGCATCCACCACGAGAACCCAGGCGAAGCGACCGAAGAAGCCAACTGACGAAGCGACTGCAGCCCTCGCGAAGCTATCGGTACACGAATCCTCAAAGAAACTAGAGCTTTCAGATCTCTCGAACATAGTGCAGGACCAAGTATCGTCCCGCGAGGACCTTGTCAACCTGATCTCTACTGAGCCCACCGTCCTAGCTCATGAAGTCAACTTTTGCTTTTTCAGTAGACCAGAACTTGTTGCCGATGAGAAAGGGCGCATACTGCCTGCACATACCGACAAGTATATCAGCGGCTCTGTATTCGAGGCGGTTCATGGCGCTGTCAAGGCGGCTGCCACATGGGATTACATTGGCCGTCTCTTGGACCTGTTTAAGGACTCGTCGGACAAACAGTTCAAAGCCATTGTCATCAAAGAGCTTTCAAATACTTGTCATCTGGAGTATCTGCGCGCTCAGACTGGTTTCAAACGGAGCGTAGCCGTCGGCATGGGTGGCAGCAAGTGGTTCAAGCGGATGTCGAATAGTGATGTCGCGCGTCTCTCACTAAAGCGAAGCCCTGAGCCTCTAACGTTAGAGAATCCGCAGTTGCATTACATGCTTCGACTCTGCCAGGATGAGACAAACTGGTCGAATGCTGCACAATGGCTCCAAAAACTGGAGGACCTCCATCGCGCTCACCCACTGGAACAAGACAACTTTTCGGAACGAGAGTATGACTCTCTAAGGGATTTGGCCATCATCGTCACCTTCATCCAGTCTCTCTCGTCAGTCGCGCAACTACCCGCACCCAATCATAAGAAGAGTCAGCCTTTCGTGCCAGGTTATGCTTCGTTGGATAGGGAGCTAAGGCAACTGAAGGACGGCGTAGACCTTGGCGACTATGCTATCCCAATCGACAACTTGCTAGAGCCAGGCATGGCTGAAGGCGCCCTCTCCACGCTCAACCGGTATATCACAGAGAAGACAGGCACGAAGCTTGGTTTTCTCTACCAGGATCTAGTCGAGAGCTGTGTGTCCAGCATCGAGCAACAGTATGAACAACAAAAGGCAAAAGCTAGTAAGCCTCAAGCTGAGTATACCGTGCCGACAGTTCCGGAGGCTTTGGCATCAGTTATACAACAGCGCAAACAAAAGGAAAAGACACGGCCAGCGCAATCTTCGATTTACGAAATTACGCCGCAAAGTACCAAGGACGACCAGCCAGTTCAGCCGAAAGACACCTTTAAAGTCAAGGCCTCAACTGCTGAGGTCTTTTCATCGCTGTTCTCAAGGTCGTCCGCAGCTCGTAGCCCAGTGCGATGGGAAGCCTTCGTAGCCGCTATGATTGATGTTGGTTTCTCAATCGATCCCAAGATTGGTTCTATATACACATTTGTCCCTCCGAAGAAGGTATCAGTACAAAGGGATTTGATACTTCATCGGCCGCATCAAGCGAGCATTGAGGGACGACTCCTTCTGATCTACTCCCGGCGCTTGAAGAAGGTCTATGGCTGGGATAGCCCGACGTTCGTTGCGGCGTAGGAGTCGATGACATCAACTGGGTGGCTATGCAGGCGCTGAGCTCTGCTGTTTGATGGTACGATGCTATGTAATCACAACGCGCAAACAACTATACACCTTGTCATCTCAAATCAATATATGCCATGTAGTCGATGGCGGCTTGCTTTAGAACACTTATCGTCACTTAGCGCACATACATCTCAAGTCAAAAACTTGCAATTTCACATGTTAAAACTCTGATGCATGGTATATGTTTGTACGTAGAGTGAAAGTCGCTATATAACTGCTGATCAATACAATAACAAGAATACGAAAGATATGCTTAGCCTACATAACCATTACCAGCAAAGAGCATGTCTTCACCGAAGATGTTTTGTGGGTCGCACATAACATCAGGTCGTCCAGTCGAAGTACAAACGTCCGCAACGCTGGTCTGATCAGAGTTGGAAAACATATCGAAGCTGCTAACGCTATTGATGCCATCGAACCATTTAGCGGTACTCACACTACCAAGGTTGGGAACTTCGTGGCCGGCAGCAGGAACGAGGAAGTCGTCGAAACTATCGATCGAAGCATAGTCATGTAGGTTCGGAAGCGCACCCACACTGTAAGGTTGAATGAAAGGATTGACGCCACTGCTGTCAGTTGCCCACTCTGCATCAGCACTTTCATTACCTCCCACAGCCTGATCAGCCTGAACCACTGACATCTCAGAATGGCTGAAGTCAAAGCGATGCACTTTCTTCAGATGCGAGTCGAGCTTATCTTTCCTCGGAAACGGGCGCCGGTGATGAGGAAAGCTCTCGCTACGGCTGCAGCTTGATACCGGGCACCAGAAAGGCGTTGTAAGTTCGTGAACTGAGTTGTGGTGACGGACAAGATCTTGCAACCTTCCGAAGGTCTTTTCACATCCTGTCCAAGCGCAATGAACTCTGCCGCGATGCACAATGTGCTTGAATTTGGCGGAAACGGAAACATCTTCCCCGAATGGTGGATCAACGATGTGGGCGTCTTCGTGGCTGTGTATATGTGCGTGAGTCGAGTAGTCCGCTTCAGTGATTAAACTCGGAGTTAGGGCGCCAAAGGTAGGAGCGTAAGTTGTCCCAGCGTCAAAAAGGGACGTCATTCCGCTTGGGCTAGTCAAAGAAAAGTGTGGGATGACAGGTTGAGTAGACCAAGGACTGATCACGATATTATCGCTTTCGTTTCCAAGCTCGCAGTCATGACTGGGATTCATGATGTATTCATTGTCATTGAAGTAACCGCCGATAGTCCAACGAGACATTCCTACTTCAAAATGGCGTTGTTCGTGATCCAGTAGCCCAGCAGAGTCTTGGTAGGTCGCTGGCGTAAATTGATGGTAGGCTTGTCCAGTTTCGGATATTCGGTGGAGCTCGTTATCGTTCTTCGACATCTTGGTCGTCATGTTGACATCGCAGGATTTCGAATTTCTGCGGTCTTCAGCCTGGACCAAATATTAGGTGCTATATATGTTAAAAACTCGCAAACTACTTTCCACTCGCTAGGGTAGACCTTTGCGAACTTTTGTGAACTTCCAGGAACTATGAGGCTTTGCAACATCCATGTGCGATAGCAAGGGCACCATTGCTATTGCAGATCTATCAAACGTTCTCAAAAAGTTCTTCCCTTACTCCATGTGCTTGCAGCTCGGACTTTAGATCGTAGATACCTTAAGCTTCCCCATCCACGACCTGCAATCATATGAAAATGAAAAGGCTCTCCGTAATTCGAGAGCATTGCAGCGTTTTCATTTGTATAATGGGAAATTTGACTTGGATTAGCGATTAATCCAGGTACGCCTACGACTATGTTCTCGGGGAACTCGCATGACGTAAGTCAGCAAAAGTTCTCAAAGATTCTACTCTGACGTGGTCATGTGGCTGGGGATGCGCCCCTGATGGCTGCGTTAGCTCTACATGACAGCGCTTACGCGCTAGTGATGCGACAGCAACTCATAGCCAATCTTGAATTCATCTGCCGCTTCAAAGTATCTAGGCAAGGGCTAAGCGAAAAGCAAATAGCGCCACAATCTGACTCCTCACGAACATAGGGGAGCCATGACTGAAACAACGGCAGACTCAACCTCCTACTGTCCTGCTTCTCTGTCTGCATACGCAACGACAATCAAGGAGTCGTAAACCTCCGGAACTTGATACCTAGAAGCACAGGTTTAGCCGTGGTTTCCAGCGCTATCTATAGGAGATTTTGAGAAGAGCGTCGCATGTGGCCCCTCGAGTAATCTCAGCCCTACAAAAAGCTGTTTCGGGGATATGCGTTAGGAGCCATGCTGTTGTTACACGACCCGCGTAGGGCGAAAGACTAAGGTTCCAAGGTCGGTGTACCGAGCATGTCTACCTAGGCAGGCAAGCGCTAAACTGTAACGGGAAGCGAAGGACCTTCATACGTGCCCTCCGAACGAAAAGGTCCGCAAAGGTTCGCAATGGTTCGCAAAGGTTCTTGCATAGCCATGACTAGGTGCCCAGTATTTAATCATCGCTTCTCTTCTCTTCAGCTTTCGACGTCTCATCTTTCCATTCACCTCAAGATTGCAAGATCAGTTGCACGCAAAAGAGCCTACACACCGATCGGAATTCCAATCTTGTTTCTAACTCGATTTCAAAAACGCCCTTCTTAATTGAATCCCTCTGATCATGGCGTCGATTGAGGGCTCGCATGCTGATGTCGATACGCATGCGATGGATAGCGTTACCCCGTCACGCTCGCCTCCGATTGGACAGGCTTCGGCGTTCCGGCCTAAGCCCAGCATTGAGCCTTCAACACCAAAGCGTATCGAACGATCGGAATGGGATAAACATGAACGTTTCATCAGAGCAAACCACTCTCGTATGCAGCTGACACAACTCCGTCGAGCCATACTCAAGGAGCGCGGTTTCGTCGCCAGGTGAGAAACCTTTCGTCTTTCTTATCTGTTGTTAACTCTCACTGACTAACCGGATCAGCGAACAACAATGGAAAAAGGCGCTGGCTAGATGGGGTCTTTGCAAGTCGATCCCAAAGTCGGTCGCCAAATTCATAGGGAAGAAGACACACTTTCGCCAGGCCAGAGAAGGAAAGAAGACAACCTTCAGATACCGTAAACAACCGGTACCGAAGGACAAGATCAAACGATATGAGCAGGAATACGCCAAAGGTGCCTTGTCGCCAATCCCAAGTACGTAAACCTGCTGTATACGGCGTTTGTCTACGATGGTTCCTTGACTGACATATCAAAACAGCTTCGCCTTCAAATCTGACTTATCAAACTTTGAAGTCTCCGACTTTGGCGTTTACACTCCCGGTGAACCAGACTTCGAACTCTCCGACTATGGCGTTTACACTCCCGGTGAACCAAACTTCGAACTCTCCACATATGGACTTTACACTCCCGGTGGATCAAACTTTGGAGTCTCCGCAAATGGAGTTTACGCTCCCGACGGACCAAACCAGCTGCAGCAATACGTCAGTAAGGACCGAGTTCTATAATGGCCAGGACCTCGATAGCTTCCTCGCGAGTTCCCATTACGCTGAAGCTCTCGTCAAGCAGGGGAACTATACCGTTGCTAAACTCGCCTTCATCGACGCTCTGGAGGGGCTCGAAGCTCTAATCGGCGCTGTAAACATGATCACCATCGGCGTTTTGGACAGCTTTGTTGACGCCGCTATCGAGAACAAAGACTATGGTGGAGCTACCGAGCTACTTCGCAAGTCCCACACCCAGCATCAGGAGCTGCTTGGTAAAGATCACAAGAAGACTTGGGTCAGCTTTGGTCGACTGGGCTTGGTGCAACTCGCAGAAGGAAAGCGTGGGCAAGCACTGAAAACATTTATGGATGCGAAAGCTGGCATACGCGCAGCGCCTGACATGAGCCAAGAGGATATCTTCAATCTCACCACCGAGTTCACTTCTAATATCGTCGATGTATATCAGGAGCTATACGATTTCGAGAGTGCTGTGAGCGAGCTATGCGATCTGATCCAACAAGCCGAAGCCTTAGGTGACGCTTATCAAAATCAGACCGCTGGTCTCAGGCATCGGCTCGCCCACCTCTACAATGACGAAGTCTGGAGCCTGGGAACAGTCCCGTTTGGCGTTGCAGCTGCCCCACGACAGCGTATCGAGAACACCCTTTTGCAGGCTATCAACGATTTCGAGGCGACTTTCAGTGAAACGCCTCACTACCTATGCTCATTGGAACAGTTGCGAGCGTACTATGAGACTACAGGTGAAGTCTCCAAGCTGGACGCCTTAATTACGAAAAGGATCGAGCCCGCTTTCGTCGCGCTTCGACCCACTGGACCAAACCGCGAGAACTACATAGGGCTGATGCAAGGAGCCATACTCTCATTGTCACGGCTTGGCAAATTCGAGAAAGCTGAAATGTTGCTGAATTGGCGTCAACAACAGATCGAGAGCTCAGATAAGATGGGATTCTTTTCCTTCGAAGCACTGTCCAACGTCACGCTACATGCGAAATGGCATTTCGATCGTAATATGCCACAATCTGCGGAACCACTACTCGAAAAAGCTCAGCAGATAGCTATGCAAGTCCTGCCACCTGATCACACTTTTCACAAGGTTTTAGCTCAGACAATCGCCGATAAGGTTTGGATGTATGAGGCATGTCATTGCTGTCTGGTCAACCCACCCGGTGTATCCAACAACGTTCCTTGGTCTGGTAAATAAGCATTGATGGTTTTACGCAAGTTGGTACAGACTTGTCCAAGGCCAAAAAGTGGAACGACATCTTCCTCGTGGGGATGATTTCCGATCTTCGAAAGCTAGACGGTAATGCAGAGATTGGCAACACGTACGGAGACTATCATGGTTGCAACTATGGTGAGATAAATACAGAGGGATGTTGTAGGAGAAAGGACAGCGCAAAGAATCGGGCTGAGGGGATGTGTGTTGGTAGCAGAATAAACACCTGGGTAGGCTGCAAGGTCACGAGTATGTTTTCTATGTTTCAGTTCTCGATACAATGGCGAATAGCTGTGTTTTACTGGAGTTACAGAAAATCTATTTATTGCTTCTCAGGACTTGGAGAGTAGCTGCCGACGAAGCCTCTGACCGATGTGTTTTCGCTTTTGGTGATGGCGCCAAAATTTGGGGGCAGGAGCAGCGAACTTCAGGGATCAGCAGGGCTCTTGCCGCCGGCCCGCACCCGCACCTGCCTTTCTCCTAACACCATTGGAGCATGATTGCGACAGATCAATGCGATGCAACATACCAGGCCGGACATAGCCTGAGGTGCGATAAAGCATGCTTGGCTGAATCGCCATTACTAATTACCCTTCCAAGCCAATTTGCGCAATAGTCCATTTTCGATCTCGGAAGTGTGTGCCTGGCTTCTCATGTTGCAAAGCCACGCCGGATGCCTGCATACTAATCCACATGGATGGCATCGTTTCAAGTCGGCCATTCGCTAAACATTGTACTCATGTGCGGGGTTATACCTCAGCTCGCTGTTCATGTGCAAGCCCACCTGCACCTAGGCAGAACTGAGGCGCAGCTTTTGGGGCGCCTCCTCGCCTTTATATGTAGCTACATCTCAAGGCTGGGATAGTGATTCGATAACTAGCAATTCTTATTTGCCTTCAACCACAAGCTCACGTACTCATAGAACTATGGTCTGCCCTCCGCTCACCGAGAAGCAGGTATACCTAGCTCTTAAAGATGTCTTCAAAGGAAACGAAATGCTGCCTAGCACATTGAAGAAGCTTCGCAAGAGGGTCGAGAAGTCTAAGGAGAATGTCAACGTCAAGCCTTTAATACAGACATATGGCATTGAAAACATCACCCAGGTGGCCAAAGTCCTACTAGATGACCAGGTCTTTGTTCTAAGGACGAGAGCAATAGCACGCTTTCCCGAACTCATCGAGACCCTCCCAAGCCAGCTTGATCAGCCAAGTACCACTGACACGACGATCGCAACAAGCAGTGCATCTCCTCCACAACGCGGAGGGGTATATAGTCCTGAAGAGCTTCTGGGTATTGGAGACAAGCTCTGGACGAGGACAAAGAAAGAAAGAGATGAGACTAGTATGTTGACTGAACGAGCTTCAAGGCGTACCAATTAACGTATTCAGTTGACGCAGACTGCCAGACTCAATCGCTCGATTGCGTGAGCCTTCCACTCTGGGATCAGCACCGACTTCTCGTTAAGATCCAATACGCCCTGGAAAAAGCTTGTTTCGTCTTCGCGCAGAAGAGGCTGAAAGATCTCCTGCAGACTGAGAAGTGGGATTGCGCAGAAGCAGTTGAACTTCAGCGATGGGCGAAGGTTCTTTTCATGTATCGAAAAGACCTTGATATAGAGGATGTCAAAGATGTCGGAAAGCCTTTGCCCATTCTTCTGGACGCGATTACCCAGCTCAGGAATGACGCGGTTCATCGAATCCGCCTTTCCTCAAGTGGTATCTTGCAGCATATGACCAATGCTGGGCTCCTGTCGCAGCTGGTACAAGATGAAGAGTGCAGCAAACTGATCACTACTATACGGATGAAAACTCATGATGCTATCGGAAAATTGGTGCGCAACAAGCAATTACTAGACGACAAGATGAGCAAGATCAAGAAAGACTTTGCCGCAAAGAGGGCTGAGCTGGAGCGTCAAGAGACCGCTTTATTAGAAGCTGCTGTGAAAGAGCATGAGGAGCCCAAAATTTCTGTAAGCGGAGATTTGGATCAGGTAACTGATGACCTCGGTGGTACTGGGTCGACCAATGCGCCCTGGAAACATGGGTGTGATCCTACTTTATCCGAAGACAAGCCTGCTTCATCTGCGGATACTGTTCGGATGCATACGAATGCTTCTGCATCTAAGTCTAATGCTCAGCCGGCAGTCACTCAAGTACCGAATACTGCGAAGGATGAAGTCGAGATGGCATGGGCTGAGTGGAGGAAAGCCAAGGAAGAAAAGCAAGCCGCTAAGGAGCAGACCAACCGAAAGGGGGGGACGGTTGGAGAGGCAATCGAAGATAAGGAAGGCACTGAAGAGTATAGAGTAAGCGAGAAACCAGGAGATGGTGCTGTTGAAGATCTTCATGAAGATGTTGAGGACGTCAAACAGCTGTCCGAACCTCCCATACCGGTGACCACAGTCGACGATGGCTTGATCGAATCAGCTTTCACCGATGAGGAGGAGGGCGACTGGAAAGACAAAGACGAGGATTCATTGGAGCATTATTTCGAGTGCCCCGAGATTGTGCTTGATAGCGGCGAGAGCGACGCGAAGCACCCCTCTAACGATCCGCCACTGGAGCAACAGGTTGTGGCAACAGACACGACTAGCGAAGAGAGAGATGTGCTAGATGTTGCAGTCGCATCCGAATCTTGTGATTCAGATCTTCTAGAACATGACCAGGGATCGATCCATGAGCAATACACCAGCCCCGCCCCTACTTGTGTTGGACAGACTGAGGACAACACCGACCAAGGCCACACAGAGCCCCTTCTGGAAGAAGGCATATCTGCTGGAAATGGTACCATGGATCTGGTAGCAAGTTTGGAACAGCCTGTTGCTACTAGGGGTCAGTCGAATGCTTTTACAGTCATCAAGTCTTGGGGAGAAGGGCAATGGCCGGGTTCAGTTTGTATCAAATCTCTGGATGATGACCCAAGACTGGAATTGCTTCCTAAGGCAAATGAATAAGGACGTGTAGCACTGGTTTCGATGCTGGAGGACATTGAATCCGCTGTTTGAAAATTACATGAGTCAAGATCATTGTACTAGCCTTCACGGAAGTTAGAATAGAAGGATTATTATCATATTCACCATCTTCGATAGCTGAATTGTCACTAACAAAGTGTCGAGAACGCAGATAGCTAGGTAAACATCTTCTCTCAAGCTCTCTCAGACTACTACGTTGCAGCCGTCATATCATCGTGTTGCCTGCTGGTTCTCCTTTTCAGCCTTCCTAATTTGCTTATCTGTATCCCGCTTCGCCTTTGCCTTGTCAACCACTTTCTTTATTTGATCGGCCTTGTGAGAGGCCGACTTCAGAGTGCTACGAACGGTAGTCTTGGCTTTAGCTGCCAGCTCTGCCGAAGAACGCTTTGACTTTGCTTTCGCATCCTCCTCATGCCAAGTTGACATTTTATCGCTCGGGAGAATTGAGTCAAACGTCGTCGTTGGGATGCGTCTGGCGATTGAAAAGTTGGAAGTATACGATGAGGATGTGTCGGCCATTGCTACAGTATTAATACAGATGGTGGTTTGTCGGGAGATCTGAATGATAAGTGTACTAGTAATGACTGTGATGAGATAGAGGTCAGCTAGGCAGAGAGCGTTAACGTTCTTGTAGTCGGTAGTCCCAGTTCGTGAGTCTATAGTGCCTGTTATACCGTGAGAGAACAGTGCTGTATTGAGTGTTGAGTATATAGCGAAACTAATGATAGAATGCATTGTGGGTTGACGTGGACGAGCATATATACTGGAGGCTAACAATGCACGAGACAATCTCACCAGTGGTTGTGTTATTTGGAACATTGCGTTGTCTTGCTTGCTCAGGGATATGTGTTTCCTTTGTCAATGAAGCATAGAAGACACAAGAAGCGAGTGGATACGATCTCAGACTTCCTATGCCGTGTAGCCTCACTGCTAACTGTGCTGGGAAGCCATCATGCACACTGTTCAGCCTATGCTGTACTCATTCAGCAGCCCGGAAAGGATCAGTCCTCCGTAGTGCCGGTTTGCAATATAGCCATTGGAGTCTGCGCCGTTACGAGACGAGCTTTGTGGAGATGCGCGAAACCACAAGTCATTCAGAAGCGTACGCAAATGACTTATTCGCAAAGTCATTCCTCTAGTATCTCGACCGCGGGCGCATCCCACCATCTCCTGTGTAGACGCAAGTCCCTAATTCCTCGCCCACTCGTTCTCAACACTAGGCTGCAGATCGCTGCCAACGTGTCCCGGTAAGGCGCCGTCAAGGCGACGATTGCCCTCTTCGATCGCACGTACGTTATCCCGGCCGTCTTCGGTGGCCTCTTCAGTCTCCTCCTCGATGCGGTCGGAATAGCGGTTGCTGCTGTAACCGGGAATGAAGTCGATGGCACGTCTCGGTTCAGCGTCGCCGTGTCGCTCGTCAGCGATCATGCGGGAGATGCGTTCGGGTGCAATGCGATGCAGCCACGACTCTTTCTGCGTAGGGATGGCGATGATGGCGAACTAGGAGAAGATGTCAGTATCGGCTTCCCGCAGCGCTGCAGACACCACGACTAACCTGCCAGATGAAGACCATGCCCACAACGACCATGAGCATGCCGGCGATGACCTGTTCTTCAGCCTTCCAGGCTCTCAGGCATCCGTTCATTCTGCCATGATATGTAACTTCGCATGCGTCTGCTTTGTGTGTCTTGTCTGGAAACGGCCATGCCATGTCCCGCGAATTCACAAAGCCGCAGCACTCGAAGGCATCCTGGATCTGGCGGATGGCACTCGCATCCTTCTTCTTAAACAGCGTCTGCCAACGCTCATGCAACCCGCAATCTAGGCCAGAAGGCGGCGCAGCATGCGTGCCCGCAAGGGTAATCACGACGGTGGAGTAGATGAAGATGAGCGTGTTTGCGATGATGACAAGCGGCGGGCGCTGAATCTCGCCACGACTCAAGTGCTGGCGACGTTCCTGTCGACGCGTAAAGTCATAGCCGCATTCCAGCAGGAGGCCTGAGACGATGGGTAGAGCCGTAGTGAAGCCGGTCAACGTGTCGGAGATGGGCACAGAACGAGCGTTCGCGCGGGAGGCAGCGTAGCTAGTGGAGAACTGTTAGCGCGGGCCTAGCATCGTCGGTTAACATGGTGTTTATTACCCTGCGAGTGCCGTCGCAATTACGAGATACTGGACATTGTTAATCGATGCACGTGCAAGGCTGGTATCGCGATGTGGGACTTACTAGCACGCTGAGGCAGGTCACGACCTGCTTCCTGGTGTACGTCATGCCGTTAGTGTTTACGTTTACCCCGTCGTTTCGGTAGATTCGAGGGCGTCTGCGTGAGGGAATAGAGATGAAGGACTTAGTCGTGAGCCAGAAAGTGAAAGTGGCCGACAAGTGGGATGAGGAGCTCTGGGCTGTATAGCTGTAGCTTCTCCGCATCCCAAATAGGCGGTTGGGTACGACCGACCCTACAAGGGTCTAAAGTTCTTTCTTCATCGATTCGAGCGCAGAGTGCGATGGCTGATTGCTTGTCGCGAATCTTCCCTATTGCATCTCTCTTGAAACGTGCAAAAGCCAGCACATGCTCTCATCGGTGAGGAGCTGGCCAGGGAAACAGCGTCCGCGGCGTACATGTAAGCTGCCCAGACAGCGACTGCGACAGCGACATGTCAAGGCTCTTCTTACCCGGTGACGTAGGAAAGGATATGCACGTTCAATCTGCGATTTGCTGCATCAGGCGGCTACACAGCAGGGCGTATCACCCCGAGCCATGTGTAACAGCAGTGAATGGTGGTGTGAAGGAACTGGGGACGGGAAGGGGTGTGTGGCATGTGATTGGGCTAGGCGCTAGCGTTACCGTTGGCGGCTTCTGCGCCGGTTGATGTGAGTACTCGATCTCTCGATCCAAAACTTTTCCATAGCGACGTCATTCCTCTTTAACAATCGCACAATGCCGCCGCGGGGTAAAATTGAACGCTGTCCAAAGCACCCAAGAGCATCAAGCAGCTTCGACTGACAACCTCACTCAGAGTCAGCGCGTCGTCAGCTCGTGTGACAGCGGGAAGGCGGCTTGCCAGTGTGTTGTCTCGAAAACAAACGCGTTTGTCCACACGATCACCATCACCAATATGCTAATATCATTGGGCCCCATTGCCTAGTGCCCTTCCCGTCCTGCAGATACGGGGATCTGCTGTTTATATACGCGACTAACAATTTGGTGAACCAGCCTTATTACACATTGCCGCCATCTCGCTGCTTTCCTTCGTTTTCCCAGTCTTCATCCCTGATTTCAGCCTCGTCGTGTAAGAGTCGTTCCGCGCGTCACACGTACTCACTGTTCGACATGCTGCTGTTTTCACCGCCACGATGCGACGCTCTTCTCAATCACGGATCAGCAAAACAAACGGGCTCAATGTTTAGGCGTTTCTCGGTTCCGCTCTGGCCATCTACCCCAACTGCCTCCATTCCTCTCTCACCACGCGCACCCAAGCAGAAGACTGTCCGTCCCTCACCACCACCACGGAAAGGACACCAAATGCCAAAAGAAAAGTCTACCACCGACATGTCACACCAGCCCGGCACTCCGCGATCGTCTGCCTTTTCACCTACGCTCGGAAGCATTCCAGAAGTCTTCGAATACGAAGCTCTCGACGCGAAATTCGGTCCTGTCTCACTCAACGACGCGCCAGAGACACCAGATGTTTTCTTACCCGAGGCGTCGAGCATGTGCCCACCCACGCTTACCCGAGCGTCATCCTGGCCGGCAATTATCCAGTCGCCTTCTCGAAGAGTCGCATCGCCTTTCGCGGTATCAAAGGCACTGCGCAGCATCCTTGAAGCCGATCGGGCGCGACGAAGGCGAATTATGAAAGCTTACCTGAAAGCTATTGTTTTCCTCAAGTACTTGTGGCGCGCTAACGAGCGTTACGGCAACGTCATGGTTACGACTGGCATGTATATGCAACGATGACCGCGGTATGAAAAAGTTGGAATTGATTGGAATTTTGGCATGGAAATGACGCAACTGACACGACATCAATGTATTATGATTATGGATTTATGGTTTATGAGGACGCGATTGCATGGCCTTGACGGATGGATAGCCGCTGGCGTTTGCATATGGACGGCGTTCAATACCTGGGTGAGCGTTGCTATCACGGTTACTTTAATCTCGGCTGGTATTAGCCAGCCTTTTGACATTCTGGTCAAGCAACTGTTGGTACACAATAATGTACTGTATCCAATGGAGCATTTGGAAAGAGTTTACACATTGTGCCTTTTATCTTCTCCACGCTGCTCAGTGTCTTTAACTTGATTTACAGCAACAGGGCCGATTGCGAAGATCAGTAGGGCAGGGTCGGATTTCCCCACCACATTTCCTCCACATTCCGAAACCGGACTTAGATTTGGACCGCACATCTGAGGTATGTCAGTGACCCCTCTCAATTTTCAGTATATATATCAATAGTAGATAACCATTTGTGTCGAATTATCTGACTAGAACCAGCAAACCGGACAATGCATATACTTGGTCTCGTAAACGGCACACCGTCTGGAAACTCAGAGATCCTACTCAAAGCTGCTTTGACAGCAGCTACCGAGTCTGACTCTACCATCACAACATCATGGATACATGTTCCTTCCATCTCCATACCGACCAATCCAGTACCTCTGGATAGTCCTGTTGGCTTCGACCTTGCTTCAAAGCTCAATGTCGCCTCTAACAATGCGCCCGACGATCGAGCTGCTGTCCGCGAAGCTATCCTGGACGCTGATGCAATCATTGTTTCTACACCTACGTACAGCCACCAACCTCCAGGAACATTGAAGCTCCTCATGGACCGAATTGGTGGGCCGTCCCTTGACGTTACATTTGGCAAAACATTCAACCCCGGCAAACTTGACCCACGACTAACAAAACCGCGAGTATTGGGCTTTATCGCAGTGGGAGGGTCTTCAACACCAGATCAGTTTACCATGGCTTTGCCCACTCTGCACTTGCTGTTTTATGGTCTGCATGCCAAGATTGTAGATCAATTCATCGGCCAGGACTTGGGACTATCCGGAGCAGTCTGTTTACATGATGACCTTATCGCACGGGCCAGGCGCATGGGACAGAATCTCGCAAGTGAATTGGGCAAACCGTACGACGAAGCAAGATATCTGGGCGACGAAGAAGTAGGCGCATGTCCGCATTGTCACCTCTCCAAGATCGAATTCCTGCCGGAGCATGGCAAGAACGCGATCGGGTGCACAACCTGTGGTACCAGAGGCGAATTGACTGTCAGCCAGGACGGCGGTATACTCCCGGTATGGGAGAAAGACTCGAAATGGAGTTGTCTGACTTGGGCGAGCAAGTTGCAGCATTCGTACGATATTGTTAGTTGGGCCAAGAAGTATGAGGCGAGGAAACCTGAAATCACAAAGGGCCAGGAAGAGTGGAAGAAGGTTGTTGTTCCACAAGTGACTCTGCCTAGTCAGCAGAGGGCAGTCCTTTGACAGACCGAAGGCGTGATGAATTGATAAAATACTGTTGTGTGCTTTGTGCCAAGTCGTACTATTCACTCACTTTACAGATACGTGGTCGGTTCACGACAACGATGCAGTTCACAGATGGTTTAAAGTGCTGAAATATCCTAGAAAGATCTTTCGAACACACTCGAAGCACAAGATTGGGAATTTTCTGAAAAGACTTCACTGTCCTGCTGATAGTAAGGGTAAGAGTACAGGCAACGATTTTCTATAGCGGTTTCGGTCTCACCTCGACACGCAGTATACAACGTCCTCTTAGAGTTTTCGAGATATCAGGCAGGCCTTGAAGAAAGATTCATAAACAGGCCGTCAGCAACTAATGACACACATTCACTTGTTGTGCACTTACATACATCCGCCGAAGATGAACTGCTTGAGCCATCGTAGCACTTTGCATTCCTCGTCCCTGGTATCGCTCGAGTGCGACGACAACGAGCCGCTGCCCGCTAGTCGTCTGGCTTCAACAGTGACTAGGTACACTCTTGGATCACCGCCTGATAGCCGTCCAATATCGAGATGTACCCAGTACACAGACGACTCATCAAATTCATCAGCCTTCATCCGAGCAAGGTCGACGTCTGTTTCTACAACCGGAACATCCATCGCCTCGTCTCCTTCTAGAAAGAGTAGACGCAAAGATTCCTTCATCGCGACACAACTAATTCCTTTGTTCAACAACGGTATGCCAATCCAACTACCTCAACGCCGTTTGTCTAGGAAACAAAGTGCCAAGGGTAGGCCTAAACGACCTACTGTGAGCACGAATTCGGTTAATTCCTCTTCTGCTCCAGAGCCACGTGTTGAAAGGGCAACAGCTTCGGCAACATCTACTCTAGGACCACAATTTGGTAGAGTAGGTGTTGGGATACGACCTGTGGTATCTGAGACGTCGCTAACGCCAGTAACACCAGCGGGAAATATCGGAAAACTGGATGGTAATAGCACCGCTTGCGAGGTTGAACTTAGTAGTGATTGTCAGAAGAAAGCGGAAGCGAGTATTTGGTATGTACCTAGGCATTAACGGAGAAGGTATAGCTTTCCGCTATTGTGGACAAAGCCACGCGCACAGCTAAGTAATAGTTTGTAAGGGGACAGTAAGACGTCTTTACATCTGCTGTAACTCTGCCAACCTCTCTTTCCAGAACTGTAATCTGGTCATATCAACCACCGCACTGTCTCCGCTCCCGTTATCCCTTACTCTTTCTGCCCAAACGTCTCCAGCAGCCATCTTCTGCTCGCCGGCCTCACACATCCTCTCTAGCTCCCCACCCGCGATCGAAAACCACAACGCAGCGGCGGGTAGATGCATCGCGGTGTTCTTGCCCAGCCGTGTGTTGGGACTATGTTCCAGTGCCATGGACAAAGTTATACGAGAGAGATTGATGTAACGGGCGAGTGATGGTAGAACCTGGGCATCAGGATTCCGTGCGATGACCGCGATCAGCTTGTTCATGTCCTTCCATTTAGCCGCCGCAACCTCTGGTGTTGTTGGATTACAATGGCTGTGAGTCCACAGCTCAGGTCCTACTTTCCAGTTACTCACGATGTTGTAAACGAGAAAGCAGCGAGTAACGTTCAATCTGACATACCTTGAAACCATTCCGTGATGTTCCAACCTAACATCGGTAACTCACTCCATAGCTGTTTTCCTTCCACAATGATTGGCGCCCCGGATGGTATCTCGTGCATCACGCCTCCGCCTTCGTCCCATACCTTGGGCTCGGGGCCTTCGTTGATGGCATCGGGCTGTTTGGCTAGTTCGACGAGGTAGGATACGAGGAGCTCTAGTGAGTCGAGACTAGTGTTTCGTGCGGCGGCGAAGAGGAAGAGGTCTATTAGACATGACAATCCGTGGGTTATGTCGTGTTCAGACTGAACTAGGTTTGCCGTCGCGGAAGCGGAGGCTGTCGGTGAGGTTCGAGAAGAGAGTACTTGGTCGAGAATGGCGATGAGTTGCGTGGCTACGTTGTTAGGCGGGTAATTGGCAAGTTGGTCTGCATGGCAGGCTTTTGCCCACTTGGTTACTAGGGAAGGTGTTGTCATGTTTGTGCCTGGTATCTCGCTGAAGCGAGAGAGAGTGAAGTCCTCGAGATGGATCTTAAAGAGTTGAAGAATTCGCCCTTTGGTAGCACACTGAAATAGCAGACATCGCTTCAAGGTGTCCGTGGCATCCGCTTCAGCCCTTCCTACGCCCTCGACTCTCCACCACAGAACCTAGTTGGCTGTCTACCCGCAATAATGTTACGTTTCTTCTATCAAAAGAAACGAACATTGGAGTATGCATGTATTCGATCTTTTCTCGATTTACTAAGATCGGGTGTATGTAGTCATAACATCGTCCCTTTGCCTACGTGCAGCCCGTATTCGCGTGACGTCATTCAAGGGCGCACATTCTGGCGCCATAAAGATTGCCATAGCCAAGCAATACAAGGTGCAAATTCTGAGGATATTTTGCTTTGCAGTATGCTCTGAGCTTTTGATGAGCTTGTCTTAGTAGAAGGCCGTATAGCCGATGAAAGTGGTCGGTTTCTTGCCTTGCGTAATGCATTATCACCGATTGGCTAGCGCCGCTATTTCCGAGTGCTTGGCTGGCCGAACATTCAACGCGTCGGGTGTCTCCAGCTTTCACTCGTATACCCCGCAAACCATCGAGCTTTATTGGGCGACCCGCCTTGTCGCAACGCAAGCGTGCTGTAAAGCCACTATATCCAACTTTCTACATCCAGAAGAAGGAGTTGATAGCATCTGGCGCTACTCGTCATAGAAGTTTCCCAGTCGCGTTACATCTTAGACCTCCGCCTTCGATTCTTATACAGCCGAGGATGAGCTGCTCAGAGGGGTATACCGAATGGCTACATGCTAGCGCGGCTGGTGCTAACACTTGCATATGCTATCCGGAAATCTACAAGTCCCTTACTTTTTGTAGCTAACGTCCAATGAATCCTTTTCTCGTACATCACTCCTCATGATGCGTGCCTTTGCGCGAGCCGTCTCGCGCCACCAGTACAGTGCTCATCGGCAGTCGATTAACCCAAGACAGCGGAGGAATTTCGCCTCAGTAAATGGGCCAAATGTCAAGAACTTGACGGTCATTGACCATCACTACGAGTGAGTAGCTTCCGATATATCAAGCCGCCTCTAGCCGACCCCATTTCAGTGCAATTGTTGTTGGAGCAGGTGGTGCGGGCCTTCGGGCTGCCGTAGGACTCACGGAAGCTGGACTCAAGACTGCATGCGTATCGAAACTCTTTCCTACCCGATCGCACACAGTCGCAGCACAGGGTGGAATAAATGCCGCGCTCGGCAACATGACAGAAGATGACTGGCGCTGGCACATGTACGATACAATAAAGGGTGAGGTAGAGGTACACCAAAGACATAGGGAATATATACTGATTCTGTTACCAGGGTCGGACTGGCTCGGTGACCAGGACGCCATCCATTATATGACGCGCGAAGCCGTCCCAGCGGTCGTTGAACTCGAGAACTATGGCATGCCGTTTAGTCGGACGAACGAAGGAACGATATATCAGCGAGCATTAGGTGGACAGTCATTGAAGTATGGCAAAGGTGGACAAGCCTACAGAACGGCATGTGCGGCAGATCGCACTGGGCATGCAATGCTCCATACACTCTATGGGCAGAGTCTGAAAGAAGGCGTGCAGTTCTTCATTGAGTGGTTTGCGCTGGACTTGATGATGAGCGAGGGCAAGTGCGTGGGCATAACGGCTATGAATATGGAGGACGGAACAACGCATAGGATATTCGCCAAAAATACGGTGCTGGCAACGGGGGGATACGGAAGAGCATACTTCAGTGCGACAAGCGCGCATACAAGCACTGGCGATGGTAGCGCGATGGTTTCGAGAGCAGGGCTACCGTTACAAGACATGGAGTTTGTGCAATTCCACCCTTCCGGCATCTACGGCGCAGGCGTACGTACACAACACGGACGATAGCATAACTTGCTTTGACTGACAACGAATTTAGGTCCTGATCACGGAAGGCGCTCGTGGCGAAGGCGGCTATCTCCTCAACAGCGAAGGCGAACGCTTCATGGAACGATATGCTCCCACTGCGAAAGATCTCGCGTCACGTGATGTCGTCTCACGCTCTATGAACCTCGAGATCCTAGAAGGCCGCGGCTGTGGACCAAACAAGGACCACATACATCTTCAATTATCGCATCTACCAAAGGACGTCATCATGGAAAGGTTGCCTGGAATCGCCGAAACAGCTGGTATATTTGCTGGCATCGATATAACAAGAGAGCCGATACCCGTATTACCAACAGTACATTACTGTATGGGCGGCATCCCAACCAACTACCATGGACAGGTACTAGATGTTGATGCGAAGAGTGGCAAAGAAGATGTTGTTGAAGGGTTGTATGCAGCTGGCGAGGCTGCTTGTGTAAGCGTACATGGCGCGAACCGATTAGGAGCAAATTCCTTGCTTGATATCGTGGTTTTCGTAAGTACTCAGAAAATATCTGACCAGTCATATATGCTGACATTCCCCTAGGGTCGAGCGACAGCACTACACATCTCTGCCAATCACTCGCCGTCAGAGGCACATCACCCAGCTCCTGACAATATCGGCCTCGATTCTATCAGCGAGATCAACACTTTCCTAGAGTCCAACGGCAGCACGCCAACATCCAGTCTTCGAAACTCCATGCAAAGCACCATGCAATCTACGACTTCTGTGTTTCGCACCCATAACTCCTTATCCAAAGGCAACACTCAACTCGGTGACATCGAGAACAAGTACACCACCGACCTACGCGTCACAGATCGGTCCTTGATCTGGAATTCCGACCTCATTGAGACACTCGAACTGCGAAATCTTCTTACCAATGCAAGTCAGACGAACAAAGCGGCATTGACAAGGACGGAGAGTAGAGGCGCGCACGCAAGAGACGACTTTAAAGAGAGAGATGATGAGGAGTGGATGAAACATAGTCTTACGTGGCAGAGTAATCTAGGGAAGGAGGTCAGGTTCGGAACGAGGGCGGTAAATATGGGGACGTTGGATGAGCAGGAGGCGGCGAGCGTGCCGCCTATGAAGAGATCGTACTAAGATGCTCACCACCGCTGTGTTCGGCAGCAACCTTTTTTAGGCAGACGCGGCGCCCCTTTCTCACCTTTAGCGTGTCGTCTTTCTATGACACGGTCAATTGTGACAGTGACGAACATGCACAAGACATAGAGTGCAGGTATCAATGTTGAGTTGGGACGATGAATGAGGCAAAGAACTAAACCAATTAGGAAATCATCTCCTCCATAGAAGTTCACCTTCACCATGGATTGACTCAAGTAGCCATCATTGCACGATCACTTCCAATAATGCTTGGCACTTGGATCTTATGTCGCGCGTCGCTTCTTGTTTTGCACTACCTACAGCCACCCACTCTCCCCATCATTTACTTCTTCAAAGGCATTACAGCTGACAGTCGACTTTGATCATCATGAATGTCTCACCGTCACCAGATCTTTACGGCAGGCTCTACGATCTCACATTGGACGTCATCAAGCAGCACGGACTAGACTTCGGCGCCAAATGTGCTGCGGTCAACACGACGTGAGTACGATGAAGAGGAAGGTTCAAGGCGAACACTAAGTCGTTTGTAGTGATCCAGCCATTCCCCCTTACTACTACCTCAAGAACTGCATTCTCGTAGCCCGCGCCCAAGCAGACTGGGACCTCAACGACCTCTACCGGCTCAACGCAGAACAAAAGTACGACAGCAGTTTCCACGACGCGATATTGAGGCCTGACGACGGCTCATTAAAAGTCTTACGTGAATTGCGCGGCGAGCTCGACGACCTCTATACGTCCCGAGAGGCTTCAGTGTCGGCTTCTGAATCAGTTGCTCCGCCGCTTCTTCTAGGCTGGATACCCTATCTGGATATTAGCTCTGGTAGGTGCTACTATTATAATCTTCTCACACTGGCTACGCAGTGGGAGTTTCCGTATAGCCTGGAGATGGTCCGTGGGACAGACAGGGAGCTTGGAGAAGAGGTCATGGTGAGTAGGATTGGTGATAAGGTTGAGGTCGAGGATGAGATGGATAACGAAGACGAGGATGAGGATGGAGACGTAGATGAAGATTACGACGAAGGGGATGACGACTACGGCGAAGACGACGATACCGAGGCTCTTACTCACCCTGTCCAACCTACATGCGATCGCGAGACCTTCATCCAGGATCAGTCCTCGAGCCTGGCCGTTGATCTGGATCTACTCACAGGTAAGTCCTTTTTTTCTTCGTCTTCCGCATGAGACTTGCATGAGCTTCGGACTCGAACGAGCCAGCGATTCACCAATGGTAATGTCTTCAACTTGCAGGGGTTCAACAAGTCAATTGGTACGGACGAGTCAGCTTCGGTTTGTGAGGACATGCTAGGTCTATTTGGACACGGAGGATGACAAAGGTGCATGGAGCCTTGCTCGATGCGGCTTTTAGTCTTTGCGTTCAGGCCTGGCGAGTTCTGTCTACTCTATCTTGGAAGCTTCAATTGAATCGTTCATTGACTGTTCAGGTCCTGACTGATCATTGGCATACACCCATTTCTTTCATTCTGTTATCCGCGATACCAAAACGCCCGGCAGGTATCCGATATGATTGCTAATAAGGACATGACCGAAACGAAAGCATCGTACACCCTCATACTCCTTGAATATCCTTTAGCGTCTAGAAAACCCTTTGTACACTACGAATTGTGATCGTACCCCTCACATTCAAACCCCGTCATCCCAAACCATCTAATCATCCCAGCATACCTTCAGCGCTACACATCGAGTTAGCAAATGTCATATCAAACAAGTACAAACAGAGTACTCGAGTTCAAAAAAACAAAACAAACTTACCACAAGGGAACGGAAAGTACATATCCTGATTCTCCGTCAAATAAGCATGATAGCTGTACTTCTCCTCGCCGGGACCCATCTTCTTCTGCACCTTGTGAATCTTGCCCTGCGGACCCAGCGCCGGCCTCAAATTCTTCAGTCGCGCAACTTCTCGCAGCATCGTCGTAAGCGTGATGCGCGTCATTGGCAGTCCGAGACATTGGTGCGGTCCGTATCCGAGGTGAATGTAGGAATCCAGCGGGCGGGTGATGTCGACTCCATCAGGGTTAGGGAAGATGGTAGAGTCGTGAGAGGCGGTGCGCAGATTTACAAAGACGGCGTCGCCGGGTTTGAGATCTGTCGTCTTTCCAGCCTCGGTGATGGAGGTTGGTTTGGCAACAGCGCGGATGACGCCTGTTTCGCCGTTCAACCTTCCGCCCTCCATGGTGTAGTGCATCAACTTCTCAAACGACTCCTCGCTGTCATCTTGAGCCAACCTCGAGATCTCAGCCCAATGTTTCTTGCCGGCGCCGAGAAGGTAGTACTCGATTGTCTGAGCGAAGAGTTGACCCTGGTTCGATACCATGCCTCCCGCCGTGCCGAGGATATGGCCCCAAGTCAAGGTCTCCGGCGACATTCCACTCTCTAACAACCGCTTAATCATATGCTTGCCATAGCTCTTCAGCACGGTTTCCTGCGGCCAGATGGTGGCCATGATACTGCTCAAGAAGCCTGAACTTGCAATCGCCTTGACATTCTTCTCGACGATGTTACCGAGTAGCTGCGTTGCCTTTCTTGCTTTGACATGCAGAGGGAAAGAAGAAGCAGGGTCTGCGTCGAAGAAGATGAGCGCAAAGACCGAAGACATAATAAGGTAGAGTTCGGCCTCCGTGAAGATACCGTGGGGTTGTGCGGCGGTCTTCAAAGGCAGCATGAAGAGTTCGGAACAGAAGTGGACATGCGCAAGGTTTCCGACAGAGCGGATGATGTCGACTTGGTTGAAATCAGCGATTTTGGCGCTCTTTTCCTTCAACAGTTCTCGCGTCTTGAGAGTGTAGTAGTTCCGTACTTCCTTGTCCCATTCAGAGATGTAGAGTGCTTTGCTGACCATTTGACGAGAGGCAGTGTTCTTGGGCCCGTCGCCGGCAAGCATGAAGTCGGCGGATGCGGGGCCCATGATGTATTCCATGGCCTTGCCCCAGACGACTTTGAAGTTTGTTTGATCCTTCATGATGTCGGTGGCCAGCTTGTACTCTTTGACGAACTGAGGGTGTGGTGTCGCTACTGGCTTGCTGAAGTCGTACAGATTGTCTTTCTTCAAGTCTTTCAGAGCGGTTTGCATGGCAGACGGGATAGTCAGTGGGTAGTGAGCGTAGATGCTGTTGTACTTGAAGTGCTGTGGGAAAGCGCGGAGGAAGAGCTTGTAGAACACACATCCGTTGTCGACGCCGAGATCGCTTTCAGCCTGACGGTAGCCCCAGTTGGTCAAGGTGCGTGGGTTGTAGTCGTGCGTGTAGAATCTGTCGCCACGGACCAGCGCGACGGCATCCGACAAAACAGCACGGGAGACGGTGTACGAAGGGCAGAGACCCGAACCAGGAGCCATGGGCTTCTTTGCGTCCTCGACGACGATACCTGGGTAGATCTCAACCTTGTCGGGGTGATCGTAGAGGTGCTTGAGTTGCTCTTGCACATATTTGTCTGACGTGATGTCTTCGAAAGTGTTATGTGGCTCTAGCTTGAAGTACTTCCGGAACTCGTTGAGCGATCCCAGATTCCATGTACGTGCTTGTTCGATACCCAGGACTTCAATAGCACGGAAGACGGCGGGAACCCTATTCGGTCCAAAGGAGTTGGCACAGTCTTCGATGCTCGATGTCAAGATGTCTACCAGGCCTTGGTCGGGTAATGTGCCGTTGTCACCTCGCTCCAGACCAGCGAACTTGCGCTTCGACGGATCAGGATCAGTCTTCTTGTAGACTTCATTCAACCGGCCAAGGAACTCATATTTGCCGACGGTTTTGGGGTCGCGACCTTCACCGAAGAGACCGTCCCACATCTCCTGCGTCCACTTCTCATCACGATCAGAGACTGTAGAGTGCCATCGGTATACGAGGTTGAACTCAGCAGAGACTTGGTTGCCAATGCCCATGGGTAGGTCTTTCACTTCGGCGCGGGGGTTCAGCTGCCAGTTGCTGTCAGTCCGGTTAAGATCGAGAATGGTGCGGACGTAGTCGATCAAGATGATGTTGACGTAAAGGCCGCAAGTAATGAGACGGCCGGTCTGGAACAGATCATTGTCGTACTTCTTCCATGCCGCATCATACTTTTCCTTTGTCTTCTTGTCGACTTCGACGTCACCGGTAGACTTTGGTACTTCATTCGAAGGCTTCGTGAAACGTCCTTGTTCGTTGATAGCCGCTAGGTTCTCGACCGTGTAGTTGTGGAAACGATTGAACATGATCAACATAGCACCAACGCCAGGAGGGAAGAACAACAGTCTTGCTTCCGAGAAGCAGTCAGGCTTGATCTTTCCATCGCGTCCAGTTCTCATCATGTCCTGTTCGGCCTGGTTACTGCCGTACAATGGTGATAGATCGAGGTATGAAGATGTCATCGAGATCGAGTAATCCTCGTGACTTGTGCGGAAGCAGTCGTGGATGATGATGGATGCCAGATAGAACAGCATACTTGAAATACGGTTTGGGTGCAGTTCAGCATGCTTCCTGGTCATGATACTGTCGAACACAACACCAGGATCTGGGCGGGCAGGAGTCTGCATCGTGTCTGGCTTGACAGTCCTGGCGTACGGTGTTCCTGCTGCGCCAACTTGCGGGTTTACTAGACTGTTATTCGATCCATCCGCGGCACGGTACTGGAACTTTGACCCAAGATATGACTGCGGCGGGTGCTGTAAGTCACCCCATAGCTGGGTCAGAAACTGACCCGTCACTGCCTCTCTTGTCTTTGACCCGTCAGGCAACGCAGCAGCGGTCCGGATAAGGCCCTCCATGAGGTATGTCTTGTCATCGGTATATCCACCAAGCATCTTCTCTTTCTGGATCTCCATCAAGCTCTGGATGTTCTCGATGCCAAGGTGAGACATGTCTCGCAGACCGCCTTCAATCTTCTTGTAAAGACTGGCCTTCTCTTCTGCTGCAATCTTGGAGCCATCACCAGTCTGGTCAGGAAGTGGAGCTGCAGCGGCGCCAATCAGAGCTGCGGCTGCTTTGAAAGATCCACCAATGGCGTTTCTCATAGTACTGAGTTCGGATGGGTCAGCTGGTTTGGGAGGCTCAGCTCCTGTGCGGGTATCAACATGGGAATCCCATGCCGCTTTCGCCTCTGCAGCTAGACCGGACATGTTGATGGATGTGCTGGATGTTTGCGTTAGTGACGTTTCTAGATCTGGGTCTGTTCCTCCGCTCGAAGCAAGACGACGATCCTTTTGGTGGGTCATATCTCAGATTTCTTTGCTCGAAAATACGTGTATGACTGGCGAATTGCACAGGAAACGACGATAACGCCGAAGAGAGATATTGGACTAGGGTTGTAAGGAGAGATGTGATGCAATGGTACTTACATGGAATTGACTCTCTTCTGTGTGGGGCTTCCTTCCACTACCGGTACAATCAGTCGTAAGTGATTTCCGCTTTCAGACTTTTGCAGTCAGAATCCAGATACCACGCGACCTCACAAGCTCCGAGAATCCGCGATAATAGACAAGATATACAGCAGGCGAGCTTGCGATGTCTAATCTTGTAAGTATATGTAGGTAAGCCACCAAAAAAAAGCAGCGAGGGGTATATGTGCAACAACGATCGAACGCTAAAGAAGAACCAAGTTGTTCACACGGCAAGTAGGGAGGCTTGAGACAATGGGTTTGTCGCACAATCGGTCAGCCTCAGTCTTCTTATACCCTCCACATCATTATTCTGATAGGATGCATTCGTAATTGCGGCTGAAGGATAGTCTACGGCGATGCAATCCCTCTAGTTCTCACCGGCACCGGGAACGTCAACAGCTGAGAGGTCCCTCCCCCATTCCAAGCCGTGGCCCGCTGTACTAGATGCAGTAAATGGCCAATTGAAATGCATGCAATTAGCCCATTCGGCAGGTGAAGTTGAGCTAGGCTAGGCTGATCGCGAACGGCTGGGCTGAGTCGTTTGGCTGACCGCCGATATGCGTGCTGGTAGGCAGGAATCCGAGGTGCGCTGCAAGAATTAGCGGGCCCGCAAGTGTCGTCTCAGCCTCGGTCGCAGCCTTTTTGCAGGCAGCGGCCCTCGATGCATCTTGCTTCAGCCTCACTGGATCAAAACTGTCGGTGAGCTTCTTTTTCTGACATGGTGGGTAGGTAGTGAGAGGACAGGCCATCCGGCTGCAGACTTGGAGTAATTGCAATCGGATCGTCACTAGATGATGGCGAATAGAAGAAAAACCGAAGGAGAGAGGACAGGTGGGTGTTGTCCTTCCCACGCTTATGCAGGGTCTAAGTCGGTGTTCCCCGGGGCGATATGGGAGTGGCCGCTGCGGGCAGATGCAATAAGCCTCAAATCGAAAAAGCAAAGATGGGGTTACGTATGATGGATAGTGGTACAGAAGGCTACAGCCAAGCACATTTCCATCGTCACGAGGTTTGTCAAGTCGGAATTGGGATGTACAAAGGATGCTGATGAGCAACATGACCTGGGCATCCGCGAACGTAGTCACACACACACACACATACGCATTCGTCACCACGACGCCCTTCAGCATACGGACGATGGGATGTATTAGTGTAAGGTTAGTACCTATAGGCATCGACGCGCTAGATACGGGTACCTGCGGAGGTGCTACCGTTCTGAGCCCGGTGTGACAGCCCTCACGTCCTCATCCTTCGAGTGCGCCTCGCCGTAACCCTGGTTCAATCCCACCGCCATCCGCACACCATCCCTCTTTCATCATTGGCTTGTGCCCACGAACACCAAGCATTCACCAGGCGCCAATCTTGCTGGTAGCCCCACGCCTGTCGCCTGACACCGTCATCCTACCAGGTATCTTCTACCAGATACCAGGCAGAATAGCGTACCTCTTCCTCTTGTATTTATCTCCAAACTCCTTGCGATACCTCTTCTCCTTCTTCCATGCCCAAACACCCATCTGTCCCACAGCCACGATGATGAAGAGAACGGTGCTCAAGCTCCAGTTGACCAGCGCCACGCCAATCCACGCCATTGCCTCGAACATGTAGTTGGGGCAGGTGACTAGATCGAAGCCCAGTCCCTTGGGAATACCGCGCTCAGTGCTGCCGGGGCGGCGCAAGTTCTTGAGCGTCAAATGCGTGCTGTAGTTGCAAACCTCGCCAATGGCAAACAGGGCCACACCAAGGTATGTGAGAAGCGGGTTGGAAGGTCTAGCAGCCGGGCTGTTGGGACCGTAGCTCCAGTATGCCAGGTTCAGACCCGAAAGGAGCCAGTAGTAGCCAGAGTTCTTGTAGATGTTCATTATAGGCATTGTGGCCGACGAGAAGCGGTGGACGAAGAGAGTTTCGAACTCGCGCTTAGCAAAGTGGGCGACGCACATGAGGAAGGTGAGCTTCTGGAGCTGCGACGGAGGAGCTGAGGTGCCGTAGATGAGGGAGCGGCCGAAGTAGATGAGCGGGTGGATGAGGAGGGGTCCGAGGTACTCGACGATGAAGACGGTGCGCCATGAGATCTGGGGACCTGGGAGACAGTCAGTCGTCTGTTGGTGAAGAGGTAGAGAGTAGCATACCTAGATCCTTAACATCCACAGCACTCTTGTTCCGCAGGCCCGTGTCGTGAACCTTCACGTCTCGCACATTGTTGATTGGCGATCCGTCGCTGCCCTTGGTGACCCTCAATCGGTGGATTGAGAACCTGGAGGCCTTTGCGATTTCTTCGAAGATCTGGGCGGCCGAGGCATCCGCAGAGACGGTGATGGTCTCGGGGAGGTTCTTAATCGGACGGCCTGTGGAGGGGTTAACAAACGAACAAAAGCCAGGATGCACTCAATCGGACCGAAGCCGACTCAATGGGTCATGGAACAAGCATACCACGAGGGCGCACGACGAGTGTGAGGTCGGACATTGTTGCGTGCTGCGACAGCGTGTGCTGTGTGTGGACATTTAGCAAGATGGTATTCGGAGCGGCAGCCTCGGCCTCCCGTTCAGGCTAGGCTCAAAGGGTTCAGCCACTTCGCCGTTAGGGGAAACCATGCGAGTGAGATTGACCACACGTGTGTAAGATCATGAATCAAAGCCTTCGACGTCAGACGCCCGTCTAGAGCAGGCCATGTGGTCGCCACTATCTATACGTGTTCGGCACATGCATCTCCACACGCGCCTTCATACCCTTCAGCCCAACTGCACCACAACCTGCCATGCAACTTCTGGCCCCATGCACGCAACCATCTCACCAATAACACCCCTAATCGACTTTGAATTCCTCAGCTCGCTGCCGTCCCAAGAGACCAGGTCCTATACGCAGTCAATACAGAGTAAGCGTTTCATGTAAGCAGCTTACTCACCTGAGCTTCCGCCATCCTCCCACCAACGCGAATAGGCATCGTGGCCAGGTCGAGTTGCTGTTCAATCTCTTCAGCAGTCATAAGGCCCGGCACCTTGAGTTCAAACAACGACACGCCCTTGTTGACAGCCTTGCCAGCCTCAGCAGCTGTCGGATAGGGATAATCGGAGTAATCATCTTGCTCTCCATCGATGCCCATCTCCTTCCTGCGACGCTCCCTAGACATGGAGACATATGGCTTCTTATCAAGCAGAGCGCGCATTTCGCCTTCGAGCGGGTGCCACTCGTATGTTTCGGGATCGAGAACATGCTGAGTCTTGTAATCGCCCTTGTACTTCATCTTGACGCAAGAATGGATGTAGTATCCCATATAGTAGTACTGATAGCCGCCCTCAAGCGCCAGCGCGGCTTCTCGTAGCGCACTCAACTTTCCGAACTGCCACTGTTCATAGTCGGAATGGTAGAGCATGTAGACGCCGCTAACGCAGTGGGGTAGCAGATCGAGTATACCCATCGCAATGAGCCGTCCATCAAGCCGGTAGCATTGGTGGTACGATCCGAGCAGCTGCTCTTTGCCCTCGACGGTCCTGGTAGTCTGCTTCAACGGCGAATCGCACAGAAACCGTTTGAAGCCTGCTTGAGAGATCTCGTGGGGTTTCTCTTTGTGCACGTTCTGCTGGTAGTTTTTGAACAACTCATACTTTTCGAGCGTGAACGCTGCTGGCTCCAGTGTTACCTCAAAGCGGTGTGCGGGCTCCGGCGGTCGTTTGACATTGTCATATTCGGTCTTGTGAATCTCACGAGTGAGATCAAATGTGTTTTTGAACCGAGCTTTCTCCCTGGCGATGGTCAGCCTAGTAACAACTCTGCCGTATGGCGACGCACTCTTTGGATATCGGGTAGAGTCTGGAAGCCTCTTTCATATAAGACTCCCCTAGCACATGGTCATTCCAGTGGTTGACGGCTTTTCTTTGATCCTTCGAGGGCTTGAAGGAGACTACGGGTAGACTAGTCTCGGGTAAGTCTCTAGCAGGATGTTACTGCAAGCCTGCTTACCGAATCGTGTAATGTGGACAGCAGTGTCGCAGCACATCCGGCTTGTAAAAGATGGTACCAGATCTAGAAGCCACTGTCAGCTGCTATTGTAGGCATAGCGCTGTATGTAATGTGCTCTGCATGAGTGGGTCGTACCTTCTCCAACCGCGGTCCACGAGGATTTGGTAGACCTCAACGGTCAAGCTTTTCGACGAGAAGTAGTAACTCGCCCCTAATCAAGTAAGGTCAGTCGGTGCTCTCGGCTCGCAGCCTCATTCCGATTTCCCCCGCTCAAGCTCACCAGACAGCTCATGATCGAGATGGAGATGCACTGTGATGCAATCAATCTCAAGAATCTAGATCTGCATCAAACAACGCCTGCCGACGTGTATACGAGCCGACATAGACGATGCTTGGCGGTGATGCATCGCTTGGGGGCATGGGCAGGGACGGGCAAGATTCCAAGGTTCCATGCGACGCGGGGCTGCACGTGAGGCAGGTAACCTTAACGGAACATCAAATGCAGGCGAGAAAAGCGCCGGCTGCAACACTGACGGCCATTGACGCCCATTGTTCGTGTGAGATGGCTTGACCGCTCTGACAGCGGCATGCAGGCATGACGATCCGTCCATGACCGAATAGGGATGACTATGAAAATCCACGTACGAGAGTTGGCGGTTCTACTGCCATTCGATGCGTCTTTGCAGTACCCGCACGACTCACTACTGTAGCCTGGAAATGACCGTTAGCAAGTCGTTGATAGCCAGGGTCTGAGATGGGAGGTCCGTATTGCTGGGAGCTTGAGAGATAGTTCATGTCCAGCCAGACAGGCACGAGCCGGAACCCAGGGAAATGGTTGGAGCAGAACATACCGAAAGGCGTCACACTGGACTGCATGAGGGCAGCATAAGCGTGGGAGCTGGTGGGGGTAGTGGTCCGAGGCGGATTCGAGCGTCGTCGCGGCGGCGAGCGATGACAGGCGGTAGCAGAATGAATAATAGCTCCTTGTCCACGCCCGGTTGCTACAGATCAGGGCTCTTGGGACTGTCGGGGTCGGTCAGGGCGGTCAGGGCGTGGATGGCAATGATGTTCTGGCGGAGACGGGCGATCGGTCGCGGGGTCAAGACACACAATAGCAATGCAAAGGTTGTTGTATCACAGCGTGCAGGGCGCGAACCAGAGACTCTGATCAGCGTCTACACGGGGGCAATTGCTCGTTTTCTAGTGGGCAATTCGCCGTTTAAATGCCTGTACGTCATCCAGAGGGCAGGCAGCAGAGAGGCTGCAAGCGGCGCGCTGGTCTCGCGTGCCCCGCCGGCTCCCTATGCAGCGCATTGGAGCTGCGAGCTGGGACCGTAGACGACCTGTCTCGTGCGCCGATAGGTGAAGCCAGTGCCTTGTCTGGCTGCCGTTGATTGCAGTTTTGTGCAGCTCTGTGCAGACACCCCGGACAAAGCTCCTCTTGCAGGCGGGCCTTGGCGACAGGCGTGACGCTCCGCGAGCCCTTAGTTTCCACGTAAAAAGTCCCTGACCCGAACCACCTACTAAAACATCCATCCACCATGCCGAACTTCTTTGCTGCTCGCAGGCTCCTTCAACATCCTCAGCCCCGTCATCCGCGGGACTGAGCCTTGCTCAGCCCTTTTGCCTACCACACCTTCACCCTTCACACTTGACACTACTACTTCCCCCGTGAAGCCACACACACACACACACACACACACACTCCCACAGACCCTCCTGAGCCACACTTTCGCTGTTTGCTCGGCTCCATTCCACTTCACCGCCTGGCTCGCCTCTGCTCTTCCGACCCAGCCTATTGTTGAGGCCTGCTGCCGTCGCGTCGAGCGAGTCGCATACAAGCGGTGCCACGCATATCTCCGCGCCTTCCCTTGTCGATATTCCGACATGGCCGCTACCCAGCAGCTGTCGATGCAGTCGCGCACTGGTCGCGTGAACCAACGTAAGTCTGCTCACGAGACCCCCACAACTCACATCGAAAAATTGAATCCCTTCCGCGAATCCCCCCAGACTCACCGCTTTAACTTTCGGCTGATTGGCGGCAGGCTATGGGTCCCAAGGCGAGCGGCTAGTCGCCGGTGTTGTCCCGCTTTCCGCCGACAAGTACTACGTCCTCCTCATCCAGTCCACCAAGCGAAACGGCTGGGTGCTCCCAAAAGGCGGCTGGGAGACGGACGAGGCAACGGCCCAAGACGCCGCCAAACGCGAAGCCTGGGAAGAGGCTGGCATAATATGCAAGATCAACTACGACCTTGGCCTCATCCCTGAGAAGCGAAGACCCGACCAACTCACCTCCCAGGCCCCAAAGGCCTCGTACCACTTCTTCGAGGCGACCGTTGAGAAGCAAGAGGCCCAATGGCCGGAGCAGCACAAGCGGAATCGAAATTGGTTCAGCTATACCCAGGCGCGACAGGCCTTGGCGGAACGGCCCGAGTTGCTCGACGCGCTGGACCGGTGTACCATGCATCGATCATAGATGGTATACGGGCGCCTGTAGGTGCGCAAAGTCGCACACAGCCACCACGAGGAATCCTGGACGCATGTTCCAGGCCTCTAGCAGACGTTCGTGTCTTTTCTTCTTCTTCTAATACTGCATCTATACGGCATCTCAAAAGCGTCGGGGGAAATCATAGACATTTGGCATTGTACTGTCTACTCTACATTTGGCGTTGTGGTCGCTTTTCGAAAGGTAGAACGATGCATTCCCGCTCTTGGGCTACAAGAGCGCCGGACCAGTTTGGTTCGCAAACAATGCAATTTGGCTTTGCCAAGCTACAATCTCCGCTCTATTGGTGCGGTCTTCTTTCCCAGTTCCTGCTCCTGAAGCAATGTATGATGTTTTCCGTCAACGCTGCCCAGTGCCGATCAACAGTTGGTCACATAACGAGGCCGAGTCTGCCGCTTGCTATCTACGCAGCCATTAGACCTATGCGACTGCATGCAGATCGGAGATGATCGAGTGGTGCAACATCTGGAAAGTATGCCTCAAGGACTGCAACGCCTGAACAGACAGAAAGTACCGCCATGAGCACGCTCGCACTACGGACATTGTGTGAAGATGCTTGCATTAGTTTATGAGAAACTCGCTCATCCAATTATGCATACTTTAGTCCTTTCGACATTAGAGGCGACATCATTACAGCAGCACTAAAAACCCCCTTAATCTAACATCAATCATCTGCGAGTTCAGCATCACGCATCATTCATATCTCATCATATTCCCCTATCCCCTTGCCATCAAAATGCCGTCCTCCCCGTCTTAACACTCTTCAACACCCCCTCATCAGCCAACCTCTCAATCATGTTGTAAAGCACAAAATCACACCCCCGCTTCACCACAAGATTGATCGTCACAGGGACCATTTCCTCATGGAACGTAACATTACTCTGATACGCCACCTGCCCAATCGGCACCGTAAAATCCGCACACCCAAAAATCGGACAGATACCCGCCCCTGTTATCTTCGCCGTTGGCGGTGTAACAGCTAAATACGACGCATCCGGCGAGTCATTGAGTTCCTTTTCGCGAAACGAAGGGAGACCGCCTGTGCCAATGTCGTAGAGCATAACCGACTCGGAGCAGGATTCTGGAGTCGAGTATTGCAATTCGCGCTCGTACCATTCTACAGCTATGTTCTTGGTGACGAGGGCGGCGTCGTAAGTTGTCTGGTTTGTACGGCTTTCGTTGAAGTTTGCCCATCCCGGTCTCCGTGCGGGATCGATGGGAGGGAAGCGGCCGTCGAAGAGGGCGGCCCAGGCTGTTAGTAGGGGTTTTCCGACGACGGTCCATGCGGACCATGTGTTTATCACGTTGGTGGCGGCGTTCATGGTTGTAAAGTTGCTGGCGATGGGGTCGGAGAAGTTTTGTACGGTGGCGGTGAAGTTGAACTCTTTGACTGTCATGTTGAAGATTCGGGACATGTTTGCTATGAAGTCTTGGAGAATGGGTTCTGCGGCGGAGTTGTTGAGAGGCAGGTAGTCGGTGGGGTATAAGATTGTTTTGGGAAATGCGTCGGTGTCTGGGACGGAGAGGGGGGATAGTCCAGTTATCGACGCGTCTTGGTAGAGGGAGGGTGTGTACCAGGATTTTGCAAACTTGATCCATTTGTAAGGGTCGCGGGAGAAGACGCCGGCGGTGTCGGTTGCGGCTCCTAGGGGAATGACTCGTTCGAGGGATATCATGCCCTGGCTGGGTCGTTGGCCGTATACGCCAGCTACCGCGGCCGGCCGTCTCATGGAAGAACCCGTATCGCTTCCAATGGCGTAGTCTAGCCAGTCATACGCGGCGATGGAGCAGCCACCACCAGATGAAGAAGCTGAGCACGTGAGCCATCCATCTCCTCTCGGGTTGAACGGGTAGTGCTCATCTTGCCATTCCCAAGGGTTAGCACCAGAAGCAAACTGAGCGAGCTTCTGTTTGCCGACTACGACACCTCCGAGATCGAGAATCTGCTGTACTGAAGGTGCTGTGCCGTTCGAGATGGGTGTGATATAAGCCCATGCTTGACTGCCACCAGAGGTTTGTAGACCCTTGAGGTCATACAAGTCCTTGATCGCGACACGCTCGCCTGCGAGGGGTCTGTCATCATCCCAGTAGTAAATGCGTGAAGGGACAGGAATCATAGGGTCCCAAAATTTGGGCAGGAATACGCCGAGCGGGTTGTAGTTGTTTTCTCCATCATTCGCATCGTAGGCGCCAAAGAGGAACGTCCTGTAAGTATCTGGATAAAGTCGGTACACAGTCGCAAAGCTTACGGAGCCGTCTTTCACAGATGCGAGGTATGGGCCAGCGGGAATTTCAACGGGCGATTGAAGTACGACCTTGTTCGCTGAGGCATCTGCAGTCACCGAAGAGTCTACGAAAAGCATGCTCGTGTTGAGGGTTGCTAGATATTCCATGGCAGAAGCATCCAAGGTCGACTTGACGCTTGATGAGAGATATAGCCCGTCCAGGAAGTCATGGCTGAAGACGTCGTCACCCTCGAGGTACGACGATACGATGCTCGTCAGGACGTCCTTTGTGATAGTGGTCTCGTTGGTTTTGATGACAGTGATCGGAATTGACGTAGATGTGCCGGCAGTTGCGCAACCAGCACTCGCCTTCGGGTACTTGGTATTTGCCAAGTATGAGACATTCCCTAGCTCGAAGATTGTATCACTGTAGGGGTTTTCGAGAATGAAGTTGTAGGGATTTCTCTTAACAACGGGAGCGGCCAAGGCGGAGATAGACGCAAGAGATGCGGTCAGCAATCCGGAGAAGATGATTCGGCCCGCCATGGTGAGCGTATGTGAACGGCACACCTGCAAACTTCCAGATCGCCATTAGGACTCTTTTATACACTTGGGCAGTATTAAGGTTCCTGCTGGTATGATACCCAAGATAACCGGACATATAGAGATGCCTCTTTCGCTCATGGTAAGCAGTACCACGCTGTTGCCGAAGCTGCTAGTGACTTGGCAACATGCATCTCCACAATCGATGCCTAACCGGATGCAAATCGCCGACTCGTTGCTTATCGCATATCGGATGGTGTTCACAGTCATCGGTATGGCATTTGTTATCAATCTCTCCGATATGTGGAGGGACGTTGACTTGCGTGTCGGTTGAGATGCGCCGATTGCGCTTCCAGGTAGTTCCGAAAATGATGCGGATACCCCACGTGTAGTCACTATGAAGTTGAACATATGCTCCTATGCGTTTCTACTTCAATCATATGAAGATACAATCCGCAGCGAGATGCCATTGTCGTAAATGTGGTTATGTTGGTTCTTAGTTGAGCTTGTGTGATGTTCCACGAGACGTGAACGTGACTGCTCCACAATGACTTCATTCCGGAGAGCTATTTCTTTGATCCGTCAAGAATATTATCGTGCGTGACAACAAACAGCGCATTCTAACTTCAATATTATGAGCATGAATCAGGACCCTATATCCGTCTTCACAAGTCGCGAACCTGCTTTGAATGGCCCTGTTGCGGACCCGCTGACGGTCCTTCCGCCGGAGATCGTGCTCCGCATCCTCGATTTCACACCCGTCTCAGCCTTAGCATCGCTTACCGTTGTATCACGCGCCTGGCACCATTTCATCGACGAAACACATCAAGAAGCTATCTACTCTTCTCCAACTAAGACGTCGCAATCGCATACGACCTCTCAACCACCCCGCACCGCACGCGACTTCTCGTTTGTTGAAGATTACACCAGCTTCTCCAAGTTCTTCGAGAACCTCACATCATGGAAAGATCTATGCAAGCGACAAACGCTTCTTGCGCGCAACTGGGCCTCGTCGCAACCTGTCACGCAAGAGTCCATCCTGCAGGTCACCAATAATGCGGTATGGCGGTTCAAAGCCGACTTCAAACGTCGCCTGTTCATCTCGACATCGCATGCTGGCGGACTGAATGTAACTGATATGGACACTGGGGACATCTTATGGCAATTACCTTCGATTCTGGACTCGAATTCTGAGGATGCCGTCAGACCATATGCGCATCTGGAGTATCAAGATGGAATGGCCGTATTCGACCGTGAAGGAGACGCGGTAGAAGTCTGGCAAACAGATCAAGAAGGTGCAGCAAGAGGAGAGTTTCGACGCATAGCTGTTCTAGATCATGATTGTCAAACAAGAGGATTCCAGCTTTCTTATTGGACGTTGGTTGTGGTCTCAGTAGAGGGCCAGGGCTTCGTGTACGATATGAAGCAAAGCCCGCCAAGGCTGACTACGCACTTGAAGATTGAAGAAGACGCGGTAGGGCACCTCGATCAGAATGAGGATGTGGTTGTGTATTCCATGGGAGCACGTGGTTACCACGTGTACGACAAGAAGACTGGAGAGGCTCTGGGTACACTACAGCCATCGCAGTGTACAGAAACATACCACGTCGAACCCTTGCCACCTCTCGATAGACCTGGATCCAACGGGGCTTTGGCCGCGCTGAGTACCGGTCGCCCATCGAGACCAATCTTCCCTGCATCAAATCCCCGCAAAACCCGCTTGAAGCCTGTTCAACTCAATAAAGGCCCTCTTCCCATCCAGAACGGAAGAGATACCAGCGAGGACGAATGGGGTGCTGGCATGCTAGATCGCGACAGCAACCTTTTCGTGGGCTTCTCCCGGCTTGGCTGTATCTTCGTGTGCTCCGACTTCCGCAAGGCACTTGAAGACGGGGCCAAAAACCTGGCACGTTATAGTCAGATCCTACAGTGTGACTCTGACGGGTCAAGCTTCGACCTCGGTGGTTGGCTATCTGTTCGCAACCATCGAATCATGTTTGAGATTATGAACAGAGCCTACGTCGTTGCGCTCGACAGCAGGAATCGCATCAGTGTCGAAGAGCAAGCCGCTGGGCGGGCATCCTCATACTGTTACCTCAATAGTTCTGCGCCGCAACTCGCGTGTCCAATTAGCTTCATGGCACTTTGCGACGATTGTATCATGTCGACTTATGCGGTAATGAACAGGCCCCCGAACAGAATATATAAGAGCTAACAGCAGGCAGACACTGGGTGAAAGGCGTGATGGAACGACCGCGAGGAACATTCGTCTCTTCCCAACAAAGACGATTCGCATCATCAGCCTTGCGCCCAACCTCGAGGGAGAAGATAGGGTAATGGGGGGCGTGGAGGACCCAACATCTGCAGGGAGAGTGGATCCCACGGACTCATCTCAGGATCCAATGTTGCGGTTGATCTCAATGATTCAAACAGCTGATGAAGAGGAACTCCCTGGTTGGTACAATGACGTGTACGATGACGATGAGTGGGTTGACGAATAGGCACCCCTCCTGATCCCCTGCGCTATAACGCTTCTGCAGTGGAGCAAAGCGAACATTAGAACGCTCTTGCTTCTGGAAACGTATTCAAAGGTCATACTGTCATCAATCAATATCGGTAAAAAAGAAATCTAATGTCTTCATGAACGCTTTTCTGGAGTATCTGGGAATTGGTGCTATACAGCACCGCTTCGATACATTCACCTTTTGGTTCAGCTAACGATACATCAACGTAGCTATTCGCGAGCACTCTCGTTGATGGCGGAATACAATTGAAGCTTCGGTTGCGACAGGGATCTGGTCACAACATCACCTAGAGCTCTGCGAAAGTGCTGTAAAGCTTTATTGGAAGATGTTGATCATAGTAGAACACACACTCGCTATGTTGGCACATGTTTGTGTCGAGAATGTCGTTTCTACCGCACTGCCATATCTGGCATGCGTAGCACTAGGCTTGCGACTATTGCGCGATCGCATATGCACAAAACACTGACAGTCCCTGCGCATAGGTCGTTTTGATAGCGTCAGGTATGGATGTATTCTTTACCAGTGTCAACTATTCGTATCTACTTCCTACTGATCGACGACAACAACCCCTCTTATTGAGTTACCTTACCGCCAGTCGTGTTGTGGATCCTTACACCCAGATCGTCCAGACAAAATGCAAAGTCCAGGTTGTTGTTCTCCATTACAGTAATCTCGAAAGCGGTGAGGTTTCTGATGGTATACCCGTACCTTTCGAAATCAACGTGGGCAACGGCGTGGTGATCAACGCCATGGAAGACCAGATCTAAATATGTCGTCTCGGTCTTGCCGTCTTGGATTTGCCAGAACTTATATCTGATAACCACGGGGTCCGAGGATCGTTTCTGACGTGGCTTGATGGAGAGGGATAAGAGATCAAACATGGGCGACGAGGTTTTGTCGTTGAGGTGCACTGCTCCGATCTTGATTTGAGGACGTTGGCCTTCGGGGTATGAAAAGCTGACTAAGGTGTTTGTGTGTGATGTTGCACAATCTCTATCCTTGTCATCAAGAAGGCTGCTGTCAGATACATTGACAACCGTCAGTCCCTCGAAGAGAAGACCGTCGTAAAGTTCAATAGCCGCTTGTCCGTCAGTCGTTGGAATGTCATCAAACTGGGTAGCACATCAGCGTGTTCTCATTGCATCCAAACATTCTACGAACATTCAACACGGTAGACCGGTCGTCCTTCGTCGAGAGTGGAGTCTGCCAGTTGAGGCGTTGGGCAGCAAGATGATCTGTGTTGAGCAGCAAATACGAGCTTGGACTGGTGTTATAACCGTAGGCAAACCATACGCGAGTCGAGATAAGCAACACTGCAGATAGTGTTTTGTACATAGTGATATCGCCGTGCGAGAAGATAGCTTCTGATGATTTTGGACGGTATTGTGGTTTGTTCAAAGTTGCGACAACGTCGGTAGAACGGGGCGATGGCAGTCCACGGATCATCTGTACCTAATCTGTATTGATGCAGCGCAGCCTAAAAGCCGGCCGAAATGACGACTCCTTCACTCATGCAGCCCTATAAAAGTCGACGCAACATACACAACTATTGAACAATGTTTGCCGAATCGTGTCGCCAATCGCTCTTCAGTGAGAGTTGGAGACGGCTTACGTCTCTTCTTGTGAGTATTCCTGATGTTCATGCCTCAGACATCGAGTATGCGACCTGAGGTAGTCGCCACGTAACTCATGTCATGTCAAGTCTCTAATCGGTAAAGTTGCGGGGTGCCGATTGGCTGTGATGCATGTGGAATAGCGCAGTGAATCCTGCAAAAATGGCCGAGGAATCTCGATGGATTGAGTTTACTATATTGGACAGTGATAGAACGACTGAACAAAAGTGAATACTATAATATATGTTATCTTGGGAGTCTTCAAGCAGTCGTGATGTTTTTGGTGGGGAAGAGGACGCAATCCTACTTCTATATGATTCTTTCCACATCATCCATCTTTTGTATGCACTTTCGGCCACCGACATATGTGGGTTCTTCTGACGGGTAAGGTGGCGAATCAGAAGCGGGGTTACTCTCATAAGGCCTCCTGCTGGTTGGCATAGCCTATCTCAGCCCCAGCTGCCTTGTTGCCTTCTTTATGATTCGCGAATCATCTCTGTTCTTTTCAGCCATACAAATCTATTCTACCAATAGTATGCGTCTGAACACCCATTCTTCTACCAATGGCATGCGTTTGAACACACATGAGTTATACGTTCCAAACATCATGTCGTTGGTCATCGCAATTCTTCTACTAAGCGTGGCTTCCATCGAAGCCTCGCCAATCCTACCTGTTCACAATGAACAATTAGGATACGATCGTGTACCTACGGACTCGAATCAACAGCAACTTGGATGGTCGCGACAAGATATCTTCACACTGGTCAGCGTCTGCGTAGCCATAGTTGGCATCTTTATTGGTGCCTTAGGCGCATCGCCCACATTACGCGTGTGGCTATGCAAGCCTTCCAGATGTAAGGCAATCCCGTCTTGCGCACCATTTCGAGATTTGAGCAATATTGACCCCCAAACCTAGATTGCGCGATCGCAGTACGGCGCAGGAAGTCAAGAAGAGAAGACAATGTTAGACGGCAATTGCAAGAAGAATACGACGAGTACCTTAGCTTTCGCGAATTTCGCGCGATGAGGAGCAGCTGGCGATAGCAGCTGAATATCATGCCTGTAGACCAAGGCGCATATTGATGTTACCGGCTTGAACTCACATAAGGGTATTCGTGTTTGGCAGAAATCTGGGTGAAGCGCTATCTCCGTAGTAAGAAAGGTAAATGGAATAGTTGTCGAAAACTCTGTAGATAGAACAATTTACCTCTCTATATCTGAGAGCATCTGTAGCGCTTCTTTCCGAAGTGATTTCGTGTCTCAGAGGTGACATATAAGAACCAAAATGCTGAGGTAGAGATGTGGATTGGACCCAGTGGACGAAGAAGACAAGAACACCTAGCACTCGCACGCTCGATGAGTGTCCGTTCCAGGATAATATCGACGCCTATGATGGTCCCTACTGTACGAGGAGCGGTAAGAGTTCGATGGAAAGGGAGACTATGATCTGGATAGCCCGGATTGACTAGGCTATGGCATTTCGCAAGATAGCACTGAGTATCCTTCATGCGAAGCCCAGCCTGATGCTATACGAACATGGTAGAGCACGCTAGATGGTCCCGATCCTTGCATCATTTCCGACCTGGTCGTTGGTGGTAGACATCAACCTGCACCCACGCTAAAATGAGGTTCTGCTGATGCTCAGTATTCAAAGGCGTCCATGCTTGCTGCGCATTCAACGAACGACACCTTCAACTCGTATCTACCCAGTCGTCTTCTGACTGCATAGAACACTCCCGTCGTCTTGTAATTTAGGAAGGTGGACACTGCTAAAGTACTTGCATCTACCTAGGTAGACATTGCTTTCCGACATGCTTCTCCAGCTTCTGCTTGTTGCCTTGACATACCGCATTGGTGATGCATACGCTCACCTAAACCAAGTTGTTTCGCCGCGGGGGTACCTAGGTAGTCCTAAACGAAACTGCGGGGAAGAGACGTGCTTGGCCCGCCGCTGGCATCATCGCTCCCACGCCCGTCGCGATGCCGCAGGTGAGTTCCCGTACACTAACGTTGAGGCTTATCAAATACAAATTACTTACTAAAAACTCAGCAATATACCTCATCAGGCACTATAGACGTTCGCCAGCTCCTCTTTCCTCGACCAACGACGTGAACGAAGATCAGATCACATACCTAACCACTACGCGTTCAAATCTGCTCCACAGAACAACGGCGCGTGTTGCTGCACACTCGTACACTCCCAACGGCTTCATAATGCTGAAGAGCTCAACTGACAATTTGCTTATGGCTGGGTGTAGCGCCCGGCACTACTGGCATAATGCGTGACAAGTCAGGGAACGAGTCTTAAGTGCCATGGGACGAAAGGGTGTATGATTAGGACACGCGTTTTGAGGGTCTTGTTTCTCAAGAGCGCTATCGTAGCACACCCTATCTTGAAGCATGCTCCTGGTCATGCGCTTCCATGGCGGTCTCTTATGTGTTCTGGTGTGCATTTAGCGACGTAGGGAGCTCGATGCCTAAGGCCAAATCAATGCTAACTGTGACGCGACTCGATTCCACCTGTTTTGATATATAATCGGTGCACAAGATCGTGGCAGTCGAAAGCGAACCAAGCCAGAGCCGGTACACAGTACAGTTCGATTTTCCTTCAATATAATGCCAAATTTGCCTGGCAACCCAAAAGACGCATGCTTTGCTAGGGTGCGTATTTCTTAGGCCCTTAAATGCACATGTTTTGCCAGGGTACGTGTTTTGTCGGGCCTTAGACTTGCATGAGCGTATTGTCAACGCCCTTGGCCCTAGTCAAAGAAGGGTAAGGTACAGGCTGTGGGTGTGAATCGTTCTTTGCCCTAGTCAAAGAAGAGTAAGGTACACGCCGAATGAGCAAAGGGGGACGGACGTACATGTCTTGGCTTGCCGCGTTAGTTGCGCGCACTCGCACCAGTCATGAGCATGCACACCAGTCGTGAGCATTCGCACTAGCCATGAGCAGTTAAAACCGGTCGCTGGCATGCGGTGGGTAGTAATAGCGGCCGCTCCAACCTGAATCTCCTTTTCGCTTCCACGCTCTTGGGTGCCGTCTCCTCCACGCGTTTCGGAAAGCATTACACCCCACAGCCTCCCTCAAAAGGTCGGTTCAGGTGTTTATGGATATAAGACGGCACGTCGTCCTATCTGCAGTGCTTTCAACAACTATTACGTTCATTGTTCTTCCCACTGAGACCGCGCTTTACACAGATATTTACTAAACACGAAGCATTATCGAAGACACCTTGAAACCATACCTACTCAGTGTGCTTCGTTACATGCATTTCCGTCGTCTTGAGCCCTAGCAACATAGAAACTAGCAAAGTGCCCACATCAAGATAACGGGTTTCGGCAACATGCTGCTCCGGCTTCTTCTCGTCACTTTTACATACAGCTTTAGTACTATACACGCTCACCCGATCCAAATTATTCTGCAACGAGAGCAGGTCAAACGGTCGACCATCCAATCACAAAGCCTGTCTGTCGAAGCGATCGTGGGAGTAATCGCAGTGGTCGTGGCCATTTTCGGAATAGCGCTTCCCTTCATCTGGCCCCACTTAAGATCGAGGCTAGATTCCCGCCGCCATTCTCGCTCCCGGTACCGCTCCACAAGTACGTCTTGCCCTATGATCGCACAAAATCTCCCAGGAAACTGACAAGCCCAGCAAACTCGAACGTCCTACTCGCTGATCACCCATGGCAGCACGCGATGCCACGTTCCTCGGTCGAATCTCATGCAGCCGCCGGCCTAGGCGAGACTGGAATCAGCCGACCACAACGCGCGCGATCCGATAACTGCGAACAACAGCGTGGGCTGATACGGCGCACTCTTACGTTTTGAGGGCATGGATATAATGTATACATACTCGGGCAGTTTGGGCCAGTGTCGAACGCAGCTGCTGGTGCAAGCGACAGGTGGACACCATCTGTAAGGAGGATTGGCTTGTATCTCAAGCTACGCGTCAGGCAGTCGCGAGTCACGACTCATTCGTGCTATCTTCGTGGACGATTTTCAGTCTTGATTACATTCCTTTGGCTCTGGCACATAGAGGTTTTCTATCTCATTTCATCTAGTATCTACCGAAGCATCGCACCAGTGCAAGCGAGTAATCTAAAGTCTTCTCACGTTCGAACACGACGATCTCTTTCAGACGCAGCTCACGAGTGCGATGACCTGGATGAGTCTTCGAGACTCGACCTCACGAAGCCTTCTCTCGTCTCTCAGCGAGAGTGTAGAATATGCTTCCATCGTAGATACCACGGATATCTTCCTTCATCATTCGGCCGTCCTCAGGCCACAGCATAATGTAGGTGGCAATCCCTGTAATCATTAGCAAGAACATTCATAGATAATGAAACTGGCTCGACTTACATTCAAAGAAGGCACCACCCCAACCAATTGGGTCAGCAATGCATCGTTGTCCTTTGAGCACATTGCTCACGTCCCAGATCGTGAGGTAGTCCCTACCTTCCGCGTATTTGGCGAAAATGTCTTCAAACCTCTGCGGCACAAAGCGCCCTTCGTGGTCATACGTCCCGGTGTCACTGCCATGCTTATCCCTGTGTACGTTTTTGAGGAAGATACCTTTTGAGATAGCGTACAAAGTCAGTGTATGTCTCACGTCGTTTGGAATTGGATACTCTTACGAAAGAATGGATCGGGCAGCCATCCAGAGCATGTCGGGTACGAAAAGTTGGAGTGGATAACAAATACCGCCACGATGGACAGGATGATACCGTAACCAAGCCGATAGAAGCCAACGAATGTATCCTGCGGCCAAAGGATGCCGTCGTGGTCGCGGTCAAAGAAGTCGCAATGTTGCTGTAGGACGGTTTGATGAGAGTGCTTCTCCTTCCAGCCTGGTGTGCCATCAGGAGATTCTGCTGATGGGGCGACATTTGCACGCGCGGTGCCTGCTCATGTCAGCAATGCAGCTGTGAGATATCTCATGAGCGAACACATACCTGTATGCTGGAGTTTTGAGCTTTCCGAGTTCACGAAAGGTTTTCTCTGCTCGGTGATGGGTACATTGGGGATTGAGACCACCACTCCATCGTCTCCATTTGTGAGACGCTCGGAATGCCTCATGATTTCTGACATGTTTCTATTGTCGGGCATGTTGTCGGTAACTGTAAGATCGTGTAGCTCAGAAGCGCAAACAAGAGGGCAAATGGGAGGAATCACAAATATAATCGTGTTGTTCCGCGCTTGGACATTTGCATGTGAAAGTTACTTAGGTACCGTCATGTTCCGCTATCATGACGTCACGCTAGTGGAAACAGCCTTATCCCAGTAATGGAAGTTTCAAAGTACGCTTAAGTATGTTATCATGCAATCGTCATCCCAAAAACAATATCTGAAGCAGGCCTCTGTGCTCGGAGCAGATTTCGCTGGTCAATGACCAAGCGCGTCGCTAGCCAGAGATCAGCGCAATCAACATCTGCAGCAACGGCTCGCGCCGCCGTTGTCCCTGCCAGCGAACCGGCGAACCAGCAACACCAAAAAGAGTGTCCGTCCTTCTATGCTGATAGTCCACCAACACAACAAGTTATTATATCGTTCTGGGCCCAAAGTTGATGTTCGATATCTGTGATATGCTACATGAACGCGCGCGCGCGTCGCGTTCTGCCTGCGTGTCCCTTCAAGTTGAGCTTCAACATCAATTTCAGCAGCTATGCTACCTGCTCCTACAACCAGCAGATCTGTGACTCCCTTGGAACCTCTTTCACCGAAGCACACATGCGCAGATATGGCTCTTCCCTCTACTCAGGACGTATGTCCTGCTGGCCACGGTTAGAAACACGCGGGGATTGTGCACCTTTTATCTGCCGGTTTTGTCGCGTTGCCACGAGCTTCTCCGGTTTTCAATCCGCCGCCCGTCAGGGAGCCGCCCGCCAGGAACTCTGCTTACGTTGGCAGGCGGCATCTTCGTCACCCCCACCCAGGAACAGGAGACACCTGAAGCGCTCACCATCACTCGTCTTTAAGTTCCTTGTGCATATTATAAATAATCCTGGGCCGAATCCAACCCCGACTGTCTTCAATATCCAAGAATGCGAGCTGTCCTCAAGATGTCCTGGTCTCTGATCCTGATGCTATTGAGCGATCACTTTATTCCTACGACCCACGCAGCCTTCATACCCATGCCACACCCCGTCAGGCGAGACATTGCTGCGGGTCAATCTGTCCAATCACACAAGCTGTCGACAGAGGCGTTACTGACGCTTATCGGCGTATGCGTGGCTGTCTTGGGCATAGCGCTCGCTCTTGTACAAACCTGGTCTAGCCTCAAAATGGGATGGGGAATGGGCAGATCTCGACGCTTCTATCTATACCAGCGCTCTCGTTCTCTCCATACGGGTATGTCTCTAGACATTGATTCAGAACCAATTTTCGGATGTTAACAGCTTATAGCTGGCTCTGCGATCACCCTTGTTGGCGCTTACGAGGATCCCGCTGTCCCTGTCCACCCGGCTGAGTCTTGGACCCACAGCTCGAACGGCGATGAGATACCACGACCGCAACGCGTCCAGTCGTGCTACACTGAGCAACAACGTGCACTGATGCGGCGCACACACATGTCTTGAGTAGGCTAAAAGAAGGGAACGATGTATAGGCCGTTAGGAGGAACTGTCAGAGACCTGCCAGTGGTACTAAGTCTTATCGCAGTATCGTTGGGAGCTTTTCGACGACGAGGCGAACGATCTATCGCACTCACAGTGTGACAGCATCGGATCTGTAGGCTGTTAGCTTAGCTGGGCCCCTCTCTTTCTTCCCCTACCCGTTTTCATCCTTTTGCCTCTTCAAAAATCCTTTCTCGCCGGTCCGCATATACAAAGATGGAGTTGCGTTTCGATGTCGCATTTCGAGCACGGAGGATGCTGATGGAGTATTAGCGCTATTTTGATGCTTTGATATTGGTATCAATTCCTTCGCAAGTCTGTCTTCTCTATACCCATATACACACTTAGATCAGCGCCAAATGATCGGCGTGATCTTTGTTGGAACACAGATTAGGTAGCATCTCGTCGTCCGGGAATATAACTGCCTTAATACACAGTTACCTGGAGACATTCACCACAGCGTTATATCTCTCCGTACCAAAGCCTGCCGTTTCCAGGGAGGCCGTCCTGCTTCTTCATCGAAAACCTGTTACTTGGTCGTAACGTTTCGAGCTTTAGAAAACTACTGCTTGTTCGAACCACTACTATGTCGGAAGAATTTAGTATTCAACTTGAATGGCTAGGACCCTTTGACTTGTATCTGTATAGCCGGGTTGAATGATTACCAATTATGGTGATCATTTCGCCAAGTCGCTATCTGCACGTGGTTTGTCATCTCAGCCTCGTACACTCCAGCCCCAACATCTTCAACGCAACAATCACACAAGGAAGTCGCGCGGTCTGGTCGAAGCTTCCTCTAACTTCCTCTTTGACATCACCTGTAGCCCTCGATACCTTACTTCCAACGGAATAAGATGCGTCTCCTTCGCAGGGAAGACGACGGCAGCTTCAGCCTCACCGAATTCATGGGTCTAGACACTCCACTCTACGCCATACTCTCGCACACTTGGGGCGCCGATAGCCAAGAAGTTACATACCAAGACATCCTGCAAAACACGGGTCATAACAAGAACGGTTACAAGAAGATACACTTTTGCGCGGATCAGGCTGAAGCAAACGACTTGGAGTATTTCTGGGTCGACACTTGCTGCAGGTAATTTGGAGCCATTGGTCGCAAACATGATGGCAACTAACCTTTGCATAGTACGTGTGATTGCTTTCATTGCAGAGAATACGCTTGACGTCGTTGCACGAAACTTTAAACTTGGCTAACGCATCAATCGATATCGCAGTCGATAAGTCAAGCAGTGCTGAGTTGACAGAGTCCATAAACTCCATGTACCAATGGTACAAGACAGCGGGGATTTGCTTTGTTCTTCTAGAAGATCTTGTTTCTGGACAACCACTGGACGCGTGTTTGACTTCCTGTCGTTGGTTTTCACGGGGGTGGACATTGCAAGAGTTGATCGCGCCGCATTATGTAGAATTTTTCAACCAGAGTCTGCAGTTTGTTGGGACTAAACGCGATCATGCCGAATTGATTTCGGCTACCACTAAGATTCCTCCTCGTATCTTACTGGAAGGCGTCGAGGAAAAGTCGATCTGCGTTGCCGCGAAGATGTCTTGGGCTGCTGGACGCCAGACAAAACGTAAAGAAGACGCGGCATACTGTCTGCTCGGACTGTTCAATGTTCATATGCCCTTGATCTACGGCGAGGGCGACCAAGCGTTTCAACGCTTGCAAGAGGAAATCGTTAAACGACACAACGACATAACTATTTTCGCTTGGAACCCTCTTGAAAAGGGACTCCACGACCGAGAATATCTTGGTCTCTTCGCTCCTTACCCCGCAAATTTTGCAGAGAGCTTCGCTATTCGCCCCTTCACCGATGTTTTCATCGAGTTCTCTGCCACGAACAAAGGTGTTCTGTTCACTAGCGAAATCCGCCTGCGTACCAAGTTTATAACGCAACCAATAATCGCCCATGTCGGTGTGTTTTACCTCTTTTGCCTTGGTAAAGATTCTCAATATGGTGGTAGTGAGAGACAAAGGCATACCGGCATTTACCTTCGCAAACTTGGGCCACGTTTATACTGTAGACTTGGTAACGTGGCGATGGCAAGTATTCCTTGGAAAACAATTCGGGGATTGAGCACACTCGACGTGACGGCAACACACATCCTGATTGATCCGACGGTTGCGATAACCAAAGTTCCCTTCCTTTACCGTATGAGTTCGGTACATGTCCCATGGCGCGGCCCCGTCCGAGTTGACAAAGCATACCCGACAACCCTATGGGATCATACAGACAGTCTTTACATGTCGGCGAGGTTCTATGGATGGACTTTACACCCCGTGGTACTAGCCCTATCTGTTCGCGTGTGCAACGTTCCGTTGGTACTGCTATGCGACTACAAAGTGGAACCACCAGTTTTGAAAGCATTTCAACCACTACAAAGACCGCGTGAAACTGCACTCATATTCCAAGAAAAGTATCGGGAGGATGGAGCGTCCTGGCAAGATCTGTTCCTCCAATCTCCCAGCTTGGAGACGCTGAACGATACAGTTTTTATCGATCAGGGAACCACGTCAATGCGGATTCGCTTCACCTTGGAGTCCAAGCATATACAAGTACTCTACAGGAAGATCACTGCCAAGAGTCTCACTTTCTCAATAGTACATGTTCCCACAGGCTTGGACAAACCATTGAGCCAAAGCAGACTTGAAACAGAACGTCTCGGTCTTGGAAGTTCTCCGACGCACATGGGATAGGTTACGTAGAGTTCGAATACTTGTTAGAATGAACTCGCTACAGGTCTTTCAAATGCTGACGGTTGTCGTTTCGTACTTCATACCTGCTGAGTAGACAAATAGGCTCGTAAGCCTTGGAAGGAATTGTCGCCTTTGCTGACTTCAGAATTGAGCATGTACCTTGGTAACGCCGAGCGAATGCCTAAGTAAAGATCTAATCAATCCAACTTCGGACATACCCATAAGTCCGGAGGTCATGAGCATATCCATAGCTATGACTTTGTAACTAAGGCTCCGCCGGGCGTAGTTTTCGCGGAAGATATAGCTGAGTCAGACCAAAGCAAACCTTGTGACCGAGTTTATCTTATACAAGCGGAATAGATTCCGCTAGCTAAGGTAGGATATTAGACTTACTGCTTGCTATCGACACGCTGCTGACATAACCAACTTCGGTCCTAGAGCCGGGCTGTCCAGCGTTCGCTTAGGACCACGTACGGCCGCACACGTGGAGATACACAATCATGTTTTGCAACTAAGTACCTTTCAGGAAAGAGTGACATGGGTGATGTGCATATTCAAGGCTGATCATTCATCCAGGGTCTTGAACTAGGAGGGATGGACCTTCTTGGCGACACTACTTACCTGTCTCGGCCCGATCATACCTACAAAGATCTGCGGTTCGGCCTTTCTCTCCTGGTCTTTGCGCTCGAATCCACATGAATCTCGTTGATGCAGTTTGGTAGACGCCATTTGTATCAAGTCGCTCTTTACCATGTCGCCATCACGGTGTGACAGGAAATCGAATCTCCAGAACAAGAAAGAACAAGATATTAGTGCATAAATGGGGGTTTGATCCATTCCTTGGACAGCGAAAAGATGACGAAGCGTCAAACGACCTTGCTAAGACATCTTCATACAGGGATCTATGACAAGAGTGACGGTGTTAAGGCGCACCAACATGAGGGCTCTAGCACAAGCATCCGGAGAGTCTCCAATCTCGACCCCGGTTTAGCTCAGGGTGTTATCCATGGGCCTCAGGGCTATGGGCCTCGCCGAGCATGGACCTTAGCCAAGTCAATAGCTGACATAATTTTGAGAGCGCATCTCGAGACACTTAAGTACGCTGCTGGCTACTGTGTTGCTCGAAACAACTACTCTATTAACAAAGAATAGCACTCTCTATCAGCCTACTATATTTTCCAAGATGTTCCTCGGATCATCAACCTTCTTGGCTGCTAGCATAGCACTGCTATCTCAAGCTACATCGGCAACATCCTTCGGTATCCCCTCTCGCCAGCAACAGGGCCTCTACAACTCTAAAGTCGTCTTTGAGGCACCTAACCCTACGTGGCTTGAAGGAATAGCAGTGCGATACAATGGTCAAATCCTCACTACGACCATTAGCGGGCCAATGTTGCTACAAGTCGACCCAAGCCAGAAGCGCGACTCAATCGTAGTCGCACAAATCCCTGGCGCCACGGGCACTTTGGGGATCACCGAGCTCGAAAAAGATGTGTTCTACCTCAGCGCGGGCGATATGAGTAACGTAACTGCCACGAGCTTGGTTTTCCCCAGCAAGATTTGGCAAGTGGATATGCGTCCTTTCCGCGTGAATCAGCAAGGAAATATCGCTCGGCCAGCAAAGATATCTTTGGTTGCGGATCTGACTAACACTACGTTTGTCAACACCTTGTCTCGACTTGGACCGAAGGACAACTCGGCAATACTCATCTCCGACTCCGGCGCTGGTCACATCCTTAGGCTAGACGTTCGCACTGGCATTTCTTCAGTGGTCATCAGCGATCCAACTATGCTATCGACCATACCTGGAGCAGCAGGTGTCACTGGAATCCATATTCACGGCTCCGAGCTATTCTACGCCAACTTCGCTGCGACGACCTTCTTCAAGATGCCCATCTCGCTTACCACTGGCATGCCGACCGGGCCAGCAACGCTCATCACGAATGGCACTCTTATCGACGATTTCACACTCTCCAGAGATGGCAAGAAGGCGTATGCGTGCACGAATCCTCGTGGTCAGTTGATCGAAATCGATATACCTGGTCAGACATTTCGCCCCGTTGCTGAAGGCCTGAATGCAACATCCGCTGCACTAGGTCGTGGTCGGTTTGATCGGAACAGTGTGTACTTTGTCAGTGGTGGTGGATTGGACTTTCCTCTTACAAATCCAGGCGTTTCTGGCGGAAGAGTTGTGAAGGTTGATCTTTAGATAGAAACCATTGTTGTATTCGAACCGCGGAGATCACACAGTTGTCAATACTGGCCGAAGCGTGCAGGCCCTTCAGCAGCTATCGTGTTTCGGAGTGGCGATCTGAATAGTATCTTGTAGTGAACATTGTATCCATAGCGATATATTGGGTGTCATGATCATGTGTACTAACACCCCGGTCAAAATCGAGGTAGAGGCTCTGATGTGGGTGATAGTGTCGTGTTGAGGAAAATGCTCAAAGTTGACTGTGGGATATGAATGCTGTGCGGAGTAGAGAGACCCTAACCGCTTGGTTGTTTGTCCGCCTGTGGTCATCTCAACGTATGCCAGATATATGTTGGCCTTGAATAGTGAAATGATATGATCTCAATCACTTTGCTTAACCTCCATCCAGGTTTCGGAGTATCTCGTTCGTTGCCTTTTTACACCCATATCAGCGACGCCATATCACAGCCCGTCAATGTGCAGCTCTGTTATATAATGCTTTCCACTCGTATTGAAACTACACTCCAAATGACAACATCCCTACAATCAACATTGTTCTACCCCTCCAAGTATTGACACCAGTTCCAGACTGCATTCCGTCAACGCCATGCTATCATAGCTGCACCGCAACGATCTTCCCACCTGCCTTCGCCTGGCCATCCGCTCCAAAGCCACCCATTGTCGTCAAGTAAAGAGTATTGCTGTCCTTCTTTGTTCTTCCAAATGCCGACGCTGTGGTGCCTGCCACAGAGTCACCTTCAGCAATAGTCGTAACGTTGCCATCAAGCGTAATGTGCTGAAGTTTGTCACCTTGTGGCGCCGCCAGTGGTTCAGAGACGTAAATACTGTCATCCTTTGCGATTGAGATATCATCCGGACCGGTGAGAGTAGAGTCGCGCACGGTCTCGAAAAAGCCGAAGGGTTTGCCGGTCGACGGGTGGACACGAACGCGGCCGGCGATAGCCTGGGCAGTGTTGGTGTAGTATACGTAGTCGTCATGAACCTTGATTCCGTTGGCACCGAGCTGCAGCCCGGGTGCGGAGAAGTTGGCCGCTAAGCTAGGGTCCTCCAGAACGACTCCCGTCTTTCCAGTTTTGATGTTGAATGCAGCGATGTTTCCATACCACGAGTCTGCCAAAAGCAGTGTTTCCTGGTTCAAAGTGGCCATACCATTGGGCATAGCCATATCAGGTAGTTCTGCCATCATGCTGACCTTCGTTGTCTTCTCCTTTTGGCTCAGATCAAGCTTCCATAGCGAGTATTTCTGTAAGGTTGGCCGGTATTCGGGTGCAGACCTCGAAACTATCACAGCAAATACATTCTTCTTGAATTCGGTGATGCCGAAAGCACCAGTCGCGTTTGGAAAGGTGGCGATGGTGGAGAATGTCGCTGGTGAGGTTTGTGGGTGAACAATGTGGACCTGAGCAACGCCGATGGTTGACACGAGGAGAGAGCCATTTTGCATGGCAGCGATATTTTCGAGCCACGTTCCATTAGAGAACTGGTGTACTGTCGACACATTCGCCGCAAGCGCCGAAGCCGTGAGGGTGGAGAGAGTGGAAAGATACTTCATTCTGGCGGTGAATTCGACGGTGGGTGGATGATTGAGGCCTTGATATAGTCAGACTGGGATAATTTTATGATGGGCGAGCCATCCTCTTACTTATACTTGTCTCGCCGGATGAGAAAAGGAAGCGTGCTTTTGTTTTCAGTCCGGTCGACCATGCATTGATTTTTGGGCCTTGGCGACGCTTGAACGTTTTCTTGCTACTTGCTTCATAATCTCACCAATATTTTGGATCAAACATGCTTGTTGATCTTGATACTTTGCCATAACTGTACTCTTCGTCCGCTTAGGAATCCGAGTTGTATGTTGAAGGAGGATGCCTTGGTACGCCTTGTCTCACGCATTCCTCCAAAACTCCAGCTGAGCTAACCTATAATGGAAACTTTTACTAGCGCTTCCTATAAGGATCTAGCACGTGGTGAGGTTGCTGAATAATGTCGCGGATTCAACTGAATGAGTACAGAGGGTATGGTGAATCGAGGCCCGCCCGCTGGGTGCCTGATCTGCCATATTGGAGGGTGTCTCGCGCTCTCGGCGTTCATCCAAACTCCGCGAAAAGACATCGCAATGATAACTGAAACGCGTTTCACTGAAGAGTGCGGTGCATGAGGGATAGAGTCAGGAGTCGGTTGTTGTGAAGTGTTGGGGACGCAGAGGCTAGAAGCGCGGACCGACAGCTTCGGCGGTGGCTTCGCTGGGGTCCACCGCTCATCTGCCGCCCGCGCTCCCCACTCGTCATTGCCGTGCAGAACTCAATCACTCACGACATGACTTTCTTTCACATGATCTCTAACGACCCAGACATATGACGAGAATTGTCGCGAGCGATTTCAGATGAAGTAATTCTTCAGGAGTACTCTGCCCGTCACATCGGGCAGTCCAAACCCCGCGCAGGCGCCGTGACCGAACATACCGGCGCAATTCCGTGACTTCAGCGCCATATTCTGCCAACCTTACGTGCACCAATGCGCAGGCAATAAACATGCGTAAGAAATAAAAACTTGCTGTGATACACACCTACTCTTAACCCGTGTCTCGACTCGAGAGTGACCTTTATGATACAGAGTTGGCGAAAGAAAGGGTATTCCTACATGAGTAGAGGCTGAAGTGCGATCCTTTCGAGCAACATAAGATATGCGATTTGCTAAAGGAGTGTAGTTTCTGAATTTAATAAGATGGGTCATCTAATGCAGATAGAATCAAGAACCAATTCTCTAAGCCATGAAAGGCTTCACCAGCTCCAAAGACTTCTCCCACAAAGCCCTCTCCTTCTCTTCATCATACGCATGAGGCGCATAACCAGGCTCATTCGACGCGGGATTGGCGTTGACTACACTAGAAATCTGGCAATCCTCGAGGTACTTCCCGCTTTGACCTTCCAAAGCCTTTGCAGTAGCTGCCCAGACTGTGGTTGCAGCACCTTGCTGCGGGCTTTTGAGCGCTTTGCCGATGTTAGGGTCCTTATCCCATGCCTCCATCGTATCCTTGTCGATGTGCGTCATGAGACCAGTGAAGATCAGACCAGGATGAACCGACCATGCGTTTACACCTTGGCTTGCGTATCGACGGTTGAGTTCGGTCGCACAGTAGATGTTGGATGTCTTGCTCTGGCCGTAGGCTGACCAAGGGTGGTATTCTCCCACGAGGTTGAGGTTATCCAGATGGATGCCGCCCATGCGATGGCCGGTGGATGCAAGTACAACAACCCTCGACTTCGAGTCTGACGTGCTCGACTTGACTAGAGTGGGAAGAAGAAGCTGGATTAAAAGGAAGTGAGCAAGATGGTTTGTGCCAAACTGGGTTTCAAAGCCGTCTTCGGTGCGTCCTTCTGGGCATGCCATTATACCAGCGTTTGCAATGAGGACGTTGAGACGATCATGCTGAGCCAGGAATGTGTCGGCACACTTGCGTACGCTGGCCAGAGAGTTGAGATCCAGCTCTAGGAGGTGGACACGCTCGCTTTCCACCAGGCTTCCGAGTGCCATCTTTGCTTTGTTGAGGTCGCGGGCTGTGAGAAAGAGGGTAGCATCGGTCTCATACAAAGATTTGGCAGTCTCGATACCCAGCCCAGAAGAGCAACCGGTGATGAGAACTGTCTTGTCCGACCATTTGCTCTTGAGTTCTTCGTCCTTGACGATCTGGTCGGCAGTAGGGCGTTGATCACCAGGGCCGTTAGGCGATTGATGAGCGGAGGCATATCGGGTAGTCATGTTGACGGTGATTATTGGAGGGTTGGTAGTGGTTTGAATGCTTTAGATCTGGAGGCAGAAGGTGTAGTGCTTGACGGGAATCATCTTGGAGGAGCTGCTGAACTTATATATCTCCTGGCCATCGCCACTCGGTGCGCTCGTTGTCCATTGACCGTGAGTCCTAACTCCTCTTCCTAGATACTACCCTAGATCGAACTAGACTACGGATATCGTAAGGAGCTTGGAAATACTACCTCTTGAGTCTCATACTGTGTGTAGTTTGTAAGAAGCCCTACCCTGCTAGTATCACCGCTCTTCCTCATGCATAAATGTTTGGTACCTAACCTAGTCTCATTGAGGAAACTTCTTTCGCCTTGGCGCGTTGAAGACACCGCGCTATGCTAGCTGAAGCATCTAGACGTGCGGAGTGGGAAGCAAATAGTCGGCCCTATTTCTCATAAGCAACGCATGTTAGAGCCTTGGCGAGAGAACATTCCTTATCTGGCTATTACTCTACCCACTCTTAGATCTCAACCGCTCTCACCATCTAATTTCTCTTCGTCTGGTGAAAACCTCCTAGCGTACCTTGCGTAGTCCAATCACAATATCGCTTTATGCTAGAACAGGCCGATAATGAGGGCTAAAAGAAAGGATGTATGCCAGAATTGCAGATCTCGGAAGCTTGCTGTAAGTTCCCGCCGCCAACAACTAATGGGTACCTTGCATGCTGGCATACTGACCCTCGAGATTTATAAGTGTGATGGGAAACAGCCAGAATGCCTCCAATGTATTCGCCGGCGGATCCCGTGTAGTGGTTACGAACAGGAAATTGTTTTCATCAATGCAATGACACATCCAACCAAACCCCAGACAGCTTTCAAGGCCGGATGTAAAGAAACACACGTTGACAACAGAGGGGTATTCGGTGCCTACATACTGAAAAGCAGTCACCCAGCTTTGTGTGCGTTATCAAACTTGTTTGACGAAACGACCACTCCTCCAGAAGCAAGTCCAAACGAGCTCGAAGATGATGTGGATTTTATTGTCCAACATTTTGCGCCCATATGTAGCCAGGCGCCCGCGGAGTTCAACTTGTATCACAACCAGATATGTGGTGCCTGGGTCGAGATGCTTCCGCTTGTCGTTGAGCCTGCAAAGAACAGCCCATTCCTCTATTCCGCAATCAGGACGATGGCAACAGCCTTGAGGAACCGTGCATCCGCAACCAGAGGAAACGAATCTCGCATACTTCTGATGTACGGTGACTCTCTTCGCCGGGTGGGCAAAGCGCTCGAAGAAGCCCAGGGTGTCTTCCGGCATGAACATTGTGTCGCAATATTATGCCTATCAGCAACGAACGTAAGTCTCCAACATACGCTGACCTGTGCATTTCACAGCATTGACTAGACTAGATTGTAATACCACAAGCAAGATCCGATTGGGCGACGCATGCAAAGGGTGTCGGAGCCATGATCGAGCGGCTCGGACCGAAACCGTTCAGCACTGGTATCCTGCACACGCTCTTCGTTGGCTTCCGGCCTCTCCTGGTAAGTCATCGCAATCTCATGTCGCAAGAACAGTCAGTTGATCAAGTTTCTAGCTGATCAGTTCAATCCACAACCGACGAAAGACATTTCTTTCTCAAGACGGCTGGGTTACCACACCCTTCGAAGCAGTACCCATATCGATCATGCAACTGCTCCTTAACAAAGCTACCCAACTTCCCGCTCTTCTGGAAAGATTCGACAGTCTGGGAGATCGCTCCATCCCATCCAATGTGATCGCGATGCAACGACTACGGGATGACTTTTTGTACATGATCAAAAGCCTCAAAGATTGGGAGCTCTCATCCAAAGCGCAGGCCAAATTCTCTCTGGTCTGGCCTAAGCCCGATTCTCCAGACGCAGAGTCCTCAGATAGGAAGCCGCTGTGGTTCGCCAATGTTCTGGTTGCTAGCAGCCTGACTCATTGTTGGGCTTTCGAGATCGTCGCAAGACAACATCTGGATGACATTGAAGAGTCGATAGCCGAGATCAAAGGTTGCAACGTCAAAGCGGTCCTTCGGCGTTCCGACTCTGCAAGCGATGAAGACGAAAATCCGGTCTCGATTTTGGCGGAGAAGATCTGTGATAGCATGCCCTACTTCCTGCAACCGGAATTGAAGCTATATGGACCCGCCTCTACCTTCTTCACGTTCTTGACAGCCATGAAGGTCTTCAAACACAAGAAGACTTACTGCGCGTCTCGGCTCTCCCGCTGCCAACAGGTAATCGATCGTTTAGCTAGCATTGGCATCCACTTTCCGTCACCATAGGGCATTGTATCCGTCGATAACCGCCTGGAGGCTGACTGAACCAAGGTGGACATTCGTTGAGAGTAATAATTGGGATGTCGGAGAAGAGATGACCCGGCAAAGGAACGAACGTCATGACGTCACGTCCAAATTGCTTACCCGATGGTACCTACCTCAACGCGGCTGCCCTCCTCTTAGAAGAGTCCGTCATCCATCATTTAAATTCTGTCTTCTGATTCATCGAGCTTTTGCGGGAATTTCTGGCGCGCTATCATATGTCTCAAGATTGGTACCATCCACAACAGCAATAACGAATACTTTGCAAACCCACTCAACATGTCCACACAACTCAAGCTTCTCGCCAACTACGGGGTAACAGGCTTCCTATTATCCACTGGTCTATTCGCTCTGCTCGCACCCACCACATTCGCTGCCGGTTTTGGCATGCCCGTTCCAGCCGACTCATTCGCATCCGGTTTCGTTCAATGCGTGGGTGGTCGCAATCTCACCTTTGGTATCATCGCAGCAATCTTCTTGCAGCGAGGGGACGTGAGAGCTGTCTCACTGATGGCGACGATGTTGGCGGTGGATGGAGTCGTGGATGGGCTGGTCACGATGAAGCATGCCGGGATGGGGTTTGCGTTGCCGCATTTCGGGGCAGCGGCGATCATCCCGTTCGTAAGTTCGTGGATGGCTAGTTGAGGGTTTGAGATGTGACGGAACGAGAATGGAAGCGAACCGGGTTTGACAGGGCGGCAAGATACAGCAAGAGTAACACGAGAAGGGTAACAGTCCACGTCGCACTCATGGTATACGTGTTTGTCGCGTCTTGGAACTTCAGTTATATTTGAACATGTCGGATCTGCTGTACTCGCGATGTAGGGACGGTGAAGGCTCCGTATCGTCTCCGAGACTTTTCGAGTGCTGTATGAAACGCTCAGAATCTTATACCTAGGTACTTCAAACATGTTCATCTTCTCTTCCCAGCGAAATGATCTCATCCGATGTCCCAAATCCATATCGTTTGCCTTTTTTCCCCAATTCGTCCTCATAGACCAGCTCTCCGTATCTGATCTTTGAGCTTTTCAGCTCATCTGACATATCATCGACCGCAGCTACGCCTTCTTCAAGCATGATTCGACTCAACTCCGTGTTCCCCACGGTCGCTAACATGATTTGAAGGAAGCCACCATCGGCTGCAGGCGCGCGATTACGCCACAAGGACCAAATCGAGATGATGACGAAGACGCTTGCTGCGGCTAGGCAGATACTGTATGGAAGGACGAGGTTGAGCGGATGACTAAGTGTGTATGTGTTGCTGTATCTTGTACTTGTTACGGGCACCATGTCCCACCAGGTGCCGAGTGATATAGCAGACATGGTGATATTGGCTAGAACCCCATTAAGCATGTTCTCGGCGAGATTGAACGCGTGTCTTGGGTCGAGTCCTTCGTGTTCGTTGTATCGAGACTTGTGGAAAACGGAACCTCTCAAGTAGGCTTCATTCCGGTTAGCCTTTGAGTTCGTACAAGCTAGTCACTACACTTACGATCGCCCCTATAACTGAGGTAGCCCGGCCAGCTCTCACGTACAAGATCGTTTGTAGAATTCCGTGACTCCTCTATCTGCTGACACTTGCCATCCAAAACCATAGGCTGCTGCAGAGGCAAAAGCTCTGGTGGCGATAACGCATCTGAGGGCAGATACTGCGAATGGAAATATTCCTTATCAAGAAAGGGCATCAATGAGTCTAGAATAGCCCACTCATTAGAAATAGGGATAGCTTCTGATACTTTCTGGTGCCATTCTTCAAGTGCTTCTGGTATCGATGGAAGCCTAAGTTGTATTCCATACAATTTGCCCGGATTAAGATTCGGATCATCGTAGGCGCCCGAAATGTCGATTGTATCGTATATGTCGACTCTTCGCGGAAGAGTTCTTGCATCGCTGATGGAATAGTCTACTGTCTGGACGCCTCTGGGAAACGTGACGCTGACGTTGTAGAGTACGGAGACAGATTCGCAGACCTGCTCATTCGCCACAGCATATGCGTTCCAGACTAGGCTATTATTGGACCTACAGTGGGCATTAAACGTTTTGATGTCATATTGTGTCAATGAATGGATAAGCTTTTGATCGTCCCATGACGATACCCACATGGGTACCACAAATTCCTTCGGATCGTATTCAGCCGAAAGAGTGATGTTGTACTCTGACGTGGTGCATTTGAATTGAGGTCCTCTGAATTGCAAATTGTACGTGGAATTCTCTCCTGGGTGATTTGGGAAGGTAGATATCTGGTTGTTGTTCTTTATAGTTTGTGCGAGGTATACCAGGCGGTTTGAAGGTCCACTATAGATTCAGCCTTTGTTAGATTACTGGAGTACTCAACTGACCTATATATGAATTGTCGAATGCCGGCATCCAAAGGGATCTGTGATAAACTCTTGTCGATGTATATAAATTTTCGAACTTCTGGATCTAGTGGAAAGTTTAAGAAGACCTTGTCAGGCCCGTGTAGTGGGTCTCCTCTGCTTAAAGTAGGGAAGCTTTCGTCTCCGGAAAAGTCGAGTTGCGGTGAAATGGGTGGGTTCATTATAGACATGTTGTGATGCTCAGTAAACTCTTGAGTCCTGACGCTTACGGTGAGCGCACCCGGTGGATAAATGACTGCGATTCCAAGAGACCAGATTAGAAGCGCCATAAGGAACAGCAAAGGCGCTCTCCGTATCCCTTGTGGACTGAGCAATGCGAATAAGTCGTTTCGAATTACGAACAGCATCTCGACCATCGAAAGAGACATCGCCTTTCCACGCAAAACGTACCAGAGGTGTTGTGCGAAACACGTACCCATGCTGGCTGTTAGTGCAGCTTTGAAGATTGTGCTTAACAATATAGAGACAGCCGAGAACTGAGTCTGGCTGAGGAAGCTAGTCTCGAGAGGCGTCCCATTTAGACCCTTGACTAGCATATAGTGTCCTAACGCGGCGAAGAGTGCTTGAGGAGATTAACAAAGACTTCGGTACATGCAATTGACGAGACTGACCTATGAGAAAGAATCCAGTGATCGCTCCCACAGTCTTCCAAAATGTGGAACGCCGGATAAATTCTTTCGACGAACAAGAATGGACACGATTCGCTTCTTGCAAGATGCTTGATGAATTGAACGGCGTCGTAGGATTGGGGTTCGTACTCTTCATCTGCTGTCCTGGCTGGACTGCAGATATGCTAACAAGCGTTGAAGAGCTACTTCTGTTACTTGTAATCGTTTGCAAGTCGTGGTCTATAGACCTCAAGTTGGAGAAGTACGCTGCATGGTTGATATTTGTCTGTAGTGAGCTAGGACCGTTACCCATGGTTATTGCTCGATTAAGCTCTCCTGTAGTCTCGAGTGAATAATTGAGAGCACCGAGAAAGAGACAGTTTATAGGAAGCACTTTAACCTACGGCGTGGTTATGCTCCTCGATTCAGAAACGGGACTCAGGCTTAGACCTTGCAATACCATTGGCCAATTGCTGCCTGCATAGATCCGCAAGGTAGATGCTAAATACATAACGATCCTCCAGCATTCTGGATGTCGATGTTGGCTCTATACCAAACTAGTGGGGGCTAGGTAGCACGTAGGAGCATGAGAGCTCGGAAATGGCGTTGCAGGAACCTCCCACTGGGTGGCGCTGACGTGGGGGCCGTAAGCTGACTTCCAAATACAACCCGCCTGGGTACCTAGCCCGTGCGAGGCTGACGCGACTGCGTAACACCAACCCCGAGTACCTACATATGCTACTGCGAAAACGAATCCATGCTCTGGTTTATGACTCGCGCTGCATAGATCATGATTGTGGTAGGTCTGCACTGCCTACTGTGCGCATGGATTAAGAGATAACGACACAAGTCTACCCGCCGTTACATCATCATCCGGGATACCGTTCACTAGTACTGGAAAGATACCCTTAGGCAAGCGGCATCAAGCGTTCCAGATTACCTTCTCGTTTGGATATGGTACGGATCGGGGAGGCTGTATGTGGCTCGTTTGTTCTATGTCGTTGCAGTAAAGCATTGAAGGAAGAGAGCGGAATATAGTGACAAAAAGGAGTAATGTTTTCCGAAACAAAATAGAACCGAATCCTAACTAGATACTGCTCGCTTGGAAACCCTTCCAGAGGGGCTGAAAAGTCGTTAATAGAAGCAAGCAAGTAGATGGCTATGGGCTGAGAATGAACATCTCGTGCGAGATGTAGAGTATGCTTGCACCAGAAACGAACAGCAGCCATTGATTTGGCTTTGACTAGTGCAGTCGCCTCGCTCGTATGTCCTTTCTTCTCATTTACTCCTGGTACCACTGACATCTGTGTGTTGAAATGATTTATATCACGAAACTCATTAACAACGCTGCGTTCTCTAGAATCATCACACGTGTGACACACCATTGACAAGCACTGAATAGCAAACATCGATCAGTCGCAGGTCTTCCACTACCTCAAGTTCACTAAGTCATCGACACTATGAGTCTTTCGTAGGCCGTTGACTCGACAGGACCTTGAAAGCATGACGCCTGCTTCTCCAAGTCATGGCGAACAGATTGAGTTGCTGTCTATTGCTCTTGCGAGTCGTGGAGAGACTCGTATCCAGCAAGTCATATTCGTGACTGTCAAGACATAGAGCGAGTATAAGAGCGTCGCGAACGATGAAACTGAGAGATAGATACCAGAACAGCACTTCAGCCATATTGAGCACACCAAAGGAATCCCTGAAAACTTATATCGCTTTCAAATCCGAGTTCCATCATCAGAAAAGACTCATTTCATCAACACCCGACCAAGAACGTACAACAGGACACGCAATGGCGCCACCACAAGCAAACTTCGGCACGCTACAGGCAGAACTGGAGTATTGCAAACATGCAGATACATCAATATGTGTCCGGAATGACGTTACCAAAAAGGGTGATCGACTCTGTAGAAGCTGCCAAGATTCTCACCCCATATCTTCCTTGACGGCAATAGAGGAGCTCTTGCATATGCAATTTCCGGATGCTCACCCCAATCAGCAGCAACCTGACTACGATGAAGAACACGCCAAAAGAGATCGCCCTGACTACTTTGCCCTCTGGAAAGCGCGAGACAAGAACGACCAAGACTTGTGCGCATGGGTACAGATTGCTTTTGCAAAGGCCGCAGGAGGTGAGCTTCCAGAGAAGACTGAAGAAGAGCCGACATATTCCAAGTTTGTCATGCTTATGAAGCACGCAAGAGCTGCGAAGAATGAGGTGGCACAGACGACAATTCCTAACATCAGTGTGTCCAACACCCCCTGTGGACGTGCGGACGGCCCAGATCAGATCTGTGATAACTGCGCAAAGGCGGTGAGGGACCATGGTAGTGCGACGTTAAAGGCGATGTTTCAGGCAGATGGGATGACTATCATACCTAGTGCTGTCCGGGCGGCGGGTGATGTACGCATACTCTGGAGCGAAGAGTGAGGTAACGAAGATGTCGGAAGGCTGGTCACCTTCATGGATCTAATGTCTTATGCACCATTTGGACGCATAAGTGCACGGCACGTCACTTTCCTTAAGATATTCCTTTAATAGTCAGTTATACAATGAGTAGAGCAGAACAGAGTTGTTTCCTATGATACATGTTAGTATATAGATCCGTGCCCTACACAGTACTAATACCAACAATCACTTACACGATAAAGAGTCATATCGCATGCGCTACCTAGGTACCCCACCTTGCCTTCTACTCATCAGGTGAGACACTAGATAAATGTAGCGAGGAGATCCTGAAGCGACTCGAAGTTGTATTTTTAGAGTCTCTAACACCGCAGTCTCTTTAGAAGATCTTATTCAGCACACAATTCTACTCCAAGCTCCACGTCGGGCTCTGTGATACCAAAAAATCCGTTAAAAAAGACTTTCGTATCAGGGGAGATTTCCTCGCCACTTACGAGGATAGTAGGGTCATATTCGACTTTGCAGTCTACCACGAAGCGGCATGGCTTCTTTTCCAAGTAGAGTTCCAAGACCATAAGTATGTCTTCCCTGTGACTCGCGAAGTAGGCCGAGAGCTGCTCAACAACATCTGCAACGGTAACGGTACCGCCGTCCGCTCTACTAACAAGCAAGGGCTCCGGTGACTCGTAGTCGTAATGGTCATACCAGTCTACATAGGAGTTGGTGATTGCAATCTTGGTAAGAGGGATCTGGGAGGCTGGTTCTGCTGCGATTGCGTGACCCACAAAAGGCGAGAAGGAAGGATTTTGGGATCTGGGATTATCAAGGACGAGGATAGTGGATACATCCTCGAAGATAGACCAGCGTAATGGGGGGCGGTGGCACCGCGGTCGTTGTTCAGTCCGTTTCTGTTCAAGGAGTCGTCCAAGGTATTGGTAGCCATGTTGAGGTACGACGCTGTAGTAGACGGTATCGAGCAGGGTTTTTACCGCCACAATCGACGTGAGTTATGTAGAGCATATCTCGGCAAGACGGGCCACTTTCCTTGCGACGATCCTTTGATAGACAGTTATACAATTGAAAGGGCGGAATAGGGTAATTTCCTACAATATATGTTAGTATATACACATCCGTGCAGGGCACGGTACCAATACCAACACCAACAATCACCTACTCGATCAAGAGTCATACATCGCATGACAACAATGCCTCACCACAAGCTCACAATACCAACATGTCAGGAAACGCGATATCTCATTCGCGCCATCCACCCACGCTGAAAAATGCTCTGCATAAAGTCTTCTCTGACCCAAAAATAAAAAAACACAGTCTATAAACGCAACAACAATCGCCCCCCCTTCGGACTTTTTTAAAACCCAACCGCAAGCATCAACCCATACCCCACCGTAACAATAACCCCAAACGTCATAATACTCGCGGGAACACCCCTCGTCAAAAAATGCTTGACAGCAAGATACCTCTGGCCCGTCCTCTGATCCTCCATCATAATGGCCGTCATATTAGGGAACCCACTCGTCGGCAAGCCCATGGCCCCGCTCGCCATCAACACAGCGCCCATGACGAGTAAATTCGGATGCGGCTCCGGCATCTGCTGCCCCACCTGCTGCACAAGGGGCAGCACAATGAGCGCGGCAACGGTATGCGAGATGAAGGTAGCCACGACGAGAATTAAGGCACAAAACGTGACGAGGACGCCGTACAGACTCATTCCCTCTACTCCAGCGGTGATGGAGAGGGCAATGGTGTGTAAGAGACCGGAGCTGTTGACTGCTTTGCCGAGCGAAAGGCCGCCGGCAGCGAGTATGATGATGGTCCAGAGGAAGTTGTTGAAGTCTTCCTTGGTGAGGATACCCGTGCCGAAGAAGAGGACAATGGGTATGATGGCTACGACGCCCATGTCACCAAACGTAGCTTCAAGCTGGTGGCTGACGCACCACAAGACAATGGTCACGACGGTGACAATGGTAATGAACCACTGCACACCCGTGAACTTGTCCTTGAGCGGCCGGATAGGAACAATGGACGGCCCTTTTCCGGGTTGGAAAGTAGCCAGGAGGAAGACCCAGATGAGCAGGATGGAAATGATACACACGGGCAAGGCGACGAAGAACCATATGCCCCAGGAAGGCTCCGGGTGCATGTTTTGCAGTGCGATTAGGTTCTGGGGGGACGCAATGGGGGAAGCGGCACCGCCTATGTTGGAGGAGAGGGCGATGCCCATGAGGAGGGCTTTGGTCATGTCGGAGTCGGCAGGCAAATTACGAAGAATGGGCTGCGAAAGAATTAGCTTGACTTGAACATTTTTCTGCGACAAGTTGACGTACCTGGATGATGGAGAAGCAAAGCACAGGCGCTGCGACATTGCTAATCCACATACTAGCAAACATGGCCACAAACATATTGACCAACAGCACAGTCCTTGGCTTCGTTCCAGCCTTGCTAAGAACAAGTGTAGCCATCATCTTAGCAATATTGTACTTTGACAGCGCAGCCGCGATGGTGAAACCACCCAACAGCAACATGATGACCGGCGTCCACATGGCAGAGAAGACGTATGACGCTGCGGCCTTTGATTCCAGACGCTTGTGAGGTTCGACATCGCTTCGGACGACATTCAACGTCACAGCAAGGAAAGGAACCAGCAGGGACGTGACGAAGAGCGGTATAGCCTGTGGTAATTAGCCAAACGATCATCAAAATCGCCCAAAACATGATCCGTACCTCTGTAGCCCACAGCAAACTGACAAAGATGACCATGGCAAGACAATTCTGCTGCTCAGGCGCCTCCATAATGGGCACAACAAGCAACACAACAAACACGGCAATACAACTCAGCAGGATCCAAAACGTCCTGCTGAGCAACCATTGCGGACACCGGTATCGCCCAATCGGCGTATCCACCTCCTTCATATCCGACTCGACGTCGTCGCCCTGCCGCCGTATCTTGCCACCCGTGGTATCGCGTCCAAGCAGTGTGTGGCTGATACCGATATTCGCCGCTTGCGCTTTCCGCTCGATTCCAATCATCTCTCGCCAAACCGTGTTCCGCTCCCAGACGACGTGTTCGCGCAGGTGTAATCTCAATTCGCGCTTCGCCTCGGCAATATCGCCCTTTGTGCCGATTTGCGCGTAGGCGGATTCCATGCGCTCGAGATTGCGCGTCAGCTCGTCCATGGTGCTCTGCTGGAAGGGATAGACGGGGTAAACGTATTTGCTCAGATAGGTCTTTTTGAGCTTGCGGTCCATGATCTTGTCGTACTTTTTCAGCACTTTTTCGAATCCCGTCTTGTTTAGTTGGATGAAGGAGCGGAGCTCGCAGAGTAGGACGTATACGCTAACGAGGCGTTTCTTCAACGACACGCCTTCTTCGTACAGCGCGGAGAAGGCCATGTCGTTGTAGTCTTCGAATGCGACGCTTGTTTTCCGTCGCGAGGAGGCGTGCGAGGCTGCCATGTCTTCGTCGATTGTCCGTCTTCGTCGCCGCTGGCCGTCTGGGCTCTTCTTACGAAGCCGTGCAGTCTCGTCGGCGTCTTCGTCCTCGGAGTCGTCGCCAGATGCGTCGCCATCTGCGCCGTGATCTGTTGACCGTCCGCTTGCCCCGCTCATGGCCCGCGGCCGGTGGAAGCCAATCGCCTTGAACACACTCCCGCTGCGCATCTTCTTGCCCGGCGGCGCATTCTCATTCTCCTCGTTGTACTCCTCCTGGTGATACTCGAACGACTCCTCGTCCTTGAGCAGGGCCTCCATCTCCTCGAAGATTTCATTTTCCTTGAGCTTGTAGAAGGACGTGACGCGCTCTAGTTCGGTGTCGAGGGTATTGGTAAAGACCTTGTCTGGATCGTCGGCATCTCCATTGAGGAGTGGTGACGACTCGGCGTCGGTATGCGCCTGCTTCTGGTTGAGCTGTGTCTCAAGGCTGTAGATGTGCTTCTTGAGATTGCTATAGGCGATGTAGTGGTTGCTCCAGTCGGGCACAGCATTAAACTGCAGACTGTGCGAGAACTTCATCTCTTCGGCCTCGCGAAGCTGCTCGAGCTTCTCCCGTCGCTTCTGTTCTCTCTTGCTCTCCCTGTGCGGCTGTTCCGGGCGTGTGTCGAATTCCTGGAGCTCTATAGCTTGGGTGGGCGCAGCGTCACGGTAAGGCGTCAGGACGTCCAGGTTGGTGGATCGCAGTCTTCCAGCGAGAAGACGCTACTGTAGGCAGACTAGAGGGCGTAGCGTAGTGCTCGCAGGGCGGTCAGGTGGCTTGCAGCACGTGGAAACTGCGGCATGGAGTGATTCTATCGACAAGTGTGGGATTGGCGCGGAACCTTTCTCGGCTTGGTAGCTGGACATTGTGGATGCGCTTTCGTCACTGCACTCCCGAGCACAGTCGGAGACACATGGGCCGATGATTGGCGCTCCAGCCCTCCGCCGCAACCACACCTCACCCACGCTTCACCACTCTCTCGGGTTGTGCAACGGGTAGTGTCTTAGTTGCCCATCACACGACTACCCCACGTACATTCAGAATTAGCTTTGATATCCTCTGCTGAGCCATGTCTTTACCTCTTCGTCATGGCCCGCTCGTGGCCGCGGCTAGTCATTGCCTGCATTCGAATCCTTGCCAAAACCACCCGACCTGCATCATCGTCGCGGATATCTGGCCCGCATTCTGCCTGCGCCAATCAGATATCACAACGTGTGATATCATACATGAAAAAGAATCGTCTGTTGAGCCTCACTTTTCACAAACACCATGTAGTCAATTTTCGTGGCCAATCTTGTTCGAATGTTTTGCATTGACAGTCGACCTATATACACCTATAATCATGACCTCGTACAGACAACGTCGTCGTTTAGACTGTAGTTTGTTAGCAGTATTCATAGTAGTCAAAGAATAATGTCACTTACACCTCAGATCCCAGCCGATCTTGGGTCCCAGCTTGGGCAGCTCCTCAGCAACACTCTGCACGTCCTTGTCACCACGTCCAGACACGCAAATGACAATGTCTTGGTCCTTGTTCATCGTCTTTGCCAGCTCAATAGCACCAAACACCGCGTGCGATGTCTCCAGCGCGGGGATAATACCCTCGAGCTGTGACAAGAGACGGAAGCCAATAAAGGCCTCGGCATCTGTACAAGCAATGAACTTGGCACGGTCGCTGTCCTTCCAGCTGGCAAGCTCAGGTCCTACACCAGGGTAGTCAAGACCAGCAGAGACGGAGTGAGTCTCGCTAATCTGTCCGTGCTTGTTCTGGATAACATAAGTACGGACTCCGTGGAGCACACCCTTGCTTCCAGCTGAGAGAGTCGCGCTGTGGCGGTCGGTGTCGACACCATCACCACCAGCTTCGACACCAAGAAGCTTGACAGAAAGGTCCTTGGAGAAGGGGTAAAACATTCCTGCGGCGTTGCTGCCACCACCAACACAGGCGACTACGGCATCGGGAAGCTTACCACGCTTCGCCTGCATCTGCTCCTTGGTCTCGTTTCCGATGATGGACTGGAAAGTGCGGACAATGGTGGGGAAAGGATGAGGGCCGATGGCAGATCCGATAATGTAGTGAGTCGTGTCGAGGTGGACGACCCAGGCGCGCATTGCCTCGTTGACTGCATCACGCAGGGTTTGAGCACCAGCCTCGACAGCAACAACCTGCGCACCAAGCAACTTGATGCGGAACACGTTCAAGGCTTGGCGCCTGACATCCTCAGCTCCCATGTAGATGGTGCACTTCATGTTGAACTTGGCGCATACCGTGGCCGTTGCAACACCGTGCTGACCAGCTCCAGTCTCGGCAATAATCTCAGTCTTTCCAAGTCTCCTGGCAATGAGCACCTGTCCGAGTGCGTTGTTGATCTTGTGACTTCCAGTGTGATTCAAGTCCTCTCGCTTCAACCAGATATTGGCGCCCCCGGCGTGCTCGGTAAGGCGCTCCGCAAGATGCAGATGACCTGGTCTACCCATCCAGTCGTAGTAAGAACGGTATTCTTCCCAGAACTTGGGATCTTCGATGGCTGCATTGAAACCTTCCTCGAGCTCAGAGAGACAGTCCATAAGCGATTCAGGAACGTATTGACCACCGAATTCGCCGAATCGTGCGGGGAACTTGTGCTTTTCGTCAAATCCATTCTGCTCGTGTGTACCGTTGGTGCCGTTAGCATCATCAGTGTTGAGCATCTCCAGCTGATCAGCCAGGCCAGGACCGTCCGGTGTGTCCTTGTCGGTAATAACCTTGTCGACATGCACGTTGGTGGGCTCCTTGGCCTCGTTCAATGTCTCGATGATACCGACCTCCCGAGGCGCACCGCGGGTGCTCTTGCCGCAGATCTCGTCGCAGTACTTCTCGACTGCCTTTGCGCCCGTTCCTGGTTCAGCCTTGAGCAATGTGTTGATAATCTGGCTACCGATGACGACACCCTCAGCAATCTTGCCTACACTCAGGTAGTGGTCGCGTGTGCTGACACCAAAACCGACGGCAGCCGGGACGTTGCCAGAGTATTTGTGGACGCGCTCGAGCAGCTGGGGAAGAGCGGCGTTCATAGTACCGGAGGCGCCAGTGACGCCCATGCGGGACACGACGTAGATGAAGGAATCGGCGATCTTGCAGAGGACGCGCATGCGGTGCTCGGACGTAGCGGGTGCAATAAGAGGAACGTAGGAGAGACTGTTTTGTTAGTCTTCGTCCCATGCTCATCGAGACAGTAGGCTTACCCGTAGCTGCGGCAGAAATTCCTGAAGCGCAGAGCCTCCTCGGGTGGCAGGTCGACCATGATGAAGCCGTTGGCTCCGGCCTCCTTTGCGTCCTGCAGCATCTTCTCCTCGCCGTAGCTGAGCAGGGGGTTGTAGTATCCCATAAGAAGGACGGGTGCCTTGAGACCCCGCTTCCTCGCATCGCGGATCATCTGGAGAACGCTGCCAATGTTGACGCCGTTCTTGAGGGCTTGCTATAGACACATGGTGTCAGGAACAGTTTCGAACGCATTGTGGCGAATGGGTCAACGTACTGTGTTCGCGGTCTGGATTGCTGGGCCGTCTGCGATGGGGTCGGTGAAGGGCATGCCGAGTTCAATGATGTCTAGACGTGTCAATTGACTGCTGTCGTGCCATCTGGCATAGCAATTGCTCGCTGCACATACCAGCGCCTCCCGCCTCCATGGCCATCATGATGTCAGGCGTCTCCTCTGCGGTAGGGAAACCTGCAGTCACATACGTGACAAGAGCAGACTGCACACATATTAGCTCTACATCTCTCTTCTGGTGGTTGCACATCGTACCCTGCCCTCCTTCTTGCATTGCGCAAACGTCTTCTTAATGCCGTCCATGATGCCGAAAACCGAATCGAAAGGTTGAAGTGTGTGACAAGAGGTCAAAGCCAGCAACTGACTTCCTTATAGATGAGAGCAACTGTGAGTCACGGTATGCACAGTCGTAGGGGCTCGCGGACAAATCGGGGTTTGGTATGAGTCTTGTGTCCGCAATTTATTGAAGGCCGAAGGCGGCGTAATGCCCCTCCTCCGGCTTAGTCGCTCGTTCGGGGAAGGCGGGCGAACATCACTTCTTCTAGAAGCCAGTCTTACCAGACTCCACCTTATTTTCTTCTCATACACGTCATCGCGACCCCAATCCGATCATCAAACCGTTGAACCCCATTTTATTGACCTTTTTGAACTTCTGACAAGACACAGTCCAGTGTACATGGCAGCATAGCAGGGCAGCTACACCTGGCCCCACTGACATTAGCCAATATCCACCGGCCTATTTCCAAAGGCCTCATTTTCCCCAGCACCAGCTTCTTTAACCGTACCCCGTCGTCGTTGAAACACCATGAAAACAAATCTGCGCCCATGACCGACCTGCAGCGATCGCACACAGTATCCGTCTTCTCCGTCTTCTCATGCCAAATTGCGTCAGGCGTTTTGGGAGATACATGACAGGAAAGTTCTTTCTGCGCCATCGCGCTGTTGGATTCTAAAGTCAGATGCTCCATGATCAATATATTACAGGCACTTATATCAATCGAGATCTTATAAAGGAACTTCGCAGTCTAGAACAAACTACCAAGTTCCTTTCACGAATCCATATGGGTACCTTATTCACACCCCTCTGTGGTTGTCATCCACTGCATCCACTTCACCCCATGGTACTGCGATGATGCAGAAGCGACGAGCCACTTGTGAAATCCGTAACACGTACTTACACGTACGCAAAGACGCTCTCGAATGAGAGATATTGCGGACATAAGGAGCTTATTCACTCCTCTAGGCTTTTCGACCGGATTGCTCGCAGTGCTGCCGTCACCCTCTGATACACCGACCTTGGAACGAACTCATACTCATGCCCCTGCGCATACCAAACCGGTGATGCAAGCCCTATGTCCGCGCTGTGATCGAGCAGCAATTGCGCCATTTCGACGAACCGAAGATCCATCACGAGTTCGATAATTCTTCCGCAAGAGAAGGCGCTCCGCATCCCAGAACGAACGCAGTGGTAACCAAGATCCGGGTTCGCTCCGTGAGTGAGTAATATTCGGGCCATTGCGAAATCATGGTTTAACGCTGCATACACGAGCGCTGGTGTAAACTGTCCTAGTACCAAAGGATCATCAAATGTGTCACCATCGGGGTCGTCGACGTCAGCGGGAATGGGAATGTCCCCGTCTTCGAAGTCACAGCGCGTGCCATGTTCGAGCAAGATGTTCGCGGCTGGGATGTTTCGCATCTTGGTCGCTAGGCTGAGTGCACGTGTTGCGCTCACACGATGTCTACTCTTGACGTCTGCTTTTGACAGAATGAGTATGAGCATGCCGAGGCTCCCGTGGCTGATAACCCATGTGAGCATGTTTGAGCGTTGGCTCGTATGCTGGAAGATGGGTGTGTCGAGATCTATCTTCAATCCGAGGAGGAGTGCAACTCTGTCTTGCTGGTCGGACTGCAACGCAACTTCAAGTGCCGTGCGTAATTGTTCGACTGTGCCGAGATTCATATTCTCGTCCGTGACTATAGGTGTATTGGCGTTCTCTTCGATGCTTCCAAACATGCTGGCTCCTGTTCTTACATCTATCGCGTTGATTCCAGGCTCGGAAACACTATGTGCACCAAAGCCCAAGACCATTTCAGTGTTGGGTGGTTCCTCAAGTTGTCCAAGTCCGACAGTGTGGGGATAATCGACGCCATAAGATTCAAAAGCTCCCGCATGATGGCCAGGTCCGAACGAGGGTTCCGTCTTTCGCTCGATTACCTCCTGCCAATCGAGATTCTTGAAAAAGGCATGCTGTCTCACCTCAGACGCTCCGTTGATATTGGCACCCAATCGTTGATCAGGATTCCGATCAAGTAGACGAGATATAATGTTCTTGGCGTTTGCGTGCATTGACCTGGGAAGGTGCAGCGGCTTTGAAATGATGTTGTCGCGGATGTTTCCCAACACGTTACTATAGAACGGCGGCAAGCCCGTCAGCATCTCATATAGGACTACACCGAGCGTCCACCAATCAGCGGCCTTGCTGTACTTGTCATCTGTGAGTACCTCTAGTGCAGGATACTCTGGCCTTTTCCAGTCTGTATGCATGCCGTCACGTTGTCGAAAGAGTCCAAAGCCACATGGTGTGATGTGACCCAACGAGTCAAGCATAATGTTTCCCGCTTTGAGCCAACAGCACACATCCAGAGAATGCAGGTACTCCAAGCCGCAAACGATCTCGGCGGCATAGAGTCTGCTCGTGTCGGCATCAAATTGCCGGACTTTCTGTACATGGTTTAATAGGTATCCACCGCTAATGCAAGGAGAATAAAGGCACAGGTTATTAAGGATTTCTTCGGTGAACGCGAGGTGGGCGATGAATGGATGGTAGATGTACTTTGCTGTAGGGAATAAAACGAAAAGTTCCGTTCGTTTGACTCTTCGCATCGCGTAAAGCTGTTTGTTATCCTTCTTCCTGATCAGACCTATGGGCTTGCCCACGTTCTGAATGGGACCGCCTTCAAATCTCCCTTGATCTAATTCATGCTCGCGTTGAATCTGTATCATGTCTTAATGATGAGTTGTTAGGACGATCGTGGCGATTGTTGGAGACGAGAGGCAAGAAGGTCTGACGGAGAGGCCACGGTGAGATTTAATTATCTGACACACTGCCACACTCTGGATAGTGGTCCACTCGTACAAGCGGCTAATTAGTTTACCCTTCTCGCAATCCGATTAGGTAGAGTGTCTTCCATCTCAAAGCAGACAACACGACGAGTGAAGGATGTGACACAAAACATGGTGTTGAAATACTACCTATATTTGTGTAGATAGATACACAGCGGGCTAGCTTTCGGGGTTGTTGCTAACTACCACGGTTTGCGATGACAACATGACAGCTCCTTCAGCAATCTAAATGACACCCGTACGCAAGCCGCTTCCAAATGAGAGCCATCGCAAACATGAAGCGGTTTGTATCTGTGATTACTGCCGGTTTATCATGCTGGTAAAAGTCATTGCTGTGGATGCCGTTAGCCCTACCAGGACTATACATGTAGCCCTGTCACCGCCAGACACGTCTCCCATCCCATCCTATCCTATGCCATCAGCCCGCCAACAACCCTGCCCTATGCTTACTGGCTGATTTCGAAACTGCAAAAAGAACTCTGAGCCCTCGAATCGAACCTTCCGATGTCGCCACGTCGGTCTTCTTCCACATTCGTCAGTTCGGCGACGTTCCAGGCCAACTACTGTAACTTCCCAACGTGAGCGGCATGGGAGTTTCCGGGCGCAGCTCTCTGCTTTGCAATACGTATGCAAGTCTAGAAATTGCCACTAGCCTTTCTTCGAAGAAGTTGTTCTTTCGAACTTTGACCCATCCGGGTAGTTGCACGCTACCCCCAGAGCGATGAGATGATTAGTCCCTTGCTGCGCATCCAGAGCTTCTGTCGCTGTTACGACAAGAACCAGGTGGTCCTGTTAGAATGAATGTTGTTGTGCGCCACATATTGCCGTTAGGCCCATTCTGGAAAGTATGGAAGCTACGGATGTGCGTCTAGTCACCAATGCTTTTTCCTCGGCGCTAATCATACATACGAAGTAGGCTTCCCCGCCCAATTTGTTTTTTCTCTTCCTGGCTTCGTCTGCATGCCTTCTGGAGTTATCGCGGCAGAGCTCTCGAGCGCCCATGTCTTTCGCTGTCTCTATGACGGGGCAGTGAGCTTGTGGAAAGCTGCTTGCGTGTCCAATGAAGCCGCGTGTCCGGAGATGATCGTGGTCCTTCGTAGTCGATGAGCGTATGCGTTGGGTCGGGGACAGGAGCGTAGCCTGGTCGATGGTCTAGGGTTAACGTAGCAGAAGTGACCAATAGATCATGGCATCCAAATCATGCCGTTGATGGCGGTGTCTCGATCATACACCGTAGTTGCCACGGAGTATGCCCCACTCCGTATCGAAGTACCGGCCGAACCCACGAATCTCGCACATGCGATTAAAACATCTTTGGCAAAGCTGGTTTTTGAATCTTGTTCTTTCGCAGCGTCCGTCTCTCCTTGGGTCCTTTTCCCAGCTTGGGTCGGGCTCGCCATGCTGGTTCCTAGGTCCGATCTTCCAATTGCTGTCAACGGGCCTTCTTAGTCGTGGGTCTTCAAACACGCATGGAAACCCAAATCGGTCGCCGTCGAATTCGACAAGCCATGGGGAGGCCTGCTCTTGTGCTTTGCGGTAGCATCGCGCGCATAGCTGGCCACGATGGCGCACAGTACCGCAGAGGCGGGAGTCCTGGGGATTGAAGTCGCAACGCCATGCTGAGAAGCGATACTCTGGGTCTTTACAGGCGCAAAGACAGGCCCAGCCTTTTCTGATGCGTTCGGAGCTGTCGCGCTCAAGCTGGTGCATGTACATGTCGATAAGATGCTTGAGCAATCGTGTGTTCGAGTGTGCTTCGGCTTGCTTATACAAGGCATCGAAGCTCATGTTCTTACACCAAGAACATATATCTGGTCCTTGATCTTGTCCTCCCGGACGTGAGCCGCAAGCAGTACCGAACGCGCAGTGAGGCTTTGGAGGTGGTGCTAGCATGACAAGCAGGCTGTATAGCAGTACACTTTATGCGTTAGCGACGCCGGTACTCTGCAGGATTCAACTCACCAGTTCTTTCCCTGGTGCAGCTTCAACTCGTTATTGTGTTGTAGCCTTCCACGTCATCGTCTGACCCCTCACTACCCTCCTCCGAACCTGCCGACCTTATCACCAACTTGTTCGCTTCTTCATGACATAGCCCAGTCGGCGTGAAGTACTGTGCGATTCTGATCTTCCGTAGACGTCTTCTCCAGCACCTGGAACAGGCAGCACCTTTTTTGCGGACAGATGGACAGTCCAGTCGTGTGCCGCGAAGATTCAAGTCGTATAGTCGCCACCTACAGTGTTGAAAATCCGGATCTTCAAAGGCACAGAGATAACGACCGCGAGCTTCGATGTTGCGTTTCAAGACTTGTTTGCGAGTAGCTTCTTCGTCGACAAGTAGTGAGGCAGCAGTGTTTGGGTTAGTCCACACGCGCAGTTGCTGTGGATCGTGTCGTTGAAGACAGTCAGCACAAACCCGGTCTGTATTGTGGATTTTCTTGCCGATGCCGAGACAATGAGATCCAGAGATGCATTCGACGATTGGTGGGGGTTTGAATGGGGACTCGAAAGCTGAAGCCATCGACTGGTACCGAACGTCTAAAAGTCAGGGCTCCCACGTTCACTGCTTTGCGGTTAGCTCAACGTCCTTGCATCTCGGCTCATGTGACAGGGTACTGCCGGTATGAGCTATTATGACGTTGGTATTGACGTTTTCGTTGGTTTCCGAGCATTATGGGGGACGTTGGTTAGTAGGCATTCGAGCTTTGTGAATCGTATTGGCAGGCATGCAGAAAGGACAGTGGATGGAAGCGGGTTTTCGCCATTTCCGGCGGCAGGAGTTACAACCAATGCAATCGAATGCATGCTCTATGACTAGGACGCTATGGCCATACTCGTGGAAGCTTTTTGTGGCGTAGAATGTGTCCGATATGTCGGTTCAACTGTTACTGGACGGTGTGATGCGCTGATCAAGCTCGCTAGGCTACCGGCATGGACATCAACCATGTGCCTGTGCCGATTGGGTACCACTCGTGGCGACGTCAAGTGCATCGTATCAAATGCTATGGGGCTGCGCTAGACCGCAGCTATGATCACTATGAGGTATGAGACCCGAGAAACTGGTCAGGCCAGAGCGGAAGCTAAGCCACCGGCTGGCGCTCGTAGAATTATGTAGCTGAACCAGATCTTGGATACCGCTCGTCTGGAGGAAATACTGCTGGTCCCATTCGTCAATTGCAATGAATCTGTTGCAGTTTTGAACAAGGCTGATGCATCTTCTCAACTCCGGATGCTTGAAACTCATCATGATTCGACGGCACGATGATAAAGTTTCGCTTCGAGCATTCCAAACATGAGGAGATCATCGTGCACGGTCACCAGGTCCTTGCTAATGAAGCCCAAGACTCTGACTCGTTCCGGTTCATCCGCCTCTCGATGCAACATGGTTTGCATCGGTTTCGAGACGCAGTCATATCACGACCTCTCTTTTATTGTCGTAGATATGTACCGTGTAACCGTGTACAGAGTACTATTTGAGGAAATAGTGGGACTTGATCGACAATGCATTCGTGACGCCATGTTCCGATCGACAATTCAAAAGACGATATGTATCTGCCGCCAACTCTTTCTCACATACGAAGGGTTCTTTCGGATGTGAGTCGTTCTGACACAACGGATAAATGCGGTCATCAGAGCTCCTCAAGCATGAGACAAAGGTGGCAGACGACATGTGATCCTTCTTGTTTGGGTCTTGCCAACACGATGACGAATCTTTTTCGGAAGGGACCCGCGTCTCCGTCTTCGGCTTGCCATATGCTGCCCAAGGTATTGCGCCTCTTTAATGTGCTTCCCCGTGCTGTTGAAATCCACACAGGACATGGACACGATGCTGTATCGAGCGTTCTATGCATAGAAGACTCTAGATGTGAAAACAGATTTGCTTGCAGGACACGGAGGTGGGATGTGCGATGCGTACGCAATAGTCTCAACTCCGAGTCATCTGGCGTCGACGTCTTGAGTAAAGGGTGATGCATATCAGATTCATACAAGCGCGATTATCCATTTCTGTCACACTCCCAGCTTTAAAAGGTGTCAGTGGCTTGATCACATACCTTTCGCTTTGCCAGAACAATCCAGTGCACGGGTAAAACAGCGTGATAACATCGCCCTGGCGTGAGCGTGTTCCTTGACGATTCGTTGTCAACAATGCGGTGAGGCGGTCAACGATAATCATCCTGCATTCCGCCAGAGACTATCGTTGTGTAATATGTTGCATCAAGAAACGGTGGCCAGTCTGCCGATATGCTGCAGTAAGCTGCATCCGTTCAGTGTCCCGTAAAAGTAGTGCCTGTTGACCGCGGAGATCCCCGCCCGTAGTCTCTGTCCAAATTCACTGCTGCAAAGCTGTCACAAAGTCAAACGCGTGCAAGTAGAATTGTGGCTTGCGTCGTTTTGCAGGTCGGTTCACGCTGAAGGGTCATGCCAAAGCCGGCTCCAAGCGTGATCGAGCGGAATCCTCATGCAAGCTGTGAGGTATTGTGTTGGAAGGCTGTCGTCGCATAGCGATGAGGCTGGGTTGCACGAGCACGGTGGTACGCAGGTCGTACCGTGCCGTGCATGCTGTCATCCGGGGTACGTGTATGGGTTGAGCCCTGTTATGGAAGCATGAGACTTCGGCTGCGACTCGGCGAGGCTGACTCCTGCAAGGTTGGCATTGATCTCATCGCCTCCATTACGGTGGCATTGCGCGAAAGTAGATTCGGAGCCCGGTTGGGCGTAATCGTCATCTGTGTTGTCGGTTCTTCATTTGTTTGCGCTCGCAAAACGAACATCTGAAACTTCTTCGCGCTACTGTAGCGTCTTTTAGCCTCGCGAGCTCCGACGCGTCCAAGGGCGCACCGACGCGTGCACATCATTGTACGCGCAGCCAGCTTGCCACACTCACACTTCAACTGAAATCACACAGGTGCAGACGTCACCTTGGCCACCACGGAATCAACAAATTCGGCTGCGCAAGCGCGAGGCTGGATCATGTGGTCTAGCTTCCTTTCCCGGGCGCGTCCTACCCCTGAGAGAACACCCGCACCTGCAGTACAGTGCACGGTCGACACATCGGAAGATATAGCTGTATCTGTGGAAGACAGACATATCGATATTTCGGAGTTGCAGCCGACGATTGTTCTGGACGATAGTGGTGACGCCACACTATTGGTCGGTACGGATTCAGCTGCTCTTCAGCCGGTCCAGGTGTCTTCGACGGCTATGACCCTGGCCAGCCCGGTATGGAAAGACATGTTCGAAAGACACCGGAAAGCAAACGGAGCTATTGAGGTACCTCTACGGGATGATGAAGTAGATGCATTGTACATTGCACTTCGGATAGCTCATCTGCGCTTTCATGAAATACCTCGGAAGGATGGGCTTACTATCGACGCCCTGCTTGAACTCGCAGTCGTGTGCGCCAGATACGATATTGTAAAGCTAGTTCGGCCATTCTTGGACCTTTACGGCTGGGCCCAATGCCATTATCCTGACACGGACGCTGGAGAGCGATGCGACCCTGCCTGGTTCTACGTTGCTTGGACCTTTGGGTACAAAGACAGCTTCCAACGTCTTACCCGGTTCATAGTGAAGAAGATTGGACTAGATGAGGACGGGAATGCCATTATGGACGATGGCCAGAAACTTCCGAAGTATATGCCGCCAGGACTTCTTGGTATGATTCAACACCATCTCAACGAGACAAATACGAACACATGCTAACCAGTGTCCAAGCACGCATGATGGAAATCCGGGAAACAACGATTTCGGCCATGCTGGATATCTTGTATGATATCTTGGACGATATCATACATGTTTTTGTTTGTCAAGTCGACGAATCATGGGAGCCCAAGTGCCGAGCCACGGTTTTGGGTTCTTTCATCTCTTTTCTCCTGGAGAACGATCTCTATCCAGCACGGCGCACGGCTTCTGAAACCCCCTTCAGCATCCAGAAGCTCTACGATCTGGCTTCTTCTGCTCAAATTTTGACACTCGAATCACATGACTATAGGGAAATGGCAATGTGTGTTCGAAGATCCAGTTGGGATCCAGCAAGCGTCACAGCTGATACCTTTAAGAACCATGGCGGACTGACTTTGCACAAGAAGTGTTTTGGAGCTTTCCACCTGCGGTCCAAGCTGAAGACTATCTATTCCGATATAGGTTCAGCTGTCCTCCAATCCCATATCGAGCACATGGATAGACAGGCTCTGAAATGAATTCTTTAGCTACTTCTAGTCGAAGGGAGAGTTTAAAGATGCAATACTTTGAGCAAGCATGTTCCGACCACTTTCGAGCCTCAAGGGTCAGCCAGCAACACCGCTATTTCCTGAATCACTGTTGGGAGTTACCCTTCGTGGTGAGGTCGAGCAATGGATGGTTTTCGTGGGATCACGTCGCTACAGCACGATGACGAGGCTCGGCTCGCGCTACCGCACGCAACAACAACACCCCGCTCGCAACGAGACTTGGTACTTGGCAACGACTTCTTCGACCTTCCCGATGTAGTCAATCAAAGTTCAACCCGCCCACTTCGAAGGTACCCCAAGCCATCGCCAAGGATGCGTAGCATGAAGATACCCGGTTGTACTCGGAATAAAACTGATAACAAGGCTGGCGAACATGGAGTCAAGCTTGGAGGCCATTGGCGTCGATAGTGCGGTTGGTGTCGGTACATAAACCTCGATGGTCTACGATAGTTCCAAGCTTCAAGGTTGACAAGCTTGCGATGCGTCCTACCATTTCTTCCGCAGCCGCCGTGCTGCTGGTATCTGCCGCACCTATTTTGGCTCAATTTCCTGCGGAACCAGTTGGCCTCAAGGTGCTAGAATCGCGCTTTGGAGATGGCGTAAAGATTACCTACAAAGAGGTTTGTACATCTCCGAAAATGACAGTTCTGCCAATCTAATGATCAAATCAAGAATTCGCTCTGCGAAACTACGCCTGGTGTGAAGTCTTTCTCTGGTCACGTCTACTTGCCTCCGGGAACTGCAGACCTGGGACAAGGGCAGGATTATCCAATCAACAGCTTCTTCTGGTTCTTTGAAGCTCGTGAGGATCCTGCAAATGCGCCACTGACGATTTGGCTGAATGGAGGCCCCGGGTCTTCATCCATGTACGGCATCCTGGAAGAGAATGGACCATGCTATGCGAACCCAGACTCGAACTCCACGCGGCCGGCAGAGTGGAGCTGGAACAGGGCTTCGAACATGCTCTATTTCGACCAACCAGTTCAGGTTGGCTTTTCTTATGACACTTTGCAAAACATCACTCGTGACCTCGTTACCGGAGAGGTCACACTTCTCAACGAGACTACACCCGTGCCTGAACAGAACACTACTTTGCTCACTGGAACTTTCCCTAGTCGCGAGGCAAACAACACCGCTTTTGGTAGTGTCAACGGTGCCGTCGCAGCATGGGAATTTGCGCAAGCCTGGTTCCAAGAATTTCCCCACTACTTGCCAAACGACACTCGCATCAGTCTCGCAGCTCAATCATATGGCGGACGCTACGGTCCCGCCATGATGTCTTTCTGGGAAGAGCAGAACCAGCGCATCGAGAATGGTACCCTTGGCGAAGAAGGCTACATCATGCATCTTGACACCCTACTTCTCATCTCAGGATGCGTCGACCGCTACGTTCAGTACCCCTACTACCCCGAGCAAGCTTTTCGTGGGAACGGATACGGGTTTGAAGCTGTCAACGAAACAACATACAACGCCATGGTCGAATCAGTCCCAGAGTGTCTCGAGCGCATTCAGAACTGTCGTGACGCTGCGGCGCAAGATGACCCCGAGAACCTTGGTATCGATGCAGGTGTCAACGAGATTTGCGAAGACGCTGAAACTTATTGTCGCGCCAACATCGTCACCCCATACAACCAGTACGCAGGCCGCGATTACTACGACATCTCCACCCCGTCACCGCCTCCATTTCCCCCTCCATTCCACGAAGGTTACTTGAATCGCGAATGGGTACAAGCTGAGCTCGGCGTGCCACTGAACTGGACCGGCAGCTCACCGCAAGCCTCCGCTGCATACCGCGACATTGGCGACTACCCTCGCGACAACTGGCTTGACGACCTCGGTTTCCTGCTCGACAACGGTATCAAAGTCTCGCTCGTCTACGGAGACTTGGACTTTGCTTGTCCCTGGGGTGGCGGTGACGCTGTCGCCAAGGCAATCAACTGGACTGGATCTGCGGGCTACGCGTCAGCGCAATATGCTGAGATCCAGACCAACGACTCCTATGTTGGGGGTCTTGTGCGTCAGTACGGTAACCTCAGTTATATCCGCACGTACCAAGCTGGTCACGCGATCCCTGCATACCAGCCAGAAACCGCTTTCAAGATCTTCTCACGTGCGCTGTTCAATCTTGATATTGCAACTGGAACTGAGTCAACTGCTGGAACGCAAGAGAGCAGCACGTACATGAGCACCGGCCGTCCGGATCCTAATGTGCAGTTTGACGCCTTCACTAGCGAGAGACTGACGTACTGCTACACCTGGGATTTGAGTTCTTGTACTGAAGAGACGGTCGACGCGGTTCTGGATGGTTCGGCAGAAATTTGCCAGTACCTTGTTGTCGACGCAAATACTACGCAGCTTTTCCCAGAGGTTATCGCGCAATGTCGTGCGGGCAGTGGTGGGAATGCTACGGCACCGGGTGGACATAGTAACAGTACGTTGCCAGAATTTGAAGGCGGTGCTGCGAGGGTGGGAGGACGTGCGTGGACGTTCTGGTCCGGATTGGTCATGTCGCTCGTCGTGAGCTTGACACTCTAGTCTGATAATGTCGACCATGGACGTAGATGCTAGGTATACAGCTTGCGCTCACAACCGTGCCAGAATACCAAAACCGCATCCCGAAGCATACATTACATCTTGATTCATAATTGTATCCCCTATTATCTACTCTTTATTACTGATCCTAAGCATCATATTGATCCTTAGCATCAATGTTCGCCCCAAATTTCTTAGCCTGTTCCCGTGCTACCTTGTCTCCAAGGCTGAGTTCACCACCTTCACTTCCCTTACCTCCATTTCCACTTTGACTCTCTCCACCCTTCTTCCCAGTCGCACTACCCTTACCACCGTCTTTGCTCTTATCACCGTGCTCCAAACTAGTCGCGCCGTGCAATTCCTCCACGTCAGCATGCCCCCCATGTTTCTTCACAATCTCATCCCCAGCTCCTTTGCTCTTCTCCGTCGCGTCAGCCACCCTTTGCGCACGCGCATCCATCTCCTGCCCTTTACTGCTAGCAGTCGACATGTTAACCTCGTCTTTATCCAGCTTTGTGAACTTTTGGTCAAGGTGAGAGCGCTCGGGGGAGGTAGCTGAGTGGTGCGGTTGGTCCCGCTTCTTGGAGCTCTTGGACGAGGTGTCGGTCTTCAGGTGGTCTGGGGTGGGTTCTTCGTCCTCTTCTTCGGTGGGGTCTTTCTTGGGCTCGTTGACGCCGAATTGCTCCGCGTCGTCGGCGATGGGTGCTGCGGCACCACCGGCGCCCATGCCGGGAAGGGCTAGAATAGGTTAGTACTTTTGGTTCGACCTTATATGCCTGTGTGGTTTTCGTACCGTCTCCTGCTTCCTGCTCGGGCATAGGTGCTACATGCTTGGTATGTTGAAGCGTTTTCTGTTGGTCACATGTAAGCAGGAGTACTTATGTTTCCAGTACACCGAAACACATACATCGCCTGAAGCACCATGAAGTAGCTCGTGACCCTCAATGGGGCCATTGTCGCCAGATCCATCTCCGTTGCGAGGCATAATGTTTGATTTGTGAGTTGACGAAAAGTTACGTGTATGGTTCCGAAGTATAGAAAGCTGGGTAGCAAGAATGTTCAACCACCACCATGATTACACGCGACCTTGATATACTGCCTGCACTAGCTTTCAGGTACCTTGGAAGTTGGCACATTCCCCAAGTTCTACGTCTTTGGTTCAAAGACGTCATAGCTTTTGTTTATTGTAAGTGCTGGCACTAATCGGCCACTAGGCGGTGTCGGAGATCGTCCGGCATGCATACAGTGGGCTTGCTTCTTTTCGTGTCTGACTAGCTTCTCAGGCACAGCACTAGATTGGAAGGTAATTACCAGTTCCCCAGGTTTTGTGTAGTCATCGCTCGGGGTTCAAGATCGACTTTTAGTTTTGGGGTGTGAAGCCTTTGTATGGAATGTACATTACAATATTAGCTGAGGGTATAATACAAATTGTTAGTGTCGCACACTCATTATAATCATCATCATCATCATTCCCCATTGTACAAAAAACAAATGAAAAGCTCAATACACAACCTTGTGGTCCCAGAGAGGCGCCTGCCTCACACTATTGTCATCCCACTCAACCTTACCCTTCTCATTCATTACCGCACCCTCATCCGTAACTTCAACACCGTAGCTTCCCAGACTTTCAGTCAGCTCAGAAACCTGGTTCTTGCTAATGCCAGCCTGATCTCTGGCTAGCCAGATGACTTCTTCGCGTTGAGCCAGGGCAGGGTGGAGGTAAGCCTCAAGAACGTCTTGTTTCGTGTATGCCGGGACAGGGTGGCGGAAGCGCGTAGTTAGGGAAGAAGAGATTTCGCTCGCGGAAGCAGTGTGAGAGGAGAATATCTTTTTGAGCATGGATCGTTGCTGTGGTGCGCCGGAGGGAGGTGCCATGCCAACGGCTTCGGCGCCGACGTGTTGGTGGCCTTCGTCGCTGAAGGTGGATACAAGCGCCGATTCAGATTGTCTGCTGTCATTGCGTCCGACGTTGCTGTATCCAGGATGCATGCCATTGCCCTCTGAGTTACTTCCGGCTTCGGCATCATTTCGCTGGCTAGGATGGTAGGAGTCGTCGAGCAGATTCATCTTCTTGATCTTGCGCTTCATAATAATGTGAAAGATGATGGTCGCTACGATCAACACGACCTGAAGCACAGTAGGACCAGCAGAAACGACGCTGTTGCCGATTCCGATTCCGAAAAGACCTAAAAGACAGAGCTCTCCAAGATAGACACCAACCATAAGTTGCTCAAGTGCGCGAGCGTAGAAACCACCCTTGGTGTCGATATGGGTGTCGTGAACGTAGATCATGTTGTAGCGATACGCAAGGTAGATGCACCCGATTCCAATTGTCGCAAAACCCAAAACGAGCGGCGCGATACACGCGTACGATAGGGCGATGACACCCAAGTTAGTCCATTTAGGATATTCCGCTCCCCACGATGGCTCAGTAAAAGATACGTAGCGCATGTACTTCTTTCTTGGAGTCTTTGCAAACTTGCTCAGGATGAGCACGCCCACCAAGCCCATCAGATTGAAGAGATACCGCGAAGCGTTGGCGAGTCCATAGAGGATGAAGTAAGAGATGTAGAAATTGGAAGCTTTGGGAAGATTCTTTGACAGCAGAGTGATGGCCGATGACGGGTTGCTGACGATCTGGCTAGCCACTGCTGAGGCGCTGGAGGTAAAGGTCGTGATGAGGAAAACTTGGATGACTTGGAAAGCAAAGTACCATATCTGGCACTGCTGTTCGACTTCCGAGACCGTAACGGCGCCTGCAAGCTTTGCGAAAACTATAAGGGTCAGCAAGAAGTTTGGATAATTTCGAGACTGTTAGCTTACAGCGACAAATGACCGGTACCAATGCCATGAGCACAGCAAGTAGAACAGTTGGCAGAAGTCCAGTGACCACACCAAGGATAACAGGCGGAATAGAATCGATCCAGGCTAAGAATGGCACATTGGCTGTGAGATAGTTGACGTTGCTGATGATACCAACAAGTGCCACAGGAATGGCCCAGAATATGATGAGGGCTGAGATAGCGATGGTTGCAAGGAAATGTCGGATCATTCTGTTTTTGGACCCCATGTTGAGGTTCTTCCAGATGACTTCGTCCGGCAAGACACCCATCTGTCGAGAGGAGAAACTGGTCGGCCTGCGGTGCTGGTTGTCATTGAAGGCAGCTTCGGCAGCTGCCATGGTGTTGAACTCGATGAAAATGGCGCTGGCTAGTTCCTCCTTGCCAGCGAGGTGGGACTGCTGTGCTGTCTGGATCTTGGGCAGCAGTTCCTTGATCTGGTTGCGGTAGTAGCCGATAGAGTCGACCTTATGCCCAATCAAAGGCTTCAAGCGGTGTGTGGGTCGCAATGCTTTGTCGGTTTCATTCTTCTCGTTGCTCTTTTTCTGCTGTTGTTTGGTAACGGCTGCCATGTACTTAATCTCACTGGCCTCTAGTTTGGGTACCGTTTTCTCGAGCTCCTCAACATCATCTTCTAGGTCCTTCACATCTGGGACTAGCCAAATCTGTGCCACCTCCGGAAACATGGTGTGAAGACGCTCAAGCGAAAGGTCTTTCTCTGGCACATCGGTGAACAAGACTGTTCGCTGCGAGATTCGACTCGCATTCCAAGTGGACAAGAGGTAGGCCTTTCGAACCTTGGCAAGATACAACATCTCTCTGCCGATAAGAAACAAGACCCAGCCGAAGAAAACCCAGGCCACAAGCGCATGGGCAAAGTATCGCACGTCATTTTCGATGTTGGAGAAGCTGAGGATGTCCAAGCCCGACTCTCCACCGCCACCAGTCGCGTTTACAGGAAAGAGTATTGGCCACGTGATGATGGCACCGACAAATGCCATCAGTGTGAGTACTTTCAGGAAGCGCATGTAGAGGTAGGCATCGAGAGAGTGGTGGTTGAGGACGTATTCGTCACTGAGATGCATAAATTTCGAAGTCCATCCGAAGAAACTCGAGCCTGCTGATGGCGTCTTTTCCCTATGCTGATATCAGTATTGGTCAGGTAATGGTGTCATTGAAGTACATACTCTTCGAACAGCGCATCGTGATATGTTCGCGGCGCATACAACCGCTTCTGCTTCGCACGTAGCACAAAGAAAGCTCCTACGAGAACAGCTGCGACTACGAAACATGGAACCAGCGTCGATACCATAGCAGACAGCGAAGAGCTGCTGGTACGATGGCTTCCCTGCTGTTGAGACATGGCGGGCGATGTCGATCGTGTAGGGGACGTCGCGATGCGAGAATGCAGTTCGTAAAACATCCCCCGAGCAGATCATCCTGCCTTCATGTATTGATTGTAATTGCCAATGGCGCTTGCATCATAGCACCCAAACTTTGGCGTTCTTCCCGTAAACATTCAGTGTCATAGTACATGGTCGGCACATGCGTTCCGACTAGTCGCATGGCCGATCAAATGAGATGAACCAGGGGCAGGTCGCGCGAAATCGGAGGCTGGAACGCAGGACGGTCAGAGGTTAGACAACGATCTAGCGTACCGGTTACGTCGATCCAAGACTGTAGCGCATGGTTCGTGAAGCTTGCGGGGATGAAGCTCGAACATGGACGCGGGGACCATCGCTGGTGTCGTCATTGTTATGCTGCGAAACTCGAATAATCTCTGCATAAAACAAGGCAGTGTATTCAACAAGAGGTGCTGGGCATTGGGTCCGCTACATCTAGCCTGCCGTTTTGCCGTATGGATTTATCCTAGAGCAATTTCGAAGGCATCTCGTCTGTCATTGTTCGAGGCAGACGTTTGTTGAGTGAAAGTCATGGGGCGGGACCTCACAGTCAAAATTTGCCCGAAGTGTTATGGCGCAGTCACTTAGCCACAATTAAGCATGCGCCACCGTGGAGTAGGTGGGTCGGAGTCTCCTTGCGATTCGTGCACGTCCTTAGCCCTTTCTCCTTTATATTCTTACACAACCATAAATCCTATCTATGCATCTTTGACGTTACCTGAGCATATTTCGCAGTGTTGAAACTAAGCGCAGGCACCTAGGAATTCTTCCCACAAACCTTCCTATCAGACATCTGCAAATGATGCGAGAACGTCCTCCGGCCTACCCTAAACCGGCGCGGCCCGCCTATGAGCACCGAGAACGCTGTTGCCAGCGGTGTCGTTTGTAGGCCTGTGAACAGTTGTTCAGCATCTCTAATTACTAGCATTCGCCCTGGTCTCACAAATCCTAGTATTGACTTCTATCTTGGATATACTACACGACGTCAATGACCGAGGCCTGCAAAGAAAGAACACTAGAGTCGCTTGCAATTGGCCACCAAGTACGTCAACGACAAGTGGACTCCTCCGTGGAGCTCGAGAAATTTCCACAGCCTGCGCCTTTCCCAAGTGGTCCTATAACATATCTACACAGAAGCGTTGGAAGGCAACGATACTCCAGAAACAGCAGCAGAAAACGGCCTCCTTATCTACATCAAGTACAGAAAATGAGTCGCTCCTCGCGATCGCTCCCAAGACCAGCCCAAGACATACCAAGATCTTCCCCGCAAGCTTACCCCAGATTCGCACACAACGTTACACATTGTGGCAATCATTACCACATTTGTTCAACTCTCTTTCGTGGATTTAAGAGGTTGTGGGTCTACGGAAAACATTTCGCTGCTGGAGGTCTCATGGCTTACTTGGCATCAGCGTGCTGCTGCTGTCACACGTCGACTATGGGTTGGCGGTGGCTTGAAGCATGAACTACAATGCTTGGAATATGCGACGTAGCTTTCGAAAGAGGCAGCGGTACATGCGCACGGAACGTATGACCTGCATGCTAACATTCGAAGGCTGGATGCTCTCTGGAGTCTATAATTGCACGACGTGCCGTCTCCTGGTGTGATTGATGGTACTAGACGAGACTGAACTTCCACTCGACTCCCTCTTGACTTGTCACTTGTCGTCCAATTACCATGACCATCATGACTCATACCACCACCAAAGATGGGTCCGCCGACCACATCGAGCACCTCGAAAAGGGTCTCGCCACACCATCAACCTCATCCAACACCATTGACCTAAAGCTCGCAGCCAAGCTGCGCCATCGAGTCGACTGGCGTCTAATCCCAGCCCTAGGCGCCATGTATGGTATCAGTCTCATGGATCGCAAGAACGTAAGCAACGCTGCGATAGCTGGCATGCTTTCCGATCTGCGCATGAGCCGTGGATACGGATACAACCTTGTCAACCTGTGCTTCTTCATCACATACGTCCTATGCCAGCCGTTCATGATCATCGTATGCCGCAAAGTCGGGCCGCGGCTGTTCTTGCCTGGTATCTGCGTTGCGTGGGGCGCGGTCATTGTTGGGTTTGGATTCACGAACAACTGGCAGAGTCTAATTCCATTGAGGTTGGTGCTGGGGTTGCTTGAGAGTGGATATTTTCCTGGTTGTCTCTATCTTTTATCATGCTGGTACACGAAGTGTGAGTCTCCATGATGCGGCTTGGTCCAAGTGTCTTGCCTGCAAAGCGCTGATCAAAGGTAGTTGAGGTCGCGAAGCGCTACAGCGTTTTCTACTTCGTCGGTAGTATTGCATCGGCAATGAGCGGCATTCTTGCATATGGGCTACAGCAGATGGAAGGTGTCCAGGGAATCCGTGGATGGCGGTGGTCAGTCCTAGCGCACATCAGCATCGTTTGACACGTCACTGACAGCTCTGCAGGATCTTCATCATGGAAGGTGTGATTACAATCGGCGTCGCGCTATTCGCCATCACATTCATTGTGAAATTTCCAGACGAAGAAAAGGCCAAACCGTCCTGGGGCTTTCTCAAACCCCACGAGCTTGACGTAGTGATCGATCGGCTCAATGCCGATAGAAACGATGCGACGGCAGAGAAATTCTCCTGGAAAAAGTTCCTGGAGCCAGCAAAGGACTGGTACATCTACGCGTTCGCACTCATCCTGCTCTTCGTCACAACCATCGCGTACGGTTTCGCCTTCTTCTTGCCCATCATTTTGTCCACCAAGCTCAAGTTCAGCATAGCGATGAGTCAATGTCTCGGTGCACCTCCGTACGCTGCGAGTGGCTTCTTGATGTACGGTGCAGCGTGGTTCAGCGACAAGTACAAGACGCGTGGTCCCGTGCTGGTGGTCTTGTGCTTGGTTTCGCTCATCGGATTGCCTATCATGGGCTTCGCGTCAAACCCTTGGGCGCAATACGTTGGTGTATTCATTACTGTATCGGGCACCAACTCTGCAATTCCAAGCGTCATGGCTTACCAGGCGAACAACATCCGTGGGCAGTGGCGACGCGCATTCTGCTCGGCTTCGTTGACAGGTATTGGGGGAATTGGCGGCATCGCAGGTGCTCTCATTTTCAGGACGGAAGATGCGCCGTCCTACGTACCGGGGTTTGCTGCGTGTATGGCGTGCAATGTTTTGGTCATTCTGCTGGTTGGAGTCTTGACTTTGTGGTTCAGGAGCGAGAACGCAAAGGCTGATCGAGGGGAGAAAGTGTTGTTGGAGGACCCTAATTTCCGCTTCACTATCTAGAGCAGTCGAGAAGAAGTGGTTTTCGGCAACCACATCTCCGGCACCGGCCTAATATTGGAAGCGTTCGCTTCATTTCGAGCTAGCGAATGATGACTGAGACCCACGTCTACACCAGAATGACATCTTCTCTTTCGATTGTTGAGAACGCCCCCGAATGCTCGTCATCCAGCTGAAAAGTGCCAACGCGTTCGTACGTGCCAGCGGTAGTGCCTAGTCGCAACACAAGACCGCAGCGCGTGTTCGGAGTTGAGGATGTACTCTCATGTACCTTGACTTGCATAGCATATAGGTGGTCGCTTGCCTCTTCAGAACCCATGAGCCCGATTTGATCATAAGTCATGAAGCCTAGGGATTCACCTGCATCTTCCCAAGCAATGTGATAGGTTCCCATCGTCCTGCCCGCCGTATTGTTTTCGGTGTACCGCTTCTGGCGTACGATCTGCGCAATGCCAGCTCGGAGTGTCAGAAAAGCGAGCCTGATACTCCCATACTCATTCAAAGTGTCCAACTCGACGTCGTGCCCAATGTATTCAATCGTGCTATCCTCCGGACGAATATCAGGCCAGCGTCCACCGCGAGAATAAGGAATGGTTGCGCCGTCCCAACGGGCCCACGACCAGCTCGGGGCTCTATAAACACCAGGGTCCGCGGGGTCTGTCATGGCTTCAGGACGCTCGGGTGCCCATAAGAGTGAATCGGCCAGGGCACCCAGCCACAACCCTGCGATGTATTGATCTTCTTCGTAGGTGACTTGTGTCAATAGGGTATGATTGAGTTCTTTTACAAGACCTGAGATTGCCGGGAACTTGTCGGAGGCGAAAGTAAGCTTTCGCCGACTGTAATCGGCTAGAATCTGGAACCACCAGAAATACACGGCTGACCTTGTTGCCAGAGTGTGATCCCATGAATCTGATTCCGAATCGCTGCCCTCAGAGGTTGACAAACGCTCACTGATCTCCGATCCAGATCTTGCAAGGGGGGAAGCTGCATCTTCGACGTCCTCGTCAGAGGATTCCTCCGAGGAGCTATCTGCGCCATATGTTCGGGTGAGCGAAACCGGTAGTCGCATGATTCTATAGCCACACTCAGATGCAAAACCTCTTCGGCACTCCCAGAATATTTGGTTTGCACTGAAATGAATGATTCTCCTCGCTAGATGTCGTTCTTGCAAGGTCCATGCGCGTTCATTCCAAGTCGATCCGTCGACATCTGTCTCCATGTGTTGGGTGTCGCGCCCTTCCATGTACCGCGCGACGATGGATTCGGTCACTACAGTGTCGGGGGACCCAACGGCCAACTGTCTATCTGGATAGCACGGTAGCGGGATCGTGAAAGTTTTATCCGCAAGCATGTAGTCGAGGAAGCCATCCTCGCTTGTAGAGGCTGAAGTTGCTGCGAGGGTCACGAACGCGGATCTGTACACCTTATCCATCTGCGCCCCTTCCTTGGCCCAATCTAAACTAGAATCTTGCAAAATGCACCTAACATAGAGGTGTGAGATCAGTGACAATCCCAGATACCGTGGGTGCAGTTGACATGACTCACAAACTGTCTATCCAGATATACCTCAATCCCAGCGCGCGGGTGACAAATATGGCGTGCTGAAAGTTCAGTGGCATGCTAATCGCTGTTAGTGGTAGCTTGCCATGGTACACGTAGTAAGCTTACCTCTCCAATGGAATACCGAGCATATGCGACTGTATATTAGTCGACAGCGTTTTCAGCATCCGAACACCAGGCCCAGGCTTGCCCCAGCAATGAGAAAGCGCAACATATCGAGAAGCAGGCTTGGAGGTGACCACCAGTCTCGGATCAGCCGTTTCATCTACTGCACCAACGTCGATGACCCGCGTCGGCCAAAAGTCCTCGTTTCCAGGCTCACATTGCCAATGAACCCCAGCGCACTTCGAAATCATCTGCTGGAGTCGCTCGATACACGCTGAAGAGTAACGGTCTGTCGAAGGAGGTAGTCGTCTAACTCTCATATGGGTGCTCGCGAACGAGCCTGCATGAGCAAAGACCTCGAAGTGGAGAGTGTGTGGTGGCGTCACTGGACAGGATACTTGCACCTCCAGCAATACGATACCCTCCTGCTCCGGGCTGAGCTCTGACTCCCAGAACGATTCGTGGAGCCACGTCGCGGGCCCAATCGTGACATCGCGAACGTCTTTTGGCCATTCAAGTGCTGATATGCGCTTCTTCAGCTCAGTGCAAAAAGGGCAGCCTTTGTTGGCTTCTTCATGTAAAACTGGCAGATCTGGTAATGTGTCTGACCGAACGTAGTCGACCACAGCTGTAGAGTACTCTTCTTCGACATTGAATATCTCGGGTAGAAAGATGCGGCGGCAAATCTGGCATAGGGGAGCGTCGGACGACATCCTCGCTTCCTCTCATGTTTGAGTGATGAAGTACGGTAACGAGCACGATGAGGCAGCGCAGCTGCCACCTACGGATAAGATCACGAGGTGATGCAGGCCCTCGCTTACCTACGGTCACAAACAGCTTAGGACAAGTAGCTCTTAGCTCTTAGCAGGTTAAGGCGAGCTACGAATGTTTTCTCAACGAACTCCTAGAGGTAAATCCGATGTTCGAGCGATGCGGTGCAGTTTCCATCCATCTCCAACCTTGTGGATGGTGGGGCAAGGGGCATCGACATTTTGACTGGGGTGTTCATTGGTCCTCGAGCAGCATTTCCAATGGTGCAGACTCTAGCACTAAGGGGAAAGTCGGAAGTAAGATTCAGAACACTAACCCTCCTTGCCCCAACCACGCACTACAACGTCGTAATAAAAAAATAAGAAAAGGTAGACAGATACAACACAAGGCTGCGAGTACTTCTAAAATTTTAGATTTAAGAAATTCGTACGTTGTTGAGGTGTGATAAGGGCTACCCACCATCAGCTTATTTCCAACTTTCCCCTTGGTGCTAGAGGCAGAGTATGCTAGATAACCCAATAGGCTCAGATTTGCTGTTCTGCAGGAGTGATCTCACTCAATAGCGTAGCATAAACTTCCACGATTAATGACATTACACTCGCTATAATACAAGCCTCTATCACCCCGCTACACACTCAGCTCATAAGCAACCTCGTGACAGCGCCGACATTCAACGTCCTCAAATCACTATAATGCTGCCCAGTACCCAGAAACACGACCGGAATACCCGTCGCATGCACCATTGACACCAACGTCCCCACCATGTCTCCCACAGTATCGCATTTTGATATGACAAAGCCATCGAGGTTCCTGCCCGCGCCGAAAGAAGCGTTAAAGTTTCTTGCTTGGGCTACTGAATCTGTGCCGACGAGGGCTTCACCCACCATGAGGATTTTGTCTGGATTGGCCAATTTGCCGAATTTCTCCAGCGAAGACATGAGGCGTTGGTCGTTGTGGCGGCGACCGGCAGTGTCGATGAGAACGACGTTGAAGCTGTTCTTTGAAGCAAAGGTAACGGCGTCGGCAGCAATGTTTGCGGCGTCTTTGCCGTAGCCCTTCTCGAAGAGGTCGACTTGTCCGCCTTCTCTTTGTGAGAGCTCTTTTAATCGGTCTACGTGGACGCGTAGCTGTTCGACGGCTCCAGAACGGAAAGTGTCTGCTGCGGCGATCAGGACGCGGTGGTGGTTTTGGAGCAGGAAGAAAGCGATTTTGGACAGGTTTGTTGATTTTCCAACGCCGTTTACTCCGACAATGGAAAGTACGTAGGGGCGGGATGTAGTGGCGTTGGTGTGTTGGATCTCGCGAAGGAGGTCGAGGGAGGATGTTGGGGTAAGCATCTTGGTAAGGGCTTTCTCCATGGAGGCTTTGAGGGTTGTCTCAATTGCTGTTGCAGTAGTCAGTATACATGCTTGGTAATAATTAAATGAGTTGACTGACTAGTGAAGCTTGGAGTCTTCATGCCCACAAGATCCCGCTCGACGCTTTCGCACAATCGTACTGCTGCTTCGAGAGCTACGTTTTTGCGAAGAAGATGCTGTTCCATTTCTTTCAGAGGCTTTGCCAGTGCCTCCTTGGTGAGTGTCTTGCCGCCCACTACGTTCCTGAAGAGTCCACCAATTGCACCCAAACTGGATCCTACGAGTCCACCAGATGCTGCGGGCGCCTCCTTCTCCTTCTTTGCATTCTGCGCTGCGATGATCTCGTCCATTTCTTCGTCGAGATCCTTGAGCACAAACTCGCCCCTGTTCGTCTTGTGGCCCCACGTCTCTGGCCTAATCTCCTCGAGCGCTTCGTTTCCAGAGGCATCGCCTTGAATATCTGACTGCGAATAGTCGAGCACAGAGTCGTCCTGCTCTTCTGCGCCAAATTCACCCCACACTCTGCCTTTTTTCGCTGAGCCCTTGCCCTTCTTCTTTGCTGATGCTTCGTCGCCCGATGATACTGGCGCCGAGCTGAAAGCCGAAGCCTTCTTCTTGTCTCTCCGTGACATCTTGCCCCCGAACGGCCTCGCCTTTCCTGTCAGGAGCTGACTTTGGCCAGGTGTGCTAGGCCGCGAAGTATCTGGCGTAGGCACTGGTGTGGAATCGGCACTCGTATCGTACAAGGACTGCTGTGGTTTCTGTAGCGCGGCTGGTTTGGGTGCAGCTTCGTCGGCGCTGTCGTTGTCGGTGCTCGATTCGGGTGTGGTGAGCTTGATGCTTGGTGCGCCAGAGTCGCTCGCGCCTTCCAGGTCGTGCATCTGGCGGTCGAAGTAGGTGCCGAATTTATCGCAGTTGACCACACTGCTGTGTTCCGTCTTGAGCTGCTCGCCATAGAGGCCGACGAAGAGCGCGCGCACATTGTCAAGCAGTTTATCCACCCAAGTGAGGTGAACCAGGCTTTGGTATACCGCCTGTGGAGAAGTCAGCCACTGTACATATCTATGTTGCAATGCGCCGTGACTCGACTGCCACGCATTGTTGGTCGTGGCACATCAAGACATACCACAAAGATGAGACCGAGGTCCTTTGCCGCCGTCCATTTCAACGTGTATCCCTCCTTCTTGTACGTAGGCTTCGAGCCAGCATCCTCGGACTGGGGTTGTATGCGCTCCTCGATGAAGACATCTCGTATTAAACTGTTGATGACGTTTGCGCCGACCGGGACGTAGGTGCGCGACCACAAGACGACACCCGAAGTGGTCACTATCTCAAAAGTGTCCAACATGGCGAGGGTGAAAGGCGGGGCAAGTGTTGCGAAAGGGAGACGTGGTGGTGCGGCGGGCACATGTGGGCGATGGGCTTATGACGAACGGCCGTGCGCGCCTCTTGCCAGATGGTCGGAATTCGGAGGTGCCAACGACACCGCAGCTCAAGGCAGAAATTCAACAACAACCACGGCGACGTGTTCAATTGCGCATCTCCAAACTGTGTCTCCTTCATCCTGTACTCATTCTTGAAAACCACACTCGCTACACCAACCACTACCGCCACCGCGACGCGCAACCATGCAGCGCCCCAACTACGGCAACCCACCACCGGCGCATTCACCACCCTGTACGTATCGTCATGTCTTCGTTCGCCTCTCCAACGCATCACATATACTGACTCCTGTTAGTACATCACCCAGTTCCACAACACGTTTCCACAGTTCCCCAGCTACGATCACCGCCTCCTCCGCAACCCCCTTCACAACCCCAAAGCGGCTATGGTTACGGACAGCAAGCAGGAGGCATGCCGCCTCAGCAGGGCGGATATGGCGTGCACCCGTCCTTCGGCGGCTTCATCAACGACCCCACTGCCCAATTAGGCTTCCAGATGGGAAAGAGCGCAGTCGATGCCGGACAGCACTACATGGAACAGAACGTATGTACCCGCATGCAATAGCACCCTGCCCACTGATGCATGGGCAAAGTACTGACAGCCCCCCCAGCTAGGACGATTCGTCTCCGTATCAGCACTAAAGCACTACTTCAACGTCACAAACTCCTACGTCCTCACCAAACTCCGCATCATCCTAATCCCATGGTGGCACCGCCCCTGGTCGCGCCAACAACGACACGCGCCCGACCCCTCAGCCTCCGCTGCGCTACTATACCAGCCCCCGCGCGAAGATGTGAATTCGCCAGACATGTATATTCCCACCATGGCGCTGGTGACGTACATTCTGCTTTCAACCTTCATTGCAGGTCTGCGCGGCGCTTTCAACCCCGAACTCCTGGGCACAACGGCTACCGTTGCCATCGCCGTGACTTTACTCGAAATCCTCATCATCCGAACTGGCACCTTCCTTCTCGCTATCAGCAGCTCAAGCCAGCTCCTCGACCTCGTCGCATACAGTGGCTATAAATTCGTACACGTCATTGTATCGCTCCTTCTTACCAACTTGGCGACTTGGATCGGATTTGGCAGCTCGTGGGTCGGCTGGGTCATATTCTTGTATTGCTTCAGCGCAAACTCGTTCTTCTTGCTTAGGAGCTTGCGATATGTGCTGTTGCCCGATATCAGCTCCCAGAATAGCTACGGAACGCCCGCTGCAGCGGGATACACGGATTCAAAGAGCCAGAAGAGCCGGAGGACGCAGTTCTTGTTCGTTTACAGTTATGTGGTGCAGTTTGGGTTTATGATTTGGCTGAGCAAGGTATGAGTGGGGTGTTCAAAAGAGGGATGAAATCTATACTGGGAAGGGAAACGACGAGGCATGTCGTATTCAGGTTGCGGGTTGGACTTGAGAGCACATGCAAAGCCATGCGCTTGTGCGATAGCCCATGTCAAAGAACTGAGCACGCAGACAGCCTGCACAAGGAAAAGAGACGCGTATGAGGAACACGATGTAAACGTATTTATCAGCGTTCAGCGTCAGCATTTGCTTCCTCAATATCAAAAAATCTTGCGATTGGAAACTGAAATGCAATAGGCTACAAGAGATGCCCATGTTGAGAAGTCTATATGCATTTAAATCATGTTGACCGAGATAGGCGACAAACGCCCAAGATGATCGGAATACTACTCCTGAAACCCAGTCGTGTGACCATGAACACCATACCTCTTCCATAACGCCATACCCATACACGCCATTGACTCGATTTCAAAACATGTCATCTACCCAACAACAGGAATAATTCTCCCCGCCGCCCTCATCTGGCCCCTCTCCTCCTCAATCTCCTTCTGATAGTCCAACACCAACTCTCCAAACTGCTCAATCTGATCCTGAGCCTTTGGTGCTCCAATCAACACAATGCCCCTGGGCACAACCACATCATTTACCTGGAAGCACCCAAACGTAACCACCTTCTTGATCGCAGGACACGACCGGAAGACACCAGCGACAATCTGCGTATCAACCACGGGACAGAAAGACAGGTTGATCTCGCGGAGATGAGGATATTGTTTGGTGCCGTCAAAGACTTCTGTAAAGGTCGTGTGGGAAATGTGGCGGCAGGAAGATATGTCTAGGAACTCGAGGCGCGAGCCGGAATGTGCCATCAGCGCGCGAAAGCCGTTGGAAGCAAGGCCGATGGGTTCATCCTCTGGGCCGTCGGGGTTGGAGTTGTCCATGTCGCGAGTGGAGTTTACGTCGATGTAGTGGAGGGGCGGGTTATCCCAACTAGAGAAGAGATTGACGTAGCCAGTGTCGGTGCACTCGTTGTTTTCAGTGAAGCGAAATTTGCTAAGTTGGTGGCACTTGTTGTGGATGGTCTCTAAGACGTCGTCGGTGGGATCTGTCGTGTTGTCGAGAAAGTGCTCTAAGCATAGGGTGCGGAGGTTGGCGCCGACGGAGTTTACCAAGTGGACGAGCTTCTCGCGGGTGATGGGGTCGTAGAAGCGGAGTGTGAGGTGCTTTAGGTGCTTCAAGTGAGCTATGGCGTCGATGCTGTCTGGGCCAATCTTCTTGCAACGCTCAATCTTCAGACGCTCAAGGTTCGGACAGAAAGTGGTGAGTGCTTCCACTACCTGGTCGTCGAATGCGGCGTCCAACCACTCCACCTTTAGAGTCTTCAAATCTTGGCCTCGGGCGATGAAGAGTTCAGCCCATTTATCGTTGGAGACAAGGTTAGCGCCCAATAATTGAATCTCTTCAAGCGCCTTCGCCTTCTCGTTCATGTAGTCGATATTGCTGTCCTTGAACTGGCAACAGTTGCGAAGAGACAGACGCTTAACGTATGGGCAAACTGCAAAGATCTGATCATAATCCTCAGTCTCGAGGTATGCAGCCTCATGAATTGCAACCGATTGCATATCGGGCTGGAGGAACAACTTCATCGTGTTGGAGTTCATCGCACGCTTCTTCGAGAAGATTTCACTGATCCGGTTCATGATGCCCTCTGGCATCTCGCCCAATTCGTCAATGTCTTCAGAATGTTTGGCGAGCTTCTCAATGCACAGTTGTTGTAGCGTCTTGGGTCCGCGCACAGTCATACCATCGAGGCGGTTACTCTCAATCTTCCTTCGGCCCTTGCGCACGACGGGCTTAGCTGCCTTCTTCTCTGCCTTTGCATCTTTCACCATCTCTTTTCCACACGGTGTACAAAGAAGTCCACCTTCTGGACCCGCCTTGCTGTACGGTGTGACGGTAAAACGCTTGTTACAAATCTCGCAGTTCTCCAGCTGTCCAGGAAGCGGCTTAGCCTTCTTGTACATGTCCATGACGTCCTCAAAGTCGGAATCGTCATCTGAGCCCTTCTTCTTTTTCTTTGACGCCTTCTTAGCCGCCTTGCCTTTCTTTATCTTTGCTATGGCCTCCTCTTGGTTACGTTTTCGTTTGCGGGAGCGTTCAGCTGCCATCGCAGAGGACTCTGCTTGCAGGTCTTCTTCGACATCTTCGCCTTCTTCACCAGCATTCGACGGTCCTTCGCCGTTGTCTTCTGCTTCTCCGGCGTCTTGCTCTGCTTGTCGAACACGTTGTTGGTACGAGTCACGGATCTCTGCGGCGGAAATGTTGTTCGCCTGGAATTCCCTGATTAGCAAATATCCCCTCCAAGTACCATCTAACATGAAGTTTGCGCCACCACTATTGCGCTGACACAGCCGCCTTCGACCTTGATATCGCAAAGCGTAGATGCTGTATAGCCTGGTCGCAAGGATATGAGTTACTCACCGCCAGAAAGTCTGTCAGCGCGGAATGTGGCCCTCGAATACCTGCACCTCTGCCTGCGCCTCTAGGTCGTCGTCCGGTCCTGTCGCCACTCGTCAGTATTGCGCGCTCGCTCACTTGAATTCCTAAACTTGACTTACATGATTTCTGTATTCTTCTCCTGTTAGGTTTGCGATTTTCAAGAGAGCGAATTGATCGAAAAGTGTGCGGAACAATTGTGCTGATTGAGTCTGCTTGGGGCGAGTGGGGTGAGACATCGATAGGAAGGCGCGTCGGGGTCCGGGCATCCGCAGTCGCGCAGTCACGTGGTGGCAATTGGTTGCTTGTTCCGGATTAGTCTACCCCTGACAAGTCTCTCACTCTCACCCTCGCAGGTATGGGGCTGAATGTAACGCCATCGATTGAAAATTTGAACTTTTTGTAAGACTATGAAGGCCCCGTCAATCTCCATTAGGAAACTTCCCAGCCATATGGTCGCAAGTCATCCCAGTAAAACAAAATAAATCCCCAACGCCTATCCATCCCAAAGTCCCAAGCCTTGCCGAATCCGACCGCTTGCTTGATTTTGTATCCTTCATCTCTAGCTTCCCTGTTCACACAAGGGAATTATTTAACTAGATGATAGTATCGTCATCACTGTCATCATCGTCATCTTCGTCATTCTCCTCTTCATCGTCATCAGAATCCCAAGCACCAAGGTCAGAGCCAGTCTGTCGAGCAATGTCACCCATAGGCATCTATAATACGGTCAACATGGGTGTTGGCTACACACCAAGGTTATTCGTGTTCGTAGGACGGGATCCCTTCATATCGCGCTATTGAGACAAACATACCATAGGAGGGCCGCGAGGAGCAGCACGGATCTTAGCCCATCCATTGGGACGAACATCAGAAGTATCGGAGTATTCAGCTACGCTGGAAGCGAAGGAGTGAGCAGAACCGGTGACTGAAGAAGCGGGACGACGGTAAGCATTAGGGTTGAAGCCAGAGCTCGTGCTGGGAGCTGCATTGGACTTGGTGTGCCATGATTTGGTGCGTTGTTCGCTCCAGCCGCCGTCGCTGTTGCCCTTTCCATGACCAGCGGCAGCAGCGTATGTGTACTCGGTCTCAATCAGGCTCTCATCCGCTGAGCCAGTCATGGACATAGCCTTTTGAAAGTCAGCCGACAATGCGATACCTCCGTCTACCATGTCTTTGTGTTTAGGGCGCCGATCTCCACCATTGACGGTCTGCCATTCATCGTCGCCCTTTGGAAGTCAGTACAAAAGCCACCATGTAGCGGCACCTGCCGATGCCGCATATAGGTCATGCGAGAACTCACGTAGTTGGAAGAAGTGTCAGTTGTGGCCGAGGAGAAATACTCAGGATACTGGCCGTTAGAGTGGTCCGCCGGAAGGAAAGCGTTCTCCAAGTTCTCATAGCGGTCTTCGTCGACGGCTTCGTCCGCAAGCTGAGCTTCGATACACTTGAAGCATTTGGCAGTATCGGGCTTTGCACGCTGCGATTTGGCAAACTCTTCCAGGCCTTTAGTTTTACCGCACATGGTGCACTCGACCTCGACCTTCTGCTGCCCAGTACATGCCTGACAGTTGATAGCCTTGTAAATCTTGGCCGAGTTCTTGATTTGCCAACGCGCATCGGTGAGCTGCTTGGTAGAGTACTTGGCTTGTGGGAGGTTCTTCTGACACCGACCGCATTTGATCTTGATGGGGAGCGGGATGCCCTTGAGCCTGTGAGAGTAGTCAGCAGCGGATCCATCAAGATGCAAGTGTCAGTGAGCAGTTACAACGTCTATGTGACGATAACAATCATCGCCCACTGAGATTGGTTGCACGTACCTGTCGATCTCGTCTTGATTGTAGGCGTGCATATTGCGGCGGCCTCCCATTGTGAGCCACTGGTGTTGTAGACGAGTGAGGAGTTGTGATAAGATTGAAGCTGAGATGATCCTAACGAGAGTCTTTGTACAGATGCGAGGACCAGCTTGTGGTGTCTCAATGGAGGCTATTAATGTATGTGTTTTGTTTGGGTCAAATATAAGGTGAAGGCAGGCACGAGTGAGAGAAGCTGCAGCCCTCCCAAACATGACATGTGATAATGCGATCTCGGTGGTGAGCTTGTCTCGGTGTATGGAAAGACCTCTCGTTTCGATACCAGTATCTAGCATCTTGTATTCCAATGTCGTCGCAGTGCCTGGTTTTACTGGTAGTCATGACGCACTCAGCCCGGAGAGGCCAGGATCGTCTATGCCGTCCAATCTTGAAGCGGCTCAACATTACTATTATACGAATTGAAGATTACTGGAGGGTTCAAACCATTTTCTCAAAATTATTAGCAATAAATGCCCATTTTCAGAGAAGTGCCGAGTTCCGCTTGTGTATACCATGAGCGAATTTCATCAACCTTTGTAGCTGTTTGTTATACTTTCACATTGAGAATGTGTTTAGGGCCATCATATGGACGGCAGGTGTGATTATTTTATTTCCATAGCGACTGCTCCTGATTTATATAGCAGGGATTCGCAGAACGTGCCTCCATGACTACATCTAATCATCACCACCGCCGATCGGGCCGCTCACTTGCTTGGCCGACTTCGCAGCGACGATATCGTCAACCCTGAGCAGTAGGCAAGCGCTCTCAACAGCAGTCTTGACACTCTGTTCCTTGACCGCTAGAGGCTCCCATACGTTGTATGACTTCATGTCGACAACCTTTCCTGCATCACCGTCGATACCCCATGTGCTGCCACCGTGCTTGCCGTCTTCGTAGCCCTCTGCGTGCTTCGCGCGCAGTTGGGTAAGCACCTTGATCGGGCTGTTTCCTGAGTTCTGAATGAGCGTGCGTGGGATGACCTCCATGGCTTCGGCGACGGCCTTGTATGGCCACTGTGCGACACCCTCAATCAACTTGCCACGCTGGCCCAGACCAACCGCGACGGCCATCTCAGTTGCACCACCACCGGGGCAGAGCTTAGGGTTCCAGATAACGTTCCTGGCAACACCCATGGCGTCGTGTAGATTCCGCTCAATCTCGTTCAGGATGTCTTTTGAGGGTCCACGGAGGAGGATGGTGCATGCCTTCGGGTTCTTGCACTTTGTGAGGAAGGTAAAGTATTCGTCACCGATCTTAGAGATCTCGAAAAGACCACACTCTGTACCAATGTCCGAAGCGGTGGCGGAGAATACGGAGTTTACGATTGTCGCACCTGTCGCACGGGCGATACGGTTGTTGTCGGTCTTACGAACTCGGCGGATGGCGGTGATGTCGGCTTTGACGAGGTAGTGCTGTGCGAGATCTAATTCATGTTAGCATGATTGCAACAAAGCATGACCAGCGTGACTTACCGCTGACGCCCTTCTCGGTAATGACAAGATCGGGCTTGAGAGCGATGATGGCATCGCACATTTGCTTGACTTGCTCCTCTTCGATTTGAAGGATCCTGTTCCAGTCCTCCTCTTTGCTAACCTCAATGTTTGTCTGACTCTCTCCCTTCTTGTATTCTAGTGTGCAGTCCAGCAGCAAAACCTTGGGGTTCTCGATTCTCCGCCTCATCTTGGGGTGTGTAATGTCCTTGTTGACCATGACTCCGTCTAGAACTTCGCTGTCCTCGATCTCACCTCCGGGGATCTTCTCGATACGTGCGTAGCGCTTGATGTCGACCTCCTTCTTGCCAGAGCCAATGTCGAGGGAAACGGTCCGCACCGCCTTCAAAGCCAGTCCGCACATGAGTTCCGACCACCGCGTTACGAACTTTGTGCCGATCGAAGAGCTAATGATCTTGTACATCTGCTCGTCGTTGTTGACGTCGACTTCGACCGCGATCTCGCTGATGATTTCGAGAGCATCGGCGAGTGCCTTCTTGAACGCTTGGATAATGACGACGGGGTGGATGTTGCGCTCAAGCTGGGGCAGAGCTTGTGCGAGGATTTCTCCCGCTGTTGATTGTTAATCCATGCCTCTTCTCCCCCCCCACACTTTGTACGCACCTAATATGATGACGGTGGTTGTGCCATCGCCGACCTCCTCGTCTTGTGTCCTGCTCAACTCAATCATGCTCTTGGCAGCTGGATGTGCGACTTCGATTTCTCGGAGGATAGCGTGGCCGTCGTTGGTGAGGACGATACCGCCCATGGGATCGAGCAGCATCTTCAACATGGCCTTGGGACCGAGGCATGATCTGATAATGTCGGCGACAGTCTTAGCTGCTGTGATGTTGGATAGTTGAGCTTTGCGGCCAAACTGGCGCTCCCCGCCCGGGGTCTGGGTGTCTGTTGATGTGTTAGTGGGCTGCCGCAGCTTCAAATCGGTGGCTAAACATACTCATAACAACCACTGGCGCCTGCATCTTGAAGAAAGGCGTCTCAAAGCACGGTGTACAAGGAAGAGGGGGTCGAAAACAGAGTTGCGTGGGGTATCTTGCGTCTGGTGCCTTGCAGCTCCTCCACTAACTTTTGCTACCAAAAACCGCGTCGCAGCGCCGCCACTATCCCGGCGCGGATTATCTGCGACCGGTCACTAGCCACAGTTGAGCCACTTGTCTGCAGCCAATGCTGAGTCATGCTCTTCAGCTCGATCGACGGCAACTTCCACCTACACCCTGGTCGTCCCTGCCTTACACAGCGCCTTGGCGCCTGCCGCATGCGGTAGCCAGACCTCGCGTGACGGCCAATACGCGCTAGACTTGCCCTGGAGATCTCTCGCCGGACTATTTTACCCTACATTCTGCCGCCGTTCACCGCGTCGCAGCCAGCCTCTCACGGGACTTGCGCGCAGCTTACAAGACGGCTGTGGTGCCCTCCAAACCTTCCTTCCTTCCTCTCACTTCTTTTTGCGCCAAACTTCCGCACACAGCCTTTCTTCTGTTCTTTAACTTGAACACTCCCGCACCTCGATCGGTTTCCTTCATCTTACCACCCCCATCACCACATCCATCACCCATCATCTCCATCGCGCCTCACCATCGCGCCTCACCATCGCGCCTCACCATCTCGCCATCATCTTACCCCATCGCTGTCCCTCCTAGTGACTTCATCAGAACGTCGCATGCTCACTGTCTTGTCTTGACCACGACAGATCTTTGTATCCTTCACACACTTTATTGTTACTAAACTACTAAACACACAGCATGGGTCTTAACTACTACGCTTCTGCGCCGACCGTCGTTCTGGCGCCCCAGCAACCACAGGGCTACTTCTCCCATCACCAGAACGCCGCATCACCAATGGGTAATTTCCGCCCCAAATACCCTACTCCGCCTTCGCTCAACTATTTAGCCGCCGTTTCCAATGCCACCGCTGGTCGCAAACGATCCATCGCCGACGTCGATGAACCAGAGGAGAACCTACCCGCCGGATCAATCGTTACTCAGTCGCCTTCAAAGCCCAAGCCCGAGCCTGTCTATGGCCCAGGGATGACCCTCATCTACCCTGGAGAACCTGGCTACACCATGGCAGCCGAGTCGCAATCGGGCACCTGGTACGAAGAGAAGATCGAGAAAGAAGAGAAGGCTGACGCCGCCCGCCCTATCGCTGTGTCGCGCAAGTCGGTACGGATGAGCCCAACCGCCAACATCGAAGTCCCCTCCCTCAATGACATGGATGCTCAAAAGACCGAAGAGCTCATCGACGACAAAGGCAACACCATCAACACGCTCATCGCATCCCTCGGGGTTGGCTGGAAGAACGTCATGACAAACCCCAACCTACGCGACGCAGCGCGCGCATACTCGCGCGTCATTGAGCGTCATTTCGATTTCACCGATGTCCTTGTTATGCTGGAGAAGGAATCACTCAACGCTTATCTGGTACGCGCGAAACAACACGGCGTCCAAGGCTACTGGCTCTTCTCGGACAACCTTCAATGGTGTCAGCTCATCGGCTGGTCGTTAGAACGCACAGTCAGCAACCTCATGTTCGGTTCAACCCCGCGTGTCGAGGGCGAGCGCATCAATGCCCGTCAACTAACGCCATCGGAACCCGCTACTACACCCACCCCTCAACCAGTGGCCGACATTCCTATGGCGGCTGCGGATACCGACATGATGGAGATGTGACGCGTCTCATCTCTTCTTTTCTCTTCCTTCCCATTTTCCTTACGGCAACAAAACACAAATCGGTTTTCATTTCGGCTGTATTGATTTACGGTTTTCGATGTGGGTTCTTTCTACGGCGAATCGGCGTTGGTGGTGGGATCGGATCGATCACCGGAAGTGACTCTATCTGACATGTACTATATTATTATGATGCCTACGCCGTGATGCTTGATCAGACATACTCGATCGCGTCTGCTAGCACGTGCCACTAAACTTACCAGGCAATAAACCAATGAAACTATGATCATCATTTATCTACTTTCCTGCAAATGCTGACGCTGAATTTGATTCCCCCGAAATCTGACTACACATTTATTTCTCTCCTGCCCGAAAACTCGAATTACGCTTACTAGCAATTCCGGCGCTATCTGAGAAGCTGACCTACAGTGCTTCTCATTCTTGCTTCGCAAAGTAAACACACCACTATTGCAAGCCCTGCCAGGCACGCAATTTTCCAGACTTCTATTTTCAGTCGGATCTACGCTCGTTTAACACGATCAAACGCGCTTCCGCGGTGATACAACCAGAGCACAGAGAAGCGACTGCCCTGAGCGACTGCCCCAAGCGTCGGCCGGAACAACCGCTCCTCAGCAACGCGAACATGTCGCGCGGACGACGCGGCATCGCGTTTCCCGGACAGCAACCTCTCCCCAACACGATTCTGACTCGTACGAACGGTGTGAATGATTCAAATTACCTGGCCTCCATCTGTGCGCATTGCTGTCAGCAATGCGAGCTTTGGCACACCACCCAGGATGCCTGTTTCACCAGCCGCTGAAGGCTGACACGTGACTACCCTTCTTTCGGGAGGATTCTTTCCGGCTTTCCCGTGGTTTTCCGCCCTTGACGAAATCGTAGCTTCGAGCTAGCTCATTCTGCGGCTTTACGACATGATAATCCTTCCTTCAGCTCTTCGAACCCCTGAATCTACGAGAATCTACGAGAATCGCTCAGGCAAGATCTGGCGAGCACACAATGACGTCCAGTGAAGACGAGTGAGCGCATTGAGATCAGGCTGGTGTCTGGACCTTCTTTGACGCTTGTCGTCGACACTGTACTTCTACATATTTCACGCGCCTGCGAAGAAAACATCACGAAACCAAATCGTCGGTTACAACACCCCGATTCGTGCATAACATATTTAAGATTGGTATGCAAGAAATGGCCCCCAAGGTGGCGCAACAACATTAAGATAAGATGTCTTTCGCATGGTGCAGCTAGTTTCTTCGAGTTTCTTTCGCTCCATTTGAATCTGGCTATCCTCGTCGCTTTATCAAACGCAATGTTTGAGCCTGTTCCGTCCTTATCGCGCACCACGAAAAGACTAACCCTACAGCCGCGATGGCAATCCGATGGCAGTTCCGAGATGAATATACCGCTTACTACCTTGAGCGATAACGACAAGCTCCCTTCAAGCAGCTCACACGAATTACTAAACGCCCATATGAAGAAACAGTCAATATTCGGGCGACTCGGGCGTTCTGCAAAGGGATACCTAGGGCCGCGTTTCGCTGGGTGGCGTTTTGGTGTACTGAGCTTCGCACTCGGTGCCTCAATCGTCCTTCTAATAAACATCGCTGCCACGATATCAGCTTTCACTGTCCCATCTGACGAGAAGGGTGTATTCTTTGACGCGGATTGCGTCTACGTGAAGCGCTTGAATACTGGGCTCCATCTCGCCATCAACATTCTTAGCACCATCATCTTGGCTGGGAGCAATTATACAATGCAGTGCTTGTCAGCACCAACACGAAGCGAAATTGACGCTGCCCACAGCTGCAAGCCTGCCTTACATCTCGACGTTGGCATACTCAGTATACGCAATCTTAGCTATATCAGCAAACGAAGAAAGCTTCTGTGGCTCCTGCTTGGGCTCTCTTCTCTACCACTACATCTTGTGTGAGTCCAGAAATCATCACGAAGCACTTCCTACTCACACTTGTCAGTTACAACTCTGCCATGTATGGATCGATATCTACGAACAGTTACTATGCGTTCTCTGTAGGCGAAACCTTCACAATGGATGAGCAGTACACAAATTATTCAAACCTCCTTCCGAACACGTACAATCAGGATAAGAGCGAAATATCATTTGTACTCGAGGATCTCTGGAATAAAGCAAATGCGGGCAGCCTCGAAAAGCTCAGCCCTTCCAGATGTATTGATGAGTACGCCACTAGTATACAGTCCAATCGACGAAATCTGCTCCTCGTCTCCGACGACGACAGGCTACCCTCGTCAACGAATAATTACTTCCTGAATGGCTCCCACGTATATTGGTATGACAAATTCAGGACAGAGGATTGGTTTACCCCTAAGAAAACGAGCCTCAAATTTGAGTGGATATGCCAAAACATGAACGACAAGAGCCCGCCTTGCTCAGCTATGGTCGAGGATATCAAGAAGCAACCGTGGCATGTTGGAGAACTCTGCTACGACAAAGAAAACTGCAAGCCTTCAGATGCGCCAGTGAAATACTGTCTGAGTGAGCGGGCTGAACCCCGTTGCAAAATTCACTTTGAACCCAGTATTGCGATTGTGGTCATTGTTTTAAATTTTTGTAAGTCCAAGTTTCATTTTTTCTTCTCGATGTAGCAATTGTAGCACGAATTGATTCACGGCCATTCATCGTCTAACAGCTTATCTAGTCAAAGCCGGCCTTATGTTTTACATCGCCTTCTGTGTTAACGATGAGCCGCTCATGTCAATGGGTGATGCAGTTGCCTCTTTTTTAGGTAAAGAGGACATCGAAACCAAAAACATGTGTTTGTCTTCAATGGCAAACTTTAGAGACGGCAAAGGCTACAAAGTAGGGCCGCGACAGTACAGTGGTGAGACATACCGTTGGAAAGATGTGACCAGTATATTGAGAAGATGCATCACTTTGATAATGTGGGTCATGCAGTCGATACTTTTGCGGTTTACTCACAATGCCGATCAGGTTCTTGCTGGCTTTAGGTGTCGTTAGCCATCTGCTCAAGCTGGGAATCGATAACCTACCGGCAGGAGCAACACTCAAGGAATTTACATTTGGTACGTCGTTAGTGAGGTCCTATGTTTGGATACGTTGCTAACGATGCCCGCACCCTTCCAGGCGCTGTTGACCCTCGCACAACCGTCAATTATCGGTCAAACGATTTGATCAGCAATGTTCTTACCGCCAATACGCCGCAAATAATTCTTTCACTCTTATATTACGCCTACAATTCCCTCTTTACTGCAATGCTAATGGGCTATGAATGGGTCACTTATTCACGAAACCGCAAAGGTCTTCGTGTAACTCGTCAACCTTCCGGTACTCAACGATCCACATACTTCCTTCAACTGCCATATCGCTTCGGAATTCCCCTTATGGTACTTAGTGTTACTCTACACTGGCTAGTGTCGCAAAGCATATTCCTGGTAGCCATCGAATTATACGAAGTCAATGGCGACCTATACGAAGTCAATGGCGACCTATACGAAGTCAATGGCGACCTGAGAGTTTTTGATTCGAATTCCGTGAGACTTTTTGATTCACAATCCGACCTCAAGACTCTGGGTTATTCGCCGCTGGCTATTATCGCCGTTCTAGCTCTAGGCGGGCTGATGGTCATTAGTATGGTTGCGTTTGGGTACATACCATACAAGCGTGGTATGCCGCTTGCAGGGACCTGCAGTCTGGCTATCAGCGCAGCCTGTCATCCGACAGAACAAGTCGAGGGCGACGAAAATATTGCCGAGAAGATGTTGCAGTGGGGTGTAGTCAGTATTGGCGACGATGAAATAGGCCATTGCGCCTTTTCGGCAGATGAGGTGGGAGCAGTAGTGAAGGGGAAGCTTTACGGCGGGACCACTGCATAGTTCGGATATCGTGACCGCATGGCGCAAACCAACCCATCGTAGCCAGCGGACGTCCGCCTGTTGCGATCGTCAGCAGGTGTGCTCTGTCTCAAAATCAGCCGTGATGAGACCCGTGCCATACATCTAGAGACGGCGACTGACTGTGCAACGCGACAAACGCCCCACAATCATATCCCGTTGAATTTCCCAACTTATTCAGGATCACAAAGATATTAGCGACTCAAGAGCAAACATGATCATGTTATGAAGCGCTGCGTAGACGAAGGTCAATATTGATATCGACGCAGATGACCGCAGCCCCATCCTGACCAATCAGCGGCAGAGTTCCGCTCTGGACGAAATAGGGTTATATGGGCGGAATTCACCTTCGATGTATTTCTCAGCACCAACAGGTTATCAATCTCTAGATTACCTTAATGTTGAGTAGCCGGATATATCCCGCAGGCGATTACCACGAGGGCTACAGGATGTGATACCTGGACTACAACGGGGCGTATATGAACCATGATGACTGTCAGCCGTGGCTGCACGCCCTCATTTGACTCGACGAGCTCGCCAGATTCGCTGTTGTCGAATTTAAGTCCAAGCTTACCACTACCTTAAACGAGCGAAAGGCAGACACCATGAGTGTCACCCCCATTGCTGTCACCGGAGCGAGCGGTGGTGTTGGTGGATTCGTTGCGCGCGACCTCGCCGCCCGCCAGCTCCCCCAGCGGCTCCTGGTCCGCACTCCCAGCAAGGCGCCGAAACTACCTCACAGCGAGGTACACCAGTCCAGCTACAGCGACCATGCCGCCGCCAGCGCAGCACTGAAGGGCGTGCACACGCTATTAATGGTCTCAGCCTCCGAGAGCGAAAAACGTCTCAACCAACACCGCTCCTTTGTCGATGCCGCCGTGAAAGCCGGCGTACGGCATATCGTCTACACCTCCTACATAGCCGCTGCACCAGATGCCGTCTTCACGCTCGCACGCGACCACTACGTAACGGAGGAATATATCAAGTCCAGCGGCATGCGCTGGACCTTTCTGCGCGACAATTCCTACATCGACTTTATGGAATCCCTAGTCGGCGCAGACGGTGTCATTCGCGGCCCGGCAGGCAGCGGTCGCGTTTCGATCGTCGCCCGCGAGGACGTTGCTCGCCTTGCCGCCGCTGTGCTCGCCGACCCAGATTCGCACGCTGGAGTTACATATGATGTCACTGGTCGTGAGGCACTGTCCATGTCGGACGTCGCTGAGATCATTAGCGCAGTTCGCGGTCGCGACGTACGGTTCCACAATGAGACCATCGAAGAGGCTTATGCTTCTCGTGCAAACTATGGTGTCCCGGACTGGCAGGTCGACGCCTGGGTTAGCACGTATGTTGCCATTGAGAGCAACGTCATGGCGCCTGTCTCCAATGCAATCCAATCCGTTACTGGATGCGCGCCGATGACGCTTGCCGAGTACCTGACTGCCAACCCCTAATAGAACAGTATAAGTTGCAACTTGAACGGGCATTTGCGACGCTGCACTGCTGCAGCATGTATGCAGTCAATGATAAGACATTACAATATGACTGACATTCCGAGAAGAAGCTCGTTCTTCCTGAGCTCTATCGTTACTGGAGCTTACGCTAGGAAAATACAAACTGGAATTCCTGTGCATATCATGATAGAGGATCCTAGGTACGGCTTCGAGGTGAAGCAAAACTCAGATACAACGAGCTCATGCAGCATTGTGCGAGCCTTGCCTAGTCCAATCAAGCGCACTAGCGAGGCAACGCTGTTGCCTAAACATTGACACTTCTCCAGACTCAGCCTTAGCACTTGTAACCTCTCCATCTTTCCATCGCTACTATGCTCACTTATCGATACCGACCATTAGAACATGATGACTCTTTTCGGATCCTCGTTATATTTCCAAGTCTGGATAGTTCAGACCCAATCAGATGCACGATTGCGCACGCGCAATTGTCTGACGAGTCTTTCGAATACGAAGCAGTGTCCTACACTTGGGGCGACGCCACTGAAACGCAGACAATTTACTTCCCCTCCGCGGAACTGAATGTCGGGCGAAATTGTTACAACGCGCTTCGGCGCCTGCGATGCAAACACCAAGACTGTTTGCTGTGGATCGACGCTATCTGCATCGATCAGAACGATCTCCAGGAGCGAGCCTGTCAAGTTCGTATGATGGAAAAGATCTATAATCGCGCATCTACAGTGTTGGTGATCTTACAGGAACCGAATGCGAACAGCGATGCGCTGTTTGAACAGCTAAAGATTGGGGACGAAATGATATCGCTTGTAGGACGCTGGGTTCGAGATCCACCAAGTGATCACATCCTCAAATTGCTAGAAGATTTGTGGCGAGATCCATGGTTTACAAGAGTTTGGGTTCTACAAGAAGTCTTTGCCAAAACCACTGTCTATTTCATCTCCGGCTCCACCTGCTTCTCATACGACAGTCTGGCGCAACTATATACATGTTACGGTGGGACTATAACAACTAGGACTTACTGCCCCCGAGCCCTTCAGTGGATAAGACTGCCACCAGGAAACTTTTCAACACCGCAGTTCAACTTGTGGTACTTGCTAAGCGAGACGAGGGATTACCTGGCGACCGATGCCAAAGATAGAGTTTTCGCTCTGAAGTCGATGTTAGGCTCCGCACAATCAGAGATGGATTACTTGATCGACTACACGCACAGCTTGGAGGAGTGTTATAAACGTGTCGCCATGTTTCTATTACCTGTGCTCGGGCTTCGATTACTCACGGCCGTCCGGCACACACACGACAAGAAGATGCCTTCATGGATCCCGGATTGGTCCCAGAACCTCCCAATACACCCAACATATCCTGAAGATGAAGATAAGCTGGGTACTTCTGATGAACAAAAATATACAATACGCTCTTCCTTACCCAATAGTAACGGTACCGATATGGAACTACTTGTCACGGGTTGTTGTTATGCGCGAATAGTCGAAAAAAGCCAGTCTTTCTATTTCATTGATGTAGACGACGCTGAACGACAAATGAAGAAACTGTACTACAGCATCATCCCCAGACATGACGTCGACCCAGAAGATATGCAGGATGATCCTACTGTGCTTGCCCATTTAGGGACAACTGTCTCAGATGGTAAGCCCAAATTCTGCAAATTATACGTGCAGAATTAATTGAGTGGTAGCTATGTCGTCTATGGATAGCGGGCAGCTTCATACATTCCTGACTCGCTTTGGTGCAATACATCTGGGGGTACGTCAACTTCCCCTCGTTACTTGATAAACTTCTTATCTAACGGCAAAAGGATCGCCACAGCTTTGCTCGTGAAGAGATTGATGGATTTTCAAACTCACTTCAGCAATGCAGAATAGGCCTGATGGATAACGGCGAGTTGGTCATCGTGCCGGAAGCTATACGATATGGAGATGTCATCGTCATTATATCAGGAGCTATAGTAGCTTGCGCTTTACGATGTTCTTCGGATGGGAGCTGGGCACTCATAAGCGGTGACTGCCAGATGTCCACAGAAAAGTTCAGGAGTCAACGAGACAGGTCTTATTTTATGTGCGACGAATACGTTGCATGCCATCAGGATAGACTAGAAGAGTTCAGGCTGCGTTGATGTAATCATATCTACCAACAACCATTTCAATTGACAGAGCTCTCCGCGTTGGTATGGGAATAGAGGATTCCAGTCTTCACGCCGATAAAGTAAGCATCGAAAGATGGAAAAGTGTAGCAAGGATTACTTCCATCGGCTGATCCTTCCCAACAAGACACCATTTCGCCACAGTCACGTAGCGAACAACAACTATCATGTATCGACCGTGGTGCACCCGAGATCTCGGCGTCCAATAGAAACGCCGCGCATAAATGATCCAACGAGCATGCGGTAGCGTCCTGCTATGTTTTCGCCACCACGGCTGCCTAGTCATGATGCCCATGGAGGAAATAAGAACGCCAACTTAAACGAAGCCAACACTCCTCAGCATCGCACGAGTATCAAAGAACTCTGAAACAGAGATAAATTAAATCCAAAATGTCGCTATGCAATCTTTGCCAGTCGTTCGACATCCTCGACTTACCAAACTTATCGCCAAACTACACTGTCTACCCCGTAACCTCCAAAGCATATCCTTCCCTGGTCTCCAACATTCACAAGCTTCGGATCGGCGGATGGAAGAAGGATAGAGATGACTCGAAACATGACTCTGAACCTCTGGGACTGCCTTACCACCAGTCCATTGAGGCACTAGAAGCCGCTTGCGCGAACAACTGCGCGATCTGCACAGTCGTACAACGCGATGTCGCGCAATTCAAAACGGAGTTTTTGGAAGCGAAGAAAGATGCTAGTGCTTATAGGGAGAGGAGCGGAGGTCCAGATTGGAGGATGTTCGCCGTGAGGGGTGTCGGTGAGACTGGAGGCTTCATGATAGTGTCGGCTGATACGAAAGCACCGTTTGAGATCTGGGTTGTTGCTGCCGTCGGGTTTTGTGTTGACTGTAAGCTCTGTACAAGCTTGTGACATGGTCGAAGCGAGCTGACAGTCTTACAGATAAGGACCCGCTCACCAGCATCATCAGGGGACGAAAGATCCTCTCCGACTCTCAGCACACGCTTCAGCATGCTCTGAGTTGGGTGCGCGATTGCGATAAACAGCGGACGGATAGCCGCTGTCATGTTGATGCTGCACCCCTTCCAGCTCGCGTACTAGATATAAGAAGCTCAGCATCCCACAAGGTATCCTTGTATGAGCCCGCGGAGGGAGAGCTAGGACGCTATGCAGCACTGAGCTACGTCTGGGGCGAATCAAGCCCGTTCACAACTACGAAAGCAAACATCGAAGCAAACAAGGAGGGCATCGATATCGACAAGCTACCTGAGACGTTTCAGGATGCCATATTCGTGGCAAGAGAAATGGGAATCGGATACTTATGGGTTGACTCACTCTGGTAAGTCAGACCTCTATCTTTGTATCGCCAGCATTGAACTAACAACCCCAGTATCTGCCAAGACGACTCTTCAGACTGGTCCCGCGAGACCTCCCGGATGTCTTCAGTCTACTCAAACGCCTATATAATGCTCTCAGCAACAGGTTCTGCTTCGTCTAACGCCGGTCTATCAATATTCTCTCCCACCCGCCCAGCACCGACTTACTCATCCTTTCCCTACACTTCCACAGAGGGCACTAAAGGAATTCTGCTCGTATTCTCCTATTCTAAGGAGGTTACTAGATTCCCTGCCTGGTCAGGTCCTTACGAACTACTCAAGAACGAGCCATTGACCCAACGAGGATGGGCACTTCAGGAACGCTGGCTCGCACCCCGCATCCTGCACTTTGGAAGCAAGGAGATGTTCTTCGAATGTTACTGTGGGTTCAAGGGTGAAAGCGGTTTCTTAATGGAGGGCAGGAAGGATACGCTCTTCCCAACTACTTCTCCTGGCTCTTCTCCAGCGATCTCAAACAACACCGGCTCCGACGAGATCGATCCCGCAGAACCAGAGCCCATGGAACGCCGATGGAACTCCGTACTATCTAACTACAACAAACGTCAACTAACAAACGCCTCGGACAAGCTCCCTGCCCTCTCTGGTCTCGCCCGCACCTACCAAGACATCACGGGCGACACATATCTCGCCGGTCACTGGCGCTCCACACTCCTCCACTCACTTATATGGCAGGCGACCGGTCATCCCACCGTCCCAAACACGTACCGCGCCCCATCTTGGTCGTGGGCCGCTATCGATGGTTCTTTCGGCATGTTCAGTCCTGGTATGGGTTTTGACAAGGGGGATTGGGTCAGTCTTGCCACAATACATGATGCTTGGACCAACTTGAAGAACGAAGAGAACCCTTTCGGCGAGGTCACGGACGGGCAGTTGGATATTAGCGCTCCGCTGGAACGACTTTTCCCCTTTTCGGGCGAAGATGAAGAGGGAGTGGAATGGCCCAAGAACTATAAAGGAGCCAAAGTACGAACACAAAACGCCCGTGCGGAGAGCCGTGAGTACAATTATGTAATCTTCGATTCTGCAGACCATGCGGAAAGAGCAAAGGGTAGGGATCTGTGGGTAGCGGTACTTTTGAAGCATGTTCATGCAGAGGACAATAAGGGAATCTGGGAGTCGAGCGTGTCTTATCATGGGGTTGTTGTTGCGGAAGTAAAGGGCAAGCAGAATGTATATGAGAGGTTGGGAAAGATCCCTTTTGGTGAGAAAGATTTGGGAGAGTGTGGGTGGATGAGTGATGGAGACTTGGTGGAGAGGTTTGCCTTGGTGTAGAAACTGTTAGTACTTAATAGTGACGAGACGACACAACTTTCGCCTACTCACCTACAACACCAACACACAGCGTTGTGCCAATGGCCTATTGGAATCAGACAGCGATGTTCCGCCTGTACAAGTAACTTACTGCGTCGGCTGCATTGCCTCCATCGCGAAGTAAATCGATGCCAACCGTGCTGCACACCTCAACCTCTGATGTGACTGCGCCATTTGCGCCGATTTTCCGTTGGTGACTCTGAACGGTCCAGGGCAATATAGCTAAAACAGTTGAGCAAAATCGGTAAGCCATCCGCGGAAGCGCTTCACAAGTGAAACAAAAATGAAGTGCCGTCGTTGGCGATGAGCAATGAGTTCGTGAATATGCTCGAGGGAATCTGGTGCTCGAACAACGCGCATGACGCGCGGCATGAGTGCACGAGGCGGTATTGACATATCTTATCGATATCCCGGTAATGCGGGATTCGGCCTTCTGAGTGGAACGTTGTTCAGAAGTGGTTGGCGCTGTCAGCTGTGATCTGATGGCCTACGCGAGCAGCGCTACTGTAGGTGCGCCGGTGGGCCCATCGCGGACGCCCCTGGTTTGCGTCCCGCCCCGAGCGGCTGATCCCTTCCACGCTACCATCCCGAGGTCTAGTTGGCAATCTAGCACAACAAACCACAATTGTCGAAACCACCGCGCAATGGACATCGACAGAGAAATCACGACTTCTTCTGACAGCGGCGACTCAGGGTCATCGGAGGATCAGCACCCACCGTCCACAGCCTCACGACTCACATTCTACGACGCCTTCACCTTACTTGTGAGCCTTCAGGTTGGATCTGGCGTGTTCTCCTCTCCATCACAGGTCAATAATCACTCTCCTTCGCCGGGCGCATCGCTTATCATCTGGGCAATATGCGGCGCAGTTGCGTGGGCTGGAGCAGCGTCCTTTGCTGAATTAGGTGCGGCCATGCCTGTGAATGGCGGCCTACAGGAGTACCTCTACGAGATGTACGGCTCTTACATGGCATTTCTTGCATCTTGGATATGGATCTTTGCCACCAAGCCGTCCTCCATGGCCATCTTGAGCATCATATGCGCGAAGTACTGGACCGAGGTTTTTCTACCAGCCAACGACGAAGAGCCATTTTGGCTAAACAAAATCATTGCCACATCGGCTCTGGCAATGATGATATTCTTTAATTCAATCAGTACCCGAGCAACTTCTCGTCTTGCCAAAGTCTTCCTCATCATCAAGTTGCTCACAGTGGCGTTACTATTGGTGTGCTGTCTTGTGTTCATCGTGTTTGGGTTTCACGTAGGGACAGATACGCCCAACCGCGACTGGATCACGAAGAATTGGTTTCAATATCGCAATGAAGGAGAGGACTTTTCGTTCATCGACTGGAACAGTGCTTCTCAATGGAGCAAGATTGGAGAAATCACAATGGCGATCTACGCCGGACTCTGGGCATATGCCGGATGGGACAATGTGAGAGTTATGAAAGGCTTTCAAATCGCGCGCACTGACGAACACTTGTAGGCAAACATTGTAGCGGGCGAGATGCAAGATGCAGCCAAGGAATTGCCTGCCGCGATTCACACAGCGGTCCCAGCTGTCATAGTATGCTTCCTTTGCGCCAACTTGTCCTACTACATCCTGATACCATGGAACGTGATTGGAGCCAGCGACACAGTCGCGGAGGTGAGTGCCTCGAGACTCGTATATTCGGCACATGATCCTCTGATCTAACATACGCCTATGCAGACGGCCGGCCAAAATGTTTTGGGCAGGTCCGGTGCCGTAATTTTTGCTTTGCTCATCTCCGTTGCTTGCCTTGGGTCAATTAACATCAATGTGTTTACAAGTGCGAGACTCACGATCAGTGCAGTGAATAAGGGCTATCTCCCGAAATTACTTTCAGGACATGGCCACAGCCAGAATGGGCAACCTCAAGATCGTCAGCTACAAGACGCTGCTCGAGATTGTGGCCTGTCTTCAAAGCTACTGAGTCTTTTCGGAGAGGGTCCTTTCTGGCAAACTCCAATGTGAGTACAATGAGCAACCATTTTCGTAACATAGTCTGACTGCCCATAGCAAAGCTATGCTTTTCAATGGTTGCCTCACAATAGTATACATACTAGTTGGTACCTTCAGCGCTCTTGTCACGTTCATAGGCAAGTTTTAACGCTTGCACCGCATTGGTGTGGATGGAAAAATATTGACGGATCTTCGAAAACAGGTATAGCGGAGTACGTCTTCTTCTTCTTCGCTGTTTTGGGTCTTCTTCATATGCGTGTGAAGCAACCTCACCTCCATCGACCTTACAAAGCCTTCATCGGCATCCCGCTATCATTTACACTCATCAGCCTTGTTTTGGTAGTTCGAGGAATACTCGCTGCTCCCGCACAAGGAATAGCGATCGCATTGTTGCTATTGTCAGGGACTATCTGGCACTTCAGAGAATCAGACACCTTCGACATCTCAAGGAGAAGAGTACGATACCAACCCATTCCGGCATGATAAGGTACGACCCGGACAAAGGCTTTGATTATATTGCGGTTGTAACAAAAGATTGAGTAGAATCTAGCTCGCATTTGAGGTAATGTCCTTTGGTCGGATTATGCCGTAGACCGCCAGAAGATTGCAACAGTTCAAACACTCTCGGCGATCGATTTTGCCTTCCTCAACTTGTTATGTCTGGTCTTGTACAGGTACCATGCGCCAACGGTGAGCATCGTCAATGGCACGGTCGTTACTATGAAGATCCAGAATTGTGGGCTTGCCCGTAAAGAGCCGTCTTCGCTTTTGAAGTCGAAAAGATTCATGCCGAGGAACGACTAGATACGCAGATTAGAAACTATCAAGCACATATATGAGGATAGAGCAAGCTTACAGCTACGAACGAAGCAGGCAGATATATCAATGTGAACACAGTGATGACCTTGACGGTAGCATTATCGTCGACACCCTCCTGTGTCAAACGCAGTATTCGCGTGCTTATCTCCCTAGAGTTTGCCTGATTTCCGATATCGAGAAGATTGGTGAGCTATAAATAAGTCAGTTATCGCTTGTGTTTGTGAGTTTGTCTTTCTCACCAAGCCTAATGTTGCTTGTACACGTTGCGCTAGTGTTTCTGCTGCATTGATGTGACTTTCCAAGCGATGCTCCATGATTTGCAATTCCTGATGCACGCTGTACGAGCTTTCTCCTAGAGATGGAATTTTGGTTGCAAATGCTGTGTTGATGCTCATCAAGGTCTTTACGAGGACAATGTTGCTGCGAAGACATTTGCATGCTTTACACACTATCTTGTCTTCGATGTGTCGAAGCGTTTGGAGGCGTTCAGGGTTGATAGCAGGAATCGCATCCGGCTCAGAGATATCGGCCACGTCGATGCGTCGTCGCTGTCGTTTGTGAGCTTTGCCTGTATATGGGTACGATACGCGCTTACAATTTGCTCCAAATCGCTGGCAAGGCTCTCTATATGATCTTGCCAGTTCGCCAGATACGACCAGATGATTATCAAGTGAACGGTCAATGGATGTCGTGTTAACTGTGCTCTATGCGAAGACTCCGCCATAGCTTCTAGTTTTGACTGCGCCACCGCATCATCGCTGGGATGGATTATAACAATCTGGCTACTACAACTTTCAAATGAGAATTTATGCATAACACCCGTTTGTCTGAATGACCAAGTATCTCGTGGCGGTCGCCTCCCATTCCGTTCGACGTACATGAACTGGTAACATAACTCTGTTATGGAGCTTCATTAGCACAGTTCCCACGAACCATGACACAGGGTATCGGGAGAGCTCACCAAACGACTGATCCCTCGATTGACACAACTGCCGAAACCCTGAAGACTCCTGAAAAACCTGGGGCTGATCACCGAACTTTAGGAGGACATCTACAAGCATGCTGGAAATCTGCCACTTTTTTATTACTGTCAGCATCGCTTCCTTGGAGCACATCAACGGCGACAACGAGAACTCCTGGCAAAAGGAACTATGCTTCACGTTAGCTTCTTGTGATTCCGGTGTTCGGGCACGTACAGAATCCGGAAACCATCGCCGCTAGTTTTCTGCAGGAGTTCCTCAAGCTCGAACAGCGCTTTTGGACGTAAGATTGTATCTTGTTGTCTATCTGCATTTGATGAATATATTTCTCTCAACATAGATATACGCAAGGATACCAGCTTACCCATACGAAGGAGGCGCACGTCGAATGGTCCCATATCGTCAAACAGTTGTTTCTGGTTGGCATATATCCGCTGAAGTGGTACTTCCCAGTCGTCGTAATATGCATTTCTGCTAGCAAAATCCGATGGCAGTTCCATACCGAGAACAAGTGAAAGCAACTGAACTATCACCGTCTCCGTGGAGGGGCACCCGGAGGCTAATGAGATGAATGCGCCATCCCACAAGGCTGAGGCAGTGTAAGCCTACGCATGCAGCCTCAGCCAATGGACGATTGCGTGGTCTTGCCTCCGCGCAAAAGTAACGATATCGCCTTGATTGTTCCTTAGCGAAAGGACAGGCTGACCTGTCACTCGTTTGTGAGTCTGCCTTCCATCCCAAGATCCAGTCAAGAAGACGCAAGATCGCATTTTGTGTACCGCTGTCCTGAGCCTGGAGCAGGACGCGTTTCATAGTTTTCGTCACAAGACTCCACGCCAAAACACGTATCTTGTATAGGACAACACGACTCTCGTAGCCACGATTTACAAGAAGTGTGGTACTCCGGTGAAGGGTTACAAGTTATGATTGGTGAATTGAACAACATTCAATAGATTACGTAGCTGTCAGTGACGTAGCGCCAAGATCTATGACCAGCCCATTCGCTTATTGCTTTAGATCATTCGTTCATCGCTCCTTCTTCTTCAAAGCTCTGCACAAATCAGTTGGAAGTTCGAGTCTCATCGAGAAGGCTCACCGGAGGTCTGCCTTCATATGTCACGTCGTTAGTACTCGTGTTAACAGTTACGGGGGAATGCACATGTCCGTACCTCGGGAATCTCGTCCGGCGCATAGAATTCCCACTTATCACGTTTTTCCTTGGTTACTCAGCCTTGTAAGTATACATGCTATTATGGGGTGAGACGTACTTTGATGTCAAATTCATCAATGGATGAGACATTTGGGTATCTCTCCTGTAAGAACGCTTCCAGCTTCTTTCGTGTTATATATCCCGATGTTTTCTCTTCGACAACATTGTGCTTAGGCTGACGAGCCATCTCAGCCTTTTGATTGGGGCTTAAAGGTCAGCAGGAAGTGTTGTGGGTGAACGGTTGGACAAGGCTGATTCGGGTTACTGACTCTCAAGAGAATCAGCCTTGGATAGCCAAATGAGTGAATTTATGTCAAACCTGAGGAACAGAGCCTCATCCGCCTGATGATCCTGTCGCTTGTGCTTCAATTGTGCATGAGATAGAACCATTTGCCTGGAGCGAGAAGCGGGCGGCTATCTGTCGCGATTGGCTAATGTGCAGCAGGCTGTATATTTGCTTTTTTCTGGCGTTCTCAGCTCAAGTAGCCTGCGACGTGCTTTCCGTTTCCGGCGGCCGTTGGTCCTGTCACCGGGCCCAGTACCTCGTTCAGAGCCTTGCAGGCTGAGTCGCAGCTGATGGTATGCGATGGCCCCCACCACACTCAATGCACGATTTATCGTGGAGGCAGAGTCCATGGTGAAGGGCGATAACTTAGGCGATAGATGCTTGTGCCGCTATTTGTGATTGGCTTGAATAGCGTTCGTATCGTGGCGATGTAAAGCAGAGGACGAAATGGCAGCTGACAGTTCGTTATGGCCGCAGCCTCGAGATGAAGACTTGGAGAGAACGCACGTTCCCTGAATCTGCCGCAGTCATACATTAAGTTGGTCAATCCTTACTCGACTGCAGTTTGCACTACCTCCTTATCTTTCAACATGGGCCAGTGTTTCTCAAGCCTGCATAGCAAGCATGGTATACCCAATGAAGAGGAAGCGCTCGGATCTGCCTTACCAAATCGAGAACATCTAGACGATTCTAGGAAGGCAAAGCCGGAGTCCATCAAGGCACGCGATCGAGATCAATTTGACGCAGACGACAAAATCAGCACGACACTGCAAGCAAATCGGCACTCTTTTGACATCGGAAAGATCAAGTACGAACTTTTCGAGGAATTGAAATCCAACGAAGTTGGCGAGGAAGGCAAGCCCATAATACTCCCTGACGAGGTCAAACGCCTCTGGGCTCGCACCTATTATCGCAGAGTTTACACGAGCCAAGTCTGGTACGACTTGGCATGGGACAGAAACGACTTCATGGAACAGTTCGTTCGGATCATGTCAGTCTTGATACGTATTGATTTCTGCAGATGGGACCAGTTTCACACAATCTTCATTAGTAGGTCAGACCGGCGAGATGAGCATCTCCCTTTTGATCTAGAGGAATTGAAAGAGGAGGATTTCTTGGGTGGAGTAACAGGATCCAACTTTCATGCAGCACAATTCGCCTTTTGTCCGAGTCAGATTCCGCAACAAGAAGATGAGTTTAGACTGCACAGTGAAAAGCGGCTCCCCTGGGTCGATAACCCTAAGCGCATAGGGCAGGGTGCTTTTGGAAAAGTCGAGAAGCGAACAGTGGCAAAGGGCTTCTTACAATATCAGGACTACACTGTCAACTCTAGAGTGAGTTGCTACTGCCAGCCTAGGGCCTCTCATGCCTCGCTAACCGCCCCGCTAGGCCAAAGCTGTCGCCGTTAAGACCTTGTCTGGGGTACATGCACGCCAAGACGAGTTCAAAAACCTGAAAGAACTGCGCGAATGTCTCAGTGATCACAAAAGAATTATGGTCAATATCGTCACGATGGTTGAACAATCGAGTGAGGGCGACATCTATCATATCGTTTACGAGTTGGCCGCGTACGACCTAAATGTCTTCCTGACGAACATGCCTCGAAGCCTAAGAGAAAAACGCCATGCAACAGCTGGCCCTGAAAGAACGGATTCTGCAAATATGTGGCCTGGCGATCTGATTTCAGAGAGCGTTAATCTTGCCGATGCATTGGACTATCTTCATAACCGACTTTTCGCTGAGTCCCATGTATCACTCTCCCATAACGACATCAAACCGGAAAACATTCTAGTAGTCTACCCCGAGACTACCAACAGGCAGGATAGGTTCCCTGTCGGACAGTGGAAGCTTGCCGATTTCGGACTCTCGGTCGTTAAGCTCAAGCGACCATATGCTAGCCACAGCAAACACTTGAGCGTAGATAACGCTGCACTGAGTCCCTCTAATCCACAGAAGACCCATAGGACTGACAGGCCTCCCTCTGTGTCAAATGCCATGCCCACACGGGACCCGGGCCAGTACACGGCACCAGAGTGGGACCAGACTACCCCAAAACCAGTAGACTGTAGAAGGGCTGACGTGTGGTCTTTTGGATGCGTTCTGTCTGAGATCGTCACCTATGCTGTTAAGTTGGACTGTCAGCTGGTCGAAAAATTCCGCGATTCACTTGGAAAAAGTGAGCAGCCTGGTCAACGGGAGCCGCAAGACCATCGGTTCTATGACCACGAATCTAAGGATGTTAAGCCCCAGTTTCTTAATCACCTCACGAAGCTACCAAGCGAAGCTCATGGAGACAAGCGTATTCCGGAAAACAACCATTGGATAGGTTCCTGTGTCGACCTCATCAAGGAAGTTGTTGTTCAGGACCCCATTTCACGACTCTCAGCGACCAAAATTCGAGCGAGGCTCAGCGAGATCGATTTGTCTATGCGCGACCAAAAGAGAATCTGGCTAAGTCATGACTTACAACCACTAGACACGAGCATGCTGGACACAGGCATTGCGGTATCTGGCTCAACAAGTGCTATATCCCAAAGTCCCACGGAGTATGGCGATTCCGACCACCCAAGAGATGATTTGGTGACTAGAGTGCCGAGTATCTGCGTTCATCACTCGGATAACTCAATGCCTGAAATTACCCAATCTCGGCACAGTGTTGACGATGAACGACGGAGAGCTACAGCGCCTAGATGAAACAAAAAGAGCGTCACGGCACTATGTCTCCATGTACGCTATAGCCCACAAACTATAGGGAATGACAACCACGAAATGTGCTTCTCTGCACCCTGCCACCCTGAGAATACGGATGGGAAACTTGATGCACGAGCTACTTCCACACCAAAGGCAGTAAGAACGAATATCGTTTGGCGTGCATATGCTTGTATGCAAGAATCGAGGTTTTTTATTATGCCTTGTTGTATTCCTCAATGCGCGGCCCTTGGTCGGAAGAATGACATCTAGGAATATATTTGTTTCAACTCGATCAACTATGCATGCATAGCCAACTAGCTAGATTGCTAATATTGGCACTGCGTATTCTCTCAAATAACACTAAGAATTCTTTTAGAGATTAATATGCTAATCTTCTACCTAGCCTTTCTAGAGATTTAGGCAACTTATTATCTTTACTTCTTAGATAATCAGGTGGCTGTCGGGGTTAAGAGCCGAGTTGACAGGATTTCCCGAACTTGATGGAATGAAGTCGGAGAGGTATGCTCGTAAGCCGGGATCGCATGCATACACATATGTACCGCGAATGCCTCGTGTCAAAAGCACAGCATAAATCTGAGTTATGAATCGCAGCAAGTCGGCATCGGAGTACTTCCTACCGAGCGCGCGATTATTCTCTTTGCCCTTTTTGTCAAAGTACGAATCGCGATCGACATAAAGCCGCCTTCGGGCCGGATCGAAGCGCAAGTCCAGCCCGATTATGACGCCAACATAGTTCAAATCATAGCCCTGCACCGTGTGCACTGACCCTACTTCCTGCAGCGCATTGTCGGACGATACCCAATCTGTTGGCGTACTGTTCCAGCGAAGTCTCGTGTCACCGATCTCAATATCGAACGCCGTCTTGTCCTTTTGCGTCTTCCACTCCCAAGCATAGCCTGCAACCATGCGGGAAAGTCCAGCTTCAGCATTCCGTTGGAAAATTTCATCACGCATTTCTTCAACAGTGTCGAAGGCGCGGAAATCGTATTCTCCGAGACTCAATCGTGCTCGCGGGACCGAGAGGGGGTTAAAATCAAAGATCCATCGAATGTAAGACACAAAATCCGAACCCGCTTGTACGCGCATCTGAGTGCGGAGCTGGAAATGCTGGCCCGTTGCACGCGTATCGGAAACGAGACCCGAGAGCAGCTCTTGTGGAAGATCGGCTGGTCGAACGCTCTGCATTGCATCTAGAAGGAAGATCTGCTGCCTGCTCTTCGCCGTGATCCAGTCAAGCTGCGTCTTACTGAAATCGTCGCTGCCAAAAAGCTCCCTTGTAATGGTTGTAAACTTCCCGTTAAGTACCCCCGATGGTTGATTAGCGCGCTGATTGAGTCGGTGGGTCTCGTCGACTATTAGCAAGTCGAAAATGCCGTCTGCTTCTCCTACTTGGAAAGGTGTCATGACCATGTCTGGATGGAGCCCGCGCGTCTTTCGGAAAACATCTTTGATTGTACCGCGTAGTGACTGCTGCGGAACAACCAGCCCAATTCTGCAATCTTGGAGGAGACGCTGATTAGCTGCAGTGAAAAATTCAAAGAACCGTGAGTCGCTGTCAAGATCATCAAGTGAGTTGAGCGCTGCAATATCGACAAGGAGTTTGATCAAGTATATAGCCACGACCGTCTTGCCGGTACCTGGGTCGCCTTGTATTACGATCTTGCTTCTCCCGCCCGTCGAGAGATCGACAAAGAACCTGGTAAGAATCTCTTCGACGGAATCCGCTTGATCTTCCGTAAGCGCTTTATAAGGAGAAAGCTTGAAGAGACTGCTGTTCTCGATTTCTGGAATACTTCGAGTAAACACTCCGTCAGATTTGAGTTGTTCGAAGACAGCGCGAAATCCTGCGCGATATGCTTCTCTCTGGTAGTATTGCGCGTCGATAATGCCGTTGTTCCGATTAAGTACTTGATTGGCGCCGTCACCGGCCATCATCCTGATGAGATAGGATTCCAGATCTAGACAGACTGACTTGTTGTATTTCTCATGCAGGATGACTCTAGCATTTTTCAGGTGTTGTTTAGCTGGTGTTTCGAGGTGTTGTCGTAATCGACTGACAGCGTTGAGCGATTCTCCGACGTAGATGTCCCTCAGTACACTGTTTGAATTTCTCCCGCCTGGGTAGCCATAATTATCTAACACATACACCACAGGCCAGTTCCCATGTTTCTCATCTTGCGACCTCCACGTGGCAACGGCAGGTCTGGAAAACTCAACCCGAGCTATTTGGAAGCTTGTCATATTTTGTACTAACGCCTCGGGCCTTATCCACGGGGTACTTCTTGCGGGTGACTTCGAGCTTTTCTAGCACAATCTGATCTGGATCGGCTCCAATGCGAATAGCGAGCAAATGACAATACGTGAGGACGTCTGCAAGTTCCTCGCGCACGCGCTTCGGTTCAGCGTCTGCGCTCCACTGGAAGCACTCGAGCAACTCTGCCGCTTCGATCGATATACTTTTCGCGAGGTTCTCCGGAGTGTGGAATTGCTCCCAATCACGCTCCGCGGCAAATGCCACAAGTGCGTCGCGGACTGAGGTTTCGCCCATGTGGTGTAGCACGGGTTCTATGCCATTGGATCAGTACATCTGCTAGATGCATGAGGTTCCGACTTACGATATGAAATTCAGGCAGCTACTTGAGCGTTGTGTTGTAGTGACGCGCTGATGGAAGAAGCCTCGAGCCGACTGTGACACGGTGGTTTTTCAGAAGCAGAGACGCTAGGGAAGGCTCCAGAAAAACAGGTGCGATGAGATAAGGGACAGCAATAAAGAAGGACAGATATGGGTGTATATATACTTCGGTTCATGAGCTCAGCTCTGCACCAGAAAAGGCCCGTTATGGCGCTAACATACCCAATTAAACTGAGCCAAGGAGGAAACACTGCAGCCACATCACACGCTCACATGCGATAGCGAGTAAATAAGTAGCTCAGTCGCTCCTTGGATTATTTATAGATATAGATAAGTACATGAAGCACCTGTTCCAATGGGAAACTCCGATATACCCCACTACAACACTTTGTTCCCAACCAGCACCTTCAGCTCTTCTACTGCGTAGAGAGAATGTCAAGTGCTGCTTTCTCGCTAAGCATAAACACCGCAAGAACCGGGAATGCACCTGGTGCTCGAGGGAACGCACTTGCGTCGACAACACGGAGACCCTCTACGCCACGAACACGGAACTTGGAGTCAAGAACGGCGTTTGGATCGTCGTCTGATCCAATAGAGCTGGTACTCGTGGCGTGATGACCATAGTTGTTGTCTCGAATGAATTGCTCGTCATTACCTTCATCTGAGCAGGTGCCGTCGGCGCTGACACTTCCCGAACAGGTAGGCCAAATGACCTCATTTGGGCCAACAGGCGCTACCACACCAGCATGGACTCGTCGAAAAAACGCTACGGCTTCCTTGATGGCAGCGATATCCTGGTCTGCGCCCTCGTCGGAGAAGTGACGGAAGTTGATTTCGGGTTGAGCTGTTGGGTCGGCTGACCGGAGCTTCACATAGCCAGCGCGGTTGCTGCCGTGCATATGAACGGTGTGGAACCCAAACGTGTTAGGGGGATCAACGAATGACTGGTTCGGGGTTTGAGGCCAAAAGCCGCGTACACCCACAGGTCCAGACCACATGCCGATATCGCGCTCGCCAGTGCTAGAGTGGTTCGTCTTCAAAAAGAACATGCTTCCCATGATGCTGCCCTCGGCGTATGGGCCTTGTCCTTGTTGCCAGAGATCGTAACATGGGTCGTTAGGGGCACGAGGTGTGCACTGTGATCGAGGGAACCCTGAACCGCCATCGACACTGATATTTTGGGCAGCGAGCCCGATAGTGGCAATCTCGTTGTGGTCTTGCATGTTACGTCCGACTCCAGGAAGATCCGCCACAACTGTGATGTTAAGTGCTTCTAGGTCAGCAGCTGAACCGATACCACTCAACAAAAGGAGTTGAGGCGTATTGAATGTTCCTCCGCTAACGATGACCTCTTTGCTGGCATACACTTGCTTGGTAGTCGCATTGTTTGATGCATTGTAACGCAGATCGCCTTGATAGATGCTCTTGCCTTCAAGGTATTCGATGCCAATCGCGCGGGGAGCAGTTCCGTTGATTGAATCTTCGAAGAGTACTTTGCTGGCCAAGGAGTTCAGTCGAACTTCCAACGGATACCTCTTCCTTCCGGTAGCATCGACAGCACGTAGAGTAGCGAGGACATGGTCTCTAACGCTGTAACGACCCCAAGTTCCATTGGCGTGGAAAACTCCTCCAAAGAGGCCAACGGTTTGGTCCCTGTCCGAGCGTAGCTGATTAGGGTCGGTATCGAAGAGTTGTTCCAGCTCATCAGGATTCTGTCCAACTTCGGACACCAAAGATCTGTATATCTCCGACGACTGAGGCGAGGTAGTGAATACCGTTCCATTCCCTTCGTTCAATTGTAGGTAACCATCAAATCCGTGTCCAGGCGTTCCGCGTGGAAGATACAAATTCTTCTCTGTCTTGGCGAAGATCTCTCTCATCCGTTCGGGACTAAAGTTTACGTTAGAATATCTGTTTCCAAAAGTATTAGGTTTCATAGTGACTCACTTCCAAGAAGAGTCGCCAGTAAGGGCTTCGATCTGACTCCAATCTCGTTCACTGGGAAGAATGTTGAACCCTGCATTCACCAGAGTCGAACCTCCCAAGGTAGCACCGCGGGGATATTGGACACCGAGCATTTCTGCACCAGCCGGGGCAGAACTACCGGGACCAACCCAAAGGTCTCCGTTTGGAAGTCTCCAAGTGAGTCGCTGATACCTCTTGGTTTGCTCGTCGTCATCGTAATGGCGAACCCAGAATGACCAGCCGAGGTTTGCGGGAATAGGCACTTCCGAGAGGGCGAGAGCTTGCGTTCGTTTTTCGGCGCTCTCGTCATCACCAGCTTCAAGCAACAGAGTCTTGAAACCGGCTTTGGCGAGGTTGACAGCCAATGGGCCACCACCTGGGCCACTACCTACAACAATGTAGTCGTAGGTATCATTTGATCCTTGGGATAAGGCAGTAACAGAGCTAATGGTAGCAATGAACAGAGCGGCACTGAGGCCTAGCGCACCGTGGGTACGATTGGAGAACCGCATAGTTGCTGCCACAAGCTGATTCGAGGCTTAGAAATGATGTAAGAACAATGGTAGAGATGAGTGATGAAAGAGATGTGAGAGCACGCGGATGCGATTCTAATTAAGCAAAAATCATGGTCTCCTATAATGAGTATTCCACATCTCTGACAACGAGCACCGACAATACAGACAACGATACGGACGAACAAACACACCGCTACCCAGATACTATTGCACTCCTTAACACCGCTACCTGGGTACTATTGCACTTTCTGCGGGCGAATTCCTGGGTCATCGGACAAGTTTTGGCCGTGATTATACAACAAGAGCGATCACTCCACGTATACAAACAGAAATTGGATAGTTGTCTACTCATTTGATCACAAATCAGAGCACACCTGAGTACACGCTCAATGTATGAAACATGCGAGTTCTGCTTGATCACATTCGTTCTTGGCGAAAATAGATTCTTGATAGGGATTAGTTCGACGAATACCTACTCGTGGGAACAAAATAGGTAGTTATGCCGGATGTTTAATTCCGTGCCAAGCTGTCAAGTGTGACTTTTTGGAACAGTTATGCCACCGTGCGAGATTGTAGTCGTACAATTAGAACAGACTATCCTGTATAGGATATACCACTGTGTCTTCATGGCCTCTCTATGTACTGAGCAATCCCCCGTTAACGTGTGAACAGCGTTCTTCGAACGATTTGCTTGCGTGTTGCGGCGCTAACGTACCCACTTAGACCGGCCCTAGTAGACGACACTGTAGCAACATCACAAGTTCGTATGCGACACCAAGTGAAGATAGATCTCGTAGAGTTGGCTGGTTGGAATTGTTCCGTCGTTAACAGGCATGCCTTATCCTCGGAGATGGGCTATATGTGCAGGCCTGAATCTCCCACCTCAAACATCTCCGACAGTACAAGAGAGCGCGAGGGAATCCGCTTGACTGCGGACGATACAAGTGTGACTTGAGAAGGAGAATTACTCAAACTCGTTCTTGAATCTAGATCTATGGATTATAATTTTGCCAACCCCCAACTTTCCACGGAACATGCAAACAATGGTGTAATATCGATACTACGAAGAAAAGAAAAAAGAGAAAGACAAGGGAGAAGATGTGCAAGACAAAAGATTATTGAGAAGGGAAAAGAGATGTATGTATGCAATCACGGCGCAGTATAATGCTTCCCACCCAACCCACCCCCAGCCATGCAACGAACCAGCCATCAAAACTAGAAGGAAACAGTACAGCACGGAGACGAAAACAAGAGAGAAAGAAGAAACTAAAATACTCCCACTCAACTCCCATCGCCCACGCGCGCTGTAAACAACATCTCGCAGCCACTTTGCTTCTTGCTCTCTCTCTCCTCCACACAACCCCGCCTCTCCCCTCAACTTAATTATAAATCTCCAACGGCGCAATCTGATCAACATTATACAACCACCCTCCCCCTCTCTCCTCACTCTCCAACCAATCATACGGCCAAAGCACAATATGTCCCTGCACCAACTCCAACAGACGCTTCGCATCCTCCTTATCCAACATGCTATCCGCATCTGTCGCATGGAACTGCCTATTTGAACTCTTCGTCGTCGCGCGACGCCGGGAGCGTTTAGTGTTGGAGCGGTTGGGCGTACTGCCGTTTTGGTTGTGGGATTGGTTCCCGGGGAGGGCGGAAGGGTGGATCGGGGGTTCGGAGATGGTGACGCGTTGGGAGCGGTCGCGCATCGAGTGCGATGTTTGCGGTGGCCCGTTTGCGTTTTGAGTCGCAAAGTCCGTGTGGGAGGTGTGATCGTTCGGGATGGGGGGTGGAGCAGGGAAGGTAAACGTCTTCTCCGGTGGAGCGGGGTTCATGGGCGACACGACCGCATCGTCAGCGGGTTCCGGGGCTAGCTTCTCGTTGAGAGTAGATCCAGATGCTGTTTCGACGTGAAGGCCACCGCGCGTAGTGGGTGGAGGCGGGCTTTGAGATTGCACGCGTTTTTCTTGGTCGTTGGCCCATTGTTCCACTCCACCCATGCTAGAGTGGTGGGTCGTGCTATGTATGCTCTCGCCGTTCACTCGGTCCGAGTTGTTGGTCATCTTCTCGGTGAGCTTCTCGCCTAGGGCTCCGACTTGCTTTCCGACAGCACCAGCCCCCGAGGTGAACTTGCTTGTGAGGCCGGTTCCGGGCGGCCCAGTCGTACCTGGTGCATCCTGCTGTTTGTGCATCTGGCTCTTGTCTCCACCTTGAGATTTGGTGAAGCGTTCCGAGAATGCAGCATACTCCTGGTACTCTTTCCAAGTCCGGACCTCGTTATCGGGCATACAGCGGAAAACCTGGCGGAACAGCTTTGTGTTGTTCTCTGCGACTTGATGCCAAGTGTCGAGGAAGAAGGTGTCATTGATGGGGTCACGCATGCAGTCTTCGGTGACGATGGGTCGACGCATTTCCGAGAGAAAGGGATTGATGATCGAGGAGGAACCTTGGCTGACGGTTCGTTGCAGAGCAGGTGGACCACCAATGTCGGTATCATCCAGAAGCGGCAAAGCAGGCAGCTGACTGAGTTGTGTCAAGCCTAGCTTCAGCGTATCCATACGGGGTAACTTAGGAGGCGGGAGGCCGGCATAACCAGTTCCGTCAGTTTGTGTGCTGATGGCACTATTCCGGGTACCAGTGGTACCACTACGCTTTCGGGTCTTGAGCGTTGCGCTCTTACGTGGCATAGCTGCGGCACCTTCCGCAGCAACGTCAGTTACGAGTTTTTCATGGCCATGCTCGTCAATGTAGGAGTCCCGGGCTAAGGTCGTAACAGGGCGTGTCTCTACAGCTTCACGCATATGGTCAGCGCCCTCTCCACGAACATCCTTCATGTGTGCGGAGTTGTGTTGGACGCGAGGATCAGCTGACGGCTTTTTGGTGCTTTGTAGATGGGGATTGTGGTCTTGCGCCCAGTCAAAGTCATGGTTGAAGCTGTGTAACTTCTCCGCCTTCTGAATAAGCTCATCCTGCATCTTGGAGTGATTCTCTTCCAACTTCTCTTCGGTCGCACGCTGAGCTGTTGGCGACCCAGGTCCAGAAGACTCAGTCTGGAAGCCGACACTATCGGCATCAGACATTTGGCTGAGCATCTCCTCTTCAGAGATACAGTCAACGTCAACACCGAGATGCTCTCGCATGAGGCGCATGCGCAACGTGTGCGGGAATTTGCCGACCTTGTATGGCTGGCCGCCCATGTACGAATCGAGTAGCTCAGTATCGCGGATGATAGCGGCAATCTCAGAGTCTCGCGATCCCAGCATAGACCGCTCGTTGATGTTTGCGGAACCGATGATGGCGACTCGATCGTCAACAACCATGATCTTGGCGTGGATGTACAACTGCTCTGTAACCAACATCTTGTTCGGGCCAATCTCGCCCCACGATCGGAGTGCGTAGAAGTTGATGTAATCTTCCGGCTCGATACCAGCAGCTCGCAAGCGTCCGAAGATGGAGCCTTCGCCACGGCAGATGCTGTGATATTGACACGTCATAATGAGGCGAACACTGCTGCCTTCCTGCTCATCGACAGTGTTCTGGTAACCAGGCATCAGCGGAAGCATGATGCATGCTCTCCAGTCCTCATCGTTGGCATGTGCGCGCTTGATGCGGTCGACGATCGCATCATTTATCTTATTTTCGATTTTCGTCCCTAGTACATCGCCACTACTGATGTAGAACTGGTTCTCGATATAAACAAAGTGCTCGGAAGTGGCAATCATCTGCACATATGCGTTCATGATGCTGTGCTCGACCTTGTTAGGCGTACCCAGCGACCAAGCACAAGCAGAACGTAGAATCTGGACTTCGCAAGTTCCATCCAGCCCAAGAGCTTCGATGTCGGCTGGGTTGAAGTCGGGCGGTGGAAGAAGGAAGGGCGTGGGTCGGGAGGGCTTGCGCTGGCGCAACAGGTAATTCCACCGCTGTACAAAATGACGGGTCAGGTCGCGAGCTGGTTGACCCACAATCTGCATACCAACGTCGTGCCATGGCATTCTCGGGACTCTCGAGCGATCGTACATCTCCTCGTAGGGTTTGTCGAGAGCAAAGAAGTCTTGCACACGGGGGTTGGAGTAGTCCTTACCCGGCCACAGCTGGCAGTGGTCGGCATCTTTGGGTGTATCATCGAGTTCGAAGCCCGTAGGCTTGTCGTCAACGACAACATGTTGTGGTGTATCCCAACGACCGAAACAAAGGTCAACACCTCCGCAGAAAGCAACAGTGTGGTCAATAACGCAAATCTTCTCATGATGAGACCAGAAGAATGTGTTTTGGCGGATCTGGTTTGGCGACCGCTGAACAAAAATGTTCGGGTGGAGATCGAGCAGAGAGAACTTGGAGTACTCAGAGTCAATAGGAATAGCGGCGCCAATGTTGCGGTACATAATCACAAAGATCTTGACACCTTCCTGTGCTTTGCGCTGGAGCAGTCTGTCTAGTCTCCACTTCTGACTAATGGCAGCTGGGCGACGCAGGTAGAGTTCAGGACTGAGCCACCAGTCGTGAATGTAGATGACATCCCGCGCCATACTGATAGCTCGAGACACATTCCACATGTAATCGCGACCGTCTACAAGCCATTGTGCGTAGATCTTCTTGCGCACAGGAGCAAAGCTGTCGAAGCGCTGGCGTTGAGACCATAGTGTGTTCTGTGACATGAAGTTAATGGACTCCTCAAATTGATGGAGCATCCTCTCGTTGCGAGCAAGCAACTTCATCTTGCGTTCAGCGTTGACCAGCTTCAATTGGTGATGACCTGTTGCGGATGCCTTTGCTTCGCTTGCAAGATCTCTGGCTTTCTTGTCTCTTATCCTAGCGGATTTAGTGTCGAGATGGAAGTCTGCGTCGACCAGGAAGACATCATAGACGTTCATCTCCTCGGGTGAATCTACACAGACAACGTAGCTGTGCCTTACCAAGAACCATTTTGGCCAGTGACGGTTCATCATGGCTATCTTGGTCCAGCCTTTCCTATTGTCAACGCCCTTTGAAGATTTGATCATCATGTAACCTTCCTTGCCGTGATAGCCGCCCTCGGCCGCTAGGCGGACACCAAGAGCAGACAGCTCGAGAAACTTGCAAAGGCGATTACTGTCAGGGCGGAAGATGAGATAGGTCATGAGACCTCGCAGGTACTGTTCCAGCTTCTTCCGTTGCCGGTCATGATGGGTCTGTTTCGCCTGTAGAGGCTGACCAGCGGCCCCAGCAAAACTGCCTTGTCTCGCTACGAGGGCACCAACAGCGCCCTGGGCCTGGCTTCCACTTACGCTCGACTGCCTACGTCCAAGGAATGATGACTTCCCCCGCTTGGGTCTATTTGGTCGTTCAGTAGCGCTTGCGTCGCCCTCGGGTCCGCTTGCTGCTCCACCAACTGCAACCTCTTCCTCTTCTTCCTCGCCTTCGTCGTCTAGAATGCCATAGCCGCGGAGTCCTCGAAGGTAGGGCAAGACGCTCCTGGGGAAGCGCGGGAGCTTCGTCCGCGGATCTTCTTTTTCTTCCTCCTTTTCATTCTCGCCGTCTTTAGCGGCCTTGTCCTTGATTTCTCGCATACGAGTAGCCGGACGGCTGCGGAAGGCGTCCTGCTTCTCCTGGACTTTGAATTTCAAGTGCAGGTTTGCAAAGTCGGCAACACTCCTGTAGACTACCCATTTCATCCTAGTCAGACCGCTGCCGTATTCCAATTCGATACGCAATGCAGTGTGACGATCGCCCTCCTTCTTGGCAGGGCGGTCCGTGTCGGTGATGGTGACCTTGAGCTGCTCAAGAAGGACTGGTATCCTTCGGTGACCATGCTCATCGCGCTGGAACATACTCGCAAAGAACAAGGCTGCAGGCGCACCTGCAAGCAATTCGGCCATGAGCTCAGCTGACTTTGCGTGGTCGATCTGACGTTCTACCTTTTGACGGTTGCCCAGAAGCTTGAGGCTGTTCTTGATCGACTTCCATTTTTGCGCGCTCAAACTTGACGTTCGCTCACTACGCATGCGCCATGGTGAGGGTTGTCCATTCTCGCCAGCAGCACCCCTGAATGTAGTCAAGCTTCGCAAGTTGCCCGTAGGTCGACTCTGTCCTTCAGATTCTTCGGCGTTGGGGTCGTGTCTCCGGAGACCTCCGTATGAAAGTCCTCTCGCACTGTGCAGTCCGCGTGTCCAGGCGCTCTCCTTTGCGATGCGCGAACGGCCTTCGTCCTCTGAGTAGCCCTGGCGCTCATTCTCGGGTATGTCATCCATGGTCGATCGGCGTAGGAAGCCCGGACGGGTCGAGGTGGGTGTCATGTTGGGTGAGTCACGCGAGAAGAAGCCACCGGTGGACTGCTTGGGCGTGGTAGGGGCTGTCTGTGTGCCTTCGCCCTCGCCATCAAACCACCGCCGGCTACTCTTCCGCCTCTTCTGTCTCGGTCTTCTCAAAGCACCCTCGCCCGCGCTTGATTCGCCATCAGCATCAGCCTCGCTATCGTATCGCGGCTCGTCGAGCTCGGATGTTGGGGACAGTTGGCCGTGAGGTGAGCCACCTTCCTGGCCAGAGCCTGTCAGAGCACTCAGACTCCGGCCGTGTCCCTGGATGGGTGCTGCCAATGCCCTCAGCTTGCCCATGAGGGACGAGCTCTGTGTGCTCCGCTCCTTACCCTTTCCTTCGCCGTCTTCCACCTCCCATGACTGCTGCCGCGAGTTTGCTGCGGGCGGGTCGGATGTGAATGTGGCCGAACGAGCGAACTGCACGCTCTTGCGTTCTCGCGGGGCGTCGGAGAGCTCGCCCTCGGTGGGGTGTCGGGACATGGGCGCGAAGGGAGGGTAGTAGGAGCTGGAGGAGCCATTGGATATGTGGGACGAGGGTTTCGTGGCGCGGAGGGGAGCTTCAGCGGTTCCGAGCGGGATACTAGCCCCGTTCGCATTCGTTGGCGCATTGAAGGGAAATTCACCGGCTTCTTTGGTGGACAAGGGCGAGCCTGTCGGGGCGGATCGCATGATTTTGGGGGCGCCGTCTGCAGGTGCTGGGTTGTGTAGGTCTTGTGTCTCATTCCGGGCCTGGCCTGCTCCAAGAGGAGGGAGCAGTCGACCCGAGTCATCTGTCCTTCCTGAGACTGCCGGCGATCTGGACCGTGGACTGCGTGCCATGGGCGAGGAGCTGGTAGAGCCAGCCATGGTGGTGACGATGATGATGATGGCACGGGGAAACGAAGGGAAATCTGGGGCGTCTTGTTCCGGCGAGGTCGCGTGAGGGAAGGTTGTGGTTGCTCAGCTTGTGGGTGTTTACAGCGCCATGGTGTTGACAGTAAACCTGCTGCCGTCACTCGTCACGATGGGATTGATGGGTATTCTTGGCCACGAGCAGGTGGAAGCGAGTTGGTAGTAATGTTTCTATGTCATCAGCAGTCGGAAGAAAAGAGTACACGCGGCGCAGCTGATCCGTGAACGTCTGGCTGGGTCCTTGCGCGGTTCGAGTAATCTCCCAGGTGCTTTCCCCAGTGAACTGTCTGGATGCGCTAACACTTTTGGCGTCAGGGGCCCTCTTCCGCCTTGCTGACCGCCTGCAACGTGTTGAAGCTCCACCGCACTGCACTCCGCAGCGCCCTGCATGCATATACCTGTAATCGACTCGGGTATACTTGTTATGTCGCTTTTGCATGCACTGCATCTTCCACTGGGGGGCAAAGCAAATTATATCATAGCACCCTTGTGCTCTTGACGCCATGGCTGCACCCCGCACCGTACCACCGAGACTCCTAGATACGAGCGTACCGGATTCCCACCCGTACACATGATGGCCTGTCATCCCATACTGCTGCAAAACTCGCGTTATATGCCTACGCGCTATCACCAGCAAACCGCGTGGTTGTCAAGTATGCTAGACAATGATGTAGTTCTGCCGTCAACGGCAGCCTCGGTTCCGGAGGTGCTGCCCCTCCGCTCTCGCATCACAAGATACAAGAGACGAAGAGCCTCACATCTTCTTCCCCGGTTGCGCTAACCGCCCAAGCTCTCTTCATCATATCCATTATCCCCAACTCACCATGGCTGCGACCACGAATCCCCTGCACGGGACACAAAACTCGTCCGACCTCCCCGTCTCCTCCAAGACCATCACAATTGCTGGCATCCTCGTCGACGTCCACGGCCTAGACGAACTACCCGCATCCCCGTCATCAGTCGCATGCCTATGGCTCCTCAATCCGCGCTTACAGACCAAAGAGACCATGGCTCCGATAGCCAGACGCGTCATCTCAACCTGGAACAAGCGCGTACAAGACGGTCGCGCCGGCATGCGTCCTAAAGGTCTGATCGCCGCTGCCTTTGACCAGCGCAATCACGGATCACGCAAAGTCGACGATCTGCACAATCAGGCTTGGAGAGAAGGAAATGAGACGCATGCACAGGATATGTTTGGCTGTTTCCACGGCACAGCAACCGACACCTCGCAACTCATCAACCATCTCGAATCCTACATCTTCACGGCCAAGGACAGTCCCAAGATCCAACAACACTTCGCTCTTGGTATCTCGCTAGGTGGGCACGCGACCTGGCATTGCTTGCTTGGGGATCCGCGAATCACTGCTGGAGTCGTTGGCATTGGTTGTCCAGACTATACGCGTTTGCTAACCGATCGCGCGCGTCTGTCCAAGCGAAAGACATACAAGGACACTACACCGCCTGGCAGTGCGTTCCTTGGCTCTCCAGACTTCCCACAGGCGCTACAGGATGCCATCGCCCAGTATGATCCTGCAGGTTTACTGTTGCCGGGCATGTTCAATCCTCTAGGAGATGACACGCCGCCTGACCAAGCGCAGCTAACCAGGATGAAAGCGCTAATCAAGGAGAAACTCCAGGGCAAGCGGATTCTAAACCTCAGTGGTCAGGCGGATAAGCTCGTTCCGTATTCGGCTGGTGAGCCTTTCTACAAGATCTTCAAACAGGTATTAGCCGAAGATTCGAGTCTCGACATTGTCTTTGAAGATGTGCTGTTCGAGGGCGTAGAACACGCATTTCCACAGCCCATGGCTGATAAAGCAGCCGAATGGTTATGTGATATCCTGGCTACAGACGATGGACCTGTTTCCAGTAAGATATAGTGAACGATATACAACGGCGATCGAAGGCGTATTGAATGCCAAACGCGGCAACGTCACAGCATCTTATTGATTCTTCACGATACTTTTCAATCTAGTCATCTTGACACATTTGTTCTCTAGCTCGAGTTTTATGTTTCTCCTTCTCTGCTACCAGAGGCCTCATCATCTTGCATTATCTTTCATCTCCATCTCAGTCTCCACTCGACCCACCATGACGAACACTCCAGCGCCAGAACACAGAATCTCATGCTACCATGCCTTCTCAACCCCCGAAGAACAAAAAGCATTTATTGATATGGCAGACTCTCTCGACACTTCAGACAGCGCCGCTCCACCATCTCCTACCTTGACTGAAATATCACTCTTACATCAAGAAATGAATCCTAAACCCTGGCGCGACATTGAACCAAACGAATCTCCACATGAACCCAACAGCTTGCCTGGACCCAAGCATGACTCCAGCGGCCGACTGACTGCCATGTTAACACTGTACGACCTGGCCATGTCATGCGAGGAGATCGAGGAAGCTGACTGGGACGAATACATCACACCTTACGAACCAGATGATCTAGAGATGCTGGAGCGAAGTTTTCCGAGGGAATGCTGGCCTCATGAGATAGAAGCATCGTGGCCGAATCTCATTGTTGATGCAAGGTGCAAGAATTTGTCACAGGGTTCTAAAACCGTTGTTGAGCATCGCTAATGAACACGACCATAGTGAAGAAAGAGACATCTCATGTTGTTATTAGTACCTACCATACCCACTAGCGTGCTGCCTATACCGCCAAACTATCCGTAGAACCAATGCGTTACTTCTATGCAGGTTAAAGTAGCTAACTAGGAAGAATACGTGTTGTATAAATAAGGGTCCTACAGATGCTGGAGAAAGACTGCCTAAGGGAGTAGTGGCATGAATAGATCCGGAGGGCTTGGAAGAATCTCGTTGTATTTGCAAGATTACAGGCATTACCAAAGGAAGTGAAGGTCATGAACTGCTAGAATCAACATATAAGACCTTAGGGTACTCAGGATTAGTTTACACCACGGCATGACATAGTTGACGTGGGGGCGGGGACGAGCAACAGGATCCTACAACAGCCACCACACGGCAGCTTCATTTGATCATGCATAGCGAATGCAGCTTCACAATGCATCGCAAATGATGTGCAGGCTGGGGCAAGAATGGCAGAGATGGCTGTGGAACAGCTGAAGCGCAAACCGATCGATTGGGAAGAAAACCTAACGACAATAGGCTGTGGGAGCTGATGATTGGAACGACATTCGTTTTCAGCTCTCCGCCCCCAAATTTTGCTCAGAAGACCGGCAGCAAGCTGATAATGCAGGAATTAGCCTAACGAGGAAGCATCGCCCAACGGGATTTTGTGGCTTGAATACGAAGCTATAAGACGACGATCGCAAGACGTGCATGCTTATATAACTGTGCAGGATAGTCGCACCCCGCACGTCGTGTGCCAGCTTCAGCCCGACTTCTGTGACCCGGCTCCTCAATCCCGACTTCCATTCCTGCAAAGTTTATCACAAGTCTTTATCAAACATCAAGCACTTTGCGTGCCACGGTGTTCAGATCTGCTGTTCCAAGTCATGTTCACTTCGTATGCATAGTCCAGCTCAGACGAAGTGCAATCATGGCAGAACCTGCAGGTCTATCGTTAAGCGCTATATTTAGAGCAAACACAGTGGGCACGTTGGGGAGCGAAGTAAATGGCGTAGGCTTGTTCTCCCTACAAGATTCAATACCGAAATCAAAATTCAAGGCAACGTGCGTAGTGACGGTACTTCGGGAGAATCAGACCGCTGATGGTTTTTAGAATCGTAGCTGTTCATGGACTTGGTGGACACTATACACGTACATGGACTGATACGACAGTCGATCCTCCGTTCTTCTGGATCAAAGATGGCTTGGGGAGAGACCTTCCAGAATGCCGTCTGCTAAGCTTTGGCTGGAATGCTTCCATCGCTGCCGCAGAAGGGACTCTCAAGGGTCATGCTACAAACTTTCATGGCCTATTATTGGAAGTAGGTAAAGCACTTGTATTAAGTTAGCTTGTTTTAATCGAGATGCAGCTTCTAGGAACCGAAGGTAAAGATCAACCTATCGTATTCATCGCCCACGGTATCGGTGGAATAATAGTCAAGGAGGTAAGCTAACCATTCATCTCAACATCCAAATCATCTTATCATTAGAGCCAGGTACTTATTCAGAGTTTCCAATCATCAAATGCAACAGTACATCGGCGGACGTTTGCAATCCTTTTCCTTGGTGAGTGGGGATTGCAATTTGGAAAGACTACCTTTTGACGAGGACTGAAGGTACACCACATCGCAGTTCGCGTATGACGACGAAATACTTGAGTGCATTAGCCAGTGTTGGACCGGATTCTGAGCAGCAGAAAGTCAAGCCACTCGTCCGCGAACTGTCTAAGAATTCAGTATCCTTGCAGTCCACAAACGAGGCTTTCATGCACATAGCACCAATGTATCAGATCTACAGCTTTTACGAGACTCTTGCTCCGAGACAGGGAAACGGTCTGGTAGGCGCCTCCCTCCTGGTTTGCTGTTGAGCATGTCGGGATGGCTTCGCTAACATCTGTTGAGTTGGTCACTAGCGAGGAAGCGACACTCAACATGGTTCAAGAAAGGATCATCCCTTTGCCAGCTTCGCATGCAGATATGGCAAGCTTCAGACAAAAAGGTGGTGGGAACAATAGTTACCAGACAGTGCTCCAGATTTTGCAACAGATCATCTCTCGCCTGCCTAAGATCCGACCACCGGCTATATCAAAGCCTCCCGGAGCGCCAATCCCACCAGATAGCGGACATAAGTTAGCAACACCTAAACGTATCGACTTCAAGGGCTATGTGCACCTGTTCAAGCAAGCTGTACTTTCCAGAACGAAGGAGTGCTACATCTCCGATATGCTGGTAAAATCACCGACGACGTTACTAAACGATATCAACGATGCATCGGACGAAGATGGCAACGCATCCAATGAAGACGTTCTCGAACCCCTAATATGGGTACATGTTCCGCTCAACTATACAGCTTGGGTCAATGTCAGTATACTCGCGTGGTTCATGGTATCACATGCAACGACTAATTACTCTTCCAGCCCTGCTTACAAAATATTGTGAGAGACCAACAGACAGACCAAGAGCTTATGATCACGGAACAAAGGCTTTGGTTATCTAATGAGCGGAAACGACCAAACCTTCCGCATTCTCGATTTTTTGAACCTTCGTGTTTTGTTCGTCGCAACGATCAAACCACTCAGTTCGTCATATATGTTAGTTACAACCTTTCGTCGCTGGATACGCTTCCCATATACTCAATCCTTGCTCTTCGCTTGACTAAAATGTGTTAGCTACCGTATCTGCATTGGGATACCATTGACTGCTTCATACAGCGGGCACAGTTCACAAAGGATACGCTTGGTGGAAGACACGCAGACATCCCAGATCGCTTATCAGAGGAAGGTAAAGCTATCTACAAAATCATCAGGAACGATAGTAGCAATGCGTCTTCGTTGCACCCGAGACGCAGTCTAGATCAATTCTTCTATTCCAGCCTACATAACACAACTTCCAGAGATCAGGATCAAGTGCTATCCAAGTATACGCCTGAGGACGTCCGCGGTGGAAAGAAGATGATCATGGTTGATCAATTGTGGCTGTGGCTCTTGGAGAGCCATGGGAGCGGTTCGAATACGCCTGGTGAGATCAGGACACCAGTCAAGACGAGTATCTTTACCTCATTCTCCAGAAAACAAAGGGAAGCTGGTGAATTCGAGAACGACATAGAGGATATAGCAGACCTACGTCAAGCAATCATCGATGAAGCGAACGGCATGGACGTTGAACAAGCGACTGACCGATGCCTCTATGTGGGGCTCATCATAGAACAAGCTGTCAACGTCATGCTCAGAGTCAAAACCGAAGAATCACTGGATATCTTGGAAGTTTTCCGTGCGGCCATCGGAGAAGCAGTTAGTTCACCAGGGCTCTTATACATTGGTTCTCTTCTAACACACTTGGATATAATAGGCAGAAAAGCAAACCAACTTCTTTCGAGACTTCCAGAAGAAAATGCAGCCTGATTCGGGTGACCCCAGAGCTTTGAATGATCCCAATGGAACCCAAACCAAACGTCGAGAAGTCGAGCTTGTCCTTGAACTGACCGATATTATCGACGAGCTCAACACAATCGACCGCCTGTTCGATGCACAATGGGATGCTTTAGATGCAGCAGTCAAGATTGTTCACAACCTAGGACCCAGATATGTCTCGCTAAAACATAAGCTTGACAGCATCAAGACCCAAGATATTTTGGAGTACAGAAAGCAGGTCGGACGCATGACTGTAGATGCTAAACGGACGGAAGATAACGTAAGTCCACGGTCTGTGTGTCACTTGTTCGCATAGTTGTGACTCAATTAAAGTAATGTGTTAACTTGCCTAGCTTATGGATCTGCTCGATCTGCAACAAAAAGAGGAGACCCTTAAAGAGGTGCACTATTCGAATGTACAAGCTAATGCAGCACGGAAACAAGCAGATGAGACTGAGGCTCAGTCTCAGATCCTGTTTCTCTTCACCATCGTGACCATCGTCTTTGTGTGTATATCCCTACCTGGCAAGTTCACGTAGAAATTGGCTTACTCGCGTTCACAGGCGCCGCTTTCTTTCTTCACGTCGTACTATGGGATGAATGTCCGCGAGTTCAGTGGCGATGCTGCAAATACCAATCAGCAAGCAGTCTGGAAAGCTATGGGTCCTTTCTCAGGAGTCATCATTCTGGGTCTGCTAGGTGGTGCATGGTATATAATCCAACAAGCAAAGAAAAAGCAACACAAGCGAGATAAGGACGACAACGCTGAAGAAGCCAAGGATAGGGGTGCATCTGAAGCTAGAAGCCATTCTTGAAGGGTTATGTCTAGGCTGGCAACAATCTTGTCTCGATTATCTCCCTTCCTAGAAAGGTAGGACCTGGTGCAGCTCCCGATGAGACCGACTTGCGTGGATGTTAGTGCTGGCGCAGTAATTGGCGCGTTCACGATCAGAAACTATGGTCAATATTGGCCTTGATTGACAGTCATCGATATCTATGCAGTGAGAATTGCTAACGCTATTACCTGAGCAATCTTTATCTGCATGATAGGTCTAATTTCGGCACTGCTCAGTCTGTGATCCAGCCCACGTATCCCATAGATGTCTCTACTACCCTCACGTGAAACTGGTCTTCCAACGATCTCGGGATACCATGCAAAGGCCCTATCGGCTTTATGTGCCTCGAAAGATGGCCGTTCATTTCACGCACTTCTAGTCGTGCCTCGTCGAAGAACGTATCATGTAGGCAGTGAACCCTGTTGCGTTAGCGGAAACAGTATAGATAAAAAGTGAGTCCTACCAAGTGGTAAGCCAAAGCAGCCCAATGACTTCAGCATCGGTCTATGCGCCAGTCGCGATTATCGAGGCAGGCCCTTCGGTATCCGGTTCCCTGATACTGAGGTCTCTCGATGTCAAGAACATCTGGATATAGCTTCCAGTCACGTCTTTCTGCACCGCAGCAGATGGAATACTTGTAAGATACTACTCTTTGGATATAGAGACCAACATTGCCTGCCTCTTGAGTGATGTCGTTGTTTGCCCGTCCATGTCTGCGCGGTTAAACCTCAAAGACTACTAGGTCGGCGATGGAATGTAGCTAAAGGGGCCGGGCCAGTCATGAGGGTTCTGTTCCAAGACATAGATATCGAGAAACTAGTCTCCCTTGTGAAAAAGGCACTATGTTCGGGAGATCAATCGTTGTGTTGTTCTACTGCAGGCCTAATCCTGTCACGAACCATTACGTGACAGACTGCATATGCAGCACGTGAGGCTTGGCTTCCTCATCAAGCGTAGTCCCTGTATCATCGGTATAACAGTCACGGAGATGGCAGATAAAGGTACAATTTGTCAATTAGAGAGCTACGTAATAGAACGATGCAATGAGTGGTAAGTACATTACACGGTAGATGACTTAACTTCCGGATACAACAGCTTTGAGGTGATCTTCGCTTGTCTTAGCAGATGATTTCGCCACGACTTGTCCACATTCAGCTCCTGACATAATCTCGACGCGGTGAAACATAATCGACGAGGAAGGTGCTAGTCAAGTAAGGCAGAAGCAAAAGTTTGGAGATCGTCTTGTCCATCACTCAGTCAATACCAGTAGCGGGATTCAAGATTTCCCTTGGTATCGCCATTTTCGATGATTATCCTAAGGAAAACCGTCACTTCAAGGCAATTTCATCTGTCATTGAGGTAGGGTGCGAAGTTCCAAGGCTTTGAAATATCTGATCTTACGTATGCTCTTGGCGTTACCTATGTGTAGAATATATATAAAAGGAGGATGCATTTCGTCTTACACCATTACAACTGACATCCTCTATCGTGATGTCCAGAACGCAATCTGTCTCATTTAATTTTCTGCCCAGCATAACGGCCTCCACTATTCCCAATGCCCTGGAGGGTGTGGCGAAAACACACGTAGTTGGGCGTGGTTATGCTTTCACTGTCAAGGCAGGCTCTCACATTCGCATCATCAATTTACATGGGGAGCAAGTCGTTGACATGACGACATGGCGAGCTCCTTACTCCTCCGATACGACATGTGAGCATTTCTCGGCTTCCTACACCAGATGGTTTCTTGGCAGCCAAGCCCCTCCGGCCGTTGGGCAGTGCCTATACACCAATCGCGCGAAGAAGATGTTCAAGGTCGTCGAAGATAAGTAGAGTCAAATTGCACGATATGCAGTACATGGCCTGCCACCCTGCGCTCTATGCAGAGATTGGGAAAGCTGAGCATAGGAGTTGCGCAGGCAACTTTGCCGAGGCCATGACCACCTATCTAAAGGAAAACGTTGACCCGGACGCGAAATTCGAATGGTTCCAAGTTCACAACCCTTTCAACACTTTCCAGAACACGCAATACTACACAATGAAGAGTTGGATTGACTCTAGCAAGCCGGGCGACTTCATAGAGTTCGAGGTTTTGATGGACACGGTTGTTGCTGTCAGCTGCTGCCCTTACGAGGAGGGTGGCTTCAAAGGTGGGAAGTCGACTGAGATAGCAGTGAGCTGGCAGACAGCAGGATGAGCGTAACAAAATTGGTGGATTGGAGAGGGTTTGCGCAAGAGGTACGTGGTATGAAGAAATCGCTTCAGATTGGCCGTAGCTTTGCTACGTGAATCAGTAGCAGCAAAATACTTGAAGTCTTGAATCCTTGGAACTAGTACATGCGACCATGAATCACTGAGAACTAGGATACTCGTTCGCTCTTTCATATTTACTGACGCTATGTTGTTGCCAGTTTCCCGAAACAGGGAACAGTTTTTGAGATTCAGGCATTGCTTAGCTACACACCTGATCCAGCCTCACGACCATGTTAGCAGCATTTTGAGCTTGAAAAACAAGACCGATCCACGTGTCCGTACTAACTTTTGCGACCATGTCATGGCGAGGACGCCGCCTTTCATCTCTGGCGACCCCGAACGCATGGAAGCTCAACAGTGTCTGAAACGGATACCTAGAAGTGTTTGAAAGCTATAAGGCCTTCCATTCTTCCGGCATAGAGTGTGATCTCGCTTTAGTTGTAGAAGCTATATCTTCCAGGTAAACTTTGGCAGCTTTGTACTCGAGAACGAGTCGTGATAAAAGATGGCACAGCTGGCGCGTCCTGAAGTGAACTTTTCTTGGGAGCTAGATTCAGCTCAGTTGCGGGATATGACCCTGCAACAGAATGAGTTACGCCGGATAACGCCCTTGATACGCAACTAGCACCGTGTAGACACCAGTACTAGAGATTCATAGATGAGATCTTCTTATAGTTTCTTCTACTACAAAATTGTTAGAAGTAGATCGAAGAGGGGTTTCAACGCTCACTATCAACTTTGGCAGTTTATGCTGAATGATAAAGACACTGCATTGGTTTACAAATGAACGTTACTATAGTCGTTGCGTCTGTTGTTTCGGTGAGCTGGTGGTATATGGAATGATGTGGTAGGTAGAAAAGCAGCTATGCATATGATAACGGTAAGAACAGACAGATCTGCGTTAGAAGCAAAGAAAACGACCATCACACTAAAAATACAGCCACTCTGGCGCCGCGGCGAAGAACCAGGTCGCCAAACACAACCTTCTGTCATTCACACGATCCCGCCGTGTAAGCCTCGATTGCCTGCAAAACCAGCCAACACTGGCAATATCGTGGCTACGCCCCTCCCGGTATGTTGTCAAAACTACTGGATTAAAAGCCTTCGACCTTTGGTGCAGCCGTCTCCAGTTCGTTGTCCGGCGCACCCGGCCCAGGCTTTGGGTTGATCCTCCAATCGATCTCATCAATTTTCTTCCCAAACGGCGCATGCAGGCTTCTATCCCAGGCCAAGATCGGCGGTGGCAATGGCTCTCCTTCATTCACCTCGTCGGCATTATATCTCCAAATCTTATTAACTTTGCTGTCAGGACCCGTGATAATGCCAGCCTCGACCGCACCCCAATAACTCTGGTCTCGCATCAATGGTTCTTTTTTGTTGCTGAATAGCATGTGCAATTCAGGCTTAGAATCCGCGGCTCGACGAGCCTGAGCAAAGGATAGTGCAAAGTTGGGTATGTGCGACTTGGCAGGGTTCGCCTTCTGATAGTCGGCCCACATGGACCATGCAGGCGTGCCATGGTATGTATCATGCCAGTCATTCAAGTAGCCTATATTAGAGTCCTCGGCTGCCGAATCCTTGAAATCTTTTCGTTGGGAAAAAGCGGAGACCGCTGGAAGACAAGGGGCGTTAGTCGTATAGCTTTGATTATCGTTCTAGCTCATATGGGAGTAAATTTGACGTTGAGAATAAAGAAGAAGGAGAGGAGGAATTGCGAATTGACGGAAGGGTTTAAATATACTCACATTTACCTGAATACATTAAGTATCCGCCAGAGGCCGGTGGGAGTTGACCCTCCTTGACTTCTATATCAAGAAATCTGTTCTATTGAATTGGAGCATGTGAGTTACACTGGAATAATAAACTGCGTAAAAGAGGCAGAGAACGTGCTACATGTGCACGTGCTCTTCGTCCGCACGCAATATAGTTACTTGAGGGGGTAAGTCATGTACATACCCATTCTGATAGCTCAGGTTCTTGATTCATTCCATTAGGTGCCGGGCCAGTATATCTTGCGGGTGGAGGCATTAGGGGAACATCATCGGATGCTTCGGCGCCATCAGTAGCGTCTTTGTCGTCCGAACTTTTCTTCTTTCTCTCCCTAATGGCCTTCAGTTTATCGTCTAACTTCTTCCTGAGGCCCTTCAGCATGCGGGGTTCGATATCATAGTAGACGCCCGCCGTATCAGGAAGCTTCGTAGTGGAGATACCTGATGAGTGACAGGTTGGTAATCATGTCTAGTATGGAATCTTGATGCAATAGCTCACCAGATTGAGGTACATCGATTGCTCGCCCGTACGTTAGCGAAGCAAAGTTACTGAGCAGTGCAGCGGCGACCAGTAGCGATTTCAGCTGCATTTTGAAGAAGGGCAAAAGTTCTGATAGGGACTAGAACGGCGAGAAAAGTCTTTGAGACGACACGCAGTCTACTCCGATGAATAAGAGAACGTGGAAAAGCTTGTCTGAGTGGGAAAAAAACGAGGTATGTACCTGGAATGAGATGCTAGGAAAGAAATGGAGGAGAGTGAAGGAGGTTGTCTGATGGATATCCACTGCTTGACATGGAGTACTTATACACTTCATAACACGGTATATGTGTTTATGCTTGTTGATTATGGAAAATCCATGAGCTCGAAATAGAGTCTCATCTGCTTCGCCGCGTGAAGGATGAGGTTCTCAAACGCAGGTGGAAAGAATCGGTCCAGGCGATGGGATAGATCACATTCCATCGTTTTTGACCAGATTTGAGATACAGTCATCTCGACTAGAAGGCGGTGTTGCTGGGCGCTAAATGCGAGGTTCCTTGGTATGTTACGGGCGCTGTGTGCGACGATCTTGGAAGTGGAGAGCAGGATCAAAGGAACAATAGACATCGTCTTGTGGTCCAATGGATGCTGTTGAACTTGTTTCGGGTGTAATAAGTGATCTGACAAGAGCAAGCGCCGTTTTCTAGACCTTGAAACACCTCGCCAGAAGCGTGCATCCGAGGTCTGCAAGGAGGTGGCTAAATTAAGTAAGGCGCGACGCACAGGTCGTACCACACCTGCACCTTGAGGTGATTTCTGCATTTTGGCGCGATCCCCCTTGTTCTATTTCCCTGTCTCACGTCGCCACTAATTGTGACTCTTTGCCACCATCATCTCTAGTGTGCTGCCTTCACTATCTAATCCGCCGACAGTTTTCGGCACAAGACGACCGCCCTACGTCCCTCTCTCCAATTGTAGAACTGTCTGCTTCATCTATATTCTGTTTTTTTTTTATAATAGCACATCAAATCCACTACCTCTGTCCGTCCGTTCAAGATGGGCTGCGCACTCTCATCCGTCCCGTCACTATGCCGTAAACTTACCAGCAACCAACTTCGTCCCAAGGAAGCGGTCAAACTCAATCCAGCGACGTTTGATCAGAATTTTGATACATTTCCAAGACTCCCATACGAGTAAGATGCCTCCTATCCTCAACAACCATTTAACATGGCACTGATCGTGGTATCGTTTCAGACTTCGACGACAGATATGGATTGAATGTCTGTTACAGGAGAGTCCGCGAGTGTACGCTCTACAATTTGACATCGCTCTTACGGATGAAGACAACGACACCGACATGTATAAGCGGCCCACAGATGTCAAATTTGCCCCTGCGATACCGGTCAATTATGGCGAAAACGAACTACGCAACCTCGTCACTGCCACCGATGCAAGTCGCAGGATTGGTTCAACTTGCCGAGAAGCCAGAGACGCCACAGCCTTCATTCTACCAGACGTGTTCGAGATGAAAGCCAACTCGAGACAGTGGGCGGGATATTCTCAAAAACCACACATATTGACTGGAAGTTTTCGATTCAACGCAAAGCGAGACATAATCGGAGTAGTTCACGCTTATAGCGAGGAACTAAGGTTTGTTCGGACATGGGCACGACGAGGCCACATACTTCCGAACGCCCAGATCATTCGACACTTAGCGCTCGACACATGCATGACTGAAGATTCACGCTTTCATGTCATTTGGTTGAAATGCCATTGTGGAAAGCCAGATTGTGTCGTCTGCTCTAGGGACCCATTGCTACAGTTTTTAAGACTGTTTCCGAACCTGATGTCATTTCATATCTTGCAATACTCTACCACCTGCATGGCAGATGAACGGAGTTCCGAGGTGGACGTGGAACCAGTGAGCTTATGCGATTGTAATAATAGTGGAAAAGGGATCGATCACGACTGGCCCATCTTCAGGGGCATGCCTGATAACTCGTATTTCGTCTCCTACACAGAAGACGGTGGTTGCTCGTATCCCGAGCTACCGCGACTGGCATATGATAGAAACCCATGGGGTTCGCGATGGCCATATTATGATACGCTGAAGGATTTCGACATTCAAATACTCAGGCGCGTGAAATTAAGCGGAACATGATCAACAGTAGCCCCTTCTCGGTTCCCAAATGGTCTTACGTCTAGAACACATCAAAATGTCAATGAATTTGTGAGCTTTCGCAGAGCCTTCGCCGCTTCGTTTCATATCGAGAAATAACGATTACCAGCCCAAGAAACTTCAGAGTAACATTTTGAATTGAGTCTTGTAGACTAAGCGTTATTTTTAACTTTGAATTTCATGGTGCATGTACCAGTCAGCACTATCTTGAGTACAGAAATGTCAGCATGCACAGTATTGACGCGCGCTTCCAGTTTCATATCAGTGCTTAACAATCCCACGGTACCTGAACCTTGGATTGATTCGGATGACCATACCTCAGATATGTCTTTCTAATCTTCGACTTGGCTGGGTATATTGGAGCAAGAAGGCCAAGAACGTCTGCGGATCCTTCCGGGCCTCAAAAACAATATTGCCTACTACTAAGATTACCGAATTTGAAGACTACGCCGAGGTTGAATCATGTTTCAAGGCCTTTGCAACGCATTCAGAATCTTAGAAATCATGTTTTGATCTCAGACAGCACAGCCCATTTCGCGGATAAGCCACTATTTATCGCTACGCCAAGCACTGTGAAGAGTGCAGAGAGACATCATCAAATTTAAGGTGTGAATATTTAATAGCTTCCTCAGTAGAGGATAGTGTGACAGAACAACACTTTCACAGCATCAACAACGTCGGAGCATTCAGTTTCACATTTTTTCATTTCCGGTCGACAATTCTCTGCCTATACTCCGTCTCTTCTTCGTTATTGCATCCTCATCAAATCGTTCCTTTTGTTAAGCTATTCATTATGGCCTTCGCAGCTGCTATGGGAGTCGATTTCGCCATCTCGGGCATCACCATGGCTGCTGCATTAGCACCTGTCGAGGAAAAGCCAGTAGCCCGTATAGGTGTTGGTTCCACAATGCTTGGTGCAACGGAGGATGCTCGTACCAATGGCGTTATGCCAAATCTTTACTTATACGATGTTCATGGCAAAATGTTTGCAAAGCACGGTATGTTTTGATCGGTTCAGCAGTCTACCTCATGGCAATCAGGGCTAATCTAAGGGTCCACACAGAATCAGGAGATCTCATTGAGGACGGAGTGAACAAGCAAAATGACTTCATTATCATAGATGGAGCAGAAAAGACGGCCGAGCCAGAGTACCTTACGATTCAGGCCCGGTCTGACGATGCTACCTGCGTTACTTGTACGTTTCTTCCTCTTTGCTCAATCAGGAGAACTAATCGCCTGACTCTTTAGATGTGACCGTGACAGGTGCTTCGGGCGCCCAGCGAACCTGGCACGCCGGTTATGTGAAAACTTGCCAGGAGCAGGGCGGTGGAAGTTTCTATTATCCTTCACCCAACACGGTCCCTGACACAGATTTTCGACCGGGTTGTGTTTGGCTCAGCAACGACGACCGCTTCATGCAAGCCATCTCCGTTCACCTCCCGAGCTTTGGCTTCCCTGAGGAAAGTCTGGCTGAGCAAACCGCAGAGCAGTTCAAAGATTACCCCCAAACGCTCTGTCAGGCTCCAGGCCGAATGTCTCTCTACAAAACTTTTGACGGCGAGCAACCGCAGTGCATCCCGTACTACGATAAGATCCTGGAAAAGTTCAAGGAAGCTGATGTGGACGAAGAAAAGGGCATAAACGAAGGCTTCGATAAGGACTTCCAGGCTGTGGTAGACGGACATACACTGCCACCACGAAAGTTCTTCTTCAAACCCTCCCGCAAAGCTATTTCCCGTGAACGCACCTGCGACTATTCTAAACACAAGCTGTTTAACCAAGAGATTCAACCTGGCAAATCACCCGTGGAAGATTCGCCCCAAGCTCGCAAAGAAAAAGAAGCAGCAGAGAAGAAGAAACAGGAGGACGCAGCAGCCGCTGACCGAGCAGCAGCGGGAGAACAGGCGCGCAAAGACGTGGAAGACCAATTGAACGAGCAAGGACAGAATCCCAATGGAGCACTACCAGGTACCGGCAGTTTTGGCGGCGTTGCGGGATTGATACCAGCTGATCAGGCGGGCAAACCCGTGGATCCAGCGGAGGCAGCGAAGAATTTGGAGGAGTTCAAAGAGGAGCAGGCAGAGAATCCGCCCAAGCCTGCACCAGCAAGTACGGCTCCGACGAGCCAGCCGACCGGTGATCCAACTGCTGAGCCTATCATTGATATTAAGCGCCGGGGCACGCGCTCACTTCAACAGGGGCAGCAGGATGAGAAGATCAAGGAGATGCTGACGAGACGCGAACAGCTTCGCTTCAAGGGAGACTACTGTGTCGATCAGTTGAGGATCAGTCACCATGTGGAGCACAGTGCAAGCGAGTTGTGTGCGATGGATCGCTCATGGGGCCCGGATTTTGTTTCGGTGGTGGAAGGCTTGTATTGCGATATGTGCGAGAGAGATTTGTATCCGCTTTGCGCAAATGAGCATCAGACTAACTGCTTCAATGTCGATGAGAGAACTTTGAGGAGTTCAGAGAGCTCAAGGCAGAGCGTTAAGAAATATATTAGTGTAGAGGTATGGCGCGTATGAACATGTCGCAGACTAGAAAGTAGGATACAACGCGACTTCTAGAATGTAGGTAGATACAGCAGAGTAGTTTATGCAATGACCATGGAATCTCTGCAGGCGCTCACCAAGCTATCCTTTCCCCAATGCAAATTTGTCAGCAATCCGCGCAAAATCCGCCTAGCCACCTAATCCGCCTCACGATATATTTGTCAACATCGCCATGCAGAGGCAACTCGGGATCACCAAGTTCGTCGACTGCCTGCACAAACTGCCTGAGGGTGGAAGCATAGAGCAATTAAAGCTTGACCGCCAGCATTGTTGTGAGATTGAGCAAAAGCTTGCCGCTCGGCAGTCAGCTCTCTATGTGGCGTCGTCTTATAGTTTTGCAAAAGTCTTCCTACATGCGTAGACGTGTCCCCTGGATGACTTAGTTCTGATTAGGGACGGTTGAAATAACAATTCATTCCCTTTGTGCTGCAGTCGTGCTTGCGCTCTTGTTAGCTGAGCTGTGAGCCAAGTTGGGCCCAAGAATAGTAGAGGTGTGCTAGATAGCGTTTAGATTGCTCTGAGATAACTTCCATTCGAGCACCCTGCATACATACTTTCTGAGTAGCTAGAGAATCACTGTGTGATTGTCTTACCCTCTTCTATTGCCATTCATGCTGAGAGTGCAATATGCGACTTTTCTGCTCAAGGTTATCAGAGACTAAACATCCTCTAATCGCTGGTATCGATACTATCCACACCAGTAACCTCATACGTCTCCCATGTCCTTGAACCCAACAAGTTCATTGCTCATGACCCACAGCCTCTCCTCGCCCTCAGGGTCATATGTCCATTCTACGTACCCGGATTTCATGGGCCTCCATCCCTCTTGTACTGGCTTACTTATTTCGCAGTTATTCAGATACAAACCTCTCTCCCCTCCCACGCGTGCGCCACAGCTGCCCACACCGTGGTAGCAGCACCCTGCTCTGGAGTTTTTCGCGTGGCGGCCAACACAGGATCCTTGGCATAGGCATGCTCTGGGTGATATTCGCCGTGACGGAGCTGGAAGTTGTCGAGCTTGGGGGGGAAATAGCGATGTGCCATTGATGCTACGCTGACTACGCGTGAGCGGAAATTGGGCCTGGTGGAGGCAAGAAGCGCAGGTTTAACGAGCTGGAAGACCAAAAAGTGCGCGAGGTGGCAGGTGCCCACCTACAGTTCAAACCCATCTTTAGTGGTGCCTTCAGGACAGGACATGATACCGGCGTTGTTGATAAGGATGTTAAGTTGGTTGTTACTGGCAGCCAGAAATTCGGCGGCGAATTTGCGAACAGATGCGAGGGAGTTGAGGTCAAGGTGGGAGAGCTCGACCTTGCCAGGCTCAAGGATGTCGCCAAGGGCTTTTTTGCCCTTTTCGAGATCACGGACTGTAGCAAAAATGCGCGCGCCAGTCAACTTGAGGGCGCGGACGGTCTCAATCCCTATACCAGAGCTGCAGCCAGTAATCAAAATGGTCTTTCCAACAAGCTTGCCATTCAGACCCTCATCTTTGATAATTTGCTCCGCAGTTGGGCGTGCATCGCCGGGGCCCTTAGGATTCGCGTGGACAGAAGCGTAACGCGTAAACTCGGGAGAGCTGTATTGAGCTGGGTCAAAAGCTGGGAAGGGCATGTTGCTGGACATGTGCAAAATCACTGAACTTCAGAAATAAGAGACGTTGAGTTTGAATGTAAGAAGTATGATCGGTAGACTTGATACTGCGACTTGAATTGACAGTGAGGGAATGAAGACGTCTTATATAGTACATTAGCTCGGTAGATATTCGGAGGCTGCTGCCATAATGCCACGGCCAAGAGTAGAGTTCAACAAAAGATTCTCAAGTGAAAACAGTTTCAAAACATGTCGATTTCGACCTGGGGATGGGCAGATTCCCGTTCAGATTCTGATTAGATTGTTCCTTACTTCATCGGACGTGCACTTGATTATCATATGGGCCGGAGTTTTCGGAGTTAGGGCGGACTTGTTTGTGCAACAATCGTAGGTAGCCAAGACGCTTCGTTGTCTTAGCTAGCCAAAGACTAACCGTCTTCTCGAATGTCCAATGCTCAGTCTACCGATACCAATTTTCATCTCTCAAACCTTTCTGCCTTGCCTTGCCTTGCCTGCAGCCTTAGTTTTATCTTCCACCACTTTGCTCTCTTCTCTTCGCGCGGTTTTGCTCTGATTTTCCATCGCGGACGCATGACGCGTTTTACGTACAGAAGGCTGGTTTGATGGCCCGGAAGTAGCCGTAGCTACTGAGGTAGACCTTTTGGCCTTGCCTTTCGCTGTGATATCAGATACGAAGGGTAACGCTTCTTCATGCTCTTTCATATCCGCCTTTGTTTTACTACAAGTGGTCTTCGCTTTACGCTTCGGGGGTACCCTGGCCTTCGGGGCGGATACTGGTTTTGACACCAGAGGAGTGGGCGCTGCAGAACTGACAGCTGCCTTACACCCTGCCCGTGTTCGTGGTGTTCGTGAGCCTTTTGGAGATGGCTTGAAACCGTATTTGTTCGTGGCTGGTGCGGCTTTAGGGGAAGCAACACTAGATGCTGGTGTATCCTTGCGAGAGTTCATTCGACTGAGCGATTGATTGCCCAGCATTGAGGACTTTCTCTCAAGCTTGGGCTTCTTACTAACTGGGACGGAAGTATCGGAGTAGTCTTCATCAGCTTCATCATCTTTGTAAGGCGTCTCAATGGTCTCTTGTGCGTCCTCGAAGTGGATATCTTGCTCTTCTGAAAGGTCTTCAACGTCTCCAGGCTCGCTAATTCCAGACGATGAATCATCATCGCGTGAACCACTATTATCTCTAACAGGATTATTTTCGGCCGCCGGCGTGATGTCCCCGTTCTGGTTAACGTTCCGTGTTCTTGTTGCTCTGCGAGCGTTCGTGAAGAGTCCTCTTGGAGGCGCGGTAAGTTCTGGTAATGGAGCAGGCTTTGCTGTGTCTATCTCGGATGCTGGGAATAAACCTTCCTCTTCCTCTTCGTCTTCCATAGGTTCATTCTTTTGTCTCCTTGCAGGACGAGCATCGGGACGCTCCATGATAACCATTGCTAATGCTTTGGAGTTCTCTTGCTTCTCCATCAGCTCTGGAGTAGCTTTAGGTTCTGCCATGGGAGGTTTGTCCATCTTCAGGGTACTAACAGTAGCACCGCTACCTTCAACAGAGACGAATAAGTCGTGGTCGTTGCCATGAACGGCTGGTGATTGTTCGAAAGCGTTCGCACGTGGCCTGAGCTTACCCAGTGTGTCCAGCTTGAAAAGCTGCCGTGAGATAGGTATCATGTCTCGCTTCGCGTTCGAAGGGCGATCTCGGTATTGAGTTGAGCTGAGACCTTGAAGCTCACGGTGGGAGACATTTTGTCTGGATTTTGATATGCTGGGGACTTCTTCAACTGGAGGAACGTACTTGCTGGGTGTCACTGGAACCTCAACGTCGCTGTAGTGCCCTTCCATATCGGCATCGTTGCCTTCGTGATCAGAACATCGCATCTCCGTATCACTACTCAAAATCATGCTCTGCGATTCTTCATCCGCCTCGTCCATAGAAGTGATCTCCTTCTCTGCATTGACCGCACCACGTCTGATCTTCGCGAACGATGGCGCGGGTTTGAATTTCAGCTCTTCGAACGCCTTACTCCGCTCCTTGACGGCGCTAGGACGTGGCTCCGCAGGCGTACCTCTCCTCGCCTTCTTCCTCGGTGGGGCGTCTGAGTCTGTCTCTGATGCGTTCTTGGTCGTGTTTGACGATTTAGAGCGTTTGCGAATGGTTCGACCTTCTGGTGCTGGAGTCGGCGTTGGAGAGCCTAGAGGTAATGTGGATGGCAGTGGAGAATATATATCCTTGGCCCTGTCTTGATCTCCAATAGACGAACTGCCTTCTACGAGACCGTTCTCAGGTATCCAATCGGCAGTTTTGCTTCTTTCTAGGTCGGATATAATAACCTGGTCTTCGGCTCTCGCGTCAGGCGGTTCGACCTTGGATGGAGACAGAAGATTCGACGGCCTCTGAGCTAGCTGTGTCGCAGATGTATTCTGTTTGCTTGTAGATGCTTCAGCAGTTATTGGCCCTAACCCTTCATCACCTAGTGCATCATGTTGAGACGCGAAGAGTAGTGGCGGCAAAGATGCGTTTTCCTTGGATTGCTGGGCTGGTAACGGGGCCGCTAGCTGTGAACTATGTCGCATAGACACCTCGTCGCTGATGATCTCCGGAGATGGCTTGAAGGAGTGAATATTTCGATCACGGTATTCCGATGGTAAAAGCTCGGCAAGACCAACGGGAGATATGTTGTCAGCTGCATCTCGTAGCTGCGTTTGCCTAGGCCCATCAACGTTCTCTTCCCTCCGCGATAGTACCTTAGGAGATTCTGGTGAACCAGTTGAATCGCCCTCACTCAGCGCCGAGGAACTGGCTTGACTGACAGTCGTATGTTCAGGTCTAATTTCCGGCGCATCGCTGATGGGTGTGTCTCTCTTCGGTACGTCAGACGCCTTGACGATTTGTGCGGGAACCTCCAAGTCTGATCCGTGTGCAGTGTGGATACCGTGGTATGAAGAAGCTGGCGAATAAAGAACGGTCGAGGCCTTGACTCCGTTGTTGTGGTTTGGGCTGGCACAAGGTTTCGCCTCGGCCGCGATGCCACCTGCAAAATGCTTTTCTTGGCAGGCCGCCGGCTCAGGCATCATAACTGTCCCTTGTTCTGCAGTAATCCCGCCTTCAATCCTAGAACTGATATCACCACATCTAGCGGCAGTGGCGATCGATACGCCGTCAATGTCCATGTAATCTTGGGCCGCAACATGTTGTCCATCGTCGATACGCGAATTTAATCCAACATGCTCGGTAGATGGAAGCGATACAACAGTCTCGGTGACTTCGGTGACAGGCGCGATATCGTTCACTAATGGCAGGTCCTCTGAGTCGAAAGCTCGATCTTCCGGTCGGTCGTTCGGTAGGTGTGTTCTTTCACGTGCGTGCGCAGAGTCGCCGTTGAAGAGATCACAGTCTTTGTCTTGACCGATTGGGCACAATGTGCCAGCGACACTGTCAAATTCTTCCTCATCATGAACTTCGCTATCCGATTTACCAGGATTCTGCAGACCCTCTTTACCATTGGACCAATCGAAGTCTTCAATTTGCCGTAAGCCTTCCTGCCAACTGTCTGCGAGCGGGCTGCTGTATGCGTAGTAGTCCGGCGGGTGCGCCTGGTTGTTGATTCGGCCATCGGCGTAAACAATCGGCGCGTCGTTTGTGTAACCTAGCTCCTCCAAAGACCAGACTACCACGTCTTTAGTGTCCAACATCTCGTGGCCAATCTTTCCGGAGAAAACTTCGTAATCGACCAGCTCACCGAAGAACTCCGTGCTATAAGCTAAAGTAGAGGGTAGGTTCGGGTTGTTAAAGACGGCAAAAGATTCCTCTGAATCGTATTCCAAGTTCATGCTGTGGTGGAGGAGTAGATACGCGCAGCTGTTACGTAAACAAACTGATCTCAAAGCGACAATCGTGCAAGCGGTGTTTTGTCGACCTGGGACCTCTTGCTCTTTCACGCGTCCAAAACAAGGTATTGCTGCCAGTGGAAACAGGCGCTTCTTTCCGCTAGCTTTCCATTATCGATCCGATCTTCGCATGCGCTCTTGGTTCTGTGACTGTTGAAATAAGTTGAAAGTGCAGCGCTGGACATCAGCAAGGTAATCGTGTGTTGTGGGCGGCAAAGAACGTCACAATTCCACAGTGTGCTATCGCGAGACCTAATTTGGAAAACTCAAAAAGTTTTTCGCTTGTCAACGTTAGGTCTCAAAGTGAAGGTGAGTAAGTGAGAGCAACGCGTCCTGACGTGTTGACGTGGTACGGTGTGCCTAGCCGAGCAGACCACGGGAAGTGTATCATGCCTCACCATATATGTCACCAAAAGAAAGTTGAAATCGTGTACGTATATATTAGTTTGGTTAGGTCTCCAGTTGCTGGTGGGTATCATGTTCAAGTCCCCAGCGCCTCACCAGTCTTCCAACTCTTGCTCGGCCAAAGGTGATATTATGTGCAAAGTAGGTGTTGGTGAAGAATTTGTAGTTTAGGAAAGTCGCATATGCTATGTTGTATCGCTTGAGGCTCGTCATATAGGTATCGCATTACTGATTGAGTTGCCCGTGTCCACGGGCAGGGCCAATACGCTGCTGTGGTCAGTGCTGAATCTACAGATGTGTACGAAAAACTCACCTCTTTCCCGTATCAGTTGCGCAGCAGCAGCAGAGCAGTGACGCAGGCCAACAGAAGATCTAAGAAATATGAGTAATTGATCGCGCGCGATGGAGGTAATACCTACAGCCATGCCCACTGTGACTACGAAGCCGATAGTAGGTCCAATGACCTTACAATGACATGGGTTCTGGTCACTTTTCGAGTGTCCATAGTTAGCATAACGCGTAAGCTTTGGGCCGGCGAGTTACATACGTTCCACACTGGAAGCACACGATCGGAAGAGGCACGAAGTCGCACATGTTGACAAAAGAAGAATAGCAAAAAAGATGGAAATAGCCTCTTCTTTCTTAGCGATAGTAGATGCGAGATGAAGTTCTGGACGTTGCCAAGTGAGGAGATGCGGAGTGGAGATAAAGACGTGGGAAGGCTGAAGTTGTGATGCTTGTTGTCGCGCTAGCCTACGTCATCTCCGGGCGATCGCGAATCGGAGACACGCGTCAGCCACATCGTGCTTCTTCAATTCGATCCTTCGCATTCAACAACGCTTAGACCTGTCTAGCAAATGCAGCTATGTACAAGATGCGTTTCCATGAACTTGTTTTCGGACACTTTTTCTGACCAATGACTGGCAAGTGCCTGGTCTGTATGAAGATCGGGAACAAGAGCGCGGCCAGCTTGTGAGCATGGCCCGCGTGCTCGGGCTTGTTTGGTCTTGTCTCCAAGACCTTTGTTGCGAACGCGCCGAAACGCAGAGTGTGGACGCCAAAATCAGGATCTGACGACTGCTTGCAGCCCAGTTCAAGACTCGCGCAAACCATCAAGAAGCGCTATCAACGATCAGCCCTCTATCTCTTCACGTACCAATTCCAGCTCGACAGTTCTTTGGCCTTCTTGAATCTTGCCCTTCAGGCCATCGTTATACTTGTCGAAACAAAGCCTCCACAGCCCCGGCTCGCCCTCGGTCTCAACCGCAATAAACCCCTCCCAACCCTCGAAAATATACCGCCTCTCCCCGTTCGAGCAAAATCGGGCATCCCAAGGACCTGCTTGGCCCTCTTCTGCATCAACACGAAGTCCATGGCTAAGCTGGAAGATGTCCGAGTCGGTGTCTAGATATACCCAATTGAGCTGTGGCGGATCATTTGAGATGGTAGATACAATGCCTTCGTAATCCTTCTTTGGGAAAGGCAGATAGTATCCGGTGAACGGGTGATGTGCCGGTCCTTCGTATGTCGATAGCTCAACGTACAGTCGCCCTCCACAAAGTACGATTCGACTATTCTTGAACAACTCTTTGCGGTCTTCTGGCGTCCTCGCAGTCGCTCGGCATCGCATGTGGCACCTCTCGCCCTTCCAGTCGTCATCTCCGTCGGCAGCGGCATCGTTCTTCGCGTTCTCGGTTTGACTCTGTAGGGCGAGAACGGATGTCGCGGTCAAGGGAACTGTTCCCACAAGAGCCAGCAGGCCGAAGACCATCTTTCAAGGTTTACAGATAGTGGTAATAGTAACCCGAAACGATCATGGGGGTTGTGACTTGTTGTATAGTTACCAAGGTATAGCGTGTGCTAGCTGATCAGGCCTCACTACTTAGGTATCTATCGCAAACCCCACATCACGACGCCAGAAAAAGAAAAGCTACCATACGCACCTAGATCATCTCGCGTAGAAGCCCATGACGAAAATCAAAATACGATTCTAATGTGGCTGCATATATGGAGTGCAGAAGCCAATCAGAAAGCTAGTGGGCGGATGGCTTCCGGTTCCCGCTCCACTTAGCTCCAAGATGATCGACATGATCGATAGTGAATGCCGGGGCCAATGACGAACAACAAACCCCATACGGCTGATCTGTGGAAATTCATGAGTTGCGACGCTGCTTTGGGCGAGACGCGATGACCCTTTTGAGAAATTGTAGTCGAAGCTACAGCATTAGCTGACAACTTCACGCATCTCCTGCATTAGAGCCATGGGTAAACTTGAATCGCATGCAAGCTCATGGCCAATCCAACACTCATACTCGTGGGGATCACCTCGCCGACCCGTAGATCGATGATGCAGCTTCGGCTGGTGGATGCGGGCACTTCGGACGTGTCCGTCTAGTACTTTGCGTCGGGAAGTTTATCAATCAACGTATGCTCGCTCAGTGCTTGCAACTTTCCCATTCAAACCCCTTGATAGCGAAGACGTGAGAGCTGGCGTGGTCAGCACAACTCCCGCATCGCAGGAAAGCGACAATACCGCAATTAACTTTACCCCCACCACAACCTCAACTCACACCTCCCCAAACCCCGGACAGCGAGATCGCTCCAGAATCAGAGTTCAAAATGGCGGACAACCTAACAAAAAAGTGGGTGTTTGACGCTTTCAAAACCTCTTGCCACATTCTAATTCACGACCAGCTTGAGCGACACCGCCTCCAACGCAACCGGCGGCCGTGAGGGAGGACCTGGCGAAACAATCGGTAAACTAGGCAACACCGCCACCTCCACAGTATCCCCAAAGAACAAGAAGAAGTCGAAGAAGGGAGGCAACAGCAATGATGAAGAGGATGAAGAAGCGAACGAGGGCTTCGGTCTTGATAATGGATCAGATGTAAAAGGCAGCCTAAAGGTGCATATCAAGTTGGATCTGGAAGCCGACATTAAGGTCTATGCGAGAATTAGGGGAGATATTGCTATTGGGATCTTGTAAGAAAAACATGATACAACAAGTACTGTTCTCATAGAATTGTGACGTGGACGTTTAGACCCTCGGCTGTGATCATGCTCAGCGCGCGATTAATACAAGTGACTGTACCTCATAGCGTCGTTTCCTTCGTCAACATGAGGTTGTATCGCGCAGTGTAGACCTGAAAATTTCAGTGACAAGACTAAGGCGTGAGTATCGTGGAGTGTAAAAGTGGGCACTCGGCGGGGACAGTGCAGGCAAGCACAACGTCAGTCATTCGGGTCGGTATTCTACCCATCGTGAGATAAAGACTGCAAGATCAGGTAAGATCGCAGACGCAGTTGACTGATGGATGTGCGATGCAACGATCTACCCAACCTTTCCTGCCTCGGCTAGACGCGCTGGACCCTGAACGTCAGGCCGCATACCAAAAATAATGCTGAGAGTCATCCACAATGTAGTCGAACAATGCGCGGGCCGCTACCCCACGCCTTTCCAGAATTCCAACGGTCACTGCATCGATTGTTCTGTTCGCGCCGCAGCTTTCACAAGCTTTCGAGAGTTCCACGACGCGTACAATTTCGGGAAGCGCATGGGAGAAGAGGGAACATGGCGGGGTATGAAGAATGGTCACAACAGCAGTTGATTGCCAGGATACAGGAGCTGGAGAAGCAGATAGGAGGGGACGCACAAAGAGTTGCCGAATTGAACTCATCCCCGACAAGCGAACCGACGCCCGCGCCTACAGAACCGCTCAAGCCATGGGAATTGCGCACAGCCCGCAAGGCACCGCCGAAAGCCTTTGATGCTTCGAAATACAGCACACGGTTAATCGCACTGAAGTTTGCCTACCTAGGACAGAAGTACAACGGCTTCGAGCATCACAAAAACAACACCACACCATTACCTACAATTGAGGAGGAGGTCTGGAAAGCACTGGTCAAGACACGTTTGATAAATCCGATACCGACGGGCGGCGACGAAAGAAGATATGAGAGAATTGATAGGAAAACTTTTGCAAAATGGGATCGGGAAGGTGCTGATGTAAACTGGGACGGCTGCGAATACTCCAAATGCGGACGGACGGATCGGGGCGTGAGCGCTTTCGGGCAGGTCATTGGAGTGAGGGTCAGGAGCAACAAGCCATTGCCAAAGGTTTCTGAGCCTGTACAGGATGCCGAAGGCGGAAAAGAAGCGGACGATGAAGAATCAGCGTCATTATCAGACGACGTCCAAGACACGCCACAAAAGCCGTTCAACGATCTTACCGACGAACTCCCATATATCCAGCTTCTGAATCGTGTGCTACCCCCGGACATTCGTGTTTATGCGTGGTGCCCAAACCCGCCAGAAGACTTCAGCGCTCGCTTCTCTTGCAAAGAACGGCGGTACAAGTACTTCTTCACCAACCCTTGCTTCGCACCTGTACCTGGATCCTCTGGGCAATACAAGACCAACACCAACTACAACAACTCCAAACCCGTAGCTACCGAAAACCAAGAGACAATGCGCGAAGGCTGGCTCGACATCGAAGCCATGCGAAAAGCCTGCAAGTCGCTAGTCGGCCTCCACGATTTCCGCAATTTCTGCAAAATCGACGCAAGCAAACAACTCACAAACTTCCAAAGACGCATCTTCCACGCCGACATTGAAGAAGTGTCCTCACTGTCCGTGCCAGGCTTCCTCTCCCACCCCGCTCTCTCTGCGCCCTACACCAACGGAGAGCAACCAAAACTATACTCATTCACTCTTCACGGCTCCGCCTTCCTCTGGCACCAAGTCCGCTCCTTAGTCGCTATTCTCTTCCTGGTAGGCCAAGGTCTCGAGTCACCGTCCCTAGTCCCCCAACTCCTCGACATCACCGCCAACCCTCAACGACCAAAATACGAAATGGCATCGGACGCCCCACTCGTTCTCTGGGACTGCATCTTCCCGCATGCACACGAAGTCCGCAGCACCGAGGAGCGAGAACACGGCTACCAAGACCGACTCGAATGGATCTACATTGGCGACGAAGGAGGCAGCGAGCCCAAAGCCAGAGGAATAGCCAAAGGAGGGGGCCCTGCTACCATTGGTCGCGGAAAATGGGGTCGCGGCGGTGTCATTGACGATGTCTGGGAGGTGTGGCGGGGGAACAAAATCCATGAGACGCTTTCGGGGCTTTTGCTCGATAAGATTGCAAATTTGGGACAGTCGACGCTGGATGCGGAGGTGCCGGCTGAGCAACAGAGTATTGGGATAGCGAGGGGTGGCCCGAGGGTGTTTGATGGAGGGGATCTGGGCAGGGCCAAGGGAAATTATATGCCTGTGTTGCAGAGGGAGAGGCAGGAAAGTGTAGAGGTGGTGAATGAGAAATACAGAGTGAGGAGGGGCATTCCTGATCGTATTCAGGCGAAGGATGATGATGGGGATGAATAGGTGCTGGAGGGGTGAGACGCACGAGGGATTAGTCGGTATACAGGCCCTGCGGCTGGAATATCCGTATGCTGAATCGAGTAAGAAACACTTTATTGGGTATCATAATCTGTCGCAGTTTTTCCATGTAGCTTTGCGTTATACATGCTCCGATACACACTTCGTCCCCAACCTTTTGCATGCCAATACACCCATATGTGGTCCCCCCTCCCACCTCAATCCCCGGTATTCAACTCCAAATCAATCTGCACACCGTTGCTAATCGCATAATCTGCACACGTGAGATTATCATGAAACGGCCTCTCACCCTGCCTCTTCAGCATAATCTCATGCACCGGTCGCCCAATCTTTGCAGCAACCATGGCTTTCAACAGCTTGATGGGGTCGCTGGGGAGGCAGGGGACTTGTGTCTTGGTGCCTAGACGGTCGTTGATAGTGACGAGAATCATGGGCTCAGAGGGTGCAGCAGGAGCCGCAGGAGCAGCAGCAGCGGATTTCTTTTCTTTTGGTTTGCTGTCGCGGTTCGAGTCGCGTGGTTTGCGGTCGCGCGAGCGGGAGCGCCGACGGCGCTCACGGCTCGAGTCTCGTCGTCTGTCGCGCGACGTATCTCGGGGACGGCGATGATCGCGCTCTCGGTCGTCATCGCGTCTTCGGTCGCGGTCCGAGTAATCTCGCGGTCGCCTCTCTCGGTCTCGGTCTCGGTCGTCGCGTCGTCTGTCTGGGTCGCGACGCTCGCGGTCGCCTTTGAACTTGAGGTTGCTGAAGTTCTTGGGTTTACGTGGACCGGGGGATCTCCGGGGAGAGCGAGAGCGATCGCGGTCTGTTTTGGAAGAGTCCATCGTGACGGGCTTTACTCGAGAGGTTTGTGGTGCAAGGAGGAAGGTGGAATGGAGGTAAGCTCGTGTGAGGCAGCTTGGTAGAAAACGTGACAATCTTATCGATAAGAAGCATGCTGAGCGCGTCATCCCGTTCCCCAGGCTTTCTCCCACCCCCACATTCCGCTGTCCATAGTTTCGATCCTCTAGCGAGGCTTGCTTATATTCCAACACCATGTTGACAATCATTGACCGCTTGAACTCTCCGCCGGCGCAAACATTCCACGTGCTGCAGCCAACGTCGTCAACAATCACGTACACTGTCTCGACGCGTCCTGTTCCCAAAACACTACCCGCGCTCGTAGGGTACTATGCGGGGATATTGTTGAGAGTCTCACTAGGCTTCATAAGCATACTATCGCTATGGTCAAAGTTCTGCGTCACGAATGAAGCTCAATACGACCCAACTCTAAGACTATGGAAAATGGGACATGGTGTGGAAGCGCACCTCGTCAGGCTCACAGAAGCTTGCCAATGGCGATACTTGATACCTACTGCATGTATCATGCTCTTTCTGGTTTTTCGCCGCAACTACACAGGTACCTCGCTCCCCTGACGCCATCTTCTGGTCTCTAAGCTAAGGCAATCTACAGAAGAATCCCTCACCATACTCCGCGGCCTCGGTGTCCAGACCTCGACTACATCTTTGACGTATCTCCAGACGCCCACCACGCGCTTTATACCCACCACGAGCATACAGGACGTTTTCATACACGAGGCGTTCAAGGGATTCGAAGTGAGATTTTATCTCATGGTAGTAGTGGAGGACGAGGAAAAGGTCGTCGTTGTGTTTCCGAGATTGCTACCGAGAAGAGAAACGCTAGAGATCGTTTGGAGGGGCGTAAGAGGAGGATTGTGGGAAGACAGCATGAAGAGTGCAGACCGGGAAAAGAACGTTGAGAGCAAAGCAGCGGGGACGGTAGAATCGTAACATGAATAAAGTGCTCCAATATATGTCGTAACAACCACATGATTAGAACCTCGTCCGCGTCCTACACATGCTCTGAGGGTTTGCGTAAGCCTCCTCATTGAGCTGCCGTAACATTGTATCCATACCTTCAGCTTCGCTACACTTTTACAAGCATCAGAGCTCCCCGTTTACAACAGTCCATCCGGGTGCTCTAGCCTCGTGGTAGGAATCACGCCTGCTCTGGTCTTTTTGGTATCAATCTCGTCCTATCCAAACCCCAATACGCCATATATCCAGACCCATACCCGTGCCCAATTTTCTAGTACCTATACCTAGTACTGTAGTCCTTCGGCGACACAACCAGACCTCTACCCTTCTTCGCCCCCCGATATACCGTCTCAATGATATCAATAAACTCCTGCTTATCCTCCAACACCCAGTTCAGCTTGTTATTATTTCCCGTTCCAAAATCACACATCATGTGTTTGTTACGGAAGAAGAACATGACAGTGCAAGGATCGTACAGCTCGTACATGGCCTTGAAATCGGGGACTTCGTCGAGATCGCAGAGGTAGATGGCGCAAAAGTTCTTTACACGGTCGGCGATCTTGTAGAGTACCTCGTCTTGCGACATGCAGTCGGGGTCCGAGTCCCGGCCGAAGCGGATCAGAACTAGGCGGTCCTCCTCGCTGAGGATGGCTTGGTCGACGTGCCATCCTGTGCGCAGGTGGGGGAGGACTACGGAACCCATGGTGGGTGGGTGGGTATGCGCGCGCGCGTGGAGTTTGGGTTGGAGGTGGGTGGCGGTGGAGGATAAGAGGTCAGAGTATGTGGGGTTGACGACTCGATACGGCGCGTGGATGTGTGCTTGATGCGATCGTAGGATAGGAATGGGCTATGCGTCAAAGATATTCGTATTGTTATGTATGCGCAAGTGTCGAATAAATAAATGGGTGTGCTGAAAGACAGTTGCGTGAGGCAGCTATCGCGCCCGTGATCTAGAAAGTTCGGGACATCCCGAGATCGCCCCACCATTCCAAAGTTGTGTTCCTCCTCAACCTCGACCTACAAATCTTCTACACTTCTCAACTAACTTGTTACTACCCACTACTCCTGTAGCCTTCTACCAACTGGTATCGGACTAATGATATCGCTCTGTCATCGCCCCATCTTGTTGGGTAGCAGCAGACAGTCTTCGTATGCGGAATCGCACAAGAAAGAACATCTAGCATGCTTTACTGTATGGTGCCACTTTTACGAGGAAGCATGCACGTAAGACGCCTAGTTCACTGTCCTTAGCAGCCGATCATCTCTCCAACGCTATTTCTGTGTCTTCGGAACATCGTTCGGGTAGCTCTGCCTGTCAGAGAATGAGCTGATCACCCTGGAGTGTTGTACAGAGTTGCTAGTCAATGGACCTAACTGCAAAATGCTCGTCTTCCAGTCCAGCTGCCTAGGACCCTTAAGTCTGTCTACAAGTGGGGCGCACTCTATCCTGATTGTTGAATTGAAAAGGGGCATTACCCAATCATAGCCCATCTATCCACGATGTGGGTGTGGGCGGGACGCCCCGCACGGGACCGGTAGGCCTTAGCGGAGTAGGGTCCGTCGACGTGTATACAGGTGCAAGCCGCCTCCATCACGCACATGTTGCAGCGTTACCGGAGCACAACAATGTCCAGATCTCTATGCACTGCATTTACAGTACCAGTGACTAAAGCCTGCAGGAGTATGTGTTCAGGATGTACGCCAGCACTTTACCACGATTTGACAAGGTATCACCAATGCTTTACACGACCATCCTAGGCCAGTCGAAAGGGTCTTAGCTTGACGCAAAAGGCGTCGTTTAGAGAGCTTCGCAAGTACGAGTAGGTGCGTGCGTTTGTGCTAATCTAAGTGCAGACAATTTCAGGTCAGAGGTGTAGCGCGCCTACTATAGTAATGGGTAGCTGAAGCCATGCATCACACCAAATGCCGATTCGCCCTCGCTGTTTTCGAAACACCCCACAGTAGCCTCACTGTATAGCTTGGTTTGCCGTTGATGGGCATCGAATAGTGCAAAGATGACAGCGGTGATACCATTTTACGAAGTCTGTCGTCGATACTATTTCACGATGTACTGCATCGTCTCGTACCTAGGGCTCAGACCTTGAAGAAGTCTCATGCTAAATCCGGATAGTGATACAATTGCCATTGAGTCGGCTAGAAGCAACCTCAGTCTAACACAGGTCTGGCTACAATGAGCAGCCTTTGTTATGTCTCAGTGGACACATGCTTTCTCAATGATGACAATCGACAGGATATTCGCTTGATACTGCTTCTCGGTCCGATATCGTTTAACACACTGGCGTATGCCCACTGTATAGAAGTGGTTAGATCTACGCCAGTCAGTAAGAGCATTGCGCCTTCGGACCGTCAGTGTGCATACCGCGATGTACATCTCGAGCTGGAGACTCGACTTCACGCATATGGATGGACTTCTTGGTATAACACACGCTACACCGCTCTTCCGCTATATGCGTACTTAGTGCATCTTCTGGTTACCTAAGTAATCGGTATCATGCATGTATTCAATAGGCCAGCCTTTCATACGATCACGCTGTAGAGAGCCACGATCACACTGGACAGGTTCACGGTGTACTAAGTTCTCTTCAGAACTCGCATACGACATGACCGGTCTCGATGGGGGCATTTACGATGACCAGGAGGGTGCTGATGGAAGCTATTCGGCGGCAATGATACAGACTTACATGCAGACCGAAACAATATTCGAAAAGGCTGTCGAACATTTTCCAACGAAGCCTAGAGGTCGAAAACTCAGCCATCTGGCTATCGAAGTAGGCCTGGCGACTGTTTTCATAGGCTCGACTCTTACTTGGCTTTTCAGGCATCCGATCTTAACGAGTGCCTTTAAGGGGTCTAGATCAGAATGGCACACTGTAGGACAAGAGATTGTCTAGCACCTTCCGGGAAGAAACGGAGTACGAGGAATTGCTTTTACCACCTTCCAACTCTACAAAAGCCCCCTCCGTTCCTCGAAACCCTTATTATCCTCACCATTATCTATTGAACACTACAATCAGACAACACATCTCACTCACCAATACCTTCTGAACAAGATCAAAATGTCCGACTATACCGGCCCCGGCATGTACGAGGTTCTCCCCAAACACGCTCCGGAAATGAGCCTGAATGTCTGAGGTGGTGCAACAACTGCTGGCACGCCCATTAAGATGTAGTACGTATGCTTACCACGGCCGAATATAGCCGTCCTCGACTGATCGATTACTAGCCCGAGGACCACCAAAGCCATCAATACCCACTTTGAGATTGTATCGGCGGGAGGCTACTACGCCCAGCCCGAGAAAGGTGATTGTGAATATCACATCATCTGCGCAAACTCTGGTTTGTACTTGTGCATGAACTGTAAGCCAGTCGCATCTTCCTACGACATATTTGTCCCCTGACACCTACATCCATCTAGATTCGGGTGGTGACTTCGGCAAGATCACCGCCGAGGTTCGCCCTCCTCTTGACAACGACGTGCGCTGGAAGATTGCACACACTGGAAACGGTACCTACACGTGAGTTCTCTTCTCCCGCGATTGTATATGGGTAGGGATACGACCTAACGTATACCTTAGCATCAACAACGTCAATGGCAAGACAAAGCAGCAGCTCAACGTTCGTGGCGAAGGCAAGGCCAGCGGAACAGAGGTGATCTCATACGCCATCAAGGAGGCTGCGAACACTCAGTTTGTTCTCAAGGCTGTTGTTGCATAGGTAGTGCGGTCGAGTTTGTAGGCCGAGGCCAGTGCTACGGTTGAAGGCAATGTCAGACTCCTCAGTCGAGATGTAGCACGTAGAATCTGTCACTCCTTCATCAGATTGATCCGCTGTACACGTTAGACTACTTTGGAATGATTTTCAAAAGCTATGTATCCTAGCCGTGTATCGATTTTGACAAGAATGCCTTGCAACTAGATCAAATTGGTTCTTCTAATTTCCGCTTTGCAGGAGTGTCTCACCTTTGCCTAAACCCAGTCGAGTTAGTTGATTAATGGTGTAATCACTGTTAGCCGAGATCATTCGCAACCTAGCATTGTGCCTAGGTGCCATACTGACCTCTGAAGCTGAATACATTTAGTGCGCCTGATGTAATCACCTAGATTTTCTGAACACCCATCATGCATACATTGTAAAAGAATCTCATTCGATCATCAAAGAAGATATCGCTCCTTCTGATTGCGACATTCAAAAGCATGAAGCTACGCTGAACATCTTCTCGTAGATGCAAATTACAAAGTGTACCGGTAGAAAGGGCTCTTATCACCCATAAGCAACAACTCCTGCTCGGAATACCTCGCACGAATAGCGTCTTCACCATGCTCTGCAATCAACTCATCCCTCAGTCTATTCTCCTTCGCATACGCCCACCTCAACACGAAAGTCATGAGAATGGCGGTACAGCACATGGCTAAACTAGCCGAAAAGCCCGTCGTGTACTTTGGTGCTTCGCGCGAAAGATAGATATTGCTTCCCATGATACCACCCATGTTTCCCACGGAAATCAAGAGAGCCATACCAACAGCGCGCTTGGAAGATGGTGCGAGGGAGTTGCCAATCCAGGAGACAAGGCATGTAAAGGGGCAGTATAGACCTCCAGCCACGGGGAAAAGGAAGCCATAGGTAATGCCAGGATAAGCGGGCTTAGGAATGGCCAGTTGAGCGATGAAGCCGCATACGGCAATGGAATAGCCTGCGATAATGTATGGGGAGCGCTTGCGTGTCAGATCGGAGGCCCACGCAAAGATGAGGGTAAGGATAGCGGCGAAAACGTAGATCGGGATGGTCATGAGTTGGGCATTGGCACTCGTGTAGCCGAGGCCTTGGATGACAGATGGTACGGTGGCTGTGAATCTGTATAGAAATATCAGACAAGATTCGGTAGCACAAATTTTTGTCGCTGACTTACCCATAAACTCCAACGGTGTTTCCCCAGAAAATAACCGTAGCAGCCCAAATCTTCCAGTCGGAAAGACCAGTGAGAATCTGCTCTTTGCTGATCTTATCGCTGTTGGTGGCCTGTCCCTGTCCAGACCCAGAATCGTTCGACAATCGGGAAACCAGCAAGTCGCGCTCTGGTTGGGTAAGGAATTTGGCGGTTTCGGGGCTATCTGGGAGAATCTTCCAGATGAAGAGCGCGAGCGCCACTGGGATCAGTCCCTCGATTAGAAAGATCCACTGCCATCCTGCAAGTCCAGAGCGACCGTCGAGTTTCTCAATACCGTAGGCGAGTAAACCACTGAAGGCACCAGCGAGAGAGGCGGCTACATAGAAAACAGCCATGCGACGCTGAAGTTCGAAACGGCGGTACCAGAGAGTGAGCAGAAACGTTGCTGCGGGGAAGAAGCCAGACTGCGAATGTAAGCACATGCTGTCAAGTCTGGATTTGAATATTTTCCACCTACCTCTGTCACACCCAAGAAGAAACGTCCGGCAAGTAGCCCACCGTAGCTGGACGTTAGACCCATAAGTGTCATCACGAGACCCCAGCAAAACATCAAGATTGCCATCCAATGACTTGGGCGCATCATCTTGAGCACGATGTTGCTAGGTACTTCGAGGAGCGTGTATGGAACGAAGAATAAAGTGACTGCAGTGTTGTACTGGCTACCGTGCATTTTCAGGTCGTCCGTCATACCAGCAATCTTCGCGTTACCGACTACAATATGTTAGTACTCCGACATAAATTTGTCCAAGAGCCTGCACTTACTGTTACTTCGATCGATGAACGCGACAAGGTAGAGAAGAGACAGCATTGGAACGAGTCTCATATCCACCTTCCTCAGCACACGTGCAGCCTCCTTCTCCTCAAGATCGATATTCTGCGCTTCGAGCTCACCACTGCCCGATGAAGTCGAGATCTTCTCCGCGACATTCTCGGTCTGCTGGTGCTCAGCGGAGAGCTTGTCGTGATCGAATGTTGTCGCCATGGTGTGATTGCAGGCGATATGGGAGAGAAAACTGGCAGGGCGATGCACGACTTCAACCCCGTGGGGAGCTTCTACCCTTTAATGCATCTCGGTAGAATGCAAAGCCCGAATCATAGCATCACAACGGCATACCTTCTTCGGCAACGTTACCCACCTAGCATGCATGCCTCGCCTCTCCAGGCTCCCCTCAACGCAATTGACCCTCTTGTGTGGAGGCGGATCAAACGTATCTTAGCTTCTGGGGTAGCAAGCGGCGCCTTTGCGGGGTAGTTTTGGCGGGATCATCACGCACGGCGTCGGCACGTGCAGCGCGATCTGCATGTCGTTGTGACGTATGGTTCGACCATCTGTCAAGCGGCACAGGATTAACTGGAGATGTGCAGGGGCGCATTTGCCGATCTCATAAGCCGCGGTGTCGGTGTGGGCATTTGTTGAAGGGCCGGTGGTGGATTTGGCGAAGAGTTGCTAGGTGGTTGGTCGGGTGAGTCCCTTCGGCGATAGCCCGATGAAAAAGGAAGTCCTGTCGGTAGCAGCGCCGCCTACGCTACCCTGGAGTATGTAGCTAATGGACATACAATGTCCGGAATCTATAACTTGACGCTGTCTAATTTTAGCCCACACGACATACAAGACATATCCAGGTCTCTACCAAATGTGTTGGTAGCCCACTACAAAGTGTTACTCATAGTTGAGGGTAGTAGAACCCATATACGGAAAAAACGTTCTGCCTCGAGACGAGGTAGTCACGCGCACAAGAACCATAACCGCGATACTTGAACCGGTGGCATTTGTGCAATCCGATGCATGCCTGTATTTGACATGTTCAATCGCGCCCACGTTCGAGCCTGCGCAACTTGCGTTTCCAGACATGCCCAATTACATGAGGTTGCACACATCAGCTTGAGTTTTGGCACCATCCTTGGTCGTTGTTTTTGCACATGTCTTTGCGACGTCCTCCAGCACTTGCCTACACAGCTCCCCTGTCAGCGCACTACATTCAGCGTAATGATCGCACAGCATTCTCTGCGCAGTCTGTAATCCCTCATGTGGCATGACGCTCGCGCCCTTGCCCTTCTTGTCCGGGCCATGCTCCACTAACGTCCATTGTCGCCTCAAATCCCTCTTAAGACCAAGGACCATTACAGGCAAGTTTTCATCGTAATTAAAGTGCTTGTTCACTACCGGCAGCCATGTCGAAGAAAGCGACTCGAGCGACGCGCGCGAGGATATGTCGTAACAAAGGATCACGAATTGTGGGTGCAGAAGCGTATAGTTCTGGGGTGAGGCTGTGTCGTAGAATTGCAGCCTGTACGGCCGGCCATAGAGTGTGATATCGAAGGCATACGGCTGGTCGATATCGCGCAGCTTGGGAAGCTCATAAGGTGGGAGGTCGTCGTTCTGAGGTTGCACGCCGAGTGACAGGCGACTTTGAATCATCAGCAAATGGGACAAGACGTCAATTCACACGCTTTCGTCGCCGCTGTCGCATGTCGCGCCGTACAGCGCGCGGTACAGCGCGCGCCGGATGATAGTACTCACGACAAGAACGTCGACTTCCCTACTTCAGAGTCGCCCAGCAGTAGGACGGTAATCTCCGGAGGCAGTGAGTTATATTCCATCGCGAGTCGTAGATGCCCCGCAGACACAATCAGATATCAAGGTGGCTTCATCTTTGCTTCTACGAGAGTCATGAGAAGTGACGAACATCTGGGCGCGGAGATAGGCGTTAGCTGCACATGGTCTTGGCAACCAGAAAGCGTTGCTCCATCACTCGCTGCCTCTACACTCCTTCATACAAGCTCGCACATATGTCGCCCATTCTACGAGACGATCGCCAGCATACTTGGAATTTGTTCATGCTAACGCGACAGTAGCTAACTGATCAAGAGCGTTCGCAGCTGCTGCTGCTTCGCGCCAGTTTAGCGTGCATACCTGAATTACAAGATTTGGCCACCCGTTACCGAAGCCGTGGCAACCACCCTGTTATACTATTGTTCAACTATGGATAAGAAGCTTTTGTGCCTCTCAAGTTTGACAGCCTCGCGATACTGCTTATCTATATGACCACTCACACGACTTCGCAGCCACGATTACCTGTGCCTTGCTAACCCGCGTTCAGCAGTCTTGGCAACGCCTTTGACACCATGAACCAGGAGTCTGGATTCTTTAGAGCATTTCTGCATCCTGCTTGCCTACCACCAACATGATGTTTTGCGTTAGGCACAAATCCGTGTGGCCATAGCAGAAGATAACGCTTCGGACCTGCTTAGAATCGTAGAGTATGTACGCCAGCCAAGTACGCTTGCTGTCTTGGAGTCTTGGAAACGCCATCCCCGATTACCGAATCAGGAAGCTGGAAGCAATTCATCCGTCTAAGAGGCTGGCAATAGAAAGTCCCAAGCAATCGACTTTGAATAAATAACAACAAGATGGCGACAGTCTGTGTCTGCACGATTTGCAACTTCTACTCGTCGCAGCATTCTTACCGCTGCCCGCCATGAAGGTCTCCGCTCTCCTCGGTTTGCTTCCTGGCGCTGTTCTCGCGTCAGATGTCCTGAGCGTTGCGTTCTACGCAAAGGAGAAGAACCAGCTATACGACTTCATCTCGGCCAACAGCGAGATCGATTATGGCTGCCGTCCTGTTGTCATGGCTGCCGGTGGCGAGCACAAGCTGCACGCTGTCATCTCAGAGGACCATTTGGACCACTTCAAGCGAAGTTTGGATCCAGAGCTCGTTCGTGTTGAACTTTTGCACAACATGAACAAGCGACAGACTGCAACTGCACCTATCGGCAAGGGCGATCGTTTCAAGGGTGGAAAGGTCGCGCCTCGCGGTCTCGGTACGAGGAAGCCCAGCGAGTACGCACAACTTCAGAGTGCCGGTGTCTTCAACATAGACGAGGTCTACACCGCCATGAAGGGTCTAGAGAAGGAATACGGCATGTCGCTCTTCACGACGCCGGAAAAGACCTTCGAGGGGCGATCGATCATTGGTGGTGTTGCCAACAAGGCGGAGAAGATCAAGAAGGACAAGCAGTACATTTACTTCACTTCTGGTATGTCTTCGCTCAAAATCGCATTTGAAGGATAGACTAACCTCCCGACTAGGAATTCACGCACGTGAGCGCGGTGGACCTGACAACCTGATCTACTTCGTCTCTGACCTGCTCTATGCAAACGAGCACCGCATCGGCCTGACCTACGGCAACAAGAAGTACACCAATAGCCAGGTTAAGAAGGCTCTTGGGGCGGGAATTGTGTTCATTCCTATGCTGAACCCTGATGGTGTGAACCACGACCAGACAAACAGCAACCTCTGGCGAAAGAACCGCAACCCCGCCTCTTCTACGCCTGGTGTTCCGCTTAGTGTTGGTGTAGATCTCAACAGGAACTTCGACTTCCTCTGGAACTTCACTGAGAAGTTCGACCCCTCCGTTGCCCCTGCTTCAACGAACCCCACTTCGCAGGCTTTCTACGGCACTGCACCATTCTCCGAGCCAGAATCGAGAGACATGGCTTGGGTGTACGACCAATACCCCAACATACACTGGTACATTGACGTTCACTCCGCTGCCGGAACTTTGCTCTACTCATGGGGTGACGACGTCGATCAATCCCACGATCCAAAGCAGAACTTGTTCAACCCAGCTTACGATGGAAAGCGCGGTATCGTCGAAGACGAGCTGTACAGAGAGTACATTGACCAAGAAGACTGGGACAACATCCGTATCGCTGCTAACCGTACCACTGATGCCATGATCTCCGTCGGCGGCCGCGAGTATGTTCCCCAACAAGCTGTTGGTCTCTACCCTACTTCTGGTGCTACAGACGACTGGTCATTCAGCCGCTGGCACAAGAATAAGAAGCTCACCAAGGTGTACGGTTACACCATGGAGTTCGGTTACCCAACCAACTTCTACCCCACAAGCGAGGAGTACATCCAAAATATTATTGATACTAATGCTGGTTTTATGGAGTTTATCCTCACTGCTGATGAGATTGGACTCAAGGCCTAGATCTGTAATGGCAGAATGTGGCTCACGCGGTAGCAGTTATGTGGAAGTGACGACATTATGAGAAACGAGAGACGATGTGTTGTAGCTGTAGCATTAAGAAGAGAGTACCACCCATTAGTCATTAATCTATTCGCTGGTAAAGCACGCCTTGAGGGGTATCATCGTACAGAATTATCATTGTTGAAAGATCCTAATCCGACACTTTCACAGCAAACGCATTTTGCGGAAGCTTCGTAGAGACGCAATGCCTCTCAAACATAGCCGCCGTCTAATAACTGTCTTTCTTTCGACTTCATTCTTTCGATGAAGGAGACTGCGTCTGTCGCGTATTCGTACTTCGGCTGCCGAGCGCTGGGGGTTGTAGGGACGGTGAGCGATCTGATCTAGAACTTCTCTGCGGTGTAACGTTCTGGTTGGAAATTGGGTCGCGGTAAACGAAGATTGAGCGCCCACCAATGGTTTTTGGGCCGCTGGAGCCGTACTCATGGAAAATCCCGGTGTCTCGATCTTCTTCTCCACGTCTTTCGTCGTCTTCTTCAGCATCGGTATAGTCGTCTTCCATCTCCATGGCCGCAACACCTTCTGTCATTGCTCTCTTCTCCTCCAACCTAGTCTCTTCATCCATCTTCTTCATCCCTTCAATCATCATCTCCGTTCCCCACCTCCTCCACGTCAACCCCAACCTAAACGGCCTCCTTCCTGCCTCCTTCAGACTCTCATACCAATCTTTGTGCTCCGTATAAGCAAGCCTCCTATCCCACTTCTTCTCCGGCGTCGGCGCCCGTGGCAGACTTGCAACATGCTCAAACAACATGTGCTGTGCATGCGTGTTGATGTCCAGTAACTCGAGGATACTCTCCTTGACATCTCTGTCGAAGCACAGCCACTCTATTGTTGGTGGATTAGAATCAAGCCGGAAGCCGAGTGCTGAGCCGCCTAGGACGAACACAGATGGGAGATAGCCGACTTCTAGGCAACCTGGGGGTAGCTCGTCGCCTGATGGGTCGGGGATGGAGGCTAGTGGATCAGGGCCCAGAAGGTAGTTTACATAGCCGTGTTGCTGGCGGGTGAGTAACGAGCGAAAGTCTGAGACGGAGATGAAAGACGCAGCGTAGTGATATATCACGACATCGTCTCCAAACTTGTGGTATTGGAGTTGCTTTAACTTTATACCTTTAGGTCCGTGGAGGCCTCTTGGTAACTTTAAAGCTTTGAGGGATTGCGACTGGGCCTTGGGCGGGTTGACTTTGGAAGTTTTGGTCCTGCGGGCTTTGGCATGGTGGCGTTCATCATCTTCAGATGAATGATCTCGCTTTTTCCTCTTCCTTGGTTTTGAGGTGGCTTTGGGCGGCATGACGTTTAGTAGCCGTTTCACACAAAATAGAGGTTAGTTGATGGTTGTACGATGTGAAAACTTGCTATGCTGAAGAATTGATTGGATATATGCATAGCGTGGAGAATTAGGTTAGCCTCATTGGGAAGGTTCAGGCAGTCTCCAGGGTCTTGTTCACCGTGATGGTGAAATATCTTGGTAGAGAAAATGGAGGAAAGTTGTATGGAGAAGCTCGCCCCTACCGAGTTGCACTCTAGATGTGTACATACTAATCTTAGTTCGTAGTCCGTTAAGAAAGCACGATTATAACTTTTTGAGGCGACTTTTGGTACCTAGGGCTGGACTTGGCAAAAACAAGCTCCATCAAGGAAGCTGGCAAGCTCTAGAAGGAGATGCGCGTTTTCGGTGTGCATACGCGTACTGCTAAAGTTCATATGATACTTTGGAGGCTGCACATCTACAAGGCCAAGAGAGTGGTGTCAACTGAGAGGAATGAGAGGTGGAATAGTGGGATATTCGTAGCTGTGGAACCAGCTTATCACCTGCATTCGCAAAACTTGATATAGCCCATCAACAAGCCCTCTAAGTAGTGCACCACGTGCGCGTCTATCTTGCCACCTTGCTTGGATTACGGGTACTTTGCGTGAAGACTATTGTTATAAGTGAAAGCTATAATTGAGAATCTGTGCGTACTTGCATCATGATGCTGTCTAGCGACGATTAACAACCACTAAGATAGTCTTCCAACAAAGAAAGGTTACGCTATGTTGAGTTATATCACATTCTTTTAAGGAAGTACGCGATGCCTATGGGATTAACAATCTAGGTTTTCTGCCCGAAAAGATTGTAGTCGTCGATATCCGAAGTCTCGACAGATATTCAGTTCGCTTTATACCGCTTGAGCGTGAATATAGAGGTACAAGCTGCACGAGCAAGCCGCGTAGCCTAGCTTAAGCAGATATTTCCATCATTACTTGTTTGACCTTTCCATCTCCACTGCCACATATCGGAAACAACCCTCGAAAGAATGTGGATTACAAGGCTCTTCGGGCTGGTTGCCCTCCTCGTTATTGTTACTGGCGAGATATGTCAAGAGTAGGCATTTGTTCCACAATCCTGGTGCCTCTTGGGCTACATGATACGATGACTGACTCTGATCTGTAGCTGCTTGGTTGATGCTCAAACCGCGAGCAACCTCACGATACTGGAGCATTTAGATAAAGTGTTGGTCGCTGGTAAACCACAGCCGCCACCACCAGCACCACGACCTCCGCCTCCACCACCACCAGCAAGAATTCTCCCAGCGGATGACGAAGTTTGGAAAAAATGCAGAGAAAAGGGATGTATGCTCTCATGGGCAATGCGCTATGAAGACAGCCAAGTAGGAACCTATTACGTTCCGCCCCACCCAACAGCAGCGTCGCCGTACCAAAGTCTGAGTGACCTTGCGAGGTGGTTTTGGTTTCGATGGCCCCAAGCCAGCATAAGGGAGGAATATTTCGACTTCAATCGGGCTTGGGGCATCGGCCATGCACTCGAAGAACTTGGAGTTAATCCGTATGCAGATGAATACGAGGGAGGCGAGAACCGGGTCCACAGTGTTGACCACAAACTACCACCCGATAACCCCTACCACGATATTCCTGTCGCGGACCAGAAGTACAAGGTCAACGGCAAGACGTATAGGGCCACAGCTGCTAGTTTTTCGTTTTCACTTAATCCGAAAGACGGTGTCATCATTGGTCTGAACCGAGAGAGCCCCAAAGCAACGGGAAAACAACAGGAGCCACCAGTCCCAGATGACCAGATGCCGGAACTTACCCAGTTTTCTGATGTGGCGTGGCTGAGTTGGGATGATATGGTCAAAGAGAAGAACGGGGATCTCAAAAATATTCGATATCTCATCTCAGTTTTGGTCGTCAACAGGGAGACCGTCTCAGTCGTACTGAGAGCATCGGAAAACAGGGGATGGGGAGTCGAGGATTGGCCAGGTCATATATTTGAGGACGGGTCGCCAGAGATGCATGCAATCATGGGTAAGTCTCGATCATTCCAGGAGGGGTTGTAAGACGACTACGAACCACGTTTCTCTGAGCAAGGTTGGTTGTCATTAAACTTTGTGGAGGGTACTGGGTCGTTGGTACATGTCTACCAGCATCCGTTACTATAGCCTGGCTGCCTTGTGGCACAATAAGGTTGCTGTCAGACTCGATGTGGTTCAGCGACACCCTTCTGGGCCATTCAAGGCTGTCTTATTCTTGATCTTTTATCATTGCGAAAATCTCCCGGCTGACTCGTGACCAGGCACTCCAAACATGTGAGAGATACCCCTGTACGAACTGTATGCGAAACATATACTGACTTCGTATGCCCACCTTAAGGCAAGGCTTCGCGTATATGCTAATTCAGCACAAAGCGCAGCTGGGTAATCTGTACGTCAGCAAAATACAGGTCTTCAGATGTGAAACATTGCACCGCAATCCATGCATTGTTGCACATGTATCGCAACCAGGCTCTGGTTTAGGAGGCGGTCCAGAATTGATCCCAAACGAGGGCGTTGCGGAGCAGGTATCAGTCAGAGGAGTAAGACGTGACGAAAACCATAATTTGGTTCGTACACACAAAATATTCGCGAATTTATAACGGTGCGGAAATCTATAACCTTCAGAATAGCCGAGAAGATCTCAGGAGAAGTATGCCCTTCCCTTGTTGGCGGAGAAGCTTGTTTCGCTAAGCTGTTCTCCATCTATGCTACACTTCAAAGGCATACATAGTATTTTACCTCAAAAGGCTAAGAAGAGAGCGGCTTGATGCATCTTTCTAACAAGTTCGAACGTTCAAGATATTACCCAGTAAAGTGAAATCTTTCGTACTGTTGAGAAGCGACATGATTGAAACTTCTTTCACGGATTGTGTTTATAGATTTTGCTTGTGGTATCAATACCGAGGGTGGGAGAAGGTGAGAGATCCATCTACGAGCTGATACTTCTTACCTCAAAAACATAGTCGCTCTTTATCCAGTGAAAGTGAAAGTGGTATTGTACCGCTTGCCTTAAGCGACGCACTGCTAAGTCTCTCTCACTTCTCAACTGTTGGTTCTGTTCTGGAGATACTCCCCAGCAAGTATCATTCGAAAATATGCAGATCATAGGGTTCCTTGGGCCGGCTGCCCTCGTCGTTACCGTCGCCGGCGAAATTTGTCAAAAGTATGCATTCTCCACTACGCATTTCACCGCTATCGACACATCCCATCGCCACGATGTATGCTTGAGTACATGACAGGATGACTGACTGCGACTTCTATATGCTCAAGTGAAGGCGCAGCCTCCGTCAATCTCAAGATACTGGGGGCGCCAGATGCAGATTCATTCGTTGTCGCATCGAAGCCAGATGAAGTTTTTGTCGCCGCCGCAAAGTGGCCCAGACCAGCGACAGATGAAGTCTGGGATAGCTGCAGACAAAAAGGGTGTTTAATTGAATGGTCGATGCACCACAATAATGACCAAGTTGGACTCTGTTTTCTACCCCCGCAGATAAGTGCAGAATCTCCATTCCAGACCTGGGAAGATCTCACAACGTGGTATTGGCACGAATACCCAGAAGACAAGATGGGCAGCGATGATGATAGCCAATTACGCGATGATTGGGGCCTTGACGATGCATTAGACGGGCTTGGACTTTCTTCGTATACGTACCTGCGCAAAGGAGGCAAAAATCGAATCCTCGGTATGGCCCACGTCGACCCTTACGGCTTGTCTATGGCCGACCACCAGACATACCAAGTTAACGGCCAAACTTATCGGGCAACCGATGCTGATTATACGATGTCGTTCAACACGGAGGAGGGTGTTATCATTGGGTTAAGTCGCGAGGGCCCTGCGACGAGCGCTCTACGTCGAAATCCGTCGATTCCAGCAGCTCAAATGCCCATACTCCATCAATTCTCTGACGTGGGCTGGCTTACATGGCAAGAGATGACAAAGAGGGACGGCCATGATGCCAAAAATCTTCGATATCTGATTTCTGTCTCCATCGAAAATCAAAAAACACTATCAGTGTGCCGTAGGGTATTCATCAAAAACAGGTGGAAGGGCGGACCCTGGCCAGGGCTTACACTGAAAGCCGGTACGGATGACTTTAATGCCATCTTAGGTACCCCGAACATGCAAGGGTAAGAAATACACCGGTACGAACTGCATGTGAGACATACACTGATTTTGCACGCGAACCTATAGGTACGGATACATGCTGATTCAGCACAAAGCGAAACTCGGTAACATATACATCAGCAAAATCCAAGTCTTTGCGTGCACCGGAACCAGAATGGTCTTTATCGTCGCACACGTATCCCAACCACGATCCGCTCCAGCGTCGGTCCCGGACCAGGGCGTTGAGGAACAACCATCAGGTAGAGTAAGACGCGACGAGAACCACAACTTGGTTCGTACTCAGAAGATCTTCGCGAAGTTATGAGGTGAGGATTCGTCGTGCAAAAGAAGGACAGAAAGTACCTGGACTTGTGGCTGTCAGTTGGGTGTGACTGCCCGGGTTAGATTTGGGTGCTGGGTCGCGCATGCCTTGATGAGACATCAGGCATGCGCGCCCCTTACTGGCTGAATTTGGGTCCTTTGCTTTCCAAACTCAATACTTTCTCGATCGTCAGTCCCATTTAATTCCGTCTCTTTTTCGCTTTTGAAAATGCTTGATCCAGTCAGACAGCTCGATGCACGCCACATGTTGTAGGCAAAAGTAAATCCATGCTGCTAGCCAATGACACGACCTCTACGCGCATCACAACGAAGCGGATCCGGCAGCCGTGTGCCCGCATGTTGTTATGAGGGGATCCGAACGCAGGGCAAGATACTTACATATACTACAGCAGGCACCGCTGCGCGTCAGACCCAAACTTATATTGCTCAACCACAGAAACTCGCCGTCGATTGAGGATCAGCAGTCATGTTGTGCAGGCGTGCCTGCTTCGGTACGCCAGTACGTCAGACTCGGCCAAACGTCATATGCCACGGTTGCCCCGCGCCGTAGGATGAGGGCGCGCGCATGACAGCCAACGGAGCAACATCTGCCGCCGTCCCAGGCAATCAATTCGCGTCTACACGATGCGACCGTGGGGTATTAGCCGTTCCTCCGAGCGAGGTGCTGGTAACAGTTCCGGGCCATGTTCATCTCGCAGGCTCTGAGACAGCTTAAAGGCTTTTCCCTACCTCCTCGGCTTTCCTTACCCCGCTAGCGACTCAAACGACTAAGCCTGTCGTCCTATCAGCCGAGTATCTTCGCCGCATTGCGCAATCGGAACCGCGGCCGGTAGCGAACGAAACGACTTCTGGACGCCCTTGGATCTACCTTTCCGAGGTTATACCACACCATCTATTAGCCATGAGGCCTGCGACTACAGCGCCCGCCGCTTTTCGCGCTGCAACCTCCGTTGCACGACTCCCCCGACGACAGACTTGCAGCTTTGCGACGCGCTGCTTAGCTTCCCAGACAGCTGCGAAATCGGCCCAGTTTTCGAGCTCGCGACGAACCACCGCAAACAGCGCCCCGACAGCAGCATCCAGTCTGTATACCCAAATCGGACAGTACAGGATGGCGTCCCAGGCAGGAATCAAGAAGATCAAGGTCAAGAACCCGGTGGTGGAGCTGGACGGTGATGAGATGACCAGGATCATCTGGCAGGTCATCAAGGACAAATTCATCCACCCATACCTTGACATCGACCTCAAGTACTACGATCTTGGTCTGCCATACCGTGACGAGACCAACGACCAGGTCACGCTCGATGCTGCCGAGGCTATCAAGAAGTACTCTGTTGGTGTAAAATGCGCGACAATTACCCCAGATGAACAGCGCGTCGAGGAGTTCAAGCTCAAGAAGATGTGGCTGTCGCCAAACGGTACCATCCGAAACATCCTGTATGTCGCACATTGGGGCAATGGAAGAAGCATGGCTGACAGCATATTTTAGAGGAGGTACCGTTTTCCGCGCGCCCATTGTCATCCCCACCATCCCTCGTCTTGTCCCTGGCTGGAAGCAGCCCATCATCATCGGCCGTCACGCTTTCGGCGACCAATACCGCGCCAAAGACCGCGTTATCCCCGGCGAAGGCACACTTGAGATGGTCTTCACACCCAAGGGCGGCGAGCCTGAGGTCATCAAGGTCTACGACTTCCCTGCCGAGGGTGGTGTCGCGCAGACCCAGTACAACACTACCGAGTCCATTGCCGGTTTCGCACACGCCTCTTTCAAGATGGCCTTGGACAAGAAGCTACCTCTGTACATGAGCACCAAGAACACCATTCTCAAGGCATACGACGGAAAGTTCAAGGATGTCTTCCAAGAAATCTACGAAAGCCAGTACAAGAAGGACTTTGAGGCCGCCAACATCTGGTACGAGCACCGCTTGATTGACGACATGGTCGCCCAGATGATCAAGAGCGAGGGTGGCTACGTTATGGCCTTGAAGAGTGCGTACACGTCTCATAGCTCACGAAACTCCGCTGACATTTCTAGACTACGATGGAGACGTCCAATCCGACATCGTCGCCCAAGGTTTCGGCTCCCTCGGCCTTATGACCTCCACTCTCATCACCCCTGACGGCAAGACATTCGAAGCCGAAGCCGCGCACGGCACCGTCACCCGCCACTTCCGCGAACACCAGAAGGGCAACGAGACCTCCACCAACCCCATTGCCTCCATCTTTGCCTGGACACAAGGTCTGGCCAAGCGCGGTGAGCTAGACAACACACCTGAGCTCGTTGTTTTCGCCGAGCAGCTTGAGAAGGCTTGCGTGGACACTGTGGATGTCGACAAGATCATGACTAAGGATCTGGCCCTTGCGTGCGGCAAGAAGGACCGGGGTTCTTGGGTCACTACCAACGAATACCTTGATGCGGTCGAGAGGAGATTGAAGTCGAGCTTGAAGGAGAAGTTATAGATGCGTAGAGGAATTGAATAGCTGCTACAAGGTTTGGATCAATATCCATTGGATAACAGCATGATACCTAGCTACCATGCAGACGGAAATCTGCTTACTCTTGGGCAGAAATCGATCATCCTCCAAGTAAATTAGGCCTGTGCATCTCTTCGTTTGCCAGTGAGGCGCGACGCATCTTTTTTTGGTATGGAGCTCGTGCCATGCAGTCTCCACCTGTTCCCGAAGCACGTTTCTTTTGATGAACTGGGTTCACGCTAATTTCCGAAGATACCTAACTCCTCAAAAAGAAACGTGCCTCTTGCATGTCTCACTGCAGTATGTATGCATATGCGGGACGATCTGATGTTTGTTTGTTACACAGCTGATTGCAGAACACTTGTCGCAACTGTTCTCTAGAGCTCTCTGTAGTTTTCTCGATTGGTGCATTTTCAACAGTCCTGCGTTGAGCACTCTTGATCTCTTTAACAGTCGCTGTTCGTCTCATCATAGACGGAATCACATGATGGAGGCGTTCACTGATATCGATAGCGGGATCATCCCGACTGCAGCAGCTATGACCTCTAGTGCGAAGCCGACCACCACGCCAGCCTCCGTACCAAACAAGAACGCCGCATATACAGCCACCAATACCACTCCGCTGTCGTCGCCTAAAAAGCACGGCAGTCCCTCGACTCCTGATCAAACTCCATTGCGTCAACGCTTTCTGCGGGCAGTCTCTATGTCGCCTGCGATACCGTCTCGCCCATCTATGGAGGGCCGTAAGACTTCTGAGAAGGCGCGCGATAGCCCAATCGTAGTCCGCCATACACCCAAGAAGACAAATCAGCCGCCGATGAAGCTCGAAGTTGGCCAGGGTGCGTTCTATTTTTCCATTGAACTACCACCCAGTAAAATCACAAGCAAGAGGAGCGGGACGACGAGTAAGAGTGGGACGCCCAAAGGAGAAGAGACGCCCACAAGGATGCGGACGCCTAGCCCGTTAAAGAATGCGAGTCCGACGAAAGAAGACGCAGCAGGTACGCCCACAAGGACGACACGCAACCCGCTAAAGCGAAGGGAAACGATCCACCAGAGCCCAGCAAGACCTTTGTTTGGCACACCAACGAAGATGACGCCCAAGCAAAACCCGGATCCGCAAACTCCCACTCGGAGAACGCCCAATCCACAAAAGACGTACAGCTCGGTGAACCAGAGCCCTGCCAGGATAGCTGTAGGGACGCCAAGGAGGAAAGTTCTGGGTGATACGCCTGGTAGCAACCGACCTGGAAGTCCAGTTAAGCGATCGATCGAGGAGGACGACTCGCCTACAAACCCGATCAAGACATCTTCCCTGTTGACGAACAAAGTTCAAACAACCCCGAAAGAAACATCCAGGAAACCGATTGGAGGCCTAACTAGTGTGGATGATGTACATGTTCCAAACCCAAACCTGATCGCAACTGCCTTCACCAGCCCACCACCCCCACATCCTGAATCCACAGAGCAGGCACCAACCCCAAAAGCTAGCCCAGAGAACATCGGACAGCTCATGGCAAGCCTGATATGCGACAATACCAGCACTCATGACTGGACATCTTCCCACCACGATAACGAAATAGCCTCACCCATACCGACACCCTTGCGTAAGGCTGGAGAGAAGCTCAAACTAGGAGAGTCGCCCTCTTTCCTGCGCATGTCACCCAATGGGACCACGGCCGTCACAAGCGATGACCCTGCTGCTGATATCATCAGAAAAGGATCTTTGTTCCGGCACGAACCTGCGTCAACTGAACCACAAGAAGACCGAAGCAAGTCGATTGAACGCCTATCGCCTAGACTTCCGGAGGAAGCCTCGTCATCCTCAATCACAGAAGATCAGGTGGCCAGGCTTGATCATACTGGAACCACGCCACAAGAATTGCAATTTGCCTTTCCATCACGTCCAGCTGATCCGGGATCCTCGAGTGCAATAAACGCAATGCGCAGGTCACCAGCCCCACCACGTCGCTCACTTTCATACTCAGAGCAGAGGTCAGAAACGCACCAGAAAGAATCGTCTCAACAGGATTACCAAGCCAGAGGGCATGGAATAGACAACAGCCTACCAAAATCTTTCCTGCCCGTGCCTGCAAGCCATCAGAGACGGGTGGGCACTGACCCAAGCGTGCTTCTGGAGACGCGGAAAGATACGGTAAATTTGGAAGCGACTATGTGCCGTTCGGCAGGAGTTGTCGACCCAGACTTTTGCGGACCTCTGCACCTGAACGAACTTCCTGATATGCCAAGAAGCCTATTCGTCAGGGATCAACAGGACATCGGAAGCCCAGGCGCCGAGGGCACACCAGAGACTCTCAGTAGAGCCGACTCGGGCACCTCCTCGCTTCAGGTAGTGCAAGCAGATGGCGAAAAGGGCATTGAAAGACCAACAGCGACACGAAGAGTATCAAGTGCGCCACGCATTCCCCGGTGGAAACCTGTTGGTGCAACGCCGGCACTGGCGAAGGATGATCGCGTTGCTGCAGCCAAGCGAAAGGACTCTCAGAGTAAAGGTGCAGACAAAACGGTGACTGCGGGAAGAGCTCGTCCTCGTGCAGGGAGTGCAGTGTCAAGACCAACTAAGTCTGGTACAGTGGCTAGCACGGCTCGTCGTAAGACGCTGGCGACGCCTGTCAAACCGACATTACCTGTTGAAGCTACAAGCCATAGCTCACCCCACAGCCGGATACCATCTCTCACGTCTGCTAATACAAAAAGCCCCATACCACCCGTACCAAAAATTCCACGAAAGCCTCTTCCTGGAACTCCGGTTCCCGGTAAGGCCGTTGCAGCGCTGAAAGAACGTTTACCAAATGTACCATCTGCACCCATCAATCCTCGCCCTGTCCCCACCCGAAAGCCTCTTCGCCCATCCACTATAGAACCATACAACCCATCGGCGGACCCGCGACCGTACGAACAGAAGTTCGCCAGTGCAGGAGACATCGCCGACCGCCTCGCGGGATGGCATAACGAAAACCGGAAGAAGGCTGAGGCAGATCGTGCCAAAGTCCCAACTAGACCAGCCAACAAGACTCCTGCGAGAACCCCACTGAGAACCCAACCAATTGAGTCGACCACACCAGACGGCTCCCCTGATAAGAACCTCATTCTCCTCATGGAGACGCCGGCATCCACTGAACCCCTCTCTCCCACCAAAGATGCAAAGTCAAGGCCGTTCTCCACTAAGCCTCCGCCGCCAACAACACCCAAAGCCAAGACCCGCGCCCCAGCACCAGCACCAAAAACTCCAATCCCCAAAACTCCAGCACTAGGCGCCCGCAAAGCTGCTGTCAATGACCTGAGGCAACCTATCATGGCTGGCGCTCCCAAAACCCCAGTGAATCGCCGTATGACAGTCCTCGATCGTAACGCAACGCGTACACCAAGCAAAGATATCGTGAGCAGCCTAGATGCCGCCATCGACAGGAAGATTGCGGAGGATGCAAGGAGGGGACTAGAGTTCACCCCTGGTGGAAATAGACTGAGGGATCTGTTGAACGCGAGGGACGGCTACTTGGTTGAGTGAGCTGCAGGAGTGATGGAGCTGATGGTGTATGATTATCTTTCTCAAAGACAATTAGGGATGAACGGTTGGCATTTTATCACTTTAACTGCGGTATGCTTCTGAAGGTGTGGATAGCATTAAGGTCTTCTCCTAGGGCGCATGTCAGGATTTTCTTATACGGCGGTGTTGCAAAAAAGCAATATACATTCGCAGTTAAACATTAATCATATGTACTGTGTTACCGATGTATTACTAGTTTACTATTGGAGTCCAAGCTATCGATTTGCCGTTGTTCTACCAGAGCTTGATGTTGTACGATATGAAAGATCTATACGCTCACGTTTCTTGCAGCTTTGTTTGTCTCTTCCTTAGCAGCCAAGATATAACGACAGCTCTTCGCAGACCAGACCTTACAAGCTTTTTTGACGGCTCCTAAACCTAGGGCAAAGACTTTGCTCCTCTCACAATACATACTCAGTCTTCCACTAAAGCACCTAATCTCAATGCGCCGACATCCACGAGCCGTTACACGTTCAACGAAATTATGGAAAATCCGGAGCTTTTCGAACTCGCTAGCTTCAGCATCGATTTTGACACTTAGCCGTAGTTCGATATATTGTTCATCATCTCTAGGGCAATAATGAAAGTCATCATCGCTAGAGTAATAATGAGAGTCAGAATCGGAAGAGCTTGAATGAAAGTCGTTCTCCAAGCATCGACGAATGAAGTAGATCGCAGTGATAGTTTCTTCCCACAATCCGCCGTAGAGTGCGAGGTCATGATACGAGTTTTCCAGGAGCAAAGGAGGAAACTCACGTGTTACTTCTCTCGACCGCAGTGAAAACTTAGATCTGAAGATGGAAAAGGGAAACATACTCCAATCCATACGAAGCAGGGGAAGAAAATCGATTTTGGAAGTCAATGTCTGTTCCTCGAAGGCGGAAAGCAAATCTCGTAGTACGGTGATTATGGAAGCGGTAAGAACCGGATCAGGGAGAGGGAAGGCCTCGAGGTAGTACGGAACGTCTTCCATGGCGATGAGCGGTCGACGAACTGTCAAGTAGAGTGGCATGAACTCGCTACGAAACATGCGGTTTGTTTGACCAAGGCCGCGGTACTGGCGACCAGGATTGCGGACCTTCAGGAACTGCCCGCAAGGGTTTGTTCGGTATAGACGGATCTTTTCAGGCCCTTCATCGTCGGTGATGGCTTTGTATATGCGATTGCGCAACTCTGCACAGGATATTAGCGTAAGATGGAATGACAGTAAACAAGACAAGTCACTCACCACCAGGCAGCGCCATAAGGCGAGACGCTGTTGCTGTGATCGGCCTATCAGCCATGATAACGCTGACTTCCATGTCTGTTTGCATGCGCTCGTAGGATAGCACAGTATCTGGCTGGAGAAATACAGTTGAAGTAAGGTGATGGGGAAATAAGTCACGAATCTCAGCAGGAAGTGTAGGTCACACTAGAGCGGGCACGGACACGCGTGGAAGGTACGATCAAACGGTGCGATTCTCACCTGGTGACATAGACCCACTTTTGATTTCATTGTGGTGTAGCCTCGCGTTTTTAGGTAGCAGCTGCATACACTTACAACTTTCACGATTCTTGAAAAACGCCATGTATGCGTGAATGTCTAACTCAAGCATCAGAAGCCGAACAAGTCATTCTACACCGAGCTCACTTCCACGTCTTCAGCGCCAACTAGTTCACCCCTCTCATCCCTCTCCCATTCACACACCCCCCAATCAGTCGTTTTACAAGGCATGCAGGCACTTCCGTCACCCAAACTGCGACAAGCATCCACACCCAGTCCCCTAGTCTTACACCTCTTGCAGATAGCAAGCTTCTTCCCCTTTTTGAGCTCATCTCTCCAGTTCTCGTCATCCATGATACGGTAGTTGATGCCGTTGAAGCGCCAAAAGTCATCGCTGGTGTACATCAGCTCTTCGACAGGAAGTTCTTCACCGTGCATGTATGGCGGGATAAAAGACTTTCCCGATGGAAAAGTCTCTCTCGAAACAAGGAAGTGGGAGTTGGTACTGTAGGATTTGAGCATCGAAGCAATCTTGTAGGTCGCTGCGCGGTCAAAGAAGAGTGCGCTCAGGAGGTGAGCTTGTTCTGTTGCGTCGACAATCTCGAAGAGCCGGAAAAACGAGTGATCCGAGAACTTGAGGTGTAGTGTGAAGTCATCTACCAGTGTTCTTGGAAGACAGACATCTACAAGTGACGTGAGAGAGCGGAAGGCGATGTCGGATAACGAGCGCAGATCGTGACCCGAGTTGATTGAGATGGCAGAGTCGAGCATCTTGAGAGATCTGAGGGCTGGTGGAAAGCCGCTTTGCCGTAGGTAGTAGTACAGATGTGATTCAAAACCCAATTCGAGGTACTCTAGATCAACGAGGGAGCGTAACTTCTCAGCGCCTTCAGGATCGGTGTCGCGCGGAGTCAGATGGCCGACATGGCCACCGCAGTGTGTCAGACGCTGCAGCGAGTGTGCTTGCTTCTGCAACGCAAGGAGAAATTGACGGGAGGAGGTGCGGCGTTCGGGGTCCATAGATGGTTGGCATTCCTGGAACACATGGAGTCGCTCCCCAATTGACAGCTCCTTGAGAGCTTTGGGTAAGCTCAAGACTTCATCAAGGAACTTTACGTTGACGTTACATTCGATAAGCGTTAGAGACCGGAGAGGCGTCGTCTTAGTTTCCGATGCGGATATTCCAAGTTCTCCGTCAAAGTCCAAACACGACAATGTGATGTTCTGTAAGCTTGGATGTTTGAACATAGCAACGGCGCGGCCTAGTTTATATTTGTTGTCTCCCGAACCGTGTGCGTGTAGGGTCACTACGTCTTGTTAGCCAGGCTTCTTCGTATCGAAGCTTCAACTTACATGACTGTAGCATCGGCAGTGTCATCGGCATTCCGGAACGCGGATACACTGACGCTGCAAGCAAGTTTGTATAATCAATCCTTGAGTACCCATCAAAGTAGATACCGCCGTGTTGCCATTCCACGTTGTTCGGGCAAGGACTCTCAATGTGCAGATGGCGCAGTTTACTCATCAGGCTCAAAAAGTGGTTTAATTCCTCTACGCCATCGCGGTATGTATCGTTGTATCGAATAGCCAGATCTTGGATATAGTCCGTCCGGTCATCCCTTTTGTCAAGTGCTGTGGCAATGTTGCGTGCATGATCCCCTGTCAAAACTTCTAATTTCCGCCAGATGTAGGGTTCAACGAGACCTTGGAACCGCGTGCATGTCGCGGAAAGGCTACAAAGAGCGTCCTGGTTGTCGATGTGATCGATAATGTTGAGGAGTAATTCATCGACAAGGCGCAAAAGTCCGTTCTCGGCTGGGCCAAGCATAGTGGCTCCGGGTTCTTGACGTGCCTTCGTGAAGGTAAAACCGGAATGACGCGTCTTGCGTTTTTTGGCTCCTGCAAAAGATATACTTGGCATCCAAATGTCCCTGAACTAGTCCTAAAGTTGGTTAAGGGGAGTGCGCGGGGAGTATATGAGTTTGATGATGGTCGTGCAGGCGGAGATAAAGTCGGAAGTGCTTGCTGTTCAGCCAACAGGACCCCGGGATGATGTCAGGCACTAGTACGGATAAGGTCTAAAGCGCCACGTGAAAAGAGGCATCTGTGCATCAGCCCGATATCGTCTTTCGCTCTTTTACCCTTCATCCAGAGGATGACACGTAATGAAATGCTGCCTGCTGTATAGTATATAGACCATAGTGTTAGGCATCCCAGTAAGTGAAGGGGCCACGTCAATATACAAGATTGCATAGTCATAGATACATGTTGTGAAAAGCACATTTGTAGCAATGTCTATCCAGCAAAACAGTATGCATGGATGGACATATTGGTAATGACACATGTCTTTTGTTGCATTTCATGCTAAGCCGGGTGAAACCCCAAATCCCATTGCATCAACCCAGGTGTATGTACATATCAACCAATTAGTCCGTCTGGTTGATTACAGCATCCTACTCACAGTCAGCGTTCGTTCACATCAAGCATTACGCATTAAAACTCACCCTAGCAACTCCATAAAGCGGCTTGACACCAGTCCAGTACTCAAACTGATGCACGCCCTGTCCAACAAGCACCTCCAACCCATTCACTGTCTTCCACCCATTATCCATCGCAAGCTGGATCAATGCTGTGACAGGCGGTTTGTATGCCATCTCTAGCAGAATCCTCTCTGGACCCGGTTCAACATCCTTGACACTCGCCTTACCCTTCTCAAACAACGTGCAGAGTGTTTCGCGGATAGCAGCGTCAATGGGTTGGTCAGCAGGAATAGTTCCGATGGCGACTTGTGGCGTGCTTTCCATGGATTCGACTTCTTCCGGTGAGCTGATCACATGTAATTTGTATTCAGCGGGGAAAGCGTTCTTCAAAGTCTCCATCTTCGAGGGGTTGCGGCCGAGGAGGTAGATTGGTCCGTAGCCCATTTCCTTGAGTGCGTAGATGGCAGCGCGACTTGTGCCACCGCCTCCGATAACAAGGGCGGAACCGACGCCCAGGGCACCTGCGTTACGCAGGATGAGTATCATGCCTAGATAGTCGGTGTTGCGACCGATGAGGTGGGTGACCTCTTCGCCAGTGGTTTCGTCGACTGAGATCTCAGGGACGATGGTATTGAGGGCACCGATTGCTTCGACTTCTGGACCCAGGCCATCGAGATGGGGTACGATATCCTGCTTCAAAGGAATCGTGACACTTCCACCACCAAAATCTGGCGAGCGGATGACGTCTCGAATGGAGCTTGCATCAGTAGTCTCGTGACGACCGTAGATGTGTGGGAGTCCGGTCTCGCGGAACAGTCTGTTGTGTAGACGTGGGCTGGGACTTTGCGCAATCGGTGAACCGAAGATGAAGAACTTCTTTGTCGGAATTTCCGCCATCAAAGATAAACCGCGGCGAATGTCGGCTGCTGATAGCTGACCTGGAGCGGCAGCAGAGGGTAGGAGTGGATGCGAGACAGGCGTCATAAAGCCGTTGAGTATTCTGCTCAGCTTTCCATGCTCACCCATATTGATGGCGATTAGAGGAACGGGATGCGCAGTGTTTGCCCAACTCTTGAAATCTGCAAGCGCAAAGTTGTCCTGAAGGGAGCTAGCGACGCCAACAAGTTTGATGACAGTACCATACTGCAGCGCACGGTTGTAGTACTGCATCCACGAGCCATTCGTCCAGTTGAGTTCGCCTTTAGGGTCGTGGTGACTAGCGATGATTTCCGAGAATCCGCGGGTCTCGGACACCTCGCGCAGGATATCTTCGGGCATAGTCATCTCCAGATCCACAAACTCACAGCCAAGCCGTAATGCTGTCCGGTACAGTACAAGAGCTTCATCGTATGCCTGGTCCGGGAATCTGCCACCTTGAGCTTTTGTTCGCAATGTGAATATGACGGGTATGGATGTGACAGTCCTTAGTATCGTCAATTGTTCAATAACGAACTCTGGTGTGGGCAGGCCTTCTTGACCTTCAGGGTCCTCTAACAAGTCGACCCTAAGCTCCACAGCATCGGATCCGACAACTATTTCTGGCAGCGTCTTGATGTAAGACTCAAGCCGTGGCGCAGATAAGCAGACGAAGAAAGAGTGCTTCTTCTTCCTGAGCGCCTTCAAGGTGGTAGCCTTGCCGGTAATGGTGTTCAGGAAACGGGCAATCTCTCCTTGTGTCTGAGCAAGCCCGCGAGATCCCGCGACCTGACTGTGGAAGCGGTAGTTGCTACACTCGGTGTACCAATCCTTCCTTCGCAGCCACACGCCCATGATATCATCCACATATGCTGGACGTGTCTTGTCGATCTGTAGGAAGGCGACTACTGCATTGATGTCTCGTGTGACGAGTAGCACGATGCCGCCGCTCTTCTGATAGTCTACGAGGATTTTTCGAGCCTCTGGCGTCTCGACAATTCCACCGCCACAGGCAAAGACGTGTCCATTGGGCTTCTCTTTGACAGTTTGCGCCAGCATCTTCAGTTCCTCGCTTCGGAAGCCTTCCCAACCCTGTGCCTTGATCAGTTCAGGTATGGTCATGCCAACGTGTTCCTCGAGTGCGGTATCCAGATCAATGAACGGGCGGTTGAGCGCGCGAGCTGCCCAACCACCAGCGGTTGTCTTTCCGGCGCCGCGCATGCCAATGATGAAGATGGACTTTTGCTCAGTTCTTGATGCAGCCTTGTGTGCGTTTGGTCGCGGCGGCAGCTCTACACCCGAGAGCTCGGTCTTGAAGATCTGATGCAAAGAGTCCCAGTATCCAGGCCATGTCTTGCCAGTACATTCCTTCTCAAGGATGAGAACAGGTGCTGGTGCTACCAATGATAGTACAGCGAAACTCATGGCGACACGATGATCATCATAGCAGTGGATACCAGCTTTGGGAGCTTCGAGCTCATAAGCCTTTCCATCAACTTCAATACCATCATCAAACTGCCTGCAGGTGACACCGAATTTGGCGAGCTCATCTTCCATGGCTTGAATTCGGTTGCACTCTTTGACACGTTGGTTAGCAATGCCATAGATGCGAGTGGTGGTCGTGCTGCCATTTGATGATGCCACAGCTGCTAGTACTGATGCTGTCAGGAAAGCATCCGTCATCGGTTCCATGTCGATTTCCTTGACGGCCTTCAACTCACCACGAGGCGGACCCGTGACGGTTGTGGAAGTCTTGGACTGTTCCACCTTGCAACCCATAGGCTTGAGGACCTCGACAGCGAATCGCGCATCACCTTGCAGAGAGCCAGAGCCGATGTTTGGCACCGTGCATGTCGTACCTGTGATAGCTGCGATAGCAAGAGGGTAGGTAGCGGAGCTAGCATCGCTTTCCACCTCATATTCAGAGGGGTTGGTGTATGGTTTGTTGGGAATGTGGTAGGTGTTGGGATCATTCTCAGATCTCTCGACCTGCACACCAAAGGAAGCCATCATGGCAATGGTCATGTCAATGTACGGTTGAGAGATGACTTTGCCGCCGACTAAGCGCAGCGTTACTGGCTTCTTGGAGTATGGTGCGCTCAAGAGGATGGATGATACGTATTGTGATGATACGTTGGCAGTGAGTTCAATCTCTCCTGTGAAGGAATCGGCACCGAAGCCACCACATGCTGAGATACGTAGCGGAAGACTACCTTCGTTCTCTTGGTAGTCAATCTCCACGCCCATGGTGCGGAGAGACTTGACGAGCGGACCAATGGGTCGCTCCTTCATGCGCGCGTTACCAGTGACAACTGTGGATGTGACGCCTTCGACAGGCTGGCAGAGCGCGGTTACGGAAGTCAGAAAACGTGCGGCAGTACCAGCATTGCCAAGGTAAAGCTCGTTACTTGAGGCCTTGAGGTTGCCGCCGTTGCCTGTAACTACTAGCTCCTTGCCATCGTTCTCCCATGCGAAGCTGGCACCCTGCATCTTTGCCAATGCGTCCAGCATGACTTGTGTGTCATCCGAGTGCAGTAGATTGGTGATGCGACATGAGCCAGTTCCGAGCGCGGCAAGTACCAGTACGCGATTTGAGATACTCTTGGACCCGGGAGGCCTACATGTCACATTTAGGTCGGAGGGAATGCCAGGATGTACGGAGATGCTCGGTGATAGAGCAATCTTGATGTCGCGATCCTCAACCGAGCTAGCCTTCTTCTCGTATGTCCTGCCAATTCCCGACAAAAGCACAATCTTCTTGGTCTTGCCTGCGTTCTTTTTGTCTACAGCCATGATTTTGATGAGCTCGTCTACGGGGCAATGCTTGTTGGCCGACCGTTTCCGCACGGTCTTGTCTGAGAGCGATGTAGGCAGTCCGTAGCTCGCAATGCACTTTGTCAAGCGCGCGACTGCAGAGGGGTCTAGTACGCCCAGGTATCTGGCCAACTCGGCCTCCTTTACCATTCCTATCGCAACGCATTCTCCGTGGAGGATCTGGGGTGTAAGGATGGCTTCGTAAGCGTGACCGATCGAGTGTCCGAAGTTTAGCAGATTGCGCAGTCCACCTTCGCGTTCGTCGGCGGAGACGACTTCAGCCTTGACGCGTACAGATCCAAGCACTATGCGCTTCAGTATCGTGGCAATGTTGTCAAAGTTCCTGCGGCCATTGACGGGCTTCTGGTCGATGGCAGTCAGAATGGCATCGGCGTTGCCCTCGAGTGTTGTGAATTCCTCCTCATTCCAGATTGCCGCCGTCTTGACCACCTCTGCCATGCCATTGATGACCTCCCTCTTGGGCAGCGACTCGAGGAACTGCAGATCGATGTAAATCCTCTCCGGCTGCCAGAAGGCGCCGACCAAGTTCTTGCCCGCAGGCACGTCAATGGCTGTCTTGCCGCCAATGCTCGAATCGACCATGGCCAGCAATGTCGTGGGTACATTGACAAACTTGATACCGCGCATGTACGTTGCTGCGACATAGCCAATCATATCCCCAATGACGCCTCCGCCGAGGGCTATTATGACAGTGTCGCGCACACATCCTTGCGACAGCAGCCAGTCTTCTACTGCTGCCTTTGTATTCCGCGACTTGGAAGTCTCGCCGGGGGATATTTGGTACGTGAGCAGACGTGGCGACGAGGAGAGTGAGGACGCGGCCGACGCGAAGGCGCGCTCGAAGACGGGCGTATAGAGAGGGCCGATGTTGGTGTCGGTGATGAGGACGTACGTCGACGAGGGAATGTTGGTAAGCAGATCCTGGGCGATGTAGTTCTGCCAGATGCCGTAATCGACGACTATCGAGTCTTTGCCCAGGATGGTGACCTTGGTGGGCTCACCTTGCGCTCCATTGACGCCTGCCATGGTGGGCTGTCGCGGTGCGAGTCAGACTTCGCACAAAGAGCAGATGCGGCCGCCAGATGCTAAATTACAAGAACTGAGTGTACCGGATGGTGCAATGGGTTGTAAGTGAGTATCAAGTTCAGCACATCATGCCAGGGAGATTGTGGGTGTGAGTCAGGCCACGCAGTACACTTTTTGCTGCGTTCCTCGAAATCAAAGTGCACCGCTACCGGACCTGCATGACCGACATGGGTTCCCCACGTCATCCCCCGACCTATCACTTACTCCCTTATTCTCTCATCCAAACGCCAAAACCCTGCGCCACAAAGCCGATCGGCAGCTGTAGACTACAATGTATCGCGCATTTCGAGAGATACACATGTGCATCGCGACCCTCGTACAGAGCTCGTTCTTATCGTGACCCAACGCGCGTCATGCACGTCGCTCTGAGCGCTGCAAAGCTTCACATATCGCATCGACACAGGTCCTGAGAACGCCGGTCGCCGGTTCCGCCGTCTTACATTCGGTGCATGTTTTGGTCTGGAACCTGTAAGCCTACGATGAGTCAGAACAAGCAACAACAACACCATGGAGCTGTTTGCTAGCTACATCCTCATCTAGAAATTGGGTGAACTCCAATTCAGACCTTCCACAGTTCCGCAATGTCGACTCCAGTCAAGGTGTTGGTGACTGGCTTTGGTGTTTGTCGACGTCTTTGATCCGATACGTCGCTCAGCTAACACACTCTCAGCCGTTCCTTGATATTACGAAGAATCCGTCCTGGGAGATTGCACGGCATCTACCGTCATCCGTTACTGGCCCCAATGGCGAAATCGTCACTATCATCGTACCAGCTGAACCCATCCCAGCAGCTTACCACAAGATACTAGCCCAGGTCCCGGTGTTGATCCAGGAACATGCGCCTGATCTGGTTGTGCATATGGGTCTTGATGTCGGCAGCGGACCCGGAGTATTCAAACTCGAACGGAGTGCACTGCGAGACGGCTATCACGATATTCCAGATATCGAAAGGCGCGTCTTTACCAGAGCAGACAACAAGAAACTGTTTGGGAAGGCATCATCGTCTCTAACAACTACTCTCGACATCGATGCAGCAGCTGGGATATTGCAAGAAGCTTGCTATTCTCTCAGCCTCTCAACCCCGGCAGCTGCGCCAGAGAATGTCAAGGTCAAAGGCAAAGGCAAATCAAGAAAAGCTATCGAGGTAAGACTCAGCGATGATGTGGGCTCGTATGTGTGTGGTTTCAACTACTACATCAGCCTACTCGAGATGCAGAAGCGTACCAGCAAGCGGGACAATGTCTTCTTCCATGTGCCTCAACTTGAGTCCAAGGAGGATATTCAAACTGGTGTGAAGGTGACGGAGGAACTAGTCCGAGCGCTGGTGGCAGTACGGAAGCAATAGAGAGTGCCACGTTCCTTTTCCCCTCTTTTCCCTTGTGTCGTTGCCATTCCAACGGGTTCTGTGCAACGGACGCATGGCAGGCAGGGATCTCCACGTGGAGTTGTACCGGTCAATCGGTGCCTTGAGTCTAAGTTGGCAGTCTTGATAGCTTAGCATCGTGCTTCCAGATCGTGGTGTGCTCTACTGCTGTGAAGCCTAGGGTGCAGTGACTAAGCGGACGCGCCTTCCAAGACGCGCTGTCCCTGCCCTCATCCCATTTACCATCAGCTTCCGCCTCCATATAATTCATCGCCCGCCACCATCATCATCGTCAGCGGCGCCATATAACTACTCATATTCAAGACGCTGGGCACTTGTTTGGCGCTTGGCCATCTTTTGCATCCTTTTGCCCGCTCTGCACACCAAGCGTGCTTCGTTATGAGCATGCGAAAGCGCACCGTACCAAGCATCATCTTTCCGCACGAGGCGCAGCACGGCTGCAATGTTTCAACCCTTGACCTCGAATCAACGCGTTGATACGCGAGAGCGATGTACATTATCACCGATGGACCCGGCTGGGCAACGACAATGATGGGCCATCAAGGCGCCTCACGTCGCGCAAGAACTTATCATGAAGTCTCTACAGAGTAATTGGTATATCGCCAGACACAAACCCGGCGAGAATGCTCGCTATTTCGCTACTGCCTCGTTTCATGAGCAACGTCGAACGCGCAAAGGATCACTCCTGTGCATAGCACATGAGCCTGCCAAGGGCATGAACGTAAGCTAAGCACTTGGCGACTTGGAATTCGACATGACAACAACAACAACTGCGGAGTAAAGGAACGCAGCATTCGTGTGCGATCTCTCGGACTAGGCACTCTTCACCAAGTTGATAGCGCTCTCCGGTCGAATCATAGCTTGTTCATATCCCGGGCTCCAAGAGATGCGGGTCCTCAGCATGTGTACACATGACGACGAGAATCTCCGAGGCCGCTCTACCTGTTATTCAGATCCTAACACTCTATGGAAAGCTTCAGTTCATACTGTGATGAAGTAAGACAATTCTTTGGGCGTAAAGAGCTTCGATGTGACGAAGAAGCTGTAGGTCAGGGATCTCGTTTGAGTACGTGTAGGCTATGTACAATAGATGCATAGCACTAACCGGTACAGTATCCAGGGTTGCGACTACTGTTTGAGCACACATCAACGGTGTGATGGTGTAACGTAGACGACGTGAATCTATTCCTACCAGGGACCTGGTCGCATTGAAGCGATCCACACTCGTCCTTGCCAAACTCAGTTTAGATCCCAAGAAGTCGAAGATCTTGGTCAACCATCATGATCAAAGAAAGCTTGGAAGCACCGCAGCGGAAAGCGTCCAAGCATGCCAGGACGGAAGAACGGTTATCGGCACTTCAGCGATGAGATTATGAAATGCGCTTCGGTCTTTCTGCCTGATCGATTGTCAACGGCGCGTCTCCGGATGCTAAGATCATGGCACCCCCATAATCCCCATGGGGCCGGTGCGACTTCCCCAGGTGTTCGGATTATAAAGTTCAAGACTGGTTCCAGTTCTTTTAGCACCGTCAACGACGATCGCCGCAACTCTACCTCTCTGCCGGAAGCTACTCTCCACTTCAACTTACAAGCGATAAAGTTGCCGTTCGTTGCATTTGCAGCATGAACAACCACGCCCAAGACTCCGTGGTCAATGGACCAGAGTTCAAGGACGAGAAAGGCTCTGACATATCGCCAACTCCGCCTCTCAAGGTAGAGGATGTCGAACAAAATGGATCAATGGTCGAGATTGATGCAGCCACTGAAGCAAGACTACTGAGAAAGCTGGACATTCGCATCGTACCCATGATCTGCTGGATCTACTTGATGAACTTCATGGACCGAGGTCTGTATATATTACTCATCTTCAGACCTCGACTGACGATCCTATAGTCAACATTGGCAATGCTCGTCTTTACGAAATGGAGGCAGATCTTGGCATGGACCCAAACACCAACCAATTCCAGATCGCAGTATCTATTCTATTCGTCACCTACGTCATATTTGAGACACCTTCGAACCTCATCTTGAAACGAATGAAGCCGGCCCGGTACCTAGCCGGTCTGATGTTTCTGTGGGGCTTAGTAGCCACATTCTCAGCTTTTGTCACCAACTTTGCTGGGCTCGTAGCTTGTCGCCTCCTCTTAGGCATGTTCGAAGCAGGTCTATTTCCGGGTGTCATTCTCTACTTGAGTATGTTCTACAATAGGCGCAACGTCAGTCTGAGGCAGGCGTGGTTCTATGGCACATCTGCACTAGCAGGTGGACTAGGGGTGAGTGCAGCCTGTTTATATCCAATGAATGAGACTAACGGGCGTAGGGTGTCGTTGCTTACGCTATCGGTGAGATGGATGGCGTAGGTGGTTGGAATGGATGGTAAGAAACGTCCCTGTACGAACTGCATATGAGACACACACTGACTTCGTACACGTCCCTTTTAGGCGCTGGATCATTGTCATTAATGGTATCCCAACCGTCCTAACCGCCATTGCTGTACCTTTTGTCCTTCCGAACAGCCCAGAGACTGCGAGCTTTTTGACCGAAGAAGACCGACGAAACCTAGTCTTGCTTCGCATGAGGGAGATTGGCCAGACGACAGCCGGTCAAGAGTTACTGAAAGAAGACGTTATGAAGGGTGTAAAAGACTGGAAGGTATACGCCTACGCCGTCGCTCAATTTGTTGGGCTTGGCATGCTTTACAGCTTCTCCGTGTTCCTACCCACTATTATTAATGGCCTTGGAGGCGGGTGGAATCGCCAGGTGGTTCAGGCTTTGACTATTCCTGTATATATTGCCGGGTTCATCACCTACGTCGCGGGGGCCTACTACAGTGACAAGACTCAAAATCGAGGCTTGTTCTGCATCGCTGGGCTTGCTGTCAGCATGATTGGATACATCTTCCTCATCGCTAACAAAGTAAGTACCCGAATGCTTCGAGTCTGAACCTATTGTACTAACGGAGGCGTAGGGGCTTGGTCTCAGCTTCGCCGGCTGCTTCATCGTCGCACTCGGTTTATGGGTGGCCACCGGTATCGCCTTCTCCTGGATTGGCGTGAACAACCCGCGATATGGAAAGCGAGCCTTTGCCAGCGGTATGCAAATCACCATCGGTAACTGCTCAGGTGTTGTGGCGCCTTTCTTGTACGCCGCTGAGGATGCTCCTCAGTTTACTGCTGGCTACGGTGCGACCATCGGACTGCTGGCGCTTGGTATCGCCATCTATGTTGCGCTGCATCTCTACTTCCGGATGAAGAACCAACGCAAGCTTTCTGGTAAAGAGGATTGGAGGATCGAGGGGAAGACTGAGGAGGAGATTGCGGAGATGGGCGAGGATAACCCGAGGTATTTGTACACTATCTAGGGTATTGTTCTATTTCTCGTCAGGGTATCCAGACTTTGTGTTCGCTTCCTATGCCGAGATAAAGTAGCTAGTCGCGATATCCGAAATACCTAGTAATTGATGAGAAGGTGCCATTTCATGTATTGTTATTGGTGCTTGCCGCACCCACTAGTGTACTGCTTGTGTAGGAACATCCTCCGAACCCAACACACTTCTACACAACAGTATTTCACCTCAAGATACCTCTCGCTTTAATCTGAGACCTGTGTCGCACGAGACGATACTATGCCGCTTTCCAAAAGTCCTCTGACACGCTCGACATGGAAGGGTTAAAAAGCAACGTCGCTATTAACACCTGGCTGCCACAAGCCAATTATCCCTGTGGTAACTTTTCTGGCACCTCTGATCTCAAATTTCGAATCTCAGGTCTCAGACACTGTCTGATCTTGTAATGCTACCTCCGTATATATTGCGCACATTCAATCATCTTCCACGACCAAACCAACGCCTATCGGTTGCCAACACAAACCACAAACAAGCTCCTCATGCTCAAAACACCAATCCAGAAAGCAAATCACGATCCACCCCATAATCCCTTCGAACCCTTTATCGCAGCATTCCGTGGCCAGCACAGCACTACCTCGAACTCACCCAAAACCTTTACAACCTCATTATTTTCACAGTCGACTGTGACAACAAGTATTGTCTAGCAAGTCAAAAGCAAGATACTTGATCCCTCCGGTCTTCTCGTCGCCCAGATTCCCTGGATGAAAGCATTTCAAACATCAAGAGCAGAATACATTCCAGTCTTGCGCCAAGACTTCAGCTACATCATAGAACCTACAGAGCACCAAAACGAGCTCTTTGGTGCAACGCACGATACAAAGTTTCGAGAAACATATTACGAAGAGATGAAGCCAGTCGAACGCAAGTACGACGACGTCGATTCTCCAACTCGCCACAGTGGTAGGCACAGTTCATCATCAAGCCATACTGCAGTCCGCTCAGATAGATCCAGCTCTACACTGGCAGCTGACGAGGAGGAAGCAGAGGATCCGCATGACAAATTATCCGCCGAAAAAGGGGAGAACACTGAGGTAGATGACACCGAACGTCAGTTTGATAGTGGGTATGAAGGAGGTGAAGAGAGTCAAGGGGAAGGAAGTGAAACGTCTAGTCACACATTAGGACGGTCGGAGGGTTCCAGCTGTACTCTGGGACGAGTCAAGGATGAGTACGAACACACAGAAGAAGGTGAGTCTGATGACGAGGGTGACTTGTTTGCACAGAGCTATCGGAACGGCAGCAGAAAGTGAAGAACATATCAACGGCCCTGCCAGCATAAATGGTGAGCGCGCACTTTCTCAGAAGCTTGGTGTGCTTGAAAAGTCTGCACATCGACTCAGAGATCTGAGTAGAGTATTACTACGTATACTTATGTGTTAATACACGCCGTATACGGTAGAAAACGAACCTTGTAATGTCACTCACTGCTCCATAAAAATTGCTACGACATATCAATTACGACACTAAGAAGACAACGGTGACAAATAAGCCGAACGTGAATGATCAGAGCTCTATATTGATGACGAAGGAAGAACAAAGTGATCACCATCGTCAGAATGGAGGGTATGGACTCTCTCGAAGGTCGCATCGCCAATTTACTTACTACAGCGATAGCAGTAGGTGATCACCGCTGCATTCTGCCTATACCCCTCTCCCAGAAGCAATGGCAGTGGACATGCAATCTCTCAGCATCGGAACGTATCTCCGCGCCAATGGTTCATCCCACGGAGCAGAAGCGGAAGCGCGATTTGTTCCTTTCGGGTGGGAAGCATGGCACTGTGACCCAGACGGTGCTTGTGAAGAAGATGACGGTGAGTGTTTGCGATCGTCTCTTTCTGGAATATGTCCTAAGTTCTTCCAGAATGGCTCGGCGGCTACACAGGCCAGTGGAGGGGCCTTCTGACGACGAAATATTCTAGGCTGAGGCACATCTCGCTCCGTGTGCAAGCTTTGAGTACTCGGACATGCTCGTCATGCATCTCTGTAGTATCTTCAACGTGCACCAGACCGCAATTTCTCGACCACAAAGGTCTGTGCAACCTGTAAATCGTCTCTTGTCTTTTCCGCTTGCTGTTCGCTAACACCAACACCTGACTTAGAGCGAACTGCGATATCAGTTCGAAGTGGCGTTCTTAAGCGAATTCACGGAATGATCCATAGTGGAGGCGTTTGTTCGGAGGACTGCGTAGCATTCTCATTTGATGGCGTCGCACGGAGCTGTTCCCCGATGTCTTTTCTTATTCAAGGGATCAGACTAGTTGGTGTGTAGGAAGTTGGAAGACGTGAGTTGAACGGTGCGCAGCCGGTTGCGCTACGCTAATGGCGACTTCCCGAGTTCCCGCCTGCAGTTCACTCCTCTTTCCCCGTACAACCACTCGCCCAGGGCCAGCGGCAAATGCAAACATCAACTCAACATTCGCATCGCGTGTACGCGCATTAACGCTCATTTACCGCCTTTGACAGCTACACCCATCTCATCTCACACCAGATTAGCTTTGCACCGCTGACAGTACGTTGTGGCTGTCAGCCTTGGGCGTGATGACGCACCTTGCAGGCACAGCCTCAACTCGCGGGTTGCAGGCAGCTTCCACTGCCCGCATCATTTACAACTGTGATAACTACAACGCATCTACATGGGCATGCCATTTCTGCATGCATCAGAGGGTATACCATGGACTTTCTGGACGTCCGGATGCGCAGTGGCTCAAAGTGTACATGACAGGCGCGCGGAACCCCGCAAAAGTAATGCCTAGCCGCAACCTTCACATCCGCCAGGCACAATTGGTCCGAGATGTTACCAGGGTCAAGTATCGGCGACCCCACGCGGGACCTCCAGCAGGCTCAGGCGCGGCAGATACTCCAAGATAAGCCCTGGGTTGAGCTGAGGGGCGGCTGGCTGCAAACGGAAGACTGCCGTGTGCATCAGCTGCAAGCTATAGAGGTTAGCCTCCAACCTTGTCCTTCTATCGCGACATTGTCAGCTTTCTTTTCTTTCCTCCTTGTTTTTTGTCGGTGTGTATCTACACCCTCTTCTCTGTCCACTTCTGTCCCTTGATAATTAACACCCTCTTCCTGCTCTGGATGCGCTTCGATAATCGTGTTCCCATACAACATGACCCTTCGTCGATCTCGCCTTCTAAACCTCAAGCGGCCTAACGGATAGCGACACTGGCGTCAGCGGCTTGACCGCATTGCAACTCGACAATGCCATTACCGTTCAATCAGGAATCATGGATCTGGTATACGTGTGCTGTATGTATGATCGGAGCAAGATTGTGAGTGCATCTTCTACAAACAATGCCATTCTTTCACATGCGAGAGGCGTCCTTGCTATCAAGAACAAGGCTTAGCACGCGATGCGCTGGCGGGCGAGGCTGTGGCGTCCTGGGCGCATTGCTCTTGTCGGTCGCTTCATTCTCTGCTCGCTCGCGCCTTAGGGCTAGCATTATGGGAATTACATTTTCGTTGTAATGTAATAGTTCACTTTCTGACAGAATTGCCATACAGAATTTCACGGAAGATGTTGTTCCGATCTGTCAAAGGTCTCCAGTTCGATGACTGGACGATGGGTCTCTTCGTCACCGGCGCTTACACGGTTATGATTGTACTTGCAAACCGATGGCTAAAGGTTCAATCAAACCTTGAACCCGAGAATTTCGACTTTAGCGCACTCACCGTGGACGAACTATCGAGGCGAAGATTCGGGAGCAAGCTCGTGGTTGTTGTAGAGCAGATGCACATCGCTGTGATCTGGGCGTGCAAAGCATGTCTTCTGATCATGTATCATCGCATAACACGGACAGCTCTTCGCAACGAAAACATCGCCATCAAGATTCTCGCCGTCTACACAGCAGTCGGATTTGTGGTCATAGAAGTCCTCTACTTTTCAGCCTGGTGTAGACCTTTCTCGGAGTATTATGCAGTGCCGACCAGTTCATTCCAGTGCAATGCCTTGGTTCATCACCGCATCACCAAGGCTGTCTTCAACATATCCTCGGACTTGATCATGCTGTGCATTGCATTGCAAATGCTCATACGATCGCTCCTTCCTATGAAGAGAAAGATAATCCTGTGCGGCATCTTCTCTCTGGGTCTCTTTGTGGTAGCTGCAAGCATCATGAACAGCTACTACTCTTTCAGCAACCCATACAAGGCAACTTGGATTTACTGGTATGTTCGAGAGTCATCAACTGCCATTCTCGTTGCCAATTTACCATTTACTTGGACAATATTGAGAGAGCTTTTCGAGCTCGGCAATTTCGACGAAGGAAATCCACCCCCGTGGTCCTATCACTCTCCACGCACAGCAGGAGGTCGGAAGACAGCACAGCTACTCCACCAACAGTCTGCGACAACGGGCGCACGTACAGGGACGAAGCGCTCACCGAACAACACCATTGGAAGTAAGAGCATGACTTTGACCCCCTCAAACATCACGCAAACCAAATCGCCAGCCCTCAGTGACATGTCCGGATTCGCCGACAAAGACCTGCTCGAAGAAGCCATATCACCTCACGACTTTGCCCCTGCAGTTCTACGTACTGCAAATGACGGCACTGTCGACATTGATCTCGAAGCAGGCCATGTGGAAGAAGTAAATGCGCGACCAATCTCTCCTGGCCATACTGAGCAACGGAACAAGCTTGCTGCGGTTCCTACCAAAATCACCGAGGATGGCACGGGCGGCTTCTACGTCAACGACCATCCTATCCCACCACCGTCGCGAGTGCATCTCGTACTTTCCATGAACGGAACGCGAGACAGCAGTATAGCGAGCACGCATCGAAGACCAAGCGCTACATCGAGTATGATTAGTGGTTACACAGCAAGTCGGCGCGGAAGTGCATCGACGCAGGGTGCGGCGGCTGGGCACACAGTAGGCGGAGGGAGAAGCGCGAGGGACCGGAGGGCTAGGACGAAGCTGAATGAGTAAGGTACTTGATGGACGAAGTGACGAGTGCGATATACCCCTGTTCAGCGTCTAAAGGCTTCTACTTTTTGCAAGCATGCTGCCATTCTGTCATAGTCTCGTGATTTTAGCTGTATTAGATATACCCCTATAGGCGAATGCCTTGCCATATGTAGACAAGGACCTCTAATATAATGTAATATGATGTACTTCATCTCAACGTGTGTCATGTAATCCTGGAAGCAGAGTCTGACAAGACTGCGGTCGTCCAAAATCCTACACGAATGACATATAAAAGTAAGGAAGCAAAAGTGATGGCAATGCTAACACCGCTTCCATGGGCACTATATCCGCATGAATGATGCAAAAACACCAAACGGGCACTCTATTTTGAATGTGATCTGGACTAGGAAAAGCACACACAGTACATAAAACTAGGCAAGTTTTTGTAGTAAAGAACAGCCTACCCACCCAACGCCAGCCCATGCACGTATGCCTATGATGCAACGTTCAGGTACTTGATATACTGCTCCTCAGCAGTCTATAAACAGGACATAAAGAGAATGCAAGAGCAAAAACACCACATCCATATCCGTATCACTTTCGTAATCAACAGAAGGTTGTAGCATCTCTCTAGCAACAGACTAGTCCCATTCGAACCACATTGCCCTATCTCTCACACGGGTTTTCGGAAGCAGGAAGTGAGCGTAGCATAGCGGGACTAATGGTACGGTGTCCGAGAAAACGGATACTCGATGAGTACAGATACTAACTGTAGTCGAAAAGCACGCTAATGCTCTCGCCATGGTGAACACGTCGGATGGCCTGGAAGATTGTCAGCATTTATATCCAAATCTATTTTTCATGGAATTTGATCTTACCTCAGCAAAGACATTGCCGACCTCGAGAACCTCTAGCTTGGGGCACTTGCTCTTGTGGTCCTCCTGGGGCACCGTGTTGGTCACAATGACCTTGTCTAGAGCACTCTGGTTGATACGCTCAATGGCATCTCCGCTCAGAATACCGTGTGTAATGAGGGCAATCACCTCTGTAGCGCCCTCTTTCTTCAGGAGCTTCGCCGCGCGGGTAATGGTGTTGGACGTATCCGCCAAATCATCAACCAGGATGGTTGTGCGCTCGCGGACGTCTCCAACCAACATCATGGTCGCGTTTTGCCGGTCGTTGATCTGTGTGGGGCGGCGCTCCTTGTGAATGAGGGCAAAAGGCATGCCGAGAGCGTCGGCGATGGCGGTTGCGCGCTTCGCACCTCCAGCATCAGGGGAGACTACAACAGCTTGTTGGTAGTTGGGGATGTTGAACTGGATGTATTTACGGAGGAGGTGACGGCCATAGAGGTTGTCCACGGGGATATCGAAGAAGCCCTGGTACTGTGGATCTAGCAGTCTGTCAGCGCGTCGTCTTGTACCTAGACAACATGTATCCTACCGTGGAGATCCATGGTGATGACGTGGTCAGCGCCAGCGCAGGTCAACAGGTCCGCGATCAAGGTACCGGCTTGAGCAACCCATTGGCGGTATCCGACCTGGGGCTCGAAAGCAGGAGGCTTGGTGGTTGTGGGTGCGCGCGTGAGGAGACCTGGGGTTGGGGCAGCCGTGCCGTTGGCGCCATTGGCTTCCTTGCCAACGTCGAAGTAGGCAGACTTGTCGGATTTGTCCGACTTGCCCGAGTCGACCGTCTCGGAACGCTTGATGCCGTTCTGCTTGACGGGGCTCGTGGGGTTCCCGTTGGCATGGCCGCCGTTGCGCTCATCCATCTTCATCCTACTGAGCTGGTGGTGCAGCGCTGCAGAGCCATTGGTTATGCCGGCGCTTTCAGCCTGGCCTGGGAAGGGCGTCTGCGGTCGCGAGTCGAACGTATATGTGCCGGTCCTCGAGCGCCCAGGCACCTTGGAAAGGGGCGCGCCAGTCTTGTTGTATGGAATGTCCGACTGTCGCGAGTAGGGAAAGAGCGGAAGGACGGCGGTGATGCGCTTCGCAGAGGCGGTACGGCAGGCGGAGATGGTAATGAGAAGTCTGTCGGACGGTCAGGCACTTCACTCAACTACACCATGAGGATGGGCCTACTCCATCAGATGGTCGTTGACTGCGCGCAACACGAGCATTAGCGGGGTTCTCGAGAGATCAAATTGGCACGCGGGCGTCGTGTTCCGTCCCAGGTGCGCTGCAGTACCACTATGGCTAGGAGGATAATGCGCCGGAGAGCTTCGTACCTTTACCGCCGCCAGACTGGATGATGAAGACATCCTTTCCTCGCACACTCTCCTCAATCTCAACGCGCGTCTCGCCGCCCTTGAACTTGTCAAGAAGCACCTTGGCCTTGGGTATGCCGAGGTGGTTGCAGATAGTCCTATCGCCAGTTAGTTGGGGCCGCAAGCGCGTTCGACTGCGACCTACTCGGTGAGCTGCGGGTGAGAGCTTCCGCCCAGTACCACGATGTTCCTCATGACGACGGCTGGTGGAGGTGGTGGTGTGGGGAGGTGGTCCGTTACTTCGCGGCGGGCAGTATAGCAAGAAGAGATTAGTGAAGGAGGGAGCCTTTCGCGGAGAAATTCCTCTTATCGATAGAGGGAAAATATTTAGTCGAATTTAAGGTTTCCGCCCTGGTAATGGCTGGGTGGAGCAGTCAGCGCTCAGGAATTGGGCAGCATGATGAAAGATGAATGGTTCTGTCGTCACGGGCCAAAGAGGTTTTCGCTTCTTTCGGCGGTTGCAACTTTTTCTGCCGAACCCATGTCGCTTTTCCCACGCTTCTCACAGCCGCTGGAATGCTTCTAGAGCATGCAATGGCTGCAGTCTGCATTGCATGCCACAGCAAGCACACCGGATGCAATGACTCAGGTTCCACGCGAGCTATACTCGCCTTTATCGCCCACCGTAGCCGTTTCACATGTACTGGTTGGCGGTCAGTAATTGCGCCATCCTCAATGGCCGCTTCCCTGGACCAAGGGAAGGGTCCGGTAGCGCCTACCGAAGTCGGCTCCCTCACGTGCCCACCCGACTACTACCTAGGAAGGCGCTTTCGGATGTCCATACATGGTTCCCAAATCCTCAACTTGCATCCGGTCATCCACGGAATGTGTCCTGCAGCGGTCACCCAATGCGTTACCTTGCGCCCTTCCGTTGTCTTTAGCCGTCACCAAGCGTCCACTATACTCGCAGCTTAGCGAACGTGCCGAAGATACGTCATCCTCGTCGAATCAAATCCTCAAGATACGTCGTCAGACAAACACCAACATAGGTTATTGCTATACACGGCTATCTAGCAACAATGTTTAACGGCCATTCACACATTTCAGTCTTTCTTCTTTCACTCATTACAATGCTCATACACACCAGCTTCATAGCTTTGTCGAGGTCGCCATAGCGTAACATGGCGACTACGGCTGCGACCTCGATACTCCCGATTGATCCCATACCACTGGTATAATATCCTATTAATCCTCCTCAAAGTGTGTCAGGCAAGGTCCGCTGCATATCCACATGCAAGCGGTTTACCAGTACCCTGGTATCCGTAGCCAAAGCAAGCCATGTCAGGTCGTTGCGCCAACCACCTCCCCTCTACCATGTACCTGTCCGTACTGCACGTACACATTCAAACAAGCACTTCAATTCAGATCAGAAGCCATTTCACCTGATTCCATCCTCCCACCTCCCCACTCCACTATCTTTTCTCCCTTCCCTCCCACCCCTTCCATTCTCCTCCTCAGGCGTAAACAATTCCGCGCTTAGCACCAGAACAGCAGGAACAACAGCAAGCGCATCAATAGTCCCGCTCCTGCCCCTTTTACTCTGGTGCCGTAGATTCATCATCGCGTTTACTTCACGGGATTTTACAATGTCTCGTCGGATCCGCGGCCACTCTTCACTGTTCCTGGAAGGAGAAAGTGTGGGGGATGTGGGTGAGGAAATGGGGTTTGAAGCAGATGAGGAGGAGCGATGTCGGAAGGGGGAGAGGGAAGAGAGGGTTCGGGAACGTCCTCGTCGTTTCTCAGTTGTCGTGTCCGATGTACATGAGGCGGCGGATGTGGATAGGCGTGGTGATGCGGACGAGGTTGTTGGTGGTGCTGGGATGTGGGGGAGTGGAATGTTTATCTCTGTGTAGAGGGGGCCTTCGTACTGGAGGGAGAAGGGCTCAGATGTTGTCGCTGTGATGTCTGAAGTTGTGGGTATCGGTGCATCGTGATCGTGCTGTGGGGTTGTGGGGGCGGAATATGTATCGAAGGTTGGAAAGGCCTCGTATGCATGCGATGCGGTATCCATGGCTGCGATCTTCTTCGTCTCTTTTCTCTTTTCAATCAACGGGTCTTGTGGTAACGTGCGAATCTCGAGAGTTGAAGCAGACCACGATCAGATGTATGCGAGCTTGAAAGCGCGGTAATTTGAAAGGCGTTGCGGCTCGCACAGCCTCGTTCAGGCAACCCTTTGTTTTGGTACGTCGACGCCCAAAACAACTCTCAGAACGACTGATGACCTCAGACTATTGAGCAAGTGACTCACTCAGAATTGGTGGAAAATCGCCTGTCTCGTACTCAGTCCTGGTCGTAAATTGAATATGTTTTGTGGCGCGTGGAACGAAGTGCTATCAGCTGCTGTGGTTCTCTTCCAAGGGTTCGCGGAACTATCAACCACGACGCGAACGCGTCTCATTCAGGATACATATACCAAACTAGGCGCTCCATTATCTGCACTTCAGCTGATCACAATAAGCCTCATTTCCACACGCGTGCGCTCAGCCGCGGTGTCGCGGTGAGAAGCTTTCGCGAGCCGCTTAGCCGATTCACATGGGGCTGTGCAGAATTCGTCGCGTATGGAATACGCCGCATTGGCGGCTGAGGAAGTAGTAAGCTCAGCGCAACATCAAGATAGTGCCTAGAAAGCCAGCGGGGCTAGCACGAATACATCACTCATGATCAAGGGAAGGTAAATGTGTGTGATCAAAATATATTATTCGTTTTATCATCGGTATCATCATCATTCACTATATACAAAGTGCAATCACCTTAAACTTACAAAAGCTTAAGAGTGACCTTTCCGCCCTTGACACCCTTTCGGGCGACGGGCTCGCGAACGCTCCTCTTCGCAGTGCCGTTAGCAGGCACACGCTCGGGAATTCCCTCCCAAGAGGTAGCGTAATGAGCAACAGCGGCAGCAATACCGCGGGAGTGTAGAAGCCAAGCCTCCTCGTTAAGGTTGGTGACATTGTCAGCAGCCTGGTGGTAGTTCTGGTCAAGGATCTCTCCGGCAACGCCACCCCAGATAGCCTGCTCCTCGACAGTCTTGACCTCATCAGCACCGGTGGTTGTGCCTCCAGCAGGAATGTTGGCGTCAAGGAAAGGACCGTAGTCAGAACGGCCGTTGAATTCGGTTTCGTTGCTGGGAATGTTGAGATCCTTGAAGTATCCCGCGAAGAAGGCCTCAATGTCGTCACTTCCAGCGGGGCCGCTCAGACCGTAAGCACTGCCGTCACCGTCGTAGATCTGATGAACATAGTTGGGAGACGCAATCATGTCAAAGTTGAGGTAAGCGCGGACATCAAGAGCTGCCTCGGGAGACAGGCTTTCAACGAAAAAGGTAGAGCCGAGAAGACCAGACTCCTCGCCAGACCAGAAACCGAAGCTAACAGCGTTGTTGACGTTGTACTTGGCAAGAGACTTGGCGACGTTTAGGATAGCAACAGTTCCGGAGCCATCGTCGTTGATACCAGGACCAGCGCCAACGGAGTCGGTGTGAGCACCGAGCCAGAGCTGGTTGTTCTTGTCACCACACTTGCTGGTGGCCAGAACGTTGTTGGTGGTGATGACTTGGACGTCGGTCAAAACATCCAATGTGCCGGTAACGGTAGCACCGCCAGCGACCTTGGCAACGATGGCCTGACCCTCCTCCAAAGAGAGAGTTACACTTGCAACGTAGTCACCCTCGGGACGAGGAGGAGGACCAAGAGTGGCGCTGATTGTGCCTGCAACATTGTTGTAGATAATGGCACCTACAGCTCCAGCGCTTCCAGCAAGAGCGGACTTCAATCCGAACTCGCAGGTACCACGCGAGATGAGCGCAATGGCACCAGATACCTCGGCAGGGAAGTCAGACGCCTCGCAACCGAGGTTGTTGACGGGGACGATGGGTGCGGTGACGAGACCTGGAGTAGACGCGGAGTACTCAAGAATGGTAGAGTTGATCGCACGTCCGTCGATGGTGAATGCGTTGAGAGTGCCGTTCAACATGACGTAGTTGGAGAAGGGCTGGAGCGTAACGTCGTAGTACAAAGTAGATTCAAGCTCCTTCTTCAGCCATTTGACAGTATCGTTGTGAGCCTGTCCTCCCATGATCCTGTTACGGGCTGGGTAGCTGTAGGCGAAGTCCTCCAGCTGCTGAGCACCCCTCATCAACTTCTTGATGGTGATGTCCTTCTCCAGAGCATCCTACAATATCATCAGCATATGTCCAACGCGACGGTGAAGAACCGGAGCTGCATACCTTGGTAACCAGGGGCTTCTTGGGGCATGGCTTGGAGTTGTGACCATCCTGTCGTTCCCTAAGCTCGGTAGGGATGGCCGAGGCGCCGACGGCGAGAGCTGCAAGACCGAGAGTAACCCTCATATTGACAAAGCTGTTCTATCTCGGGCGGTTGAGATGGCAGAAGCAAGCTGCAGCTGTGTCTTCCACCTGGAGTGCGGATTGCAGCCTTTATACATGTTTGCTGCACCGATCGACCGGTCGTGCGTGTGTAACCATGTACAAATCCCATGGACCTGTTCCCTAACCCGAGAGTGCAGCTATCGCGTGCAATTCTGCAGCAATCGCGTACACTCGCAGTCGTCCCCCCGTCTGCCAAGCATTTCAATATCGGTCATCTCTTATCATTCGCCAACGGCGACTCCACCGTTCATGCTTGATCTAGCAGCTGGTAAAGACAAGCTGCGCCAATGCCTGCTTCATTCTGGTAGACGGTCTGGGCAGCGCCTGGGCGTACCTGATAGTGGCGCTCAATTGCGAGATTACTGGGGCTCGATTGGAGAGCGTACTGAGGTGGATAGATGTCGGCGGAGGCAAGCTCCCTCCTGCCAAGAAGGCCGGATGGGTGCTCTTTAGGAAGGTGGCCACGCCCGGCTATGGGAACGCAGAAGCGCAGCTCTCTAGCCTTCTAGAAGCGATTGTGTATCGCGGAACATCCGAAGGTCCTCATGGAGCTCGTCTTGTCGCCTCTTCCTCCAGGATTTCCATGTCGTGCGGTTCGGGCAGGTCATTTGGTGTAGATTCGCATGTCGTAGTCGACGGCCAAAAGCACGGCACGCGGCCGCCGAGGTCCCTGGAAAACGGGGGCTCTAGCTGGTGGCGCACGGAGCAGCTGATTACTGATGACACCAGAGCATCTCATTGCTCTACAACCCAAGAAAACGCGAGAAGACAAAACCACCTCAGGAAGGCGCTTCGAAGACAATTGATATGTATGAAGATGATATCTGACGACGGGGGATGCGCGGCATATATATCTCAGAGCACCATGTTGTCCTCTTGGCGGCACCATGGCGGCTTGGGCAAGTACCCAAGATCTCATGGTTCTTGGACGTGGCCTTGACAGCCTTGGAAGCGCTGAATAGCAGCAACAGGAGCTAAGAAGGTGCAATGTAAGGTTAATCTCATATACCGAACTTCCAACGCTTCGATCGGAATACTTCACATCAAGGTTGTAGGCTAGGTACAATTCAATCCTGGGGAAAAGATGGTCCTACTAGAACATGTCTTGATAGAAAACCGTTAAATGAGAAGGGAAAGTCAAACCGAGGCAAAACTATCCGAGGACGTTAAAGGAGCAACTCGGCTAGACAAGTTCTACCGCGCATAGAAAGCCAGACCTTTTCTCCACTGGCTAGCGACATGGCAGAAGTTGTTCCTTGGTTCTTTGTTTTATGCTATTCCCTCTTCTAGCCATGTCGTATTGATGCCCTCTAGCCTCCTACCAACTCGCGAGGTCCAATTATTCGACTGAATAATTTTTCCTTACTTGTGCCACAAATAACTAAATACCTTGGTGCAGATGATAGCAGCGGGCCCCGTTGGAAACGTGATGTCGGCTGCAATCGCCCATATCGGCACATAATAATGCGGGTAGAGCCTGATCAATAGCGTAGAAGGCGTATTAGAGAGATATTCATACAGCTCTGATACGACGGCTATTGGGAGGTCAAGTCCAGAGAGGAAGATTGCATTTTCAGTGCGGTACGCAGGATTCCGAGTCACGATTGGGATAAGGGAGGGTTTAGCAGCTGCAGAGAAGTAGTGGCATACTGTCAGGATGAGTGTCTTGAGATAGCGCATGCGGACATGTACTACGCGATTTCTTCCTATGACATCCCTGAACTACATGGCCCAATGCGAAGCGGGCGATATTGTCGATCCTCGTGGTTAGAGCGTCGAACTGCCTCCGTATGCTGTACCAGAGTCTACTCTTCATTACTTGGCTGTGACCCTCCTCCGAACCCATCACATGAAACCACAGACACCCTTCAGCGAGGGGAAAATGACAATTCGTCCTCTGCTTAAGCGCAAAGCGAGAGCCATCAAGCTTCAGTGTCATGGTATCATCCTAAAGAAACCCAACACTTTCCTTCTGATATAGGATATCGTCCGGTGTAAATCTGCCTTCTGTCCATGCAAAACTGTAAGGCGCGTTGAATTGGAGCTGAACCCCGCCTAAAGGATGAGCTGGGACACGAAGTTCCCGTCCACCGCTGCCGAGTACATGTGGCACATGTATAGCTTGTCCATTCTGGTTCGCGTCACCGTTACAATATCGCTCGACATGTTCGGCCGCTTGCTCCCTATGGAGGCTTCGAATATGTTCATATCTGCAGAAGCGCATCGGCCGTAGAAGTAGGGATTACTCTCTGTTAGGGTTCTGAGCGATTGGGTTGCCTATGAAAGTTATCTGCGAGAGGGGAAGATTTTATGGCTTCTGGAAGGTTTTACCAATTTCGAATCGTTCTTCTGAGGTGGCATCATGCGGTAGCCTCGAGTATGGCTTCTATACTGTAGGCTGAGAGCCAAAGCTCTGGTCAACTTCGTAGTGGGAGAGGTTTGGTAAGTCGTATCTTGTACGCCGGGCTGGGGAACATAACTGCAGCCTTCTTTTGGAGTCAATTTTCGAATAGGGAAGGATGAGACAGCTCGTGAGTTGAGAATATAGGATGGCTTTGCAGTATCATATTAGAAAACGGTTTCCGGTGTCTACACCAAGCGGTAAACACTAGTAAGAGAAAGGTTACACAACATATGCGCAAAGGTAGATTACTGATCTTATCGGGTGTGTTTTTCAAGTTAAGAGCAAATGAACACGGTTCAATTGTGGTGGAAATATCTTAAGACTTTGCATATGTAAAACGCCCTTCTGATTAACGATTCGCCACGAATATCTACTTGAATTGATCTTCGGTGACACCCTTGCCCATGGCCGCCGTCGAACTTACACCGCCGGACACCATCTTCAGAAGATTGTCGACGTAGTTTGCTCCACTCCACTTCTGATGCGTAAGCACATCGACCTTGTTCTCCGCTTCGGGTTCCTGAATGATTTCGCCGTACGCCCGCATTCCCTGCTTAGCATATGCCTTGGAGAATGTGTCGGCCATAAGAGCGCTTTGGTGCAGACCAGCGAGCGTGATGAACTGCCAGCAGTAACCCAGTTTGGCCAGGCGTTGGATGTAGGTTTCTTGCTCCTCACGTGGCATGGCGGCTTTCCAGTTGAAAGAGGGCGAGAGGTTATACGCCAGTCTATCAATATTGTTAGCATGGATGATGAAAACAGGAGTGAAGGAACATACTTCTGCTCAGGCCATACGGCATGGACACCGTCAGCAAATTGTTTCGCTTGCGCAAAATCAGGCAGCTTCGACTCCATCCAAATCATGTCGCAGTAGGGTGCATATGCAACGGCGCGGTTAATGGCGCATTCACAGCCACCTTGATATCTGTAGTAACCCTCTCTGGTCCTTGCGGCATCCCAGTTGAAGTACACATCAACGCCAGTCAGACCTGCGGCAATGGCGCGTGCCTCTGAATTGCTCTTGCCCTTGCTCTTCTCCAAGAACTCGTTGATCATGTTCTGCTTGTCCACGTGTACACCAGCATTTATCGTGTCAATCACTGCCTCATGGTAAAGCTTCAGGTTGGCCTCCTTGGTCCATGCATCTTCGATGGCCTGGAGCTCCGCGCCGTTCTTACCAGCTTGCTCTGCGGCATACATGAGCTCGCCCAACGGTTGAAGGGCGGGGTTTGTGCAGCCTAGGATGTAATGGTGGTCGCGAGGGTCTATGGTCGATGTGATCAGGGTAGCGGCCTCTGAGTCGGTTCTGGCAACGGCAAGTAGGTCGGTTCCTGTGCAGCAATGTGAGCTATGTTCGCAGTCGATACTTGGTTAATGTTATCTTACCCATGATGTCTGCCTGTGCCCTTATAGCGACTAGACGGTTGATGTGCTCGCTGATAGGTACCAAGACCTTTCCAGCCATGTGTCCGCACTTCTTCGTTCCTGGTGCTTGATCCTCGATATGTATACCAGCCGCGCCCTTCTCTATGAAAAGCTTGGTGAGCTTCATGATAGCCGTAAGGCCTCCGTGTCCGGTATCTGCATCCGCAATAATTGGTCGCAGGTAATCAACGCTTGCGACTTTCGCGCGGTCGGCTTTTGCAGTAGTCAGGCGCTCTTCGCGTTGCTTTCGGTCGTGGAACAATTGCGCCATAAAGAGATGACCAACTTTGTTGGGTACAGTTGTCTAGGCATGTAAGCTTTCTTTCCCTTATAGATATCCAAGAGCTTGACTCACGTAGGGGTAATCTGCTAGATCAGGACCTGGTTCGTCGGTTGATGAAGCTGTTGACGATGCTTGCCATCCGGATACGTAGACAGTGTCTAAGTATTTCGCCATCTGTGTGACCATGACGGGATCGAGACATCCGTATGTAAAGCTGACATCGTTGTTCTGGATTTGATTAGATCGCATGGCTGGCATCATGAAGGACTATCATACCTTGAAGCGGCCTTCAACAATTTCCCAAAGCTTCTTCGACTGGTGATTGCTTGGGTAGGTGATCTTGAGATTGCCTCTCTTTGACACGATGTCTTCTGCTGTAAATGGTCTTCTAGTGAACCTCCATCTCGAATCTGACCACCATTGCTTGACCTCCTGAACTTCCTTTTGGAACTGCGCGTCCTCTGCGTCAATGTTCGACATCGCGATCAGACTTTGCGTTGTTGGTAGATGATATATGAAGCTTGTGTCAATTACAAAGCGTTGGATTCCTTTGGTCCAGTGAGTAGGTAGGTATAAAGATGTAAGAAAGCACGAGGGAAACCTCTCTTTTGATAAATGACCAGCGATGACACAACACACTCTAGCCTCGGTCTACCGTGCCACAAACCTGGGGAGCCAAGCTTATAAGTGTAGCATCAGCATCTCCTACCATCAAGGTTAGCACAATCCCAGCTCTACCTCTTAGCCCAAGAGCTCGGGGACAACCGGCTGAGCGCACCATTGGCCCGACTGGAGCATCCGAGGAAGCTGGCAAGAAGATCTAGCGTGGCAGTCATGCTAGAGCGTTGTTTGAGTTGCCCTCGGCCCAAGGGGAATTGACGTTCTGAAAGCATGACTGGTGTAGATCGGGTGGGGATGGGACCAGCGGAACCGTGACGGGGATGACGTTTGCCAATTGCTTGGTGAGGATGCCATCTCGTTCCAGACACAGCTGCATCTTCATTATCAACCCCTCTCAAACCCCCATTTCGATGGACCTGAGACTCATTACACAACGGCACGCGACCGCCTGCAGCTTCACATGCTGATGTTTGTACTTTGCTTTCGTCTTTTGTGCATGTGAAGGCGCATGCTAAAACCTGGGGTCGCGTGTCGCTAGCGTCGCGCGGGTTTAACCTCGGTTGATCCTATCCGGAAAAGGCCAGAACCGCTATTGATCTGCAACTTTCACGGGCTGGCGTGTTCGCCGTTTAGAGGGCTTTTGCTCGGAAACACGTGAGAGTTGTCATTGTTGCGTCTGGGATATTTCGGATAAGCCTCGCTCGGCAGCGACGACGATCCCGGCAAATGGTTGTGACGACGTCGCATACCAATGGTCATTGCTGCCGTTACGGGTGATATATCAGTACTCTGACGATAACGATGATGGTTGAGATGAGATGGAAGATCTGCGTGCCTAACTATAACCCTTCAACGACTCGTACGCGTGGCATGAGTACACCAACAAGGCGCTCTTTACCAACCACCACAAATCCAACTGGCGTACTTCTAGTGCATCAGAGTATGCAGACCAATCCCTTCCTGTTACCATGTTTTCTAGGCATTTGGCTGAAAATAAGCCCGCCGACGACCCACTCCAGCTCTTCAGCTGTTGTGCAGCAGTATAGCACAACACAACCCTGATCACCAAATCCACCAGGCCGACTATTTCCGGAAATCCGAAACAAAACCGATGTGCTAGAAAAAGCTTCGTAACGGTCCTTCTGTACTCACAAGCGTACTGCTGCCCGAAGAAACCCCTGACGTACCTGTCCAACTCGGAAAATGGTCTGGCACGGATATCATCAACGTTCACTGCGGAGCTTTGCGGTGTTACCGAGTATGCAGGGTCAGCTGGCGGACATCTCAACTTTTTCAGCAACCACCACCTCAACTCGTCAAGACTATTCCTTCTCGTTGGCGGCGTGTCCTTCTCTTCGAGGCGCATCGCCGAGCGCTCTGGAAGCAGCAGAGGTAGAAGCTGCGGGCGACACATCCACAAAGTTCTATTCCGTTCGTCGGTGAAGACGCACTCACGGTCGATGGCCTCGGAAGTATACGTGTAGTGAATTAGCCGCGAGTAGAATGCTGGTGTAAGCACGCGGATCTCCATGTTCTTTCTGGGCCGAGTTCGACCGGGTACATGTGTCGGGCAAACCATATTGGTGGGAACGTTGGGAATCGAGGCTTGGAACGTGATGTTAAAATCTACTTCCGCTTCTTCTACGAGCCGATGCAGGTAGTTCCTGAACACTTTATAAAGTGTGCTTGGTCTGTCAGCCGCGTTCATTCATTAATGCCATCGTACTTACATCTCAGCGGATGTGGGTAGCCGGCCAACGCTCGACGTCAGGACTTCTGGTCGGAACCACACATGCAGTTTTCTCTTGAAGAAGATCTTGAAAGCTTCGCTGATAATGCGCGGGAACGTAACGAACCCTACCCACCACCAGCTTAGAATGAACCGCATAGTTCCGAAGAGGCCCAACTGGTCAGTATCGATAGCCTTTCCGGTGGAGTAAAGGCGTGCTACAAGCTTCCCATGATCCTTGGAAGACTTGAGTGTGATAGTATTATCGATCATAGGGTTCCTGTAATCAACACACGGAAAAGGGTTTTGTGCCTTCAACGCATACGAACCCTTTCTAGAGTTAAACGGCGAGACATGGAAGTCTTTCATCCAGACATCGGTAAACTTGGACTTCGCTTCGACAGGTACTTGCGATTCCTGGCCCTCCGAACCAGACGTCTGCTCAGAGTCTGATGTGCGTGGCGGGCTGGAAGGGCTTGATCCGTCAAGCAGGTACATGCGCCTTTCGCCGAACGTGTTGTTGACTTCAAGTATCATCTTCTTGAGCTCATGCTCGCGATCGTAGACATACCAGAACGAGACTGGGTTGAATGCGTAGCCGAAGAAGCGTGGTGCCGTCACCAAGTAGGCATATTCCCATTCGGAATCTTCGACATGTTGAGCTCTCAGGTACGTCCTCAGCTTCCAGTAGAAACCAAAAGCGCCACCGCCTCGCTCCAGATAGTCCTCCGCTCTGACACGTAGCCACCATCTACCCAAAGTTCGATCTTCTCCACTCGGAAACTCTATTCCGCTGTATTTCGTTCCGCTTGAGACGATGGGAAATCCACACTGGAGGTACGAGTATGCGAAGCCATGGCGTTTCGGGAAGATACGAGCATGCGTCGTCTGGCAAGGGAAGATCTTCGGCTTTGGTGTCTCTATTTGAGACCTCCACCGACTGATATCGAGCGGTGTTGCAGTTGTGTTCTTGCTACTAACGAAGGTACGCCATAGGAAGAATGCGAGTATAGTAAGCGGCAATGCGACACTGGAGACTGCGTATATGAGAGACGTCCTTTCGGCGCTACGAATCCAGCCCATCCATATGTTCCAACTCTTCGATGCTGTCGCAATCAAGTTCTCCCTTGCCAACCAAGCGTATAGGATTCCAGACACCGCGCAATCCGTTGTGAGCTGGCGATCTTCATGACGCCGTCTAACGGCATACCCTCCAATCCAGATCGCGAGCAGAGGCCACACTCGCCACCCATCGGCAACGGCACATGGTAGCAAGAGAGTCAAAGGCGCGCACTCAACAAGGGAAGCACCCAGACCGCGACGGCCACGTGCAATCTGCATTAATGAATGTTTCTGTTAGTATTTTCGTAACATTGAGGTGATTACAAAGGAATATTGTGGTGCGATAAATGTCAGATCGAAGGTGGTTTGACGCTAGACCATTCTCATGAAATGTATATGCAGGGTCAGAACGATACCCGCCGCGAGTATTTCCCCATCTGGCTAATGCCAATACGAGAGCCGCATCTTCCGGGATACCAAATGTGTAGACCGGTTGTGACCACCGTCGCTATTGTTTGTTTGGACGCCGACTTGCAAAGCTCGTGGAATAGAAAGGAGAGGAGGACGCCGAACCACTGATGGATGTGGGTCATGGTGCGTCATCAGGGTTAAGTGGGTCAGGAAGAACACCAACATGTGTCGACCGTCATCACTATACTTTTGTCCAACTGTATATTGCATGTTTCAAAATGCGCCAAAACGACCCCCATGGTCCTAGCAAGTCACTCTTTCCCGAGGTTATCCACCAAAGCACGAGAGAGACGGTTTATCTCGAGCGCGACGCGACGCGGACTGTGGACTACGCTAGGACTGTTCGAACAAGGACCGGATCCTGGACCGGCGCCATGATTTGGAATATCGTTTCACACACAAAAGCAACAAACATGTAGGGAGAACGTCAGCAGTCTCTCTGAAAGCTCTGAGGTTTGCGAAGATTCCGATACGAGAAGCTATTATAACTATGTCGCCCGCCAAGATACAACTCCAATGGCTAGCATGAAAGAAGGCCAGGTAACAGTCAACTACCCGTAAGACGTCCTTCAAGTGACAGCGTTGCCCACCATTCAAACCCTCTTCACGAACATAACTTCTGTCTCCTCTACACTCGTACACGTCGTACATATAAGACGCCAAGCTGAGTAAAGGACGTTGGCGGGCCGTGTAGTGTAGATGTTACAGAAGAAACACACCCAACCGTCACAACTGGGGTCAGCTCTACTCGTGTTTTGGACAGAGAAACAGGCGCCAGGCTGCATAGCGGCTCTTCCAGAAATATGCATTGTAGATGGGCAAGCTACATATCCACAACGGCACAAGGCTCCTGGTGTGGTGGGACTAGGTCTGTTGTAATGGGAGCAGAGGTGACAGATCCACCCGCGCTGTTTAGGATGTTTCGTACGGACATCTTTTACAGCATTGCGTACAACAGATGTTGCACGGTCTCTGGAACTGCTGGACAGCCCGAGGATTTCTTGCTCTGTATGCGGATTAGTTCGAGATGCTCTCCTTCACCAAGAACTGAATGGAGGAACTTACTAGTAGATGGCGGGTTCATGTTGCTCGTCTTAGATATGGTAGAGAATGAGGCGAGACGGGATTAGTTCCAGAAAGGATCAACCGACCGTATCTATAGACAAATATTGTGAACCCGAAACGTCATGATCACGCTCCAGATCTCCTTGGAAAGAGAGCAAATACATGTCAAGACATTCCTAGCATGATCTCTACTCTTCCACGTGCTTGTGGTCATGTCTTGCCAGGAACTCTGTGGCTCATACACGTGTATAAATACTGATAGTTCTTCCTAGTCCCGGACTGAGAACGTTACTCAAACTGACAAAAGGGAAGTACTAGCAGGCCACATGGATCTCATGAGAAGTAAGAATCTCGCCTGATAGCACCAGTTACTTACATGCTAACTATACGAAAGAAAAAGACATCCTAGCGCTCCCGGAGCTACCTGATCAACGGACTCAGATATCCGCCGTTAAGCAATCTGCAGCAACAGTCCAAGACGTGAGTCCCTCTTTCCATAACCCTGCTTCCTTTTTTATCAAGACGTAGCAGGGCACTAACACCTTGCAGTCCGCCACCCCCCTCCGTGGCTGGGTCTGCCACCTTTGCGCCCACTTCAACACCCCCGGTACCCTGGCCTCTCCCAATGGCCCATGTCAAACATGTAACACACCCGCCTGTGACGCAGAGTGCGCCGACGCAATTGTTACACCACGCGATAACCAGTACTGCTCAGGCTTCACTTGCTGGTATTGCAAGTACTTCTGGGTGTGGTCGGACTATGATGATGATGGTAAACCCATACAGGACGAAGTGCTATCGTGTGATGTGTGTGGAATTCTAGAAGAGGAAGAAGTTGTGTTTGTCAAAAGCTGGTTTGAGGAAACGAAGAAGCCGGAGCCAGAGCCGGGACAGGGGGAAGAACGACTGTTGGTCTGTGAAGAGACAAAGGATAAAAAGAGCGAGGAACGAGAAGTGGACGATGGTGAGGGCGAATTTACTATAGTCGATAGGAAGAGAGCTCGGCCAAAGAAGAAGGTTCAGAATGAGGGAGTTGATGATGGTGATACTGCTAGGTCTACTGAAGTTGGCCAGAAGAAGGCCAGGCAAAAGAAGAAGATACCGGATGATCTACTGGCAACTGAGGGCATTCCACGATATGCACTCAGAAGACCAGGTCGACCAACCAGGTAGATTGAAAGTCCAATATCAGATTTTTTGTTGGTTGACCAGGAAAATTTCCCATTTGGATGCTCAGTAAGCGTGTGGAATCCGTTCATATTTGCCGCGGTATGCAGCTCGATACACTAAGCCTCGCACGTTACAACCCAAATCGGGCAAATGGTAGTCGGGAGCATGCTTCCATCAGCGATGTAATTTTGAAGGGTAGAATCTCATATAAAGGTCTGGTAGCAGCCCCCAATGAGTCCGAATCACTTCGGCACATCAATATTACAGGATATCTGCTGCGACCTCAGTCGCAGTGATGAGACACTGTCTTTCAGTATTGTGCATTTTACGCAATTCCCTGAAACCGATACAGAACTCTGAGCGATGCGCAGCCCTCGGGAGCATGGAAGACGTACGGGAAGGCCGGAGATAGGAGTGTGTTGGTTTGTTGGGATAGACCGAGATCGAACATTTCGTGGGCCCACCAGAAGTATCCAGGGAGCGAGATCCATCCGGCACGATCTGTGAGGATCAGAAATATTGCTTAAACGCAGCGAGCGTTTAAGCGTGGTTGATGCGACACTGTTCACTCTACTATATCAGAGCGACACTACCGTGATCTATTGGAGACCTCCAACCCGATCGAATGCGATACTGTCCCATGTTTGCATATTCGCTATCCAAAGAGGAGGAATGCTGCAGATATTGATATACATCACTGGTGTACGTCACGGCATGCTATGTCGATGTCGATTTGCAAGATCAATCGCGATGTCGTTCGTAAAGAAGCGCGAAAAGAAAACCAGGTTGACGACGAACCGGAAAGAAGCATCGAAGGCTAGACGACGCAAGCATTTCAGATGATGGAAGAGAAAGAAATGCGTAAGGTCATAGGAGGACTGGAAGCCGTTCTGCCGAAGAGCGCCACAGATTCGGTGGAGATTGAGCGCACTACGAAGCAGGAGCAAAAATAGAAGTTGGGAAGTACGGATCAGGCGGCCCACTGTCGTGTATGTCTATCAAGCAAACACGACCTGCAGAACGAACAGAGTCGCTGCATGACAAAGCTGCCTGTGCAGAATAAGCCAGAGAGCCACCGAGGTGTAAGACAAGGTATCAAGAACATTATGGCCACGGCCCACTCCACGGGTGAAGACGAAGACCATACCGCTTACGACCTATTCATGCGTTCGTACAACCGTCAGCAACGATGCACGCAATTTAAGGAAGGATATGTTTCAGACGATCCTGGGTGGTGTATGTCCTCTCATTGGAGGTAAGCGCCCAACCATTTAATCGAGATGCGGATATTATTTGGAAGCATCATATTTCAGACGCGTGGCGTTGATCAGAAGGCTCTAGCTTCAGTGGAACCTTTTCTGGCTCCGAGAGATATTGGTCAGCAGACAATGATGATAGTCATTATACTGTTGGTCTCGGACAACCCGTCAGCCTGGAAAGCTGTACGACGAGCTCGGACGGGAGTGGCGACTAGTAGCCAAGTATCCTCCTGTTGAACAGTCATCAAGGAATGAGTTTTGAGTCCATCTACAAGCTCACCCCACTCGCGTTCGCCACCCGGAACGGCACAGGTATTCAGTTGAGCGGCAGGTTGTGGTATCATTCGCGGAATCTGTTGATAGCTGTGATGTCGGGCGTATGCAAGATGTAATCCAACTGCAGGTCGGCTAACGAAGCACAGTGTGTCAGAATACTGTGAACCCCTGTCTCCGGGGTGGAGTTACACCTAAGCCGTCTAGCCGACAGATCTGACATAAGCAGACATCTTGTAGAGTCGGGCAGCCATGCCGGGCAACATGCGTAGACGATGGTTGTATTTACCTGGCGCGTATATTGTGGCTGCTTAAGCAAGTCTCCCGTCAGAGACACGGCAATGGAATGGAGGATCGATCCGGGAAAGCTCGGGAAGGTATTGCGCGAGACTTGATTGGATTTCCGTTGGGTCGAGCCATGTTGACGTCGATCATCGTGGTCACCATGTCGGTAAACCTACCAGATGCTGAGTGTACACTTGTAGTGTGGTGTGTCATATCATGCTGTCGGTGGGCGCATGTAGGTGATCTCGAATGCTGATCGTATTGAATTCTACTCAAGGCGTTCCATGGGTATCTGGAATTTATGCGTGATCTTGGTCATGTTGTTGAATACGGGAAATCGGATATGTTAGTATGTCGTCCAAATGCAAACTGGCATGCTGCCTGCAGTCATTGACGTCTGTCGTCATTTATGTAGCTGCGTTCGGAACCGAGCCACCTGGAGTTGTATCATCCATCTTTGGCGGATTGGTATCGATTTGAATAGTGACCTAGTCGTGCTTGTTAGCACGTGTAGGCGGCTGCGGCACATACTCGGGGTATGTAGTGCTCAAGTTGCACTTGGCTGTCCAGAGAGGTGTGATCTCAACGTACCGGCCCATCATTGACTAAAGCAACGTCCATCATAGCAGCGAAAACGCCGTCTTTGACCTTGTCAGGCTCATATAGGGCTCCCACCTTCCTGTAGAAGGTTTGGTATAATGTCTTGGCTTCCTCGCCACTTGCGGATTGGTGGAAGGAAGGTTTATTTCCTTTATTCATTGAGGCCAACAGGGTGAATTGGGAAACTGAGATTTCTTAGCATACCCTTTTTCGTAGCAAGATCACTAGTATTGGCGCCACCATGGCAAACTAGAAGAGTCTCGGCGTTTCAACATACCACACAAAACTTCGCCGTGGATGTCGGCCACGCTGCATTTCCACTTGACAAATCAGTCTCAAATCAAAAGAGGCAAGTCTGGCATCATACACGGCCTTCCGGGCCTTTGGATTCATCGTCCCAGAGCTTGGCCTTTAGTATCTTGCTAGCCATGGCCTCGACATCCTTCTCAGTGTCGTGTTTGGAGACGGCAGCAAGGACCAGCAATCCCTTGCCGATGGAGGAGACCAGTTGGCCATCGACTGTGACGGATGCCGACTTGACCCTCTGCAGCACGGCTAGACAGTGTTAGTATGGTCGTGGTTACGAGTGCATAGTGGCGGGGTTGGTACTCCTCATGATGGCGGGGTAGCAACAAAGCTGTGTGAGGAAGATGGTGGTGCCCCTCGTTGCGCGATAGCCTCAGGGTGATATGTCGAGACGCGTAACGACGTCACACATGGGAATTCAGACATGCAATAGTTGTGAGACGAGGCTGAGAAGACGTGGAACGCGTAGGTGAAACAGCGACGCGTGGGGCGATTGGTGGCTAGTGGCCGCACTCTTGGCAATTACGCTAGGCCAGCCCTGTGGCTTCGCGTTACCTATGCGATACCTCAACCTCCGCACTGAGCCCACGACAAACAATCCGACACTATTGCCGTCGAACGCCTTCATTCGCGCGATTCGACTGTCACACGGCGGCTAGCACCGGCACCGACGCAAACATTGCCGTAACCCTCGCGAAAGCCCTCAGGACGAGGCTCCACCACCGCCATGGCCGCACGGAAACTCCAGCAGGAGATTGACAAATGCTTCAAGAAAGTCGCAGAAGGCGTCGCGACGTTTGAGAACATATACGAGAAGATAATGCAAACGGGCAATCCCTCGCAGAAGGAGAAGCTCGAAGACCAGCTGAAGAAGGAGATCAAGAAGCTGCAGCGGTCGCGGGACCAGATTAAGACGTGGGCCGCCATGTCCGAGATCAAGGACAAGAAGCCGCTGCTGGACCACCGGAAGCTCATCGAGACAGTAGGGTGCCCGCCGTGGCCTGGCATGATGGGATGCTGACATGTGACAGCAAATGGAGCGCTTCAAGGCCGTCGAAAAGGAGATGAAGACGAAAGCATACTCCAAAGAGGGGCTGCAATTAGCGTCCAAGATCGACCCCAAGGACAAGGAGAAGATGGAGATGGTTGAGTTCCTGCAGCAAATGAACGAGGAGCTGGAGCGGCAAATAGAGACCATCGAGGCCGAAATCGAGACGCTGCATGCCAACGTAAAGAAGACGAAGAAGGGAGACAACTCCAAGGCGGAGCGGATAGCAGAGCTGGAAGAGTCGGTCGAGCGAAATAAGTGGCATCAGTCCAAGCTGGATCTGCTGCATCGAGCGCTCGAGAACGGCAACGTCGAGACAGAGCAGGTCAAGGGGATCGAAGACGGCATCAAGTACTACGTGGAAAGCAACCAGGACCCTGACTTTGCCGACGACGACACAATGTACGACGACTTCAACCTGCAAGAGGAGGAGGCCATCTTCGGCTTGGGCGAAGGCCTCGACCAGGTCTCATCGCACGAATCGCAGTCGGTAGCAGATAATGACGAGTCGGACATACGACCACCAGCGCCAAAGCCAAAAGCGACAGAAGCTGTGCAACAAGCAGCGAGACGGCCCTCGACACAGATGAAGTCGCCATTACCAGCACTAGCAACGCTGCACACGCCCTTGCCTGGTGCCTCAAATACCACGGGCAACGCCATGAAGCCCGCGCCGATACCCACACGGACGACGGGTGAGCCTTTGAAGTACGCCTCGGCCGCCGCCGCTGCAGCTGCGAGTGATAAAAATGGAGTGGGCATTGCCCCTTTGCCACCACCACCGGGAGCTGCCGCGGCACAGTCAGGCCTTGCTCCTGGCGCACGCGCAAGTGCTACGAGTTCCCCAGCCATAACACATTCCCAACCAGCCGCACGCACACAGCCAGCCGAATCCGCACAAGCATCGCCAGCTCCTGCGGCAAGTATACCCGCTACGCCTGCTGTCGAGAAGGAGACGCTTTCGCGCGCTGCTTCGTCGGAAGATGCTTCAAAGTCCAGCAGAAGAACACCGGCTCCTGAACCTGTAGAAGAAGAAGAGTCCTCGGCTGCTACTCCGCCGTTAACAAATGGTGAATCCCATGCTGAAGACGACGAGGAAGAGTCAGTATATCACCTTCCTTCAAGCTTACAGGATCTCCTGGATTCCTTCGAAGCGACTAAGAATGACATATCCGCCTCTGCAACAAAACCTCCTGATGAGCGCATGCTAGCAGCATCCATGGCTACCGCGCCGGACTCTGCCGACACTGAGGCGCCCCGCCACTACCGTCCCCAGAATCCCTATCCGTTTACGCCCGCGCACTACCCGCAAGAGCCGTTACCAATCTTCGATGATCCTCGCCTATACTCCCGGATCGAGACCGACGCTCTCTTCTATGCCTTCTACTATCGCCAAGGTACATACCAGCAGTATCTGGCAGCGAAAGCACTCAAGTCGCAAAGCTGGAGATTCCACAAGCAGTATCAAACATGGTTCCAACGACACGAAGAGCCAAAGGCGATAACAGAAGACTACGAGCAGGGGACGTATAGATTCTTCGACTACGAGTCGACATGGTAAGTACCTAATTCCGTCCACCAGCCTCACGTAGGGCTGTCGTATGACAAAGTCGCGCCACGCGGTGCTATTTCTGCACGTCATACAGAGCTAACCTTATTTCAGGATGAATCGAAGGAAAGCAGACTTCCGATTTGCCTACAAGTTCTTGGAAGATGAGCTATGAGCCGTAGGTTACTTTCTTCTTACCGACCCGCATGCTCGGCTTGGTAGTCGCGTTCTGTATCAAGTATTAGGTAGTCTTGGAATGGGTCCCATCTCGGGCGATATCTGTTTGCTCTTCGGATCCGAAACCTTCTCCTGTCCAGGCTCCGCTGCATACTGACCTTCACCCACAAACATCAGATCGACCATGGGTAGAACCATCTATGGTGAGACATCATGCATGGATCAAATGGAACTTATTGAGGCTCACCTGCCAAGCGCAGCCCCAGCCCGCTACAATTTGACCTGCCAGGGGTGTCGTAGCGGTCTGAGCGCCGGGCGTAATCTGACATGATGTGGCTAACAGCTGCGGAATGTGCTCAATTGGTCGGCATTGGGTTACGCTGGATTTCGCCCCCAATCGCGTGGAGACTACAGGGCTGCAGGGGGAGGCTGGTCGCTCTCCACTGGCCGCCTTAGCGAGAATCCTTCCGTAACGTTCAAGCTTCCATTACGCCCCGTTACGCCCGGCAGCACTAAGTTGTGCATGAATTTGAGTCGAGCGGTTACAGCGTCAATCATTTTACGCCATTCATGAGCCGGTCAAACTCCACCAGGTTGCGGGTTAATTGACCCACTTACAACGAGCAGCAGGAATGAACGAAGAAAGGACACAAATGGGCGTTTGATGACAGCTAATCCGCTCCGGGACGAGCGGTCAAGCCAAGTTCGAATTCGATCGCATTAGAAGCTTCATCAGGATGGCGCTTGTTCCCGCAATCAGGCTGTCATCTCAAGTGTATTGAGCGTTCCTGTACCAAGACGTGATCAAGAGCCAACCAGAGAAGTGTAAAGCATCTCGAAACTCCCAGGCCGGTCCCCAGGCTCCAGCCCATATCATGCAGCTAGACAGGGGTTGAATCCTTCATCGTGGAACGAAAGTACGGGAGCAAGACACGCATGCACCAACAGTCACACAGCGGCCCATCCACCTACCCGCTTATGTGTTAATCGGTGAACTATGCCCATCATGAATCCCGGCACACAAAGATCAGAATACCAACCTGTCTGCATCGGACTATTCTAGCTCTCTGCCTTGCCAAGCAATGACAACGACAAATGAAATAGTTGCTACAGTTCAATTAAAGTTGGATCGGGGTCTAGGGCAGTCGCCCTGCATCGCCATAAGACAGCGGAGACGACACAGATCTACTATTGTCTTCCGTTGTGCTTCCTGCTTCTTCACTTAGATCATTATTTCACCGCCCCGATCTATCCACCACATACCGCAAGATTAGGCCTTTTGATTCAGCTCCTACTTGATTTTCCGGTGTCGGCACGGGCACTAGTCGTTGTCAGCCCTATACCGATAGTCGTGTGGGGTACCACTACACTGGTATCGACTTCGCCTCGCCATCCTACAAATCCACCTCAGCAACCTTGGACTTCTATATTCAAACATTTGGCCTCTGGCGTAGCGTCACTTACACAAAGGAGATCAAATCTCACGAAAGATACGATCGCCACACACATCCGGCCGAGTCCGCAACCTGATTTGCTTTCTCGCCTTACCACACTTCTACTTTTGTTCGTCATCACCATGTTGGTGCACTACGGTTCGCATGGAGATGCCTTTGGGCGCCCTGATGGCTCATTTCCTCCGAAGTACCTGTGAGTCTATGCAGTCCCGTTCATAGCATAAGCCGCGGGGTGGCAGTGATCGGTCTCCGTTCAAGAGCAGGAAAAGGGTTATCGCACTTATCTTGATATAAGACTCATGACCATTCCACGATAGTAGAAGCATCAAAATCATCAATAGCATCTAACCAAGGCTTCATAGGTCTCTTGAGCAGGTCCAACTACGGCCTCGAAGACACTCTTCAGTAACTAGCACGAGGAGATCATCCAGACCACAGAAGCTACGCATCATCACTTCGCCCGTGGCGCCCGCCTATCGCCCTTCTAGTGCTACCACCCGTACCAAGAAAACAAAGTCGATACGTCCAAAGCAGGAACAACCGCCTTCGCCCGCCATGTCCGGATACAGCGTAAGTGCCACTCCAATCTTTACAGCAATCTTCGATGTTGACTTATACAATCAGTACTCCTCGTCCGACCAAGGTAACTACAGCTACCAAGCCTCTTATCCACACTCAGGAGTGCCACAATATACTCAATCTCAAATCAATGCCTATTACGCACAGTATCAACAATATCCACCTCAACCATACCAAATTATCCCAGACTATTATACCCAACCGGTAACTGTTACACATACTGCTGGATATCAACAACCAGTAGCCAGTGGGTATGATGTTGGAAGTTGGCAAAGTCACGGCGACGATCTAGGAATGAACACATCGCAAGGCCCAACTAGGTAAGCACTTTCCCACCCAAATTTCATACTATCATGCTAATATCAAAGCAGAAGTAGTAGCCGCACAAAGTAAAGTTCCTCCATCCGCTTGCGCGTTCATCAGCTAATCATGCTCCCAACTTACAGAACATGGACCTGCGATATCCCCGGCTGCTCCTCCTCAGCAAACTTCACCCGTCTCGCGGACCTTCAGCGCCACCAATCCACTGTCCACGGTGTCGGGACTCCAGAATACCCGTGCAACGTGCCCCGCTGTAATCGCGTCGGTGACAAAGGTTTCACGCGAAGAGACCATTTAGTCGAGCATCTACGCAACTTCCATCACATCGACATTCCCAAGCGGAGGCCAGGGGAGAGAAGCGCATTTCCGTTTGGGTGGCCAGAAGGCGCGGGAGGTTCTCATCAGTGAGTCCATCCTTCAAAGACGGAGGAAAACAAAAGGGGGAGATGAGGAAGAGGAGGGCTGATTGGGTGTGCATAGGGATGACAGGGGTAGTACTGGAATTACAGGAGGGGGCGAAGAGACGATGGGGCATGCTACGGGTAGTGCTCAGCGTGTACGAATGCTTGGAGAGGTCGAGGGTGGGACTGTACGAGCATTGCCACAACGACCAACAACAGCAGCGATATCAACAAGAAGCCGTTACGCCGGCATCACACGAGCCAGGATCGCCAAATCACCGTCAAGAAGAGGAGGCAGAGCCGGTGGACGCAGCAGGGGTGGCAGTTCAAGTGCAGGCATCAGTCGTTTAAGCGCTTCGTCATTACCGGCATTATCTCTATCAACATCCGCATCAACGTCGTTATCATGGTGGAACGTTCATCAAGAACAAGAATTGCATTCTTCATCAATTCAATTACAGAATGACACGCCACAACCGCAACGGCACCTCACCAGCGCGGAACTTGCCGCACAAGATATGCTGCTTGGACTTGAAACAGGCACCGGAGACTTATTTGGTGCACCAACCCCTGGACCGGAGACTTATCCTGAGCGGTAAAGGTAACATTAGACGAAGGGCAGGGTCTCGCTCGAGGTGGTTGCGGTTCGCGTAATTTCCCTATTCTCTCGTTCATCACATTGTTTTGTGATTTCTTTGATCTTTTGCATAGCATCGCGTGGTCAAGGCGGGGTATAGATCATGATCGGGCTAGCATGGCGGGCCTCGAGGGCGTTTTGGGAGTTCTCCTTGGTTTTTTACTTGCACTTTGTCCATTCGCTTTACAGTAGTACAATATCGAAACTAGTTCATGTATACGACGTGGTTGCAAATCGGACCGTAGTGCGCAAGGTACATTCTATACGAACAGACCAATTGCAATTGCGCATGAATGGAATCCGATATTCATCCGTTTAGGCAGGCACTCCACTCGCTACTTTGGTCGCGCATCAGATGCCTGAACAAAACTAGTTCGGTGGAGCTTGCCTATCGACATCGTGAGGGTCTCAGCAACGTTTGTAGGATCAACATCCTTGTTGACTCTGGTGATCGCTTTCGCGTAATTCGGAGGAACTGGATCCCGTTGATACCTACTCGCTATGGTGTTATATGCCGAGTAGAGATGTGTTGGTGACCGTGCCGCATAAGCCTCGCTTCACAGTCCTCCCCACAACAAGACAATGCGACATTGCGCACATGTGAGCTTTATCAAGCTGCCCGGTGCGGAGTGAATCTGGTAAGGCGTTTGTAAGCCAACAGAGGAGATCACATCAATGATGTGCAGGCTATCCGAGGTAGGCATTGCATTGCTGGTATGTTGACACTGTGCCGCCTAGGCGCATGTTTCTTACTCACTCCACGTTGCGGCGTGTGCCTCTGGTCGCCTTTTACCATGGTGTCGGTGCCGAGTCTGGTCGGTTGGCTGGAGGGCGACGAGGAGCTGGGTCGCAAGAGGTAACCCATTCGTTGGCGGTGCCCTGGAGTTGGAACATGGGGCTGGACATGGAGTTGGACATGGAGTTGGACATGGGTGCGGCACCAACATTGCCGCTGTCACGGATAAGCCGACGACCAGTGGAAGCGAGATGCCTATACTCGGGTCCAGAATACATGTATACACTTATGCGCGCAAGACACCGAACTTGTGATAAGGTTCTGTGCCGTATGTACTCATCGACGAAGCCCTGCGTCTTGAAACCCCGTGCATGGCCTGCCACATATAGACTAGAACCGAGGCTGAGGTTGAGGTCCAGCAATAGGCCGATTCGCGGGAAACGATCCGCTGGCACACTAAGCTCCACGTGGTTGTGCCACTTTCAAAATGCGTGCATTGCATGGAGCATCTGGCCTCGTGATCCTTTCATCTATTCATATCCATCTAGATCCTGCAGTGCGGCGAACGGTCGCGGTGCACGAACGTTGTCTGCGCCGTAGCTATTTCGAACGCTGAGCGGATACTCGACCGTCGGGCCGCCATAGTTGAGCCGCATGAGCCTCAAAGATGTCTCGGAAGGCCTGAAGGGCCATTGAGGAATGTCTCGCTAAGGTAGGGCTGATGGAGGGGCTTGAAGAGCAGCCACAAGAGCCAGCAGCTGAACTTCCAGCTGAACTCCCATCTGCGTTGCCTTCTCACGGATCAGTTCATTGACGACTTTGCGCGGTTCCGCACGTGTAATTAGTTTTACCGACGCGAGGACTACCGTGCCTTGGCAGCTGCTGTACCTATCCATCCCAAGAGAAGGTAGGCGTACATACGACCAATCAGCGACAGGGCCATCTGGCTTACACTTGACGGATGATAGGTAGGTACTGTGCAGCTGGCGCGTTCGATAGGGAACGATGTGCTTCTGTACACTACGGCGGTAGGAAAAGGTACGAAGATAATGATTATGTGATTGCTCGAGCAAGGCAAACTGCAATGACGTAGGTCATGGTTTAGCGCACTTTGGGCAGCCACCGAGTCGGAAAGAGTCGTATGGATGAACATCTGACACCTGAACGTCGCCTCCTGCACACCCTTGGTACCAACGTCGTCCTACTTTTGCAACCTGTAGTTTGGTTGCCTTCTCCTCTGACTCATACTCATGTCTTTCAAACCTCACCTGTGTTATTTCACACCTGATTTTACAGACTCTTTGCCGTTGCAATAACTGCGTTTTCACCCTGCGTTCCCCGCAATCTACTGCCAGCACGACTGCATTCCCCGCGGGCTCGAACAACAAAAATACGCCAAACTTGCCTCTCAGCAAGCACAAACCACCCACAATCTACAAATCACGATGCGCGATCTCCGGAAACAGGCTCTTGAGAGCCACAAGACCATGTCGCGCAAAGCCCGTTCGCGCGTCGCATCTACAACTGCCTCGAAGACAACTTCAGCAGTTGGATCGCCAGCACAGTCACGCGCCGCCAGTCGCGTCCGACATGAACATGACTCGGAGGATGAGGACGACTTCAGCGACGGAACTGCCTGGAGGTGAGTTTGACCGCGTCCATGACTTTTTATTTTTCCCCACATCGCGATCGCACCGGTGACATCATCGCTTCGCGACTTTGGTATATGAACACACTAACATATACAACAGCACAGCATCCATCGACGATGTCCTCAACGGTGAGGACGTGAACATACCTGAAGACGCGTGGAAGTCTGAGCTCAACACGCGCATCGAGCAAATCACCAACCTCAAGCGCAGCAGCACCGAAGGCCGCACCGAAAGCCTAAAAGCATATGCCCACATCCTCAAGGCCCGCTATGCAAGGGACGAGGTCGAGGGGCATGTAGCGGAACTGGTGTCGTCGATGATTAAGAGCATCAGGCAGGAAACCACAGAGGCCGAGGTCGTTGAAGCCCTCAAAGGTATGAGACACGCGCCACAGCAAGTAGACTTTACTAACGGTCGCCAGCACTGGCTGTCACCGCCGTGACTCTTGACTCCGATAGCATCTACGATGACGTGGCCGACCAACTCAAGCGCTCGATACAGTCTTCTTCTTCCATTGCCATCAAAGTCAATGCGATCCACACCCTTGGCACAACTGCCTTCTTCGCCGGCGCCGGCGACGGTGAGATTTTGGACATCATGAACCTGTTCATCGAGATTGTCGAATCGGACGGCGCATCCATCGATGCACAAGACGAGGGGAACGTTGTGATTGCCGCGTTAGAAGAATGGGGTCTCCTAGCGACCGAGATCGAAGACCTAGAAGAGGAAACAGAGGCTGCAATGGAAGCTTTCGTCGAGCAGCTTGAGAGCGCTGACTCTGGTGTTCAGATCGCAGCAGGCGAGAACATTGCACTCCTCTACGAAAAGTCCCTTACCCCACAAGAAGAAGATGAGGACGCACCAGAAGACGAAGACTCTGACGACCCAGAGCACGTTCGGAATGGCGAGCGATTAGTGAAACGCTATACTGTCTACCGAAGACAAGACCAGCTTCTACATACGCTCGACGAACTCGCCAACGTCTCCACGCGCCGTATCTCCAAGAAGGACCGCAAGGCACTACACTCGTCCTTTGCAGATATCCGCAACACTGTCGAGAAGCCTAGTCGCGGTCCTGCTTACTCCACGGCTCTACATGAGGAGACTGGCAAGGCCTATGGAGCGGGCAGAATGAAGGTCAAGATCAACAAGAACGTGGAGGTCCGGATCGACAAGTGGTGGAAGCTGCAGAGGCTAAACGCCCTGCGACGGACGCTGCAGGGTGGTTTCACTTACCACTACGATCAGAATGAGATGGTCTCGACGGCTCTTCCGTTCTCTATGTCTGCAAGGCGGTAATGCGGTTAGTCGGGGTAAATCTTCTCAGTGTTAATGTTGATTCCACAAGTGACTTCCGTTATTGTGCGCGTGGATGGCGTTGTTGGAGCTATTGTTTCGTACTACAGCGAGAGATTGGTGAGGGAAAGAGGTAGACTGGAGCCTGAAGATCCGGGTACGAAGAAGCTCGTTTTATAGAGTTCATCCAGTATTCAAGTCAATCCCAAAGGTATACGCTATACTTTACGCCAGCATAGTAACAAAAAATAATGTGTACCTTGTAGGGTGCAGCATGACTGTTGTAGAACTTGACAAGAATAAGCCTCTCCGGATAGCAAAACGCATTTTGCATCCGTGACATTACTTGCTCGTTTGGGTAATCTTTGCGAATTTAATGTCGAGGCTTGCCATATAGCCTTCGGAAGGTACGGCCACAATGGAGTCCGGGCATTGCCCCGCGTTGCCCCTCATCGCGAGCATCGCGTCAATGTTTACAAGATGCAACAAGATTCAGAGAAAGGATATGAGGAGTGGCTGCGCACTGCAATTAAATAGTAAGAAACTAGCTGTCATTGGAAATTTAGAAACTGCAACCAACCGGATTTCGGCTCTCCGAAACGTCGTATCGGTGTGTAAATGCGGGCTTGGCGCGGCATGAAGGTGTAGCTGTAGCTTCGTAGAAAGTTCTGGACAGCTTACCACCACCGTGCTTTTCTTCAGTCTTGCACATAAATTCCAACACTTTCAACTCTGTCAATTGCCCCAGTGCCATTCCCCTCGTTCATACTGTTTCGAATTCCTCACATACAACCAAAGCGATTCAGCGACCATGGCTGACACTAGTAAGTAACTTTCATATGAAGCTCACTTCTGAGCTTTGGTGACCCAGAGAAAATTGGAAAGTGTGCTGACAATATCCAGAGCGCCCTCGCGTCTTCTTCGACATCGCCATTGGCGGCGTCAAGGCTGGCCGCGTTGCCTTTGAGCTCGTACGTCGCCCAACTTGTCACGCAAACCCGCGCAATCTAACCAGTTTGAACACACCATTAACAATGTACACAGTACAGAGATATCGTCCCCAAGACCGCAGAAAATTTCCGCGCACTATGCACCGGCGAGAAAGGTGAAGGCGCATCTGGAAAGCCTCTCCACTACAAGAACTCGAGTTTCCACCGCGTCATCAAGGGCTTCATGATCCAAGGCGGTGATTTCACGCAGGGCAACGGCACAGGCGGAGAAAGCATATATGGCGAAAAGTTCGAGGATGAGAACTTTGAAAAAGTGCACGACAAGCCGTTCCTGCTGAGCATGGCCAACGCCGGTCCAGGAACCAACGGCTCCCAATTCTTCGTCACCACAGTGCCTACGCCGCATCTCGACAAGAAGCACGTTGTCTTTGGAGAGGTCATCAACGGCAAGAGCATCGTCCGTCAGATTGAGAACCTCAAGACACAGAGCGGCGACAAGCCTTGGCAGGACGCTACCATCATCGACTGCGGTGAGCTTTCTGGTGAAGACTACGACAAAGCCACCGAAAAGATCTCCGACGCAACCGGCGACCCCTATGAGGACTTCCCCGAAGACCAGAAAGCGAACGCAGACGACGAATGGAAAGGCGAGGAGATACTCGAAATCGCTACAAAGCTAAAGGACATGGGCAACGACGCCTTCAAAAAGGGTGATCTCAAACTCGGCATCACAAAATACCAAAAGGGTATCCGCTACCTCCACGAATACCCCGCCCCTCTCGACGACGACCCGGCAGATCTCTGGCCTAAACTCCAGGCACTGAAGATCTCGCTATACAGCAACTCTGCGCTTCTTCAGAACAAATCGGGCCAGTTTGGGGATGCGGCGGAGAATGCAACAAAGGCGCTGGATATCGAGGGCATTACGGACAAAGACAAGGCCAAGGCGTACTTCAGGCGGGCACAGGCCAAGGCGGGCAAGAAGAACGAGGATGAGGCGCTGGCGGACTTGCACGAGGCGGCCAAGTATGCGCCGGGCGATGCGGCCATTGTCAAGGAGTTGGATGTAGTGAAGAAGAGGGTGCAAGCGAGGAAGGAGAAGGAGAAGAAGGCTTACAAGAACGCTTTCAACTTTGACTAGGTGGTTGATTATGCGTGGGGGAAGTTGCTTCGGCCAAGTTCAAAGTATGGACGTTGCGCTCGAGGGTGTAAGGAAATGGGGTGGGTTCAGTAGTAGAGAGAGAAAAACACATGACAGATACCAGTATACCTACCTACTCATCTATGACTATAATATCATTAAAAAAACACTTTATACAAACCTTTAGTCATTGCGTACAGAGTATAGTTTAGTGTTAAGCGATCAACATTGATATCTATGCGTAAACAAAACTGCAAATGCTATATACAAAAAAAAGTTCAAAAACAACAACGACCACAACAAAAAAGGACTATCAAGCAAACGTTCCCCCCCGTTTTGCCTGAAGAAAGGAATCAAACCGGTCATCGCTCTAACGCGCCATAACAAGAAAGAAGAAAAAAAAAAGAACACATCAAATCGTGCATCAAAACCAGCCACCGTGTATGCAAGCTTTGCCGACTTCTAGCCACCAAGAAAAATGGCTACACGTGTAGTAGGAACAAGCTTTTCAACATCCAGCTTTTGAGTAACCAAGCTTTTTTGAATTGCCTGTCCGAAAAAGAGAAACAAAAGTCCATCCCTAGCAGAATGTAATGACATTCGTCACGTCGGACTTGCCTTGTCCAAAAGCTCCCCTGCACTCTTCCTCCTCTTGATCTCCCTCTTAGCCAGCGTCCTCGGACTATCACCTCCAGTAAACCAGCCATGTAGTCAGAACTCGGAGTCATCGCGATGATTGTCACGTTCCTCTCCGCCTCCTCTATCGCGGTCACGGCCTTTTCCTCGTACGCTACCAAAGTCAACATAGCCTTCTCGGCCCAAGGCGCTGGCCCCACGTTCGGTGCTGCGTTCCCGTTCTCTGTCACGATCCTTGTCTTTGCCTTTGTCTTTGCGGTTCTCTTTGTCCTCTTTCTTGTCTTTCTTGTCCTCTTTATCCTTGTCTTTGTCTTTACGCTTGCCTTTTCGCTGGAAGGGGAGGACGCCTCGGAAGCCGCGTTCCTTCTTCTCTTTCGTTGCCTTTTCGGAGAAGGCAGGGAGCGCGGTTGTATATTCCTCTTCTGCGATACTGCCATTTTCGCTGCCCTCCATACTCTGACCGCCTGCTGAGCGAGGTGGTCTTCCGACGAGGGAATTCGTGGATACAGTGGCAGGTCGCTGTTGTTGGTTGATGTGGGCATTGGGGTTACTGTAGTTGAAGGACTGGGTTGATGTGGATGTAGAGATCGTGGTCGTTGTTGTCGTAGTCAAGGCTTGTGGATAGGAGGGCGCGGGAGCCATGTGAATACCGTCGCTGGATCCTGGAGGCGTATCTTCGTTTGCCGATGCCGATGCGCTTGCGGATGCAGATGCGGACTGTGAGACATTCACCGAATCGTTTCCTGTTGGTGTGTATTGACCCGACCATTGCTTCTTGGCGAATGGATTCGTGTAAGATATTGTGGCCGAACTGTTGCTCTTTAAAGAGCTTTGAGAAGCTGAGATACTCGAGTTTTGCTGATGTCGTGTCCGTGGTGGCGGTTGCATTGTTATGGGTGTGCTGGTAGACGAGGAGGAATAGTCGACATCACCATTGTTTGGAGACAATGGGGAATCCTCGATCTCTTCTTCCTGTATTGGCCCACGATTCCTCGTTGCTGCACCCCTAGACGTGTCGATCTGCGCACCTTGTAGCTGCTCGACTAGCTCCTCCCACTTGACACTGAGTGACGATGACGGCCGTTCAGCGGGTTCGGCGCGATTCAGGCAGTCCTTGGTGCGCTCGTTGAGAGACAAGCAGATGTTGTGGAAACGAAGGAGATCACCGTCAGTAGCCTGAATGTCAGGCGCGCTTTTCTGGGTGTTGTCTAACCAGAGGTTGACGAGCATTGCAAAATTGCGCGAATGGTCGATGAGGTAAGGAAGTGACGGGAATCCCTCTTTGAATGTCGGAGGCAGTCGGTGGAGAATGGCGATCGGGGTACTGTATGAGGGTGGTATCGGCGGTGCGGGTTGCGACGTTGTCGATATCGAGCAGATGTCGTCCAGATACTTCTTGAACTCTTGCCGATGTGAAGTGAGGAAGGTGTTCATAGGCTCCATCCATGCTTCTTTGGTACCGAACGAAGACATGTTTGCCAAACCTTGTAGAGACTTTGCAATGAGAGTGAAGGTTCTTCGAGCTTTGACCTTGGGGTGATCTGGATGGACTGTTAGCATTGAAGCGTGTTATAGACAAGGATTGCGCACCTTTCAAAAGGCCGAAGAGTTTCGGGTTCAACACCGCTGGGACGAAGAAACGCAAGAACAGGAACCCAGAGACACTGCTGTACTGCACCGTCCGTAAGTAGTCTCCGTACCGATCGTCGGCACACGCTCTAATGTGTCTGAAGATCAACCTCAGTTCTTGCGGGCACCGTGACACGGAGTTGTATATGGCTCGCCAGACTTCCTCGGTGCAGTTGATCAACCGCCTCCAGTTCCGCTCCATTTCGTGGGGTGAGGTCACCTTGTTCGGGTCGACCTCACAATCAGGATCCTTGGTATTGATCTCTCTCAGTTTCTCGCTCAGCGTTTCCTCTAGGTATTCTTTGCCAAGACGCCTCATGTGCAGGTCCAAGGACTTGGTAAGCAAAGTGTTGCCGCGGAAGAGTAGGTTGGCCTCTAGCTTGGCATTGTTGCCCATGTCTCGAACGAAGAGCTCACGATCGCTTGCAGAACCAAATTGGTTGGCCAAGGAGGACTCGTTGGATTCACTTGATCCCAGTCTCTTGCTGAATCGCAAGCGGCTAGCAGGTGACTCTTTCAATGTGCCATCGATCTCTTCCTCAACAAGCGCGCATATCCACTCGCCAGCGGCTCCAGACACCTGGAAGATGTTCAGTAGGTATTCAGACAATCTCCTAAGCTCATTCGGGATCATCTGGGCAATCTGGAGTGTTATGCCGTTGGAAAACCGGTGCAGAAGCTCGGAAAGTGGGTAGTAGTCACGAGCCATGAGGATCGCACACTCCTCGCTGCTGACTTTGACCAATACCTCACCGACGCTATTTCCATACATGTTGATGAGCGGCCACCACTTTTCCATCTCTTGGTTCGGGCCGAGGTCGTCCAGGTAGATATCCGTCTTTCCTATGGTCTGATCGAAGGAGATACCGGCGTATCCGCCCTCGGAGACATATGGATCGGAGGCGGTTGCCTCAAACCCGCTCTTTTCTGTACGGTTGTAGCTTGGCGGTCGCTTTTTCAGTAGCAGTGAGGCGGTGTGTAGAGCAGGCAAGTCCAGAAACTCGAATTCCTCTCTCCAGAAAGGATTGTTGCCCTCGTTTTTGACCATGGTCCGCGAACGCGTCTCTCCATCTAATAGTACCTCGACGAGATATCCACCCGGATTGGTCGTGGCGGACGAGGACGGTCGTATCGGGGTTTGCCCATTGCTATCAGCAACCTTGGGGCTTACAGGCGGAATCAGTTTTGCTTCGATAACTCTTACGAATAATGACTTCTCCATGCGGAACATGTCTTGGGTGCCGAAAGACGGCGACAGAGTGCCCTCGTCGGTCATGGCGCCGTCCGACTTTGGGCCGTATAGTTGTGGAACAGTAAAAGCACGTAGGAGGACTATCCAAACCTCGTACAGGACTCGTGACTCTAGCGATAGGAATATAGGTCGTAGGATTGTTAATGCAGGAGAAGAAGCAGCGGTGTACTGGGGATATATGGCAATGCAAAACTCGTTATCCAAAACGGAGGGATCCAATCGTTGAACGGCACATCGGGAAAGCTGGGAAAGCTGAACGGTAGAGACTAGGGTGACATCAGTGTCGGAGTAGAGCTTGAGCTCTCCATTTTCACGGAGTGTGCATGACACTCTTCGCCAGCGACGCGAGCCGTGGCTCTGGACTCTGTAAGCCTGGGGCCGTCCGCCAGCACCTGTGCCTTTGGGTGTGCCTGTGTTGCTGTATGTCACACTTGTGTCCCAGTATATCATCTTGCCAACCTTGATGATGGGCGCTTCCTTCTTGGGCGAGTCTTTGAGCAGTGACACCTCGGAGTGACGCCTGCTGTCTGGGAGGCGGCGCTCGATCATGACGGGTGCCTGGGGCTTGGCCATTCTGTTTTGTATGCCCTTTGGACGCATGGGCGACCAGCACAGCAAGGCGGCAAACCATGAGTCAAACTCTTCCTGTGTCGGTGGACGCAGATGGACCTCGAGTTTGGAGTTGTGGACAACGACATGGATGTATGCCGTGTAGGCCTCGCCGTCGTATGCGCTCTTGACATGGCAGCCACGTAGGTCGGGTATCAGGGTGCGGGTGTAGGACGTGTCGTTCTTGGGTTCGTAGACGAGACTGCCAGCCTCGTCGTTGATGTAGCAGTACGACAGCGCCCAGGGGTTCTGCTCACCCCTCCGGAAGGCCAAGAGACCCTGCATCTTGCCGCAGGTCGAGCGCATGAGGGCCTTGAGCTTCTTGGCATCTGAGGCCGGTACGGGCGACACCCACGACTCGGGGGGCACATTGGAGGGGGAGAGGACGGGCGAGGTGGAGCGGTGGGCCTGTTGTTGATGTTGCTGCTGCTGGCGTTGCTGTTCCTGCTGTTGCTGCTGCTGCTTGGAGAGGCGGCTGCGGCTGTTGGTGCTCGAGGTCCGGGGTGGGGGCGGCTGCTGCTGTGGTGGTGGGGAGATGGTGGAGATGTGGCCGATGGAAGTGACGACCGACTCCTCGAGGCTCTGGTAGTTGCTCTGGGAGCTGGCGACGGAGCCTATGCGGTGGCGGCCGGTGCCAAAGACGCTCGAGGGCGAGCGGTCGCGGGTGCTCCTCTCCTCGAGGGTGCGGGTCCGGGGCCGTGTCTGCTCGCGCGCATTGCGGTACTCGGAGTCGCTGGATGCGCGGGCGACGTAGGCTCGCGGGTTGCCGGTGCGCTGGGAGAGCTGGCTGTTGTGGGAGCGGGGGCTGTTGGGCGGGGACTGGAACGTCGTCTGGCTGGGGTAGCCGTCTTCGGGTATCGTCGTCGTGGCCGTGGACGACGTCGTGGGCTGCTGCTGCGGCGTCGGCGTGTCGTCGGGGGTGACGGTGCGTATCGTCTGGGGCTGCTTGCGGTACTCGTCCCGGGCTCTCTCGTGGGCATTCACGTTGACATTGTTGTTGTACGGCAAGACTCCCTGTGCGGCCTCGGACGCACTCACCTCCCTCCTGTTCCTTCTCTGCTGGTCCATGGATGCGGACCGCTGCTGTGTCTTGTGCTGTTCATTGACACACGGCAGGCGGCCCAGCTCTTGCAGCAGGTAGCCGTTGCGCTTCGTCTAGGTCGCGGACAACGGTCGGGGGCGCTGCGAGACTGGATGTCGGTTCCGTATGGCGCATCGCATGCCTCGTTGCGCGGGCAAAATGGTCTGTCGTTAGGTAGTAAGAGGCCCACCGCCCAGCCCTAGCGAGCAGACATGGCACCCAGCATGGGCGAAGACTAGGAGACGGCCTTGGCGCTGATATCCATCGCCTAATCACCGCCCCGGCCCCCAGCAGCATACACAGGACCAAGCTGACGTCCAGGGCGTCTGTGCCTGATTGCCCTCATCTATCCCACACACATGGCACACCACCAAAGCATGCCCATAGAGCAAACACGTAGATAATAGCATTGGTATCGGATAACTGCTAGAAAAAAAACATCGCCACATCGCACATGGATATCTGACCAACCAATAACCCCTCCCTGAGCTCCCAACATTGTCGAAAATGAAATTAAGAACTTCGTTTCAGTGCATTCATGCGCAATCTCTCCACACCCTCACTTGAACGGAGGCTTATCAGCCGCACTCTCCTCCAGACTCGCTGCGCTCAATGGCTGCGAGCGCGCGCCGCTAAGATCGCCCGAGTGCGTCTTGCGCAGTGCTTGTCGCATCGTTTCAATCTGGACTGGCAGCTCTTCGCCCGATGCTGGGTTAGGGCTCCCGAGCACTATAGGGGACGTAGGACTCGCGGGTGACCGCGTGCGCGCCAGATCCGCATGCTTGGGCGAGGCTGCTCCACTGGTGGTTGGCGGCGAAGACGCGGCAGACCTCACTGGCGAGGGCGACCGGTTCGCCGTCGACGACAGGCTCATAAACTGCAGAGCCTCGTTGGACGTGGCACCCAAGACTTCCTGTCTGTCGTGCTCGACGTGTTCTGCCTGCACCACGTCTGCGAATGAGATGAAGCTCAAGCGACGTGGATCTGCCGTGTCCAGTGAGCCGTACCCAGGCGCTGTCTCCGTCACCTCAGCATGGCTAGAAGCCACCGACTCTGTGTGAGGCAGAGGCGGCGAGTGCACCGAGTCGGTTATGCTGCCCGCGACCGCAACAGCGGCTGGCTGATGCGCCGTGTGTGTTATGATCTCTACTTCGTCAGGGTTGAGGTGCGTGTCTGTAATGGCCAAGGATGTCGCATCCAGCGCGGGTGGTATGTGGTCTTCTGTCTTGATGTGTGCAGGCACGTCGGCCGAGGGTTCAGGCTCCTGTACATTGCGCTCGAAGATGAGCGACGATGCTGGGCTGTGTAGGCCAGGAGAGTTGGAGCGGATGCGACGACTGGGAGATGCGCCGATTGGCAGCATGCGCGGGCTTCCTCGCGGTGACACTCGTTGTTCGGGCGGTGACATTGGGGGCGAGGGCAGCAATGTTGGCGTCGTCGTCGTGGATGCAGTCTCTGTTGGCTGTTTGCCAGCCACGCTCTCCTTCTTCCTGCCAAGGCCAAATAGCTTCTTTCCCTTGCTCAGGATGCTGCCATCGTCGGTAGCCTTGGTCTCGCTCGATGCGGTCGCGACGGATGCGGGCGGGTTGTTGGGCTGCTGAGGGGCTGCGGCTGTGTTGCTGGATGCGCTCATGATGGTCCCTTCTGACAATGTCGCGGTGTTGGAAACGGTGGAAGATGCGAGATGCGCGTCCTATACAAGAAGCTGCGATTCGGGCCTATGGCAAGCAATAAACCTGTCCTTGTGTCGTCACGCGGTGGCTATCGTCGCTTTCAAGGAAGTTGCCGAGTGGGATACACCCTTGACCTGCAATCAAAAACGGCAGTTGGGCGTCTCTTGCTCAACAGCGAACAATCTCAAACGTCTCAGTAGAGTGTTTTGATGGTATATGCACGACCAGGATTTGGATAGAGCTCAGTGTCTTGTAGAGCGTTGACAGTACCCGTGTTGACACTCTACCATCCCTCATACTTTGGGTTGTTGATCGTCACGTGGCGCTGACGTATGCGCACAAGGTTTCAGGGTCCCGAACAGCTCTCCTGCCTCCAGGTACATCCCCTAGTCTAATCTCGCCGTTCCCGCTATCCAATGCCTATCGCCATCTCACCCAACAACGCCAGCTTCCAATGTGCGACGAGTCTCGTCCATGTTTCAGGTAGACTGTTCAATCTCACTTCCCTTCCATGACGGGACTTCTATGATACTGTGCAAGCACATCTAGTCGTTGTACGTCTCACTGGCCAAATTTTGGTCGCTGCTAGTTCCCTTCATGCGAACACATGCAGACCATTACACGCTGGACAGGCTCTGCGCTCCAGTCACGACCTCCGCCTTTCTTTTTCCATCGTGTCCACTCTATGGTTGAACCAAGTTTTCGTTATCGCTCAGCAGACTCTCGATTACCATGTTAGCAAGATCCCCGCTCTCGATCGAGAGTCCAGCATTACGTCCAAAGACCTGACTATTGGGCGTGTCTCGTGGACAACGAGATTTCTCTTGGTCCATGCCGCAATCGTCTTGGCTTTTCCACCCAGTCAGCTCAAGATACTGGCGCGGGGCAGCTCGCTTGGTAGTGGCTGAACCGCGAAACACCAACATGGACTAGCCGCGGGTAATTATATTTGATGGCATCCTTCCTCCCTTGCATACTTCATCCCTTGCATACACATCACAGGCCGTCCTCGCTTCCTTATACTTGTCGCATCGCTACCAACCTTTCTCGAACTGACAATGACTTTGTGCGCAGAGCCAGACATTGCCGGCCGTTTCTTTCAGTCCATGAGAGACACGGCCACATGTCTCCGAAACTCGTGAAGATGGTATCTCACCGTACCTCATTCGAAACCTTGTTGAGATGAAGAGCCGCTATCGACCACGCCGCATCAGCTTTGGTGATTCTGGTTGGCGGCTATTGATTCATCCCTCGGGAGCAGACACTTATCGCCTAGATGATCTGACACACAGGAGTCAGTACACGTCCAAGTCAGCTCAGCAGCATGACCAAACACCGTGCCGTACGGCAATGATAAGTTCCGTAAACGTGGTTACGCAAGGATAACTAGATGATGACAACATACAATGTGATCGATCTCACAACAACTATGTCCATACTAACAGATTTTCGACACTTTGTACAGAGCTTAGAAACACATCTTTCGCCATCACAGCGGCGACTGCATCGTCTGACATAGGTTGATCTGACATGTGTATAGACCGACGGTGGGCATTAGCCGTAGGATTTGCGGATGCCGAGAAACGCCTTGTTCGACCAGGTTTGCCATATAGTCGCTACGCTGCTAACGCCCGAATTCCCATCCGTGGCGTCCTCGTAGCTCACTGGTGCTATCCCGGACGTTGGACTCGAGATCAGCTAGCAAGCCTGGGCCATGAACGGCTCGTGTACCCTCGTAACATATACCCAAGGGCATATCCCCAGTCTTTCGAATCTGCAGCGTCCATTTCAGTTACCACCCGGACGCTCCATTTACGTCTCGATGTTGGGCAACCATGGGTACCGTCAATGACTTCTTTAAACCGTACGATCTACGGCCTAAAATCTTGGTCACCGAGCTCACTCTTGCGAGTCTTTCAACCATGGTGCTTGCCATTCGGTCCGTTTCCTCCACATAACGTTTCGCTGACGTCCCGCTTATCGATATCAGCTTCTGTACTCGGAAATGTATTGTAGGAAAAGTCAGCCTGAGCGACTACATCATGGCGGTCGCATTGGTGAGTAAGGAACCCGCTCAGCAATACGCGCTTGCAGACATATAATACAATCAAGCTCTTTACATGGGGGCTCTGCGCTTGTAACCATTACCAGCTATTCTTCGGTTCTGGCACAAAGAGTAATCCAGAAGTTCCGCCAACGGTGAGTATAGTGCTTTTGTCTACTGCTATCTCTGGTGGCAACATGCTAATGAAGCTCTGAAGGCCACAAAAGAGGAGACAGATGCATTCTGGGAGTATTGGCTGTTCGGGACTGTGGCGTCATGTGAGCAAGTGTCCTAACCTGCAATGGACCGCATTGACCATCGGACAGGGTACGCATACCACATTGGTTACTTGTTCATCACGAGCCTTATAAAGCTCTCGATCTTGTGTTGTAAGTTATATGGCAGATATATGCGATCAAGGGATGCGCTGACATAATCACTTCATACTTAGTCTACCTTGGTTTTGCGACCCAGCGAACCTTTCGTAGACTCGTCATCACATCGATTGTGATTGTCGTCGTAATCGGCATCTACTGTATCTTCATCGTGGCCTTTCAATGTCTCGAGAACCCGTCTGACGCCCTATCCCCTGCAATACTCTCAGGTTGGGGTGATGGTCACTGTTTTGACCTGAGGATCGTTCTCTATTGGCAAGCAGGCTGGAGTCTCGGATCTGATCTTGTCGTTCTGCTCCTCCCAATGCCGATTCTACTTGCGCTGCGCATGCCAAGAGGCAAGCGCTTGTCCGTTATAGCAATCTTCGCAGTGAGTCTGCTCATTCCGATAGCGTCCGGAATACGACTTTGGAGCCTGTTCCTCTGGGCAAATAGCGGAGATCTTGCTCGGTACTATAGCGCATACATAATCTTCTGGTAAGTGAGGCGTCCCCACCACGTAGATACGAGGCGAATACTGATGCTATGTTGCTGAATATAGGTCCCAAGGTAAATTATTTCTCTACGACATGCATGTGAGACATTCGCTAACTTCGTATCTTCGCCTCTGCAGTCGAGATCAATACTGCAATAATGTGCGCTTCCGCACCATCTATTCAGCCACTCCTCAAACGCATGCTCAACAGAATACCTTGTGGTCGACCATCTCACAGCCCATCGTACTACTACGGCGGACGTACTTCGCTGCCCGGGCTTACTGCTGTGGAGATGGAGAGGAATCTGCGGAGAGACAGCATCGATATTCTGGAGACACCAACTCGGACCTATTGTTCCTCTGGAGGCCATGCAAATGACCAATCTCATGATCAAACGAGCATTTCCCACAACACGGAAGAGGAGGACATTAGAGCACGGGTCCGCGCGCTTTCATGTCCACCGACCGTATACTTGCGACCCACGTCACCGTCCTCTATATTCTCCCTCCCTTTGCAGGCGAACAACAATACACAGGGTGGCTGATAATTGGCACCATGCTCTGTGTTTTTGCGCAGGAGTACCTCTCCGGACACACGAGATTCTAGCATGGCAGCATGTGAAAATTGAGTGTAGACAGAAGCATTTCTAGGCTTTTCTCGCTTATTTCAACCGGCAAATAAAACCTTTCAACTTTGCGAGTTTGGAAGATCAGCAACGAAACTGGTTCCAGAGCCAGCGGTGTAGGCAACTACTTGATTGCAGTGTGCGTACGTCCGACTCAGCCTCTAGGTGCAACATGAGAGCTGATTTGGACACTTGTTGCATGGACCCCTGCTTATTCGTCAGCCACCAACCCTGCTCATTCTTGAGGGACCCGGTTCTCGGATGAGGTAAGCCGCCCCCAAGAACGCAGTACCGTGTAAGGTTTGAACATGCGATTGGTCTGGACGGGCCGGCCAATGTACCATTGTTCGAAATCGTCGCAAGCTGAGGGGACGAAATGAGCAGACCGTGAGAACATGCTAGCAAGCTGAATGGTGGAGTAAGATGTATGTATAGTGGTTTACAGCTCTTGCTCGTTTGGTTCGTGAGGGTGATCAGCCATTCGAGGGGCTGATACACATATTACACTCTCCCTTGCAAGAGCTGATGACCGATATGAATACCTGAATGCCATTGGCACCTGTTGCCTTGGGGCTGATATGAAACCTCAGCCTTGCCGTTCCGATCGTGACGCAGAATACGCGGCTGTTGTATGCATATACTGTTATTCTAGCTGAGCTTTCCCGTATATCTTGTGTCTTTCTCTTTCTTTTATCGCATGTCTCCAGAATTCACCAAGCTGTCAGGAACTCATCTCTAATTGTGTTCGAGCCATGGGTGTCTCCAGCCAGAGCAAACCTGAACCTTACACATACACGCCAGGCCTTCCACAACGCGCCCTCATAGCAGTTTTCCATGGAGTGAATAATATCATACCATGGCATAAGCTGCCTACCTGGATCGGTGTCCTCAATGTCGCCGCCTTCCGCTACGAGCTACGCCAAAAGAACCTGCACGATGTATACCCCTCTCCTAATGATCAAGGTACTCTTGGATGTCCACATCTGTCTGATGAGCAGTATTTGCATACTCGCCACTCAGATGGTTTGTTCAACGATCTCTCGGCACCAAAAATGGGATGTACAGGTATGCGATTCGGCCGCAATGTACCTCGCGAACACACCGCAAAGCCAAGCGAGGAGGAACTCATGACACCAAACCCACGACTCATCAGTGAGCAGCTACTGAAGAGGGACAACTTCAAACCTGCAACCAGTCTGAACCTGCTAGCTGCGGCGTGGATCCAGTTCCAAGTCCACGACTGGTTTCAGCATGAGAATTCCGCCTCGGAAACGTACACTGTCCCGCTTCCTGAGGGTGACAAGTGGAGTTCGCCAGACGGCAGGATGAAGATTGAACAGACCCAGCCGGATGCCGTGTTAGATAAAACGGACAAAACAGCTCCAGCATACAGAAATGTCAACACACACTGGTGGGACGGCAGTCAGATCTACGGCAGCACCGAACTCCGCACAACCGAACTACGCGGGCAGAGCAAAAACGGCAAACTCACTGTCGATACCCAGAAGATTGCTACCTTCCTCCCCCGCGACTCGAACGGAATTCCTCAAACAGGCTTCATGACAAACTGGTGGCTAGGTTTAGAGATGCTACACACGCTCTTTGTCCTCGAGCACAACACCATCTGCGACGCCCTTGTCACTGCCTATCCCTCCTGGAGCAGTGAGCGCATTTTCGACACAGCCCGCCTAGTTAACTGCGCACTGATGGCCAAGATACACACGGTGGAATGGACACCAGCCATCCTCGCGCATCCCGTCCTTGAGATAAGCATGAACGCAAACTGGTGGGGTGTCCTAGGCGAGCGACTGTACAAGCTACTCGGCCGCGTATCCGCCACTTCAGAAGCCATTTCTGGAATCCCAGGGTCGAGCGTAGAGCATCATGCTGCCCCGTATGCGCTTACCGAGGAGTTTGTAAGCGTGTATCGTATGCACGCCCTCATACCTGACACGATCGCTTTCTTCAACTCCAGGACTGGGGAGCACAAGACCACACATTCCATTGGCGATGTCGCCTTTGAGAAAGCCAGAGCGCCTTTGGAGAACGATGGTCTGGATTTCTCAGACGTGTTCTATAGCTTCGGGGTCAACTACCCGGGTGCTATTACGCTGAACAATACACCAGACTTCCTACGCGATTTGCACACTCCGGATGGCCGACACATTGATCTTTCTACTATTGATGTCCTCAGGGATAGGGAGAGAGGGGTTCCGCGTTACAACGCTTTTCGTCGGCTTTTCCACTTGGCACCTATGACTTCCTTCCTCGAGCTCACAGGCGGCAACAAAGCTGTTGCGGAGAAGCTGGCGGTCATATACGAGGATGATATTGAGAAGGTGGACTTACTGGTTGGTTGTCTTGCGGAGCCATTACCGGCGGGCTTCGGATTCAGCGATACGGCATTTCGGGTGTTTATCCTCATGGCGAGCAGGAGGTTGAAGAGCGATCGATTTATTGCGGGCGATTGGAATGAAAAGACGTATAGCAAGGTTGGTATGCAGTGGGTACAGAATGGGGGGATGAAGGATGTGTTGGGGAGACATTTCCCAGAATTAGAGAGCGTGTTGGCGAAGAGTGGAAATCGTAAGTTCAACTACATCTTTGAGATGGGCGGAGAAGACGCTAACAGGAGAAATAGCTTTTGCGCCTTGGGCGATGAAGGACGCGAGTAAGAAGTATGAGGGGAAGGAGACTAACGCGTAGACTGGTGGTAAAAAAGCTGGGCTAAGAATTGCGCTTCACCAGTAGTCTCCAGTCGTATTATCAAACCCTTTCTCGCCAGCAGTGCATTTGAACAAACTGCCAGATGTTTCTACGACCAATTCATGACGAGGGCAGGCCCGGGTTGTCACCGTTAGTTGTGTTTCTTCGGTAAAGCGTATGATGAACCGCCTACTCGGGATCTTGCTGCTCTTTAATACATGTTGCTTGTGGGATGCTGAAGGAGACTGAAATTGCTTTTGTGAATTGTGTGTGGGTAGCGAACCAAGATGATGGAACGGGCTGGACCAAGGGTTAAGTGAGGACTGATCGGTATAGCCATACTTGAGCATCGTCAGGAATGTGCGCTCTTGGTATTGTCCTCGTCTAGCGTCGAGTTACAGGGGCTGTATTTGGTTTTGCTAGGGTCAATATACCCTACAGAGTATGCATATGATGGGACAAAGCCTGCTCAAGCATTCCGTTGTCTGAAAAGTCGGGGCCTGTCCAATCTCCGTGTCTGCAAACTCGGTTCCTACGGAGTTCGCACGAAACCCGCATTCAGCAAATCCCGCCGTCTTACACGCCCGGCGGTGCTGTATGTTGAGAGGTATATTCGATGCCTGAACATCGATGTATTCTCGGTGCCTAGAATTTGAGGTTTCTTGGTGCCTAAACGCCACGGAGTCAAGGATACTCAAAGCGTTGAACGGTTATAAAGCCATGGCCCACTAAAGTAATCCTACTTGCGTAGATTGGAGAAATGGCACATGGGTTGTGAACGTGGAACGTTTTGTAGAGGGAACCGCACTCCTATTGTTGTTGATGACGCAATAATGCCCAGCAACTGGCCGCCAGTGATAGTCGCGCCGAAACGCGAAAGCATTTGCCATTGTATGAGTGGTCAATAGAACAATACGAGGTACGCGAGGCCCAGGACATTTTGTAATCTGCGATTTTGCGCGGGGGAAAGGGCAGCCCTGGGCTCAGCACGCAAGCTGCTGACATCGGCGGCATATGGTGCCCGAGCACCGGCCGTCAGTCCCACCCGAGACGCATCTCGCACTCGCTCTCGTCGTATCCGGTCAATACTCTTGCAGCCCTGCACGCTCACCGCAACGGAAAGTTATGCGTCAAGTCCGACTATGACTGTCGTCCGCTTTAGGCAGACATGTTTACTCCCGAGTACACTCGTATATGTAGTGCGTTTTCTTCTCTCAGCGCCTTCTCGATGTTTTTTCAACGCGAAGAACAGTGATTGCCATCACTTGCTTAGTATCCATCGTATTCTCATACAATCATACTATCGCCACTGGCGAACGCGTCATTTGTCCTTTCGGTACATTTAGAAGTCTCAGCAACTCGTTCACTCGTTCGCTCGTTCACGTGTTGGCGTTGCGCAATCACCCATCGTATCAGCCGTATCCAAAACCCCCCGGACGAAACGAGCCGCACGCGTCATACCGATTCGGGTGCGATATCCACCCAGCCGAGAAGCTTAGATCGCGCATTTCACCCCATTCAGCATAGTGTAATCCGGCTCGGACAACGGCTTGGCCTTGCACTACAAGGATCTCTAATCTTCTAGGCCCGTGAGTGGCGCGGTGGAGGATTCTCAAAGGAATTGCGCAGGACAATTGTCCCTTTCCTTTGCGACATCTCCCTAGGACTTCTTGGAGGTACTACCACTGCTGCACGCCAAGTATCAGCAACGACAAGACACGCTCATCGCCTTGAGCAATGGACAACGAGGACTCAGCAACGTCGACGGGGACGGCCATCTCCGCGGCTATTGACGAGAAGCATGAGTTGCATGCGGAAGAGGCCAGGCCGCCCACGGCTGGTCTCAGTGATCAAGAGAAGGATATTATCGACAAACAACTAACAGCACCTAACCTCACAGTTGGATATTTCTCACTGTTTCGATATGCCACTGCGAAGGACAAGCTCGTCATGGTCGTGGCGTTGATCGCCAGTATTGCGGCTGGAGCTGTTATGCCCCTCATGACTGTAAGTAGATACTCGACGACATGAATATATCACAATTAACTTTGATATCTAGCTTGTGTACGGTAATTTCGCTGGCAGCTTTACCAGCTTTTCAGTCGACGCTGTCGCTGCTGCCAAGTTCCAGCATCAGATCAACACGTATACTCTGTATTTTGTATACCTTGGAATTGGGTCGTTTACCACTTCGTATATCAGTATCTTGGGATTCTCCTATACTGGAGAACGCATCACACGAGCGATTCGAGAGCTTTACCTACGTGCCATTTTCAGACAGAACATCGCCTTCTTCGACTTTCTTGGATCCGGCGAAATCACCACTCGCATTAGCTCCGACATGAACTTGGTGCAAGACGGTATCGGTCAGAAGATCGGTCTCTTCGTGACCGGAGTGTCCATGTTCGTGACTGCCATCATCATCGGTTTTATACGATCGTGGAAGCTTTCCCTCATCATGTTGGCGGCAACAGTAGCACTTATTATGATGATGGGTGTCAATGGCACCTTGATGAAAAAGGCTCAGACACTTTCCATCGACGAATATGCCACAGCAGCCTCCCTTGCTGAGGAAGTCTTATCTTCAGCTCGCAACGTTGCTGCATACGGCACTCAAAAGCGACTCGAGGAGAAGTACAAAGCCTTTGTGGACCGCGCAACTGTACATGACTTCAAGGCCAAGTTTTGGCTATCCATGATGATCGCTGGTATGATGGGTGTGCTGAACCTCCAGTATGGTCTTGCATTCTGGCAAGGAAAAAGATTCCTCGACGACGGGGAACTTGGCGTTTCCAACATCCTTACCGTTGTCATGGCACTCATGATTGCTGGCTTTTCCATCGGACAGAACCTACCGCATCTCCAGGCTTTCGGTGGAGCTACTGCAGCCGCTACCAAGGTTTTCAACACGATCGAACGAATTTCCCCCATCGACCCGGAAACAGATGAAGGCATTGTGCCAGACGACTTTGTTGGTAACCTTGAGTTCAGGAATTTGAAGCATGTCTACCCATCTCGACCAGACACTACAGTGCTATCGGACTTCAACCTGGACGTACCATCGGGCAGGATGATCGCGCTTGTCGGTGCATCTGGATCTGGAAAGTCGACCATTGTTGGACTGTTGGAGCGCTTCTACCTCCCGATGGAGGGTCAAATTTTCCTGGACGGCAGAGATATCACAACTTTGAACCTGCGCTGGTTAAGGCAACATATGGCCATTGTGAGCCAGGAACCCGTCTTGTTCAGTACCACAATCTATGAAAGCATTTTGCATGGTTTGGTCAACACAGAGTATGCAGATGTATCGGATGACAAGAAGATGGAGCTCATCGAAAAGGCTGCTAAAATCGCTAACGCTCACGACTTCATCATGGACCTTCCAGAAAAGTACCAGACCAAGGTTGGAGAGCGAGGTGGCTTGCTCTCAGGTGGACAAAAACAGCGTGTTGCAATTGCTCGTGCGATCGTATCGGATCCCAAGATTCTTCTCCTTGATGAAGCTACTGCAGCCCTCGATACCCGATCCGAGAGCGCAGTCCAGGAGGCTCTTGACCGCGCATCGCAAGGACGTACTACCATCGTTATCGCCCACCGACTCTCGACCATCAAAAGCGCCGACAACATCGTGGTTATGGCCTTGGGCCGAATTGTCGAGCAAGGCACTCACCAAGAGCTTATCGACCGCAAAGCTGTATACGCAAGTTTAGTACAGGCCCAAGAGCTTACCTCTAAGGTCAGCCCTGCCAACAGGATGACGCTTCTGGACGACCCTGACAGCAAAACGGAAGGCACTGCCAACGAAGAGAAGCTTGCTTTGTTGCGAACCACTACATCCGCCCCTACAGAGTACCAGGCGAACAAGAATGAGAAAGAGAAGGAATACGGTACTTGGGAGTTGATCAAGTTTGCATGGGAAATGAACAGAGGCGAGCACACTACCATGACTATTGGACTGGTGTTCAGTTTCCTCGCTGGCTGCAACCCTGCCATCCAAGCCATCTTCCTGGGTAACTCCATCAACTCGCTTCTATCTCCTGGAACGTCTCTCGGTGGACTCAACGTAAACTTCTGGTGTGGCATGTTTCTCATGCTCGGAATCGTCATTGGCTCTTTCTACTACGTACAGGGTATGACTCTGTCAAGAGGATCGGCCAGGCTTGTTGGTAGCGTGCGAACGCGCGCTTTTGGGGCTATGCTTCGTCAGGACATGGAGTTCTTTGACGGAGACACAGTAACTTCTGGCGCGCTCAGCAACTTCCTTTCGTCAGAGGCCAATCGTCTTGCTGGTCTCAGCGGCTCTACTCTCGGAACGATTGTCAGCGCTGCTTCTTCCATTCTTGTCGCCATTATCGTCGCATGCTCCTTTGGTTGGAAGCTGGCGCTCGTGTGCTCTGCGACCATCCCACTCGTTATTGGCTGTGGTTACTTCCGCTTTTACGCCCTTACCCGCATGGAGAAACGAACCAAAGAGACGTCTGATGCGGCCAGCTTTGCTTGTGAAGCAGCCTCGTCCATCCGTACTGTGGCCTCACTCTCATTGGAGAAATACCTTTTGGGTACTTACCACGTCAAACTTGCGGACCAGGGCAAGGGCTACTTCAAGTTCACAAATGTGTCAGCGGTGCTCTATGCAACATCTCAGGGTCTCAGCATGTTCATCTTCGCCCTTGTCTTCTGGTACGGAGGACGTCTATTGTTCAACCAGGAGTACACTGTCTTGCAGTTCTTCATAGTCTACTCGTCCATCATCAACGGTGCTCAGTCAGCTGGTGCAATCTTCTCTTTTGCCCCCGACATGGGCGAAGCTAGGGACGCGGCCAAGCTCTTGAAGTCGTTCCTGAACCGCGTTCCAAAGATTGACCACTGGTCGCCTGAGGGCATCAAGATTGAGAGGTTAAGCGGCAAGGTCGAGCTACAGGACGTACGTTTCACGTACCCCGGCAGACCTGACCATCGTGTCCTGCGCGGTGTCAGTCTGGCAGCCAAACCAGGTCAGTTCATTGCACTTGTCGGTGCCTCTGGCAGTGGAAAGTCAACGGTCATGCAGTTACTTGAAAGGTTCTACGACCCAACAAGTGGTGGCGTGCTCGTCGACGATGTGGACCTGAAAGACTACAACCTCCAAGACTACCGATCGCAATTGGCAATCGTGAGTCAAGAAACAACTCTCTACACTGGTACAATTCGCGAAAACATCCTCGCCGACAAGGAAGACTTGGGCGATGAGGCGGTGATACAAGCATGCAAAGATGCCAATATCTATGACTTCATTACATCGTTGCCTGATGGGTTCAACACGCTAGTGGGTGCAAAGGGTGCTCTCCTATCTGGTGGCCAGGTACGTTCCTCTGCTCTCTCTTCCTCTCAAACTTCACTAACATCAGTTTCAGCGCCAACGTATAGCGATCGCCCGCGCCCTCCTCCGTGACCCCAAGGTCTTGCTTCTCGACGAAGCCACATCAGCACTCGACTCCACATCCGAACGCGTTGTACAAGCTGCCCTTGACTCCGCAGCACAAGGGCGCACCACCATCGCGATTGCGCATCGTCTGAGTACGATTCAACACGCTGACGTGATATATGTCTTTGATCAAGGCAAGATCGTAGAGAAGGGCAGACATGACGAACTGGTAGCTAAGAAGGGAGTTTACTTTGAGCTGGCGAAATTGCAGGCCATTGGAGCGCCGCAATAATTCACAAAAGCGGGAGCTTTTCTGCATGAATGGAGTTTGGGTATATATTTGTAATCATTTTTCTTAGATCATTAGGCTGGGAACTATATAGATCTCTGGCATATAAAATGCCTGTCTCTCTGCCTATGGTAGAGAATGCTCAATAGCTAATGTTTTCACATCTTCGCTTTCGTACTGGTGGATGTATTCGTGGGGTAAGTACCCCATCTGACACGTGAACGCGCGCGTCGCGATCTTCAGTTTGGAACGCGACTTCCGATGGCAAGCCATCATCCCATCCATCTGAAATGCAACATTTGCCTTGCGCCGCTGTCACCAAACCGAAGATGCAGTGTGAGCTATGTTGAGATGCATAGCTTTGCCAAGCATGGCTCGAACCAAGCCATTCCTTCAGGCGCCCACGCCGCATCGCCTCGACCGCGGCCAGCGAGTCACGATGAATCACCATTTATCTTGACACAGCGCACCTTTCGCTGAGGGCGCCTGTATCCTATCCTCTTCGCGACACACATCGATATATTGTGACTCCGTAAAGGCCGTCCCACAGCGCCAGACCACGAGAATGCGCAACCCCAATGGCTGTCGCGTATTGCTCCTCCTCCTTCCACCCGGTCTCCTCCTTGCCATCGCCGCCCTAACCAATATCCTCGAGAGCATATCCAAGGACAATTTCGAAGACTACCTTGATCGCGATTGGCGCAGCGGTGGTCGCCAACTCATCCTATCACGCCCAGGCGGCACCGCCTCGAACGACACCACCGTGACCATAGACATCAACAACGTGCCCATATACGTCGTATTGGGGCTATGCATACTAGGCTATGGAGTTGGTCTGCTCAGCGCGGCTGGAATATGGCAGTTGAGGAGAACAGAGGGCACCGCGGCACATGAGAGGAAGTGGACTTGGGTTGTCTTCGTGGTCAATATCGTCATGGTGGGCGCGAGCCTGGGTGGCTTTGGTTATGCGACCTCAGTCCAAAGCAGCGAGAAGAGCTGGCAGAATTATGAAGACGTTGGACAAGAGGACCAGGAGCATACGAGAGAGACGTGGGCATGCCAGATCAGTAAATTCTATCCTGATAGGAATTGGGCTGGTACTGCTTGCGGGACTACGAAAGCGATGAGGTTCTTACTGGTACCCATGGCTGTTGCTGCGCTATCGATCTTTCTCAGTCTGTGGGTTCTCGTACGTGCGAGGGGAGGAGTGAAGTGGATGTTTGGTGGGAAGGGGAGGTATGCTGGGTTTGCAAATGTTTATGAGATGCGACCACCTGGTCCACCATCGCCTTATGCTGGTCCACCAGGGCAGCAATGGATTCAGCAGCCATGGCCGACACAGCATGGACAACAATGGGTCGGACAGCCCGTACAACAGCAGTGGGCGCCGCAACCTTATCAGCCATGGGGCCCGCAGCAGCCTGTGCAGCAATGGGGTCCTCAGCCCGGGGCCCAACAGCCCGTTTCTCAAGTACCAAAGTCAGATGCTGCGGTAGAGCAACGTCCGGTTTTCGGATGAGGTTGCAAGAATGCGAAATCTTAACTCTTACTGCAGCGTTGCATGGCTTTCCCCTTCACTTATGATCTAGACCTGTTTCGCCTTCACCTTGAACCCACCAAAAAGAGCAAGAGCGCTTCCGTAGGTCACTATTGTTTGGAATTGCGACTGTTGAAGGACCTGCCTATTTACATCTCAGAACTTTTGACATCTTAACGCAACCGTCTAGGCCATAATTGTCATGTCGGCAGGCTCTTCTCATGGTACGGCGCCATCAGCAGGCACTCCAAGGTCACTCGACATCCTTCTCAGGGACTTGGAAAAGCGATTTGGAAGAAGCGCCGATGGAGAGTATGCAAAGAACTTCAAGAACCGAAGTTATGCCACCAGCCTCGATGACCTCGATAGCAACGACGACGGTAAGCCTGCGCTACCTTACGTAGTAGGCGCTACATTTGTTGCTCGCCGTCATGAACCACCTGCGCCTTTCGGTTTTGGCTACGATACTCCTTGGCCGCCTTACAAGACAAACGATTTCCGACTACCGCAGATCGACTACTGTCTGATTCGACAGCCACTCGAAGGTCGTACACTTGATGAGTCTCGCGTACTCACGATTACGGGCACGATACGTACTGGGTGTTCCTTCGGGGCTCAGGTCGTTGTCGTCAACGGAAATATAGTGGCGAAGATATACGACCCGCTATACGACGCTGGAGGTGATTGCTATGACAACAAGCGCGACGTCGTTTGGCTAGCCGACGGAGACTATTCACGGGAAACTGCCGCATACGAGGAATTGCTAGCAAGCTCCGATACATTGAGTCTGGTTCCGGAGTACTACGGGAGCTGGACAATTGAAGTACCTACGAAAGTGGGCGATCAGACATTCACACGACATGTCCGCCTCATACTAGTGCAGCATATCAAGGGAACCGTCATGAGTACTGTCCAGCCTCAGTTGCTCTCTCGACAAACACGTTCGGCGATAATGAAGAAAATCTTAGAAGCTGAATCTCTCATCTTCAACGCTGGTGTCCTGCACCGCGACATATCGCCCCGCAATATTATGCTCGTCCCCCTAGCATCAAACGTCTCGTTAGACGATCCACATCTCCGAGTCGTCATTATCGACTTTAACGTTTCTAATGTCATCCGCCTTAGCAACGCTTCCTGCCACGCTTCGGACGATCCCAGCCCTGTATCACTACAAAGAAAATGGCCAGGTAAACTCCTTGGTCCAGTAACGAGGTTTTGGAATGCGATGGAGGAGTTTGAGGCTCGAGACTGGGTGAACGATGAAGATGGGAAGGCGAACGAGTGGTTATGGGAATGCTTTGGGCAGAGGGAGGAGTATGTACCGCTTGTCAGAGACAGAGAAGAGAGTGAACTGTGTCCAAGGATTGCTTGGCGTAGTGAGCTTGAGGATCACGAGAACGACGAAGATGAAACTGTTGCAGGTACCGTGAGGAGCTTGGATACATGGGGTGACGGAGATGGTGAGATCGTCTTCCGGGGGCGAGGCTGTAAAAGTTAGGTGAGCTCTTGATCACCACCTAGCACATACCACGGAATGTCCACTGGGCTGGGGCCCGGAAAACTGGAAGACGTTCTCGAAACCGAGCCTTTGTCTCTCACATCGACTTGTTAAAGGCCGAGCTGTTGGCGATGATTTGAAAACATTGACCATCACAGCGGTGGTTCGCACTCGCTACGACTATGGAGCACAATTCATAGTCATGAACAATGACATGGTTGCCAAGACATATGATCCGCTTTATCAGAACGAAGGGCATGAGTACAGCCTCAAAGACGTTGTGTTTGATGCATACTTTGACTACAGCCGCAAGGCTGCTGCCTGTCACATATTGCAAAAGGCGTCAGCGGTACAGCAAGCCACACCTAAATCATGTTGACAGTAACGATAAACCTCTATATGACGCGTAGACAATGCTCGTATTATTTGATCACTCTTCTATTAGGTACTGTCTTGATGAAAAACAGGTTGCTTCCCACAGATCGGGTCTCGACATAGCCATCTTTTTCTTGTCCGCTTACGTCTATTCGCAGCCTGTTTGGTTGAACTTCGAAATTGACGTCGCGTCGGATCCAAAGGCCACAGCGCGATCAATCCAGGCATCAACGCTGGCAGGTGCTGGCTGTCGCTCTCTGCTCAGGATGTAAAGCGTGCTCCAGTTTTGCGTCTGCACAATCGCCCAGTCGACAGCGTAATCTGGACATCGACGTTAACATTGATGGACTCAATGTACGGCTCTGATGATTAACTTACCTTGTACAATGTAGTTCGGTCCGGGGCATTCTGGTGCCGAAGATGCGCCAGGGAAGCTGACGACGAAAGCTCCGCCAGCGCCATAAGCAGAGTCTACAGGCGTAGCGGTGCCGATAATGTCGACAGTTTGTGGTCCAACAGTTGCGGTGTTCACAACACGCACTGTGCCATTGTCCTAGGTTCGCTGTTAGAAATGCTGGCTAAAAGTCAACATATCTCAAGAACGTACGTTGAGTGAGTAGTTTGCGGTTACGCAGCGTGCGCCTGCTGTTGGACCGAATGGTGTTCCCGCAACTTGATACCAGGTTCCGAGATACGCTTCTAGATTGAACTTGGAGTCTGGGACAGGGTAGAAGCACGATCCGTCATATTGTGCTGCCGCGACATTTGGTGTAGGGGACGTCTCGTTGTAAGAGGCTTGACGGGGGTGGATGAAGCCTGAAGCGGCAGAGGATAGTGCGAGGACGGTACTGGCGACGCGCATCTTGAGTAACCTTGTGCAGTGTTGAGATTAGAGATTAGGGTATAGGTAGGATGGAGATGATGATGTTCGCTGTGACGAGGACGTCCCTATGCTTTACTTGAACTGAAAATCCTGTGGCTGGTGTAGAAAACGTTGTTTAGTAAACGTCACCCCCAAGCCACTACACAGTACTACGCACTTATCCACAGGCTAGACTTGTATACATGCGTACAATCGCCGGTAGCTTTCCCGGGCCGACAGCAAAAGTCTTGTAAACTCATCGGTAAACATGTGCTGCCAAGCATGCGGACTCTGTCCCTCGGTCAAATTGTGGTTGCGGAGGAGCTCGGCTCTACTTCTCATTACGAGATATTGCGGATGTCTGCAACCGCAGCGACTGTTGGACAGTGAGGTTGGTGATGTGGGTATGCGGACTGGGGTAAGCGATGGAATGGCTGGTGATGACGTATGTGTCGACCTAGGGACTTGGCGATAGAGCCGCATCTGTCGCATATACTTTGCACCATTACATGTCGTTACCGCGTATAGTTCTATCGGAGCCGTGGAGAGTTCCGGCGGGTACCGTCAATCGAGTGACTTGTTGATATCGAAAGAATATCATTCTGGGCAAAACAGTCACAATCGGAACTTATACAACTACCTCATGGAACGCTCCTACTACGGTCTGAATTCTCGCACTTCACATAAAAGGGATGTCTCGAAAGTATCGAATTTTCCCTAGCGGCAATATTCACCTGGCCAGATTACTGTCCTTGGCTTGCAATGCCCGAATTATCGTTCGCACTGGCATGAATCTCAAATTCATCGCGGATCACAGACATGCGCTGTGGCATCAATTCACCACACCCATCTACCTGTCACACAGGTTTTTTCTGGTATCTGTAAAGTAAGAGAGGACTCTCAGATACCTATGGGGGGCTGCGGCCTGGCTCGCCTATTACCGCATGGCATGCTTCAAGTAGGAAGCCCAAAAACGCCAGACGCATCGAATCCCTTGGAACAGCCGTAACACGGAGCACGTGAGGCTCGGAAAATGACCCGAAGTTCAAGAGCACAAGATGTTCGTAATCGCAAAGAGCAATATACCGGGAGTCCAGCACCTCTGCCTCTTCCACGTAGCGTCGGTCAATCACATTGCCTTGGACGATACTGGCCAGTTCGTGCGGACTCAACCATTTGATCATCATGACCATTTTCGGCGCGTGCGTCCTTGTGAAACTTTCGTAGTATAGCGTTACCAACCCGTCACCTAGGTAGCCGTTGCGTTGCCCTAGTTCGGTAGGGTATCTTATTACGATAGCATGGTCTAGGGGACACTTGAGCCATATCCGAGCGGCATTGAAGACATCGTCGACTGTTTTGAGAGGTTTAGAAGGGGCTTTATCAGACTTCGGCGGGGTTGGTAATTTAGGATCTTGGTGGATGGGCGAATTGGGGTCTGCGTATTCGGCTTCGAGAAAGGCAGTGGCGGTATTAACGTAGTCTGCGGGCGCATCGGTCGGTGGAATATAGAATATACTATGAGCTCTCCTGGGATCACGGCGCGGGTTGTCGAACCTTATCAGCTCTTTGTTCTCGTGGTCAAGTGGGGACCGGTAGTCATGCGCCATGGGATTCGAGGGAGTGCTTTGTCAATGAGATGTCGTACTCTGATATTGGAATAGTTTTTAGTTGATATGGGATAATGGACTTCCTGATCAAGTCGAGTTGCAGTGGAATGTTGACGAATAGCGCAAGTGAATGTACATGCAACCACTAGTATTGTAGGTGAGAGTGTAACTGATACCACGCGCTAGCTATTATATCAATGAGAAGCACTTGACAGAGAAGCTTCAAACGTCCTAATATGCTCGGATCAGTAAAACTTGGTCAGACCGATAGTCGTTGCGCGCTGCAGGAATTTGAGATAAGTGGAGAAAGACACGGCACATCATCTATACGGCTCGATGGCTTGTGAGGTCAAGCGTAATGATCATGTTGTGAGAAGTGATGGAACTGCTACAGATAACGCCTACGCGCACAGCGCTTGACCCATAGCGCCTGTTGTGGCCATGAAGCCCACAAATACCCTAAAAATAGAACAAGAAGACAAGAAGACAGAACGGAGTAGCAGACCTAAGCTTCCCTGGTCACGATGGTAACCTTGAACTCCGTGTCAGCCAACGAGCTGTCACCGCCGACCTTAGCACTGCCGATACCAGAACCCACGCCGTTATGGCAACCTTCTGATCCCGACTTCTCCAGCAAGCGGGCGAAGTAGCCGTAGCAGTCTTCGACCTTCCAGAAAACGCCAGCAGAGTTGTCAGGCTGGGTAGCTGGGGTGACATCGACTAAAGAATCAATTAGTACTGTAGATTTATGACTTGAGGGATAGAGCCTTACACTTGATATCCCAACCGCTAATGCTGTTTCCATCTTTGTCAACTACATTGGCGTGCTGTGTGTTGCTCTTGGGGCCGTCAAGCGGGTAATCGACAGTTGCGGTGCAGACTGTACCCTTAGCGACGCGGTCTTGATAAGCGCAAGGAGGCATCATAGCAGCGCAGGCGTTATCGAGCACGGTATCGAGCTGAGGCCCACGCACGAAGCTGATCGACTTGTCGGATGTGGCGCATGTTGTGGTTGTGTCTGACGCGGGTTGCCAGCTATCATTTCCGCCGGTCTGAGGAGACTGCCGTTGGACGAGCGGTGCCGCAAATGCCGTGGCTAGGAATGTGCTGAAGAGGATGCTGGTGTACATCTTGATTGTTATTCCGGAGTTCGAGGTAAGGTGTTGTAGGAAACTGCCACAGTTGGATCTACAGCAGTAATTGTATGGTCTGCAAGTCAAGTGGCGGGTGGAGTTGGAGCAGGACTTGGGTATATCAGTGAAGGCGTATCCAAATAGTAGGTCTTCACGAATCAATGCGCCAAGCCAATGATGTGTTGGAATTTGTGAATAGTAGCTCGTTCAAGTACATCCATGAGGGCGATCGATGTTCTATATTACCTTGTGCTATGTTTTGCGCTAAGAGATAGAGTTGTTAGTGATTACCGTGGGGTCGGGAGCATGACGGTGCAAAGTGTGGAGATACGAAATGAGGCATCCCCTGGTGGATGACGGATTGTTACAGATATCTCTTTGTTTCTGGTCGGACTTTACTTTGTGCCTTTCTTTTGTGGGCTTGACAGGGGAATGGCCTTGAACCATGTCTGCCTCGGGAACAAGAAACAAGGACGTATAAACAGACCTTGAATCTGTTGAAACAACAGTAGAGTTGTGTGCATAGCTGCGGTCCCTTCCAATCAGTTGTGGGGACGTTTGTGAGTTGAAATGGCCGGAGCGTGGGGTAATCTCTCTTCATCAAACGATCGGCAGATCTACCGTCCGTGCCAAAAAAGCATACTCATCTTGCTAAGGATATATGATTCTCAATAGTTCTCAACTGGACCCCTAGTTGAGACGCGACAATTCTTGCGCTCACTAAGAACAGCATTTGACTCCCAAAGGCGGCTGCGGAGATGGCGCGTTCAGAAAGACATCACTGTCACCAACGTCATAGTGTACGGAGATCGGCAAAAAGTCGGGGACATGCTTGTTCGGTGGTATTGATGAAACAATGAGGTGCTAGGCTCTCACGAAGTTCCTCGAGAGTTCCGACCGAGGAAGCGATGTCATATGCCAAGGCTTTAGTCCGCCCTTCATTTCCCTTGTCATGGGAATCGTCCAGACTCCCAAACACCATGACACTCAGCGCAAACAACGCTGCTTCTCCTCACTTCATTTCAGATGCTGCAGGTTCTGATCAGTGGTTGTAAGTCACAGCTCCTGCCTGTGGTGCAAGCTCGAAAGGATACCACAGAGAGAGAGATCTGCACTTAATATCCGGCGAATGAGAGGGCCTATGCAACAGCTTAACAACAGCTCGCGAAGCCACTAGGATGCACAGAACTCTCGTACCTAGGACACGGTTTCTCTACAGAGCTCGTTCCATCTACAGTGTTACAAACAAAATAAATACGCATTGAACGTTGGGTAATCACAACATCCACTTCGACCCACAAATACATCAGCATCGCTATCTCTTCTTTCCGCGCGCAAATAGCCCACGCTCTTGCTGACATACAGAGCCTGTAACATCAAAGATTGAAGCTGTGATGTTATGATTCGTTGGCGTACTCTAGCCGTAAGCAGGATACTGCTTACAACAGCCGGCAGGAGGATTGCTAGCTGATTGGATCGACATACGTTTAGGCGTACAGCGTTCAGCTTCGTTCGCTCATGAGGAGACGCCATAAGCAACGCCTATCATACATCTGCCTGAAAGGCTTCACTATACCCAGACTTCAATAAGTGCGGGCTGTTACTCTGCATCTCTCCTCGACACTTCTTAAACCTATCATTTGTCGCAAATCTTCAAAATGGATAACAGAGCTGATTCCAGCCTTTGGGCCGACACGCCCTTCGCCCTTCTCAAGATTCCTGGTCAGCCGGGTGGTCCAGTATGCGTAAATCCTGGTGTTCTCAATGTCGCTATAGAGATGGCAAACGTCCACAACGTCCTACTTCGCCCGCTGAATGCCATTTACCATCAAGCGCCCTTCATTCGCATCCCTGTAGATGTTGCTGATTTCATGCTGTACATTACAGCATGGGCAGATACGCTACATCACCATCATTCCCTTGAAGAAAGTTTGTTTTTTCCAATGGTGGAGAAGATAGCAAAAGAAGCGGGGATTGATGATTGTGAAGGTATCATGGGAGGGAACGTGGATCAACATCATGAGTTCGAGCCCAAGATAGCGGAGCTGGTCAAGTGGGCTGAAGAGGTTGTGGCTGGGAAGAAGACATATGACGCTGTGGAACTGAAAAGGCAGATCGATGACTTCGCACCTATCCTGACACAGCATTTACATGACGAGATCGGTACCTTGGTCAAATTGGAAAACTGCGATGGAGAGAAGATTAAGCAGGCGATGAAAGAAACGGCTGATGAGGGAGCAAGGACAGCCGATCCGGTACGTACTCTAGACTTAGTGATTTCGCTGTTGTAAGGTAGCGCTGATACTGTATAAATCCAGAACCTTGTCATCCCCTTGGTGCTCGGAAGTATCGATAGAGGCTATCCAGGCAGCGAGAACTTCCCGCCCTTACCATTCTTCGTTCCATATCTCAACGCGTATTGGTTTACGCGAAAGCACAAAGGCTCTTGGCGATTCAACCCAAGTGACCACTGGGGTAATCCGAGGCCGCTGCACTTTCTCCAGTAGGATGGAGTGTTCGAACATATTCTCGCCTAAGCTTGTATGCGAAGTACGTCCTCACAGCCTTACCGTAAGGAAACAAAAATCTGTGTCGTCTTGTCCCATGGAACTCATCTTTTCTCCAGTCCCTTGGAAGCGTGGTGGACAGCGACACAGAACATCCGAATGATATTAGGAAGTTGCACAAAGATCGTGGAGCTAGAGCGAGGAAGGAGATTGGCCATGTGGTTGGAGGAAGCTGAGAAGTATCGTGCAAACGCAAAGGGAAAGGTACCTAGCAAGTGAAACAATCTCGAGGTAGACAAATATGTGGCGCTGGATCAGTTCAGCCTGCTAATTTTGTTCACTTCCGCCTCTTTACTTGTCTAGACTCTTTCGAATTACCTCCTAGTGCTATTTAGATCGCCCGCTCTTTTGCATCCAAATCATTCTAATCCAACAATACCTGTCTCAACCACTCGCATCTACAGCAAGTAATCATGCATGACAACGTTGTACCTCCTACCAGCCTCCTCGAGCTTCCTGGAGGTAAGTTCGTCGCAAATTGGGAGCCTAGATCGTTTCTAATACATATCACTAGAGCTTCGCAACCGTATCTACGACTTCGTACAAGAGCCAGATCAAGTCCGTCTTGTATACAAGCCGAGTCTTCACCACAAGCAAGTCGAACAAACTAGTCAACAGTTCTTTGGTCTGACCCAAGTCTGTCGCAAGCTCCGAGTGGAGTATCTACCTATCTACAATGCGCAAACCATTGTCAGCATTGGTTGCTTGCACACAGCCTCCTACGTCGACACATTCATTCTTCCAGCTGGCGTGGAGCCGGAACAAGCACGCGGGAACCTGATCGTTCGGACCCCAGCGTATCACGGTGAGAGTGTCGAGCAGCGAGTCCCTACGCAGGCTATAATTGACCTCATCGCCCTCAGCCAGAAAGCTCCTGGAGTCACGATCAAATTTGACAAGTCCGCTTGGTTCGTCCCATTATTGTGCACACTAAAGCGTAGATATAGGACACCTTTATAGAGCAGCCCATAGAGCATTTGGAATGTCAATTTCTGGATGGATCATGTCCCTGGATCGTCTTGAGGATCAATAGAGGACTTGCACAGCTATGGATGCATAGACAGCCATTTGCCAAATATACCCGTACGTTTCGTGAGTACGGTGAAGGCCTCAAAGACTAGTTAAAAGAGATAGGAATATGGGATATAGTCTAGGGATTATGCATAGGCTTTGATATTGATACTAAGTGGAAAGTATATCAGTTGTATTCATGGCTTTGTGAAGAGAAAAGAAAACTGCATAATGCAAGCAGATGCTGCACAATGGTTTCAACAGAAGACTGCTATTATTCAAGACGACAGGTTTAACAAAAGTGATGGGTTGTGTTATTATGATTCGAGAACGTTAATTTTGAGGTCAAGCTTGTCAAGTAACCGCAATAACGTAGTCGTTAGCTGCAAAGCTGTGTAGTCGAGTGAAGCAGCAGAAGCGTAGCCTGATAACATCTCAACGAATCTCAATACGTATATGGCCGCCTCTCCTATTGCTGCTTCATGACTGCAAGCCTAGACCACTTTGAACACATGACCAACCTCGTCACTTTATTCTCCTTCGTGTTCTTGTTCCACCAACTGCCCACCTGCAGTGAGAACGAAGTCACACATCACGCCGTAATGATCCGAAACCCAATCCAGCTCTCCAGCCTCCGTCATCATTTGTCTATGCTCTTCTGCTGCTTTGACGCCCATGCCAATCCTTTGAAACTTGATTGGACTTAGAGATCCGGTAAAAAGGATCTTGTCCATTCTACTGCATCCAAATCTGTCTCTCATGGCCTGTGGAACCTGGTAACCCCATGTGTACCCATTGTCACTGTCCTCTTCACCAGGGCCGGCTCCTTCGCCGCCAATTAGAAGATAGGCATCGTTAAGATTATTGTCTTCATGCAGCGTACGATCAAAGGGCTGAATGGCGTTGAGATCACCAGCTAGAATTGCGCTTGAAACACTATCGTGATGAAGGTACTGCTTCGCGGCTGTCATTTGGATGGGGCGGACTGGTGGGTCGGCAACCAGAGATTCCAGATGTGTGTTACATAGCCGCATGGTTTTCTGCAGGCCGTCGGGATGAGCCTGGTTGTGAAGGACGATGTCGACGAACAGGCCATCTCGATCGAATTTGCTATACCAGGGAACGCGGAAAACAGAATCTATATACAGTCGCCGATCTAAAAGGGTTGTAGTCCCGTAATGAGGACTTAACCAGTTCCGTGAGTCGATATCTGTGAGGTTGAAGCGTTGCTTGACCCAGGCCGAATCTCGTATTTGTTCCATGTCCGACACTCCCATCTCTTGGAAGAATATGATGATTGCGGACTCCGGCTCCGTCGATGATACCACATCATACAAATGATCTAGCGCGGCACTCATCCGTTCCTCTGCAAATGGAACGAGGATGTCAATGTTCCAGGAGATCAGTCGGATCTTTGTGGGGTGTACAGGTGGTTGTGATTCATCTTTCGGAGGAGATTCACCAGATTCCGCTGCTACCCAGTCATCATCTGGCGAGACGCAATAGTAACTCTGTTGTCTCGGCTCGTAGAAGGCGTCTTCACGTTTCTGTATCTTTGTAGAGAAAGCGGCAGCAAGAGCCTGCATGATGGGGTTGGGCTTGTTGGAAGACATGCTTCTAGGAACTATGGTAGGTAGTCAGAAAGCAAGAGACGATGATCTGAGGCTGGGGACTGTAGGTCGCAAGCACACGATGTTGATAGAGAGTCGAAGACAGACACCGCGAGACATGATGCTGATTGTAATCTTGATTAGTGCTGATGCGGGGCGTGAAGCACACAACTGAGGGCGAAGTGAGACCCGAGGTTTCGGTTAGGAGTATGTAGTTGCTTGTATCAAAGCAAGCAATAGCCAGGACTAGATACCTTCTAGTGTAGCAGACTGATGAGCAGAAGCAAAAGCGTGTTGCTGCAGGTTGCAGGTGATGTACAAGCGCCGGCACGTGATGCGGTGAGGGCACCCCTGTCATCAATGCCGAAGCGCGTCGTGAACTTCGCGATTCAGAAGGAGCTCCAAACTGGGGAAGCAGCCACGACCACAGCTCTTCGCCCCGCCAAAACGACCGTCCCTCATCCACCGTCGGCCCAGTCGCCCTTTCCAGTCATCATCCCCCAAGCCCGTCGCTGCCCCAGCCCCCCGCCATGGGCTCCCGATTACACAATGCTCCCATTGTGATAGACAATGGCAGTGGTACGATCAGAGCTGGATTCGCAGGAGAGGATGTGCCAAAATGCTTTTTCCCGTCATACGTAGGACGGCCAAAGCATGTGCGGACAATGGCAGGCGCATTGGAGGGCGATGTATTCATAGGACCACAAGCACAACAATACAGGGGGCTTTTCAAAATCAACTACCCATTGGAGCACGGCATTGTCACAGACTGGGATGACATGGAGCGGATATGGCAGTACGTCTACACCGAAGGCCTCAGGACTGTCAGCGAAGATGTGAGTTGGACCATGGCGGACGGTGCCTTTTGCTGCTGTTGAGGGGCATGGAGCTAACCATTCGTCCTTTCAGCACCCCGTACTCCTTACAGAGCCTCCTCTAAACCCCCGAGAGAATCGCGATACGGCTGCTCAGATCCTGTTCGAGACGTTTAATGTGCCCGCCTTGTACACATCAGTCCAAGCTGTCCTGTCACTATACGCTTCCGGCAAGACGACTGGTCTTGTTCTAGACTCGGGAGATGGTGTCTCGCACGCAGTACCCGTCTTCCAAGGTTTCGCCATACCCAACAGCATCAGGAGGATAGACGTGGCAGGCAGAGATGTTACAGAACACTTCCAACAACTACTGCGGAAAAGCGGTCGCGTCTTCCATACAAGCGCTGAGAAGGAGACAGTCAAGAACATCAAAGAGGCAACAGGATACGTGGCGCTCGACCCGGCCAAGGAAGAAAAGGACTGGTCAGGCTCGTCCAGATCCGAGGGCAAGAGCGTCGACTATACACTACCTGATGGCCAGAAGATAAAGGTAAGGTCAAGCCGATGAAGCATATCGAGTACTAGCTGACAGTGTAGATCGGAGCGGAACGCTTCCGAGCGCCCGAAATACTCTTCAACCCCGAGATCATCGGTCTGGAGTACCCTGGAGTGCACCAGATTGTTGTTGAGGCGATACACAGGACCGACATGGACCTCCGGAAAGCGCTATACGGCAACATTGTACTCTCTGGTGGTTCCACATTGACAAAGGGATTCGGAAACAGACTGCTCCACGAGGTGCAAAGACTGGCGGTGAAGGACATGAGAATCAAGATCTTAGCACCACCGGAGCGCATCTACACCACGTGGACCGGTGGCAGCATTCTTGCGGGCCTCAGCACTTTCAAGAAGGTGAGTTCCTTATTCCCAGCACGAGGCTTTGGACAGCAGACTGACACGTGCATGCAGATGTGGGTAGAGAAGGACGAATGGCAGGAAAACCCAGACATCATCCACACCAAATTTGCCTAAGCACCGACACGTTGCGGTCTGGCAACAGCAATTAGTCCGCACCCGTTTGTTCCGCCTCCGCATCATCTTTCGAGAAGGAGCTACATAGGCGCATCGGTAGCGCTGTTGCAGTTAGTCATGGAAACGAGGTCCCAAGACCTGGGGTCAAGCCAACCATGAGCGAAGAAACCTGGGGGCTGCACGCTTGGTTGGAGGAAAGAAGATCTACGTGTCAGCCGGTAGCCGTAGCTTCTAGACGGGAGAGCTACCGTAGCATGTTCCTTTCCCCGCATTCGAGTGCGTTTCTGTTACTTAAGCGCGAGCATGGTTCGAGAGTGTCGGTTAGGTAAGGGGTACGAGGGGACGAGAACACGTGCATGACAGGCGTTTGTGAGCGCTTTGGAATACCCCTATGATTATGAAGCGTACAGAATACCACAATTAATCCACTTGCGACTGTGCACACGGAGTGCGAAACTGCCATGTCAGTATCAGAAGGTTTGGGCGAATGAGTGTGCCAAGGATCGTGAGGTCTCGTCCAGTCTTGTCAGCCATGGTGTGACCACGGTCAAATCACCGATGCTTCACTCTGGCGCAATTCCACGCAATGTGCAACACATATTACACACAATGGCGAAATGACATGCACAAATGGCATTACCCCGGCCGCAGTCATCGCGTAAGCGCTGCAGGTACCTGATCACAGGGCCGGCCACGACAAGGGGCCACGTACATTTTCGTCACCGCAAGCACAGAGCCATCGCCGCCTAGACTTCACGATGCTCGACGTCATGCACGACGGGGCGTCCGGAGGCTCGGACAAGTGAGCTGATCGTGCGCGGTCACCAGGCAGAGCAAAATAGGGAGAGAGAGGCGGAAGTGGTTATTGCTTTTTTGGAAGACGCCACCAAACGCTCGAGGTTTGCTGTGCCTTGCAGAAGAGTGAATGTCGGTGCATGCAGTGAGGTGTCAAAAACAGCAACACCAAGATCAAACAGGCAGTATCAGAATCTGCAACCGCTCCACGTCGGTTCTCCTCTATTCCAGGCACGCCCGATGGCAAGCGCAGAGCGTATGCGGCGTATGCATGACGCGAGCCAAACTTGAGACGCGCGAAAACAGCGAAAAAATCTCTTCCCGCCTCCACATTCTCCGCCGGGAAGCGTGTGCTGGCCATCGCGGAAGCTGGCACATGGGGCCCAGTTTGCGTCTTTGCGTCAAATTTTCAGCCCGTCACCTCAGCATGCTCAGTCACGCTTCGGCAAGCTGCGATGCGCTGCTGCGGTTGCTGCGGAGCCAAGGTCCGGCCTTTCGATAGCGTCATGGGCTCGATCGCTTCGCTCCTTGTCCTCCGCTGCACCTGACCATTTCCCCTGGCAATCTCTTACCCCCGAGAAACTAGATTCACCCAATCAGCGCATTTTGAGGGGGTAATGGTAAACTATTCATGGCGCTGAGAAATTTCCTACACTTGCGTTGTTAGGGGACGCATGATCCATTGACTGCCGTTAACTGCAAAGTGTCGCTCAGACTTCCAAGGCTTCTGAGCTGGCCTCGTGCGCGTTTGGTTCGTTTCGTGGCGCCGAAAAAAAGCTTGCGCGTGAGAGATTTTACTTGCCTTGCATTTGAGTAGTAAGAGGGGATCGTGATCAGTGCGAGGCTGCATGTTATATAAACCCTCTACCCCAGTATGTCTTGTTGTTGAGTACCATCGATCAACAACCACTACAGATCTTCCCGGAGCTACTTAACATCAACGCTACCCCAGACTCTACCAACGATAGTCGCCACTTGACTTTGCTCCCATTCCATAACACTACACACAACCTCATACCAGCAACCGCATACCAAACAATCAAAATGGTCAACTTCCACATCAGCGAGCCTCACCCATCCGCCGGTGCTTACATGTACTCCGGCCGCGGCGGCGCTGGCAATGCTATGCGCATCAAGGCCACCGAGGTCACTCCTGGTCCCACTGCTTCTGGCCCTGCCTCCCGCACCAAGTTGCCTCCCCCACCCAGCAACGCCTTCTACGCTACCGGTCGTGGCGGTGCCGGCAACATGAAGAAGTCTGAACGCGCCATCTTCAGCTTCGACGAGGAACTCCAACAGCAAGAACGCCTCCGCACCCAACAAGCACCCGTCTACCACATCGGTCGCGGCGGTGCTGGAAACCTTGTTGATGAGATGAAGCCCCGATCCCACCGCCAGAATTCCGCCTCTTCAACCACCAGCTCATCGAGCGTAGAGAGCGAGAAGGACGGCGTACGAAGGAGCATCGAAAACACCTGGCAGCGTCTGAGCAGGCAATTCTCTCACCAATAGAGAGAATGCCGCTCAATTCTTGCTTCCCGTCTTCACTTCTTCAATTCCTATTATCGGCATGAGAGCTGGTTCTGATTCTCTCATCATCATCATCATCTCCCATCAAAGCATTTCCATCAGCACGGCGTTCCAAGGAGATTCTGCATCTCCAACTGTATCATACCACCAAAAGTTCCTTTTACGACATCTTCTCTTTTCTTCCTTTTATCACGACATACCACACAACCATCGAGGAGCCAGGCGCCAACCTCCGGTCATCAACAAAAAGTTTATACCCGGAAATGATCGTCCTGCTCTTGCGAGAGAGGGCTTACTTAGGAGATTTTATACCCCCAGGCCAGTGAGAGGCTGGTGAGGAACAGGATAGTTGTCCTGCCTCAGTCTATAGTTTAATTGACATTCAAATGTTCATACTTGTGTGCTACTTTGCAAATTGTGACTCTTCGATGCAGACGCCATGTTGTACAGTCTTGATACTACGTAATGCTATGAAGTGCATATGAACAACAACAATCATTACAGTAGCAGATCTCTTTCTTCAGTCACCTCTCTCACACGTCTTCTTCTTTGACAAGCATAACTTCTCCCTCTAGTTCTCATAATTCCCCACCGTTATGTTTAAAGAAGAAAAAAAAGCCAACGCTCACCACAACCACGCGTCTCCAGCTAGTCTTCCCCTAGCGACCCAGAAACGCAGACTAACCATCATCCAGATGCCAAGCAGCGGCGGTGCCCCCCGCTCGCGGAATAGTCGCCGTATGGCATATAGCCTATTCCAGCATCTACTTTTGTGGCGTGCAGATCTAGATCGCCCGCCCCGCGACCAGACCTGCATGCGGGAGCGGAGATCAAAGTCTGCATGCAAGTAGGGCAAGGCCAAGAGGATCCTGTTCACCGGAAACTGGAAAAAAGTCCATGTGGAGAATTATGCAGACGGGATCTGTGGGATGTGTAAACACTCACCGGAGGTATTTAGTGATCTAGCTCTTTCGCAAAACAGAGTGCACAGCAGGACGGTAGCAAACATGTCTGTGAGGATAGCGACGATTTGTGATTATGCAATATGGGTACACGTAGCCAATTTCTGATGTCCGTGGAAAACGGGACTCCAAACCCAAGCGCCCTAGTATGAGTAATCTTTTGGTTGGCCCTCAATACAGGCTATGATGCATCCCAGGATGACTTTGCAAAGATGAGAAGGAAAGAAAAAAAAAGTAACGAAAAGAGTCTACCAATACATGACTTTGAAGCCTTCCAGAACCAAGAGTCAATTCTGACTAGACCATGCAATTATTCTACGGTTGTTCAACGCCTGGGAGGCTGATTCTTGCCAGCCGCAGTGGTGATCAACATCTTGAAACCGTTCTTGAGTGCTACCATGTCAGGATAGACGTTCTTGTGTAGCTCAAACGCGTTCGGTACGACCTTGATAGGCCATGCACCCCTAGGTCCCTTGGCGCTCATCTGGAAGCAGATCCAGAAGTGACCGGGGTACTTGGGCATGCTGCAGAATGCGTACATGGAGCGTGAAGCGTTGGCCTCGCAGTAGACCTCTAGCCATTTTTCTGCATCAATGTTAGCTTTTTTTTTGCATGTTTGGTAAGGTGTGAGATGCAATGAACTTACCAGTATCTTCTCGTGTCCCAGGTTGGAACTTCTCGTCTCGTGTAATTTCTGTGACCTTGCGCGCCATTGCCTCCACGTGGTTGACGATCAACTCGTCAAGATCGGAGTATGTGTGCTTTCCGATCTTCAGTTGCTTTCCGAGCGAGAACTGGTTGGGCTTGTTCATTTCAAGAACGTCAAGATGTTGGTATGAATTGTTGGATACTTTCCATGTGACGACGAGATGATCGAAACCCTTGGACGATGGACGGATGACCAGGTCGCCAGTCTCCTTTCCGCCCAGGTACTCCTCGGCTTGCATGGTGTTGAAGGAAAAGAAAAGAGGGTGGTTGACGACACGGTTGGGCCGACCAGACGCAACTTCCTTCTCCTTCTCGGCAGCCTTCTTGTCGAGAGCTTCTTGCGCTTCGTCCCACTCGCCAGCTGCACGATTGTAGGGCTTCTTCTCTGGTTGTCGGATGAGATCGTCTCGAAGTGACAGTTGAGCGGTGAGAGCTTTGCGGTTGAGGTAGACGATACGTGCGCGTACAATCTGGTTGTTCTGATAGACATGGCGAGGCTCTTGTCCGCCACTGCCAACGCCCTCTGGGAACTCCGACTCGGAGACACCACCTTCGATGCCACATTCGAGCTTGACTTCAATATGGTCTGGGAACGTGCGTCTGATGGTAACAGGTACAACCATACCCTCGTAGAGTGTCTCTTCCGTCTCACCAGTCAACATTGTGAACATCTCGCTACCAGACAAAAGTGCGAAAATCTGTCGAATTTCCTCGTAAGGGTTGTCGAGCTCAGCACGAATCGTCTCAAGCGTCGCGCGCTTACGCTGACCGAAATTCTTCTCAATTTCATTCGCGTAGTCTTCGAGTGCCAAGTCGTTGACCAGATCGGTAGTCTCTTCCCTCACCATCTTTCTGACGACAGCACTGGGGCCACCCTCATCGGTCTCAGCCTTGACATCTTCCTCATCCATGTTAAGAGCATCGGCAACCATTTTCCTGGCAAGGTCGTAATCTTCTGGATGTACACGGGTGTAGTCCAGGTAGTCGGACGACTCCTCTGTTGAGTCATAAGGAATATACAGGAAACTGGCGCAGTTTTGGAAGACCTTGGGGCCCATAGCCGCCTTAAGGTCGCGGGACTCAGATACACCAAGTAGATCGAATCGCGACAAGATCTCGTCGCTGTTCGCCTGGATGGCTTTGATCAAACGGTCAGCTTTACGAGGTCCCAGACCACACACGTAAGGTATCAACTTTGATAGGTACTTGTCGTCGTAGGTCTCCGGTAAGTCGATACCCACAAGATTGACCATGTCTACCATGGCGGTTTCAAGTCGGTCGAGAAGTTTCTCTTGCGGAATCAAGGTTTGGTTCGGAATGAAGGGAATCGAAACGATGTCTTTGCCGAGCGATGCGTATTCTGCCAATGGGTTTTGCAGATATCGGCCAAGGGCAACGCAATACCTCGTTAGTGCGGGATACTTGGGGAACTCGGCGACAGCCCGAGCACTTGTGTGGTAAAGACGAGCGACCTCATCGTTGACCATAATGACTTCCAACGACTCGTACTTCTCTTCACCGGTGTCTTCATCCTCGTAGGCCGGACCTGTTAAACCTCGCTGACCGATAATCTCCTGTATGTCCTTGTACAGCTTTCGTGTCTCCACCGCGAAGCCACTGACACCAATGACGTCTGGGCGGCGACGCTGTATTACGTCTACCAGCTTCTCGATGTCTTGGCCTTCAGGAATACCACGCTCTGCGTTCCCAAGTCGCATCTCGACTAAGCGGCCGTGCTCAAGAACCCGTCCGTCGTTCTCGACGTAAGCCCACATGATTGCGTCTCCACGTTGACCCTTGCCGTTAGTCAGGCAGAGGACGTTGGGTACCGATCCGAGAGGTGCGCTCTTCAGCTTGTAAGGTGCCTGGTCAAGCTTGTTGTAATAGTTTTCTCTGGCTGATGCTGCAAGCTCGTCTTCGCATCGAGCGCGCAGAGTTTCCTTGACACCGTTCGCGATGAGATCCTGTAGCTTGCCTAGAGCAGCACCGAGCAGTTCCTTCCGGAGGTTGTTCCAAGTGTCGGAGATGTCGCTGACACCATCGGAGATGATCTTCTCTTCAAGTCGCGTCTTGAACGTGTTGTAGTTGCCCATGGAAATCTTGACCCGAACGAGACCTTCCGCCTCAGCTTTCAGCATCTTCAAGAAAAGATCTGGTCGACCCTGGAGATCCGAAAATGTCACGCCGCGGAGGTATTTGAACTCATAGTAGGGGTGGTCTTCTGTAATCTTGCGCATACCCTTGTCGGTGCGAATGCAGTCGATCTGAGCATTCTGGTAGAAGCTACCGCGCAAGTATCGGCGCAGACGCGAGCACATCTTCAAATCTTCAACAAACAGAAGCTTGGTAGACCTGAGAAGGGTGGCGCCAGTCTCTGGAGCCTCGGCCATTTGGTCGGCGAGCTCCTCAACCTTGTACGGCGGATCCTCGATGGTATACGCGCCTCGACTAGACCCGTCAACCCTCTTCGCGAAGTCCTCTGGTGTGATGCCGATAGCCTTGACAAATTGATTTGCCTTCCCGCCCCGTAACTTGTCGAAAAAGCTTCGCGCGTTGTTGGCACGCTTCTGTGTTCCATTCAATTCTTGTCGGACTTCGTTGATCTCTTGCGAATACTTGTAGTGCAGATAATCCTGAAGTTCCTGAATCTCTTCGATAGTGATGGCTCTGGACGTCAACTCCTCGATCTCGTTATCGGTGATGTCAGAGTATACGCTCTTGAGGTTCTCGTAGTTCTGCCTGAGGGCGTCACGCTTCTCTGCGAAGGCCCTGAACTTGAGATCGAACTCGAAGACTTCCCACAAATCGGCTTGGTTGAGCAGGCGCTCCGGTCGTGCATCCATGGGCGGCGGGTTATCAATATCGTCGTAGTCATCGTTGTCGCTCGGTGCATGGATGAGGTAGTCTTTTCGATGGTTGAAGATAAAGGGAACTTCGTAGTCCTCAAGATTGATGAACTCGAGAACCTTACGCACAGCCTTCTCGAAAGGTTGCAAGAAGTAGCGCGGAAGACCCTTCTTTGGCCACAGCATGTTGCTGATCCAAGTAGCTTCCTCAGTCAGGCGTGCTTGCATGTCTTCAGGTGTGAGCTCGATCTCCTTGAAGGATCTCCGGGCCAATTGCAGTCGCTCGGGAATGTCGGTCTCGCGGATAACGTTGTCTTCATCCGTAAGCATGCGCTCCTGCAATTGCGATGGCTCGAAAACATCTTTGAGTTGGAGTTCACGGCCTTCGCCAGCTTGCTCATCCTCTTCAGCCTCTTGCATCTCCAACGCCCAGTCGTAATCTGTGCCATCACCAAAGGCAGCCCTGTAGTCTTCCTCAGCGCCTTCGTCCAGACCGGCGGCTTGCAGTCCTTTCGTGATCAAGTTTATGCCTGGTTGCGTGACGTCGCGGTCGTCTTCGATCTCGTCTTCGAACTTGTCGTCCTCGATGAAGTCATCAAATTCGTCGCCTAGGCGCGCGCGGGGCTCGTCGTAGTCTTCATTTACTTCGTCATCGGAGAAGATGTCATCAACACCTCGAGACTTTACGCGCTCTTTGTGGCCACGCTTGAGACGCTTGAATCTCGACTTTCTCAATGTTAGCGATGTCGACACTTCAACACGGCATGTCTTACCTGTTCTTCCGCCGGGCGTTCAACCTCGACACCGATCAGGTCCAGATCCTCGTCGTCGAGGGCTTCCTCTTCTTCACGGTTCTTCTTCCTCTTTCTGCGCTTGCGCTTGCGCTCCGCGATCTCATCTTCTTCGTCGTCCTCGTCTGCGATGAAGCCTTCACCTTCCTGAAAACTGGTTAGCACTTCCCGAGAGCCAAATCAGTACGGGCAAGCTTGCCTGTCGCAGTCGGTCTTCATCGTCATCGTCTTCCTCCTCGCTGGAGTCGTCGATGCCGTTTGTGCCATTTGTCTTCTTCGGCCTGGATTCACCGGCCTCGCCAGCCTCGCCATCGAAGTCCTCATCCTCCTCTTCGTCGCTGCCTACATCGGCGATTGTGTCGAAGAAATCCGCCATGGTGTCTTAGGACAAGGAGAACGCGTGAGTTGATGGTACTTTCTCGAAAGCGCGATGGACGATTTCGGCGAGCTCTTGGCCGTAGAGTGGGTATCGTGCTGCGGCGATTCAGCGAGAGGCAGATTCGGGCGCAATGGAGGTAAAGGAGAGAAGAAAGGCAGATGTCGACTCTCAAAGGTTCGCGCAGCCATCGGCCGCGTTAACTTTCGGCCGCACTGACGCTGATCACGTGATACTGAGATTCGCGCTAGGGGGTAATACCAGCAGCAAAGCTGACCATGCCCAACTTGGCACAGCATGCTACAGCTACGGGCATCAAACACGTGGACTTGGCTAGTCCCGTCCCTTACGTGCATCTAGTCATGTTCTCAGGTAGGGTTTGAGAAGGATGCGAGCTCCAATGGACTAGGCGCTTCAGCAACGACTCAGACGCTGAATAGAAGACATCAACTGCTATCGCTCTTATGCTTCCGAGTAGTACTGGCAAGCGAACGAATGCGCGTTGCATATCTTGAAAGCAAACGTAGTGGATAAATTCGCACCTTGTATATGCGATTCGTCTGCTGCGTCAGGCACATGCTCGTATTCAAGATACGCGCCTTGAAGTTCTGCGCTAGAAGCAGGTGAAGCATGGCGATGATAAACCATGCGAGTCTGAAACCTCCTGAACAAGGCATCGTGTAATGTGTATGTACTTATCAAAGGCTCGTTCCTTGTAGGACCCATAGGTTCGACAGCCTTCTTTTTCTCGAAAGCGAAGTTGTATCTTCCATCGCTTGCACTACCCGCAGCCCTGCAGAGTGAGTTGATAGACGTTAGACGCTGCGTGCTTGGAACCCCACCAGCGCGCCCCACTACCTAGCCCTGGAGACTGACACGACGACGACCTCTCCTGACTTGGTTTGCTGTCAACGACGCCTGAGACATTCTCCTTTATACCTGACCTCCGACTTTCCAATCGGTCCCCGCACCCTCTTGCCCGCGCACACTCGCTCGTCAGGCGCCCGAAAAAGGACAAACCAATAGACGCTGTCCTCCTTTGGGCTATTTCCGTGATTGGCGTACCATCGTCGACACAGCGTCGGGCGGCAAACTCGAAACCAGAGCCAGCATACACCCTCTTCTGCACCTGGGCTCCTTGTCTCTGACGACATAGTCCTCACCTTGCAGTCGCTGCACCCCTTCACCTTCACCTGCACCACCACAGCGCCCGGCGCAAACCTTCAAGATGGCTGAGTCGTCCTTCAAGCAGAAGACGATGAAGAGGAAGAACGTCAAGGGCCTGGCACTCAGCGCTCCCCCACCGAAGCCCGCTCCTTCCGCCGGAGATGCCCAAATACCCGGCGCCCGAGCCAACGATGAGAAGCAGGATACCCTTGAGATTGGTGTTGAGTTCCAGCTAGACCTGAAGGCCGAGGATCTGATAGTGCTGCGGGAACTGGGTCACGGAAACGGAGGAACGGTCAGCAAAGTGCAGCACGCTGCTACCAAGGTTATAATGGCGAGGAAGGTTAGTAGCAGGCTAGTAGGGCAGATACGAGGGAGAAGACTGACAGGGGCAGGTCATACATGTCGAAGCGAAGAACGAAGTGCGGAAACGAATCGTGCGAGAACTCCGAATCATGCACGACTGCAACTCGGATTACATTGTCGACTTTTACGGTGCCTTCCAAAATTCTTCCGGGGATGTGATAATGTGCATGGAGTACATGGACGTGGGGTAGGTTCAGGGTGGTGCATACGATATGCTGGGAGTTACTGACTGTTATACCAGGTCGCTGGATTGGGTCTCACGAACATTTGGACCAGTCCGTGTCGACGTACTCGGAAAGATCTCAGAGGCAGTGCTCGGAGGCCTCGCCTACCTCTACAGCGCCCACCGTATCATGCATCGCGATCTCAAGCCCTCGAACATCCTCGTAAACTCAAAGGGAAACATCAAGCTGTGCGACTTCGGTGTCTCAAGTGAGCTGGAGGGATCTATCGCCGAGACATTCGTAGGAACAGGCACATACATGGCGCCAGAGCGGATACAAGGGTCTCCCTACACCGTCAAGTCCGATGTGTGGAGTGTTGGACTTACGCTGATGGAATTGGCCATTGGAAAGTTTCCCTTCGCTGGAAGCGGCGATGACGACGAAGCTGGAGGCCCACAGGGTATCCTGGATCTTTTGCAGCAAATCGTTTTGGAACCCTCACCAAAGCTGCCAAAGAGTGATGCTTTCCCGTCAATTCTTGAGGATATGATTGCGAAGTGCTTGATGAAGGACCCAGCGGAGCGACCAACTCCCAAGGAACTATACGTAAGTTCTACAGGACTCTTTCTACGACGTATAGATACTGATCATAGCAGGACCATGACGCTTTCCTCCAAGCCGCGAAGCGCACACCCGTCGACTTAGAAGCATGGGCCATATCCATGATCGAACACAACAAGCGCAAATCCCACCTCGCCCCTGCCGCACCTGCAGCGACCATCAAAGAGAAGCTCCGCGAACGATCTCCTCCCCACAAGCGTGATTCTAGCGATCCCAGACAAAGAGTAGCCAACGGCGAACAGGAACCTGCACCCCGACGACCTTCATACCCTACACGGACATCGAGCAGCGGCAATGTTATGAACCTGCCCATGCGACCTGCGCCGCCTGTAGACGGCCCGGGAAGTAGACCAGGGAGCAGGGGACCGTCAGCGAATGGGTTACCACCTCAACCCAGGAGGTGGAACAGCGAAGTGCAATAGCTGGGCAAACTACGTTTGGGTACTAGAGGGCGGATCTGAGCGAGTATATAGAAGATTTCACGGGCATTTTGGATGGTCTCTGCTGGATGTTGGGACTATGTTTATCAAGTACAATGGTCAGGAGATTTTGCCTTGATGGCATGTTAGAAAGGAGCAGGCTCGTTGTTATTGCCATTCGACTAGCATCAAATATCAGTTGTCCATATTCCCATCACAGGTGCCATAATGAGATTATGACTGGCAGTTTAGAGTTGGGTGAGTCACTGTCATTCACTTCTCGAGATACAAAGCAGTTTGTGTGCTCATAAGAATTGTCGCCGCATAGACTATGCATAGCCAGAGCGCAGCTAGAGTCCAAGAAATCGAGAGCTAAAATCACGATTTGAATGATCGCAGATGTGGCTCGCTGGTCTTCTGTCCTCATTTTTACGGACGTTCATAACTATCGAGAATGTTCCGCAGTCCTTATTGTAACATTTTGCTGGTCACAGAAGGCATATACTGTTGCCAGCACTATCTACTGCAATCTGTACATCTCCTGTCGCCATCGTAATTGCGCTCTCATCCATGACATGACCCTCAATCCCATTCTACAGTGATATTGTGTTTACTGCAATTCGTTGCCACAGTAGCCGATGGGCTCAGTATTCAGCTGAGCTTATCGAACAACGCATGGTTTCTGCACACCCTCCTCCCACTGAATCGTAATCTCTGGTACTTGCGGGTCTTCTCAGTAATATTGGCAAGATCTAATGGAAACCCTGCCTTATTGCGTACAGATTGCATACGGCGAAAATAGGCTTCTGTGCAGCGATCATCGTCCTCTTCCTCAAATGTATCCGGCCATTTGCACCAATACTCGAACAAGGATACAGAAGAGGTGTCATCGCCACAATTTGGGGGGTGGCGCAAATTGTTTAGGGACTGTTCTGCGCGATCGCGTACGCGGTCTTTGACTTGGTTACGTGTCTCAACATAGGTAGTGATCCGAAAGAAGTCGTTTAGGAACGCTTTCCAATCGAAGGCAAAGGTCTTCCGGACAGTATCAACCATCAGCCCCGGAAGCTCGGCTTCATTGCAGTAAGACCCGAGCGTGGCAGTTTGGCTAGCATGGTATCTTTCTCCGGATCTCTCTTCGAAATCTAGATCTCGAAAGGCCATTAGTCCAACCACAATATCCTTGCAGCAATCGCAATGGATCCATTCGTGATCGTCTATGGGTATATCGTCATGATGAAAGTTGAATTGGAACTGCGCGCTGAACTGAGCTCGTGCACTGTCCTCGATGAGACTCTGGAACTGTATGCTCAGCACTCTGCAGTGGTAGTAGAGAAGGCGATCTTGATGCTGGGCGCGCCCACGAGCGAGCCAAGATATATCCAGAGTTGAGAGGCGTTTCAATACAAACTCGTGTTCAGCTTCCGCTCGAAAGGTTTGGGAGACCTGCCGACAAATGACCCAAAGCGTGTAGTCGTCGTCCACATGATGAAGGACTCTCGACCAGATCTCGACAGGCAGGTAAGGTTGTGTTTGCTGCACGATCATAGCCGGCCATCTGACGTTCATCAGGATTTGAGTTTGTGTTGGTATGCATCTCACTTACAGTGCATTGGCAGAGTCTGTATTATCCAGAGAGGAGGTCATCGTGGCCCGAAATCGATCCGACTTGATCGCGGAGCAGGAATGTGTCGAAGAGAAGAGGGATAGAGGCGGCGCCTAGTTAGAGCCCTTAAAAGAGGACTTGGATAAAAGAGCGCCTGCTGACATGGTCAATGCTGACATGCACTTAGGAAAGAGCGACGATCCGTGTAATTATGCACGACGGCAGTGAGCCCGCTTACGACTGCCCAGCCCATCATGCAGACACCCATGTACCACGAAGGTCTGACCCGAGTGATGATCATATTACTGGGGATCTGTGGGTGTGGAGGTACGAAGTTAGTGGATGATTGACATAGTTCTCTTGTAGTCACAACTTACCTGTCCGGAAAGTGGGGCTTCTGTGTTTGCGAGATATGATAGCATCACTTTGCTATTGCTAGAAAAGACTCATGAACCATATACAGATATAAAATTCATCGCCGAATGAATTCAAGCGCAGCGGAGCAGGTCGAATTGGATACAAAGGATCATCCTCCCCTATCCACACCGTGCACCTTACTCTAAGAGAGCTCACACAGCGGATCGGCCTTCCCTCTCATCGTCATCTCTAGGTGGGACCATAGCAATCCTCATACTGTCCTGTCGCATGATCTGTCTTTGCTGGTCTCTCACCAGTCTCATGGGTCCCCGATAGAACGCCGACAACAGATCCGAGATGTTGAAAGCATCAACGACGGCATTGACCGGCCCTGCAGCAGGACTACCCTGTTGCTTGTACGGTAATGGTGAGAAGGCCAAGAGAAGAAGGACTGCGAAAATGGGCATTTCGCAAGCGAGGATGAGCGAGGCGAGGCCGCTATTGATATCGTGGAATGTCATGTATTTAGTAGGTTTGAGTGCGCCATGGCCCGCGAGTAGGGAGATGATAAACTAGTAGTGTCGTCAGCATACTATACGCATCTTAGACTAAGCAAAGGACTGTAGAACTTACCGACTGGAGGAAGTTCAGACCAAGAATACCCTTGAATGTCGCCAGCTTGAGTATGATTCGATGCTCCTTCAACAACTTCTGGTTGAACTTATAGAACCTGAGGGAACTGATGATAGCGACTGTGGTGGTATATGCGACCAGAATCGTGAGCCACAGGTGTGCGAAGTGTACGTTGTTGGACTGTTTGCAGTAGGTGCCGGTAGCAAGGGTAGCTGCGGTGGCAATCCATATGATGATACTGGTCGGTATGAACTGAAGCACGCCGTACCAAATACGCTGAAAAGGGTCAGATGGAATCCAATTGTCTTGATGATAGGATAGCAATTTACCTTCAGCCAATTTGGACTGTTTTCTTTAAGAGTACCTTTGGCTCTCGCTCCTTCTCCGAACAAAGCGTCAAAGCCCTCACGATGCGAGAGCACAAGATCGCACATGAACAGCAGGAAGGCCGATAGCGCGATGGAACAGCCGAAATCAAGTGAATGTACTAGGTATTCTCCAGCGTCTTCTCGCCAGACGACGAGAAAGGAGAACAGCGCCACCCATGGTACCAATAACATGATCCGGATGATCTGTCGTTGTTGTACAGGATTCGAGTAGTTGAATGCATGAAGGGCGATGAGAATACCGACGATGATCGTGCTGAGGATGGCACAGGCTCCAGACAGAATTGTTGCGAATTGGTGGAATGTAAGGTTACCGACGAAGGGCACGATCTCAGGGCCACGGGTATCTTCAATTGGACATGTCTTGGAGTTCTTTCGTCGCTCGAGATGATTTCTTGCTACCAGTATAAAGGTATCCATAACCTGGCGATGGTACCCCGCTTGATAAGATGTGGGAGAATACAGCAGTAATGCAGAAAAATGTATGGCTTTAGTAGGAACACTGCGGAAGATACAACAGAAGTCTGATGAGGAGAAAAGAACACAATCGTTCCTAACGACGTGAGCAATATATACTTACAGTACAATGTTCATCCAGCCCAGCTGGTATATTCGCATAACGTAGCCACGCTTCAGGCCACCCTCGTGCTGGTGGCTGAGCCATACGGACCATGCCATTCACGACCACCGCTCAGGATGCCAGATAAAGTAAAGACCGTTGCAGCTCCTGTAAGCACTTGTAGCAGTCCTTGGCGAGGCTTGTACCTATCTCTAAGGTGCTTAGCAGACCCTTGACGCAACCCGGGTATACCGACGAGGCGCAGTATGGCATAATCCGTATGATTCGCGGATAAGACATTTGCTTGCGTGGCAGAGCGCTGAGTTTGGCTAATGCTATAAGCCCGCAGACGCCGTTCTCCTGCTGCGCGAAGGGCACCTAAATAGGTATAGTGCTGAGGCCTGCTTCAGGGCTGAGGCTTGCTGAGATACGATTGGTTGACGCAGTGAAGAAGGGGATCATGACGAACTGCATAGCACGGTTCGCATTTCATGGGAAGCCGAGCGCGACAATCATATCCGAGCGACGTCTTGTAGTTCGAAGAGACCCTTGAGATGGTTGTTAGTGTAGATTATGGATGCAACGCGAGAAGGCGCGGCCATCGCTAGCGTGCCAAGATTCCGAAGCGGTGAACAGTGGCAGAAATAATTCTAGGATTGGGGCATGCGCGACCAAGAACGTTTTGCGCAAAGAACCTCAGCGCATACACCCAGAGACCTCTGCCGTCACAAGACTAATTGATAGGGAGACACATAACCTATCTCCAGAGAAAGGATCGCCGCTCCTTCTAAACAGAACATGGCTATGGAACGCGGGCCTAAGCCCAGCACTTCGCAACCGCGGCGCAAGTCGCAAAACGCAGCGCCCATCGACGACGAAGACACCCGTGCAGTCAAAGAATTCACCGAGGCAGCCACGAAGCAGTATGGACGCGGCGATCGCATACGGCCAAAGTCAGTCAAGGACAAGAAGCTGCGATCCAACATCAAGTCGCTCGAGGCGAAGAACAAGCAGGCAGCGATAGAGGCGAAGAATGTCGAAGTTCTGCTCGAGAACAACCCTGGATTGTTGGAACCCGAAAATGAGCTGGAAAGGACATACAAAGTGCGACAAGATGAAATCAAGCAGGAGGTTGGTGTCGAGACGGCAAAGAAGAGCTTCGAGCTGCGGTTAGAAGGTCTTGGGCCATACGACGTATGCGAATACAGTCGCAATGGTAGAGACTTATTGATTGCGGGCAGAAAAGGCCATGTCGCAACTTTCGACTGGAGAGACGGAAAACTTGGCTGCGAACTACAACTCAACGAGACGGTACGAGACGCGCGATGGCTACACACAAGTAATCAGAAGAACTTTGCGGTAGCGCAGAAGAACTGTGTCTATATCTACTCGGGCGACGGTGTTGAGATGCACAAGCTCAAGAACCATTCCGAAGCCACACACCTCGAATACCTGCCATATCACTTCCTTCTTGCATCGGTGTCGACGGCAGGTATAGTACGATATACCGATGTTTCTACCGGACAGTCACTACAGCAGCTTTACACAAAGCTCGGCCCCTCAACCGCTCTCGCACAAAACCCACATAACGCAATCCTACATGTCGGCCATCAAAAAGGTCTCGTCACATTGTGGTCGCCTAACAGCGCTACTCCCCTCGTCAAGCTCCTCCCACATCGCGGCCCAGTACGAAGCATCGCGGTAGACAGGTCAGGAACCTACATGGTCAGCACATCACAAGACCGACGCATGTCCGTCTGGGACATCCGCATGTTCAAAGAAATGCATCAACAAACGCTCCGTGTCCCCGGTACCACGCTCTCTATTTCCGACCGCAACCTCACAGCTGTCGGCTTCGGCACGCAAACCGCCATCTACAAAGACGACCTCTTCCGACGAAACGCCGAAGACCAAACACCACCCATAATGCCGTACATGGGCTGGGGCGGTGAAGGACTAAACATTGGTCGCGTACGCTTCTGCCCCTTCGAAGACGTCCTCGGTATATCCCATGACAAGGGCTTCTCCTCCATCATCGTCCCTGGTTCCGGTGAACCCAACCCTGATACCCTCGAACCGGGCACCAACCCTTACGAAACCTCCAAGCAACGTCGCGAAACAGAAGTCCACGCTCTTCTCGAGAAGATCCAACCCGAGATGATTGCGCTCGACCCCAACTTTGTCGGTAACCTTGATTTGGCGACCAACGAGGAGCGGCAGAGGGAGATCAGGGCGGCGAGAGGAGAGAAGGAACCGGGCAAGGTGGATATGCTGAAGAAGAGGGGTAAGGGTAGGAACTCGGCGCTCAGGAGATACCTGAGGAAGAGCGGGACGAAGAATGTGGTTGACGAGGAGAAGGAGAGGGCGAGAGAGGCGCTGAAGAATATGCAAAGGAGGCAGATTGAGAGGAAGGAGAGATTGAAGAAGGAGTATGGTCCTGCGCTTGAGAGGTTTGCTAGGAAGTGAGCTCTAACATGCTCGCTTGTTAAGATACCATACTGGCGTTGGGGGTGAAAAGCATATTTTTCATCAGCATTTCACGGCGTTTATACTACTGATCTGGTACCCCTTGGTAGTTGATTGAGGCACTACGTTGAGAACGAACAATAAAACTCCATACCCATTTTACCTATCTAAAATGCCTAAAATGCCCATGATATCATAAAAGTCATTGATGCGTATTCTTCTAAGCCACAACAAGCTCAGGCACCTGTTCAGCCGACTGCTCCATCTCTCCCCTCCACGCCCTTGCACTCCTTGGCCACACCCTCTTGTAGAGACTGACAGCAACAGCATCCATAGGGCTAATCTTGCCATCAAAGGTGGCCTTGAAGTATCCATGCGTACCCAAACTCTCCTTGATGAAACCGCTCCTTCCACGCTTCGTCCATAGAGGCAAGCTCTTGAACCACTTGACGTCGCCGTCGTTGAAGAACATGTAGCGAACTGTCACGACGCGCTTGTTGATCTTGTAGGGGTGGCCGGTCAAGATGATGCGCTTGGCGATGATGCGGTTGGTGGAGGGTGGGAGAGATGTGCCTGTCGCAATCAAGCGGAGTGAGGAGGGATGGTCGGGAGAGGGTGTTTCACGTGTGAAGAAGAGGAGGGGGACATTGCCCCAGGTCAGAGGACCGATGAAAGACGCAATGGCCGACTGGCCAGGGTGGAGGAAGCGGGAGAATTTGTGCACGTTGTTTGGTGTGTTTCCAGCATGCGAGAATAGCTAAGGAACTGTCAGTACTAGATGGTAAAGCACACGTTCGTAGTAACTTACTGGGTTAATCACTATCCTCCTTGGTCCACACTGCACAATCATCTCGGTCTTTGACTTGATCGGCGATTCGTGCTCGGAGCTGAGCAGAATGCTGTAGTTGCAAGCTGTGCGCTTGTGCTCGTGTCTGAGCAGGGAAAACATGGCCATTGGCCGTGATTGAATTTCCTGGAATTGTAATGGGACGCCGCGAATGTGTACGCTTACCCGAGTTCCAGGCTTGACACCACCAGCCCAGGCTTCGCGCATGAACTTGGTCGCTGTGCGCTTGTAGTCAGAGATATCGAGCAACCGTTGCCACTCCTCTGGCTCGTATGGTCGATCCTCTTCTGTTTCCCAATGGCTGTTCTTCAGACTCTTCAATCCTCGGTAACGGATCAGACGCTCTCGCGCGTTAACATTCGGGTGCAATTCGATCTCATCAGGGAACTCCAGGTCTTCATCCTCTTCAGTTTTCCTGGACCTCCGGTACTCCTCGATCTGTGCAATCTCGTCCTCTGGTGATGGATCTAGGAACATCTCCGACTGCGGGTACTCAGATGGTCCACCCTCTGTCATGGCCTTGCCATCAACATCCATGCCTTCTACACCGTCTGCCGGGTGCGCAGGCTGACTCTGATTGTCTTCAACGTCCATCTCGTCGAAGTCCTCAAGATCAGAACCTGAGTCTGACATGTCGTCAAGATACCATGCGGACTGGTAGTTACTTGTGCCCTTTGGCAAACGCCTCTGTTTCGCAGGGGCGACCTCCTCTTCCTCGTCTGAAAAGTAGTGGTGATCATCGAGTAGAACACCCTTGCGCTCAGAGGGGGCGATGGACGTTGCGTAGTTGGTAACGTCATCCATGAGGGTCTCTTCCGGAGCGAGATCTGCCAGATCATCCTGGTCTTCCGTTGGACGTTCTAGAGTGTCATCGCCCTCTGTGTCAACAGCCATCTCTTCTTCTTTGTTCTTCTTTCTCGCCTCCAGCGGTGCAGCGACGATCTTGTCGACTTGGAAGTCGCCCCAATCTCCGACCTGTACTAGCCTGTCGGCTTTCAGTCCAAGACCTCGGACAACACCAGTAATGACAACGTCGCCAGTACCGTCCTCACTAGCAGCTGACTTGCCACCAGGCCAGGCGATATCTTCAATGAACATGTAGCTTCTCTGGTCTCTCCATCGAACACCCTTTGTGGTGGTTGTGCATAGCGATCGAACGAGGTTCGCGCCTTCTTGTCGGTTGTCGAGAGAGTAGACGCGCTCGGTGGAGGGTAGCCAGTGGGTGATGTATGATTTGAGCGAGGAAACGACAGATGGCCTGGCTTTCGCGGGCTCGACCTTGTCCAATCCTTGGACGACGGTGAAAGTGTTTGAGATACCCTGGCTTCCGACCGACTTCAGTATCAGCTCGCCCTCTGCATCGACCTCTTCATGCGCCGACAGGATGAAGACAACAAAGTCAGCGACACGGCAGGCGTCAAGAGCCGCCAAAAGATCCCTCTTGACGATCAGGTACTGCACTTTCTGCTTGAAACGGTCGATGCTTGTGCGCGTCCATCCTGCCTCGGGAACCTCCTCTTCAATGTCCAGACTGGAGTTCAGGCTGCGCACAGCTGCCGCGGTAGAAACGTCTGAACACAGCGGGATAAGAGCGGTGATCCTTGGCGCACCATCCTTTCCGGCGAATACGTTGGAAGACTTTGCGTGCTCGTGGTCCTTGTTGATGCGCATCTGCTTGGCGCGGTTGCGGCGGTCGATCTTGCTCACGACTTGCTGGTGGGGGGTCTTGCGACTGCCGAATTCGAAGGAGAGGGAGTTGACCTTGCCTATACAACACAGTCAGCAAAGTCCGGCCTGGTGGTGGTGAAGGACGCACCCTTGCTCTGCTCCTTGAGCGCGCCTTTGGTGGCATGGCGAGACTTGAAGCCCTTCTTCTCTTTCTTCGTGGTACTGCGGTGGTGGTGCGATTGCGCAGCGATGGGAGCCATGTTGTTGCCGCTGCCACCTGATTTGAACCGAAAAGGAATGGACGCCACTTTGACTATTCGGTATCAAAGACAGCGCTACACTGTTTGGTGGTGGAGAGTGGGATGGCGATAATTTTGACCCGTTATCGATAAAGGTGCCTAAGTGGAATAATTTTGGTTCCTCGGCTGTGGCGTCATGCGCAACATCCCTGCATCCCAGCCCGCGCTCTACTCAACCGCTCTTCGCCTCACATATTACACTCTATGCATTGCCTCCCCAAGCCTGAAAATGTAGGTTTGCTTTGAAAGTAGATGTTCGATCTGCCATAGCCACAAAGACACGCCTTCAAACATGCCACACCTTTGGCTTCCGCTGGCGAAGCATGTTTCGGCAGCAATCAGCGCATGTAGTGAAAGAGCCTGGAAGATATTCACTGTGCCTAAGCATTACACCTCGATGGCCAAGTCAAGACGAGCCCCAGGATTACCATTGACCCTTGGAGAGAGATGATTACATGTTCTCAGCACAACGGTGGGTTGCGCAATTATAGCGCCACGAACAGGTCAATCAGGTAACCAAAAATCCCCCTCTTGGACCCTTACAGATCGTAACTTGACGATGTTTACGTTCGTTGTCGTAATACAGCGGTCGAAGGGTCATGCTGCCACTTTATGATTCTTGGTGTGCTCTCCTCGTTCCCTTCTGTCGTTTTCACGGACATTTGCAGTGGACGCCTGTGTCGCTTCTTCGACTATTCTCGACAATATCGACTCTATTGCGGGTGACTTTTGCGATGCCCATACTGTCTCAAGAGGACACAAACGAGCTGGATGCAGGGTCAACAGGGCAGACCTCTAACGCAAGCTGCCAGACTCCCGCTGCGCAACAAATCTACCAGCGCGCCATTCCACGCAACCCAGTCAATCCAAATCCCCCTTCTTCACAAAATGTTCAGCAAACATCCACTCAACGCACTCCGGTCAAGTCAAATAACGATATCTCCGTCAACGCTCCAGCACCGTATCCCTTCGGACCGGATCAAATTGTGGGCCACCCTACAGGCTTACAATTCCCTCGCGATAGGGCAGATGCAGTCAAGGTTCTCGTCCGTCTTCTCCTCGATATACTGGTATACAGCTATGATGTCGACTTTCACGAGCTCCATTTCGCTCTCGCTGCATCTTCTCCGCATCTGTGCACTGCGAACCTCTCTACTCGAAACACCAGTCTTCTGAATTTCCAGGAGATGCGTGTTGTCCTCGAGTATGCCGATGCCATTCATAAAGCATGCGAGGCAGTCATCGACAACACCCAGAGTCTACTAAAAGATGAGGACCGCAACGTTATTATTGATCTCATAATGCAGCCAGCACAAACCCTTGGGATCGATGTAGCTTACGTTTTCGAACAGCTGTACGCTTTCCGGTCGCACAGATGCGATAGTGGGAACCATAACAAGACACTACTTTACACCAAGACCTCATTTTGGACACGACGGCGTGGCCTATTACCTGGCAAGCTGGGTATGGACAAGAATCAAAAGCTACTTGCACGCCGACTTGTCTCTGACGATATAGCTGTTGCACAGCTCGGCACGAGGTCCAACGAGGCGCTCGCACTGGTCCTGGGCAAGGCAATCAAGCAATACAACAAAAGGCACTGCAGATATGGGATGGCCAACATTAAGCGAGATGTTTACGCTGAACCTCCATTTGTGGCGTTGAGAAAAGAGGTCATGTGGTGGGAGCTTCTGCGAGAAAAGTCAGCCCAGGATGGGAGCCAGCCTTCGAACATAAAGATCCAAGCAGATTGGAGGATGAGTATGCAACCCAAATACGGAATCGCCGAGCGACACAATCGGAAGTTAGACAACCGGTCCTATCATGGGATGGGCAGTCTGCCGAATACGGCACCGCGTGGGAACAGTCATAATACGCGTAGGCCACGCTCTTTTCATGATCTACAGGCTATACAGGAACAATCCGAAGCACCGACCAGACCACAGTCTGTATGCAACATACGCTCATATATTATGCCTCGACCAGACGCAGCTTGTCGTGGGCTATCGACGAACTTTTAGTAGGTTGCGTCGACGCTGAGGCATCTGGGTGATAAATCGATGGTGCTCTCGCAGTAAGATACTATACACCGTTCGTCAAAGACAATGAAGGTCCCTAAGCTCATACAACGCGCATGGATCACAACCAGCTCCACTTTCTGAGTCAGATTGCTACAAATACAATATAACCAACACCCTCTATCCCAACCCAAGGATAGCAACTCAAACTCCTATTCCCAGAAACATACAATTCGCGCTTCGATACTCTCCCTCGGTTCCTCCCCTTCAGTCCCCTTGACTCTGAACGCCGTATGTGGACACCTCCATCCCAGCTCCTCCCTCTTCGAGTCCAACCCCTTGAACACGACCATTTCCCACGGCTGCATGCTACTCATATACCACCACTCATGCTTCTGTCCGCTCTCTCCATGACTCATAACATAATTCTTACTCTTATTCCCCGTACGACTAAATTCCCTTAGTCTGATCTGATAATCGCTGTCGGGAACGGTGGTCGCGTCGCACACGGCCAAAGGATCTCTTTTCACTGTTTTCAAGGGGCGCCAGGCGCCGAGGAAACAAAAACGGGAGGATTTGGTGAAGAGGGCCTCGATGTGAGGTGGGAAGGAGAGCTCCGTGAGAGTACCTGATAGGGCGTCGGGGGAGCCTTCGTAGTCGACGTGTGGGTGGCCCGAGGGGATGTCTTGCCAGCGGCCTTGTGCATCTTGAATGCCTTTTTCCGTGGGGGAAGAGTGGGCACGGATAACATGGTTGAATACGTGGGCTGTTGATGCGCCGGTTCTGTGTTGGTGGTGGTGTTAGCTTCATTCCTCTTTTGTCTCTTCATTCCTATAATGAGATATGTACGCGGGCATTACAATTTCTTGGCGACTTCTTCTAGCTCAGGGTAGTATTCTCGCTTGACATCTTCTTCGCTGCTGTTACGTCCTACTCTCTCTTTGCGTGGTAATGTCACGAACGTGAAGCCGTTTACATCCAAGTCGAAGGTCTTATCGGCCTTGCGTACATCTCTGATCAGCATAGGTCGAGTGTATTCATCGTTGTCATCTAGATATTTCGTTTTCCATGCTGATTTGGGGATTGGCACGCCTGTGGCAGGGAAGTAGTTGATGTTGGCGACGACGTCGGTGCTATGTGGATCTGGCTGCATTTTGTGGGTGACAGACGTGATTTTCAGGTCTCGTACAAACGAAGAAGTGCAGTTTAAGTTAGTTGAAGACTCTATCAGACATGTTCAAGATGGTAAAGTATGCGTAACCCTGTTCGCGGATCCGCGGAAGGCATGATGTTACGGATGAAGTGGGGTAAGCACATGCGCGGTGCTCAGCCCAAGCAACAGGCATCTATCATGACTGAGTGTTCCAAGTCGTATAATAATCGTTCCTCATATCTCATGATCTGAAATTACCACAGATTTTGTCTAAACCGGTTTTTTGGCGTTACTCAAACACATTGATTCTCTAGAGAATCGCCTTCAGGATGTCGATCTGCTCCATGACAGCACTCTTACTTGTACCACCAGTAGCGTTCTTCAGCTCTACTGCACGCTCATAGTCTAAGCACTCAACCACATCGTCGCCTAATCGCGAGTCGATACCCTTGAGCTGCTCCAAGCTCAGCTTATCCATGGGTACATTCTCCTTCTCTGCCAAGGCGACGACACGACCAGAGATGTGGTGACCCTCACGGAATGGTACACCCTTTCGGACAAGGTAGTCTGCGAACTCTGTAGCCAGCATCTCTGGGGTGAGCGCGGCATGCATTTTGTCGGCTTGAACCGTCAGAGTTGATAGGACACCGGTGGCGATCTGAATGGAGTCGCTGACCGTCTTGATGTGGTCGATGAGAGGCTCAACAGACTCTTGCAAGTCCTTGTTGTAAGTTGTGGGTAGACCCTTGATGGTGACATACAATCCTGCCATGTGTCCGAAAGCACGGCCGCTCTTTCCCCGGATCAGCTCCAGGGAGTCTGCGTTCTTCTTCTGCGGCATCAGGGAGCTTCCTGTGGAGTAGGCGTCGGCTAGTCGCACAAAGCCAAACTCCAGACTCGAGTAGATGATCAGATCCTCCGCCCAGCGCGACATCTTAAGCATGAGGCTTGACCCCCATTGCATTGTCTCGAAGACGAAATCGCGATCTCCGACAGCATTCAGCGAGTTTGGAAGCAGGCCTTCAAATCCAAGCTCCTTGGCCATAGCATGACGGTCGATGCCGAAAGGGTTGCCAGCCAGCGCACCGCATCCCAGAGGAGAACGGTTCACACGCTTTATGACTTCGCGGAGGCGCTCGAGTTCGGACGCGAAAGCGGTGGTATGTGAGAGGATCCAATGCGACCATCGGATTGGTTGTGCCTTCTGGAGATGTGTGTAGCCGGGCATCAGCACATCGATCTCAGCCTCTGCTCGCTGTACTGATGTCTTTATGAGAAGCTTCAGGTAGCCTTCTAGTGTCCTGAGCTGTTCCCTTAGCCATAACCGTAGATCTGTTGCGACTTGGTCGTTCCTGCTACGCCCTGTGTGGAGCTTTCCTCCAATGTCCTTGCCAATGATCTCGCTGAGTCGTCGCTCGTTGGCGGTGTGAATGTCTTCATCGTTGGCCTTGACCTCGAAGGTCTTTGACGCCCACTCCTCCTTGATCTGTGCCAGGCCCTTCTCGATGGCAGCGAACTCATCGGCGGTCAGGATGCCAGTGTTCTTGTTGGCGCGAGCAAACGCGATTGAACCGGCAATATCCTCGGCGTAGAACAGACGGTCGTACGGTAGAGAAGCATTGTACTGCTCCATGACTGGGTCAAGGCCCTCTGTACGCGTCTCAGTATCCAGTCATCCCAAGTGTTTATCGGCTCAATTGAACCATTGGCTGCACAAACCTGTGAAACGACCTCCCCAAAGCTTGTTCTCTGCTACCTTCTGTTCTGAAGCCATCTTGAGTATATTAAGAGTACAGGATTTGTGCAATTAGGTTGTGACTGTTTGCGCGTTCAAGAAAAAGATGACGCTCCGCATCGGCGGCAGGGGTGCGATAGCGCTAAATGTCGCGGGGAACTTTCCCTTGTCCCCACTTCGGCTGCCCCTCAATCATAGACTCATCACCAGATTCACGTACATGTCAATCATGCATTCTCAATTGATGGAACATTTGATTTCAAGGTATCTTGCTGATTCATGGGTAATATACTGGAACATAGAACATACGCTATCGTAAGCACCACAAGAAAACAAATACCCAGTACTACTGTTTGCTTCGAACCTTATCAAAAGCTTGCTTCAGAACATCGTGAGATAAGCGACACCAGGCGGGCTTTCTGGCAGGGCGTCCCCGCGCAATCCAGCTTCTAACAAGCTCAAGCTGTTCGAGTGGTTCGGGTTGTGTTTGGATGGCTGCAAAGCAACATGCAACTTGGTTCCAAAAGAAGGCTTGAAAAGCTCAGAGTCTGGTGAATCACGTGTTGATGGTGACACCATGCTATCCTTTCTCTCAGGAACTTCGAAGGATGAGCCTCCAGATTCCTCTCGTTCTGCTTTGGCTTCTAGGTTTCGTACAATGCTAGATTTCAGTGGTGGACGAGGCGTCGGATGCACAAACCTTTGCTGACGATAATTGACGAACTTTGGTTGGTCTAGCACTGGCATCTTGGGCTTCCGGTTGAGAGACTTGTAAAATCCTGCGTTAACATCACGTAGGAGAAATTGAGAGTTAACTAATATCTATCATAGTTACCATGTGATATAATAAGGATCATGGTAACTGCAACTATACGAGTGATGTTATCACACAATGTTGTCAAAGTGCACGGTGAGTGTTCAGGCATGAACATATCCTTCATGTTCTTTCTGGAAGTATAAGGAAGCTGTTCGGACTATTGCATGATAGATTCCGGCGCTACTACAGTATCGTGTCACTTGAAAGCTTGAGTTATGAGGATTGTCATTATTCATTAGATATGGCGTCAACGCCAGAAAATGCTAAACAGAACAACCGTGGTATATAACTTGACCATGCAAATCGCTCCCTTGTACTCTCAATGTGCTCTAGAACTGCCGTCGCAGCTCATAGTCCTCCCACAACAGCACCAAGAACACTCAGACCGAGCAAGGCTGAGACCATCCAACTCCTACCTCCACTGATCCTCATACCGGCACTAGCATATCCTGCCTCGTCATCGTTCCTCTTCGCACCAACCGCCTTATCTGTATTGAAGCAGCCAAAAATACCCATACCACTCGCGCTGTCCTTTTCGTATTCCTCCATTTTCTGTGCCAAGCAACTCTGGACGATGTCTGGAGAGTCGGTGATGCAGTACTGGAAGCAGCCGTCGTTGTCTTCGGAATTGACAATGACCGGTGTTGATGATGTTGAAGGTGACGATGTGGTTGTGTCGGGAGCGGAGTATGTGGCGATGGCGTTGATGTGGCCATTACAGCATGCGTCTAGGATCGAGGAATTGGAGCCACCGACAGGTACCGCGCAGGAAGGGAGTGTGGTGGGTGGTTGGGGAACCGCGGTGAAGGGTTGGCAGGACATTGTTGCGTGGATAGTTAACTTTTGTCGAGCTTGATTGTGGAGGATTTGTGGTATTTGCCCGGAATGAAGTGGCGATGTAAATGCAGCTCGGATTGTCGTTGGTGATAAGACACGACTTGCGCGCTGTTCGAAATGCTCTCGAAATGAGTAGATGAGAAAATTCGAAATCGATGGGAAAACTCCGTCGCTATGCTGAGACTTGACTGAAGGAAAGAAGCAAGTGAACTTGTGAATGAAACACTGAGTTGTTCACGGAACACACTCAAAAGAAAAGAACCGAATGGAATTGACGGAAGGAAAGAAGACTGTTTGAGGCTGAAGAATACTGTATCATCATCGCAAAGAACAGAGCCTCATATGTACATTGCCATTTTCTAAGAATATCTCAAGTGGGTAGGCGGATGGATAGGCGGGTAGTTGACAGCGCGAGATCTAGCGTTACGCGCCGACCCACCGGCTGCGCGACGCGTTGGTTGGCTCGCAACGTCTGGTCGATTTACGCGCTAGAACCACGGGCAGATCCGAAACGATGTGTTCTGTCGTGTTTGAAACGTTCTTATGCTGGTTTAGGGTAGTCGTCATGCTTTGTTATGCCCAATAAGTGTGTTAATTTGCTGAGTACTCGAAGGTCACGTGCGAAGGATCGAACCATCCATTTCCCTTGCCGCTGCACAAGGCAAATATGGATAGCTAGATAGTGAGCAAGCCTCACTAGTGGCTGATGAGATCGAACAGAGTTGCGGCTGTGCGGATTGATTACGACTTGGGGTCCGATTAGTGCCGAAACCCGTTGCCTGGGTATGCGAAGCTAAAGAGACGTATTCATCTGACTGAACACACCACAGTAGATGGTGCTGGATCAGCCATGTACGTGTAGTCCATACTCGATGAATGCAGCAGTCAGATCTTCCAAACCTGAGACCTGAATGTAACATGCCACCAACACCTTCTGAGGCACGGGACAGTATAGGCCTTCCAGCGTAGGACCAGCTGATACAAGTAGCGTTATTCCTGATCGTTTTCGTCCTCGTCTTCATGCGCGGCCGCCCATGGGCTTCTCTTGCGTAATGACACGCCCCTCCTTTCAAGAAAGAATGGTATGGGCGCTAAACAAATTGCAATTGCCATCAGCACAAGGCTTGCGTTCCTGGTGCCTACGTTCAGAAACAAATGTCTTCCGACCAGTGGAAATCCAGCGCCAGCAAGGTTACGGATGAGCCCAATGCCAGCAAGTGCTGATGCTGAGTACGTTTTATACGCGTCTTCAGTGTAAGTAAGGGTCATGAGGACTAGATCGAGCCGTTAGCGTCATATAGTTGATACCAAACGCCTGGCTGACTTACTCAGGGTATAGAATGACCACCCCCAAAACGCACTAGCGAGCACTGCAAAGAACGGATGTATGTTCGGCGTTGCGGTGAGTGCGAAGGCCAAAAGGGAAATCGGTAATACGATAGCTGCCAGCTTCGCGTGGTACACTCGCGCCTCAGGGACGTCACGATGGCCAGCCTGGGAGACTTGTCGTTGGTAGTACCGTTCTTGAAAGATGTTCGTGATCAAGCCAAACGTGATGCCTACAACTATCCCTAGGAAAGAGATACCGACGCCGATGGTATCAAAGCCGTATCCATTCGGACCGAAAATCATGTGGAATGCGCCGTTGAAAAGGAAGCTCAGGCCGTAGAGGAATCCGTTGTAAAGTGCACCAAACTGCACGATAGCCTCAGATCCCAGGAAGCGGAATGGGCGTGCGAGCGCTGTGCCGAACAACTGCTTTGGTCCTCGCTGTTTCATCTCATCTGGCACTTCCAGCTCCTCGTCCCCTGTCTGCAGGCGTAACGCGTTTGCTCTTCGTAAGAGAATGACGCTATGTCTAGTCTCTCCAAGACTGTATAATGCAAAGACCATAACAAACCAGAAGCCCAAGCAGATGAAGAACATGATCCTGAATACAGCATGCCATGATCTACCTTTTGCGATAAATGAGAAAAGAACGAATCCAGTAGGACTGCCACCTGTTGCCGCCCAAAGAAACCATGACATGGCTGGCCCAGTGTCATGATGGTGGAAGAGATCTGCGATGGTGCCTCCAAAATTCGAGATCGTCGTAGATGAAAAGTAGCCTGAGAACAGGCGCAGGACTAGGAATGGACCTAATGTTTCTACGTATGTCGTTCCCAAAAGTAGTAAGAGAAAGATGCCGTAAGACACGATATAAACAGGTCTCCTTCCAAAGTACTCCGAAAGAGGAGCCAAGGTCATAGGCCCAAAAGCCAACCCAAGGACATACATGCTTAATCCCAGAACCGCGACGCTCGGTGAGACGCCCATGTCTTTCGCAAAATCGCTCGCAGCAGGACTAAAGCCACTTGCTCCCCAGGAGACACTGAGGTCTATCGGAACAATAGCAGCGACCATCAGCCATTTTCGCGCTTTCGACCAGTTCCGCGGGTCGTCTGGGTCGTTGGGCTCGAATGTTATAACTTTGGTTGGAGGGCTCCGCAGTAGAGGCTCCCTCTCCCCCTGGAAGGAACTCATCATTGAACAAAGGTTGGTGTATCCGTACGTCCTCCCGCTGCGAAGCTTGGCTGGGTATTGTATGTTTTGACGCGTGTTGTTGTTGAATCATGTCACAGCTTGCGGGAACGATTAGTCCGATGATGACGTAATTGAAGATAGTCAGAAGGCTCGGGCCGCTGCTCGACACCTATCACATGCTCACCATGATCTTCATTTATTGATTTACTCTACTGAGACATGGCCCCGGGATACTAACAACAGTCTGATTGAAAAGTAAATGACTATTCTTTTTTGTTCGAAATCGCGACACCAGGCTTCCTTTTCCTACCGACCTCAGGAGCAGACGGAAAACACCATATCTAGTAACTTCTACACTGACCATCGATTGCTTATCACCGAATGCTGTGTAACCACTCCTAACGCACTGCATGTACTGTACCTAGGTAGCCTGCATCGGAGTACAACATCTGCAGTCATGAAACCGACCCCGCCAAATTTACCCAGTGCCGCACGCAACACCACGTAAGCTATCACAGCTGAGCACGCTGGCTTCTCCCAAGATCAGATGCTATCTACATACATGAGCATGATGTTCATACTGGCAGTCGTCTCCACTGAAACTAAAGCATGCGATCACGACGACTACGTTTCGTTCTTGTGATACCCCATGCCTCGTGTAATCTTGAAAGGCCATGTCTTTCCACTATTCTCTGCTTGGAGATATCCGTCCTGATACCAACTAGCATATACCTCAAATTCTAGCAATTCTTGTACATCTGCAATACTCAATGGTGTTAACAGAACATGCTCATATGCAGCATCAATACACGGTGCCCAGATCACCATGTCTATTCTCAAATACCCCAGTCCTTCCATTTTCGAGATCTCGGACCACATTAGTGGCCAGGACGAGGTATTGTAAGGTGGATCGCCCTCAAGGAAGTGAATCATCTTCCATGTCTCTTCGTATGCCCATCTCAGTCTTACGGAACGGATTGTCTGGAATAGACGGGGCGAAAGCAGGCGATGCAGGCAGAAATATGCTGTAAGGTTGGGAATTCGAAATGTATTGCATGTGTAAATGTATTCTTTCGCCTCGATGTATCTACAACAATTTCAATTAGATGCTGCAAAGAAAGTGAGAGTCATTGAACATCACTACTTACGCCATCTTACACGACTTTGGAAATCTCAAAAGCTCTTGTGCTTGACCACATCTCGTCTGGAACGGGACACGCCTGTCTCCATCTTCACAAAGCTCAAGCTGAAGTTCTTCTTTGTCCATAACATAGGCATATACGAGCCTTCGCAGCTCCAGAGGTAGCTTTCCGAAGAAGAGCGATTGTTGCTGGAGTGATATGTTGGCAGTTGAGCCGATGTCGAAGGCATCATCCGTCTCTGCTCTTGGGTCGGGGAGACGTGCATGCCATGAAGCACTAGTCTCTGCTCGCAGTCTTCTGAGGTGTTCTTCATCTGCCCGCCTTTTCTTTGCTATCATTCGTTCATAAGGCACGACAATCACCGTCTCGATGATGTTGTCCTTGAGGGCGCGCATCAGTGCCGAGGTAGACCGTATATTCGTATAGATTGAGGTTTCACTACACATCACCTACGCAATTTGGATACATCTTGTGCTGGGTGATCTCTCATGTAAGGGCTGATGCCTGCGCTAGCCCTGGAAGTGTGGCGTAGCATGCTGCGAATATTCAATACGACTAGAACACGGAACATATTCGACTTACTGTGTCCATCGTAGTAGACCACTCGACGGAAGCCTATGATTACTTGCTTGGAATTGCAGAGAATCAATCGTGTGCATGATAACAAGGCCGTACCGGAAAGTAGCACATTCCTTGGTTCCGTCATGACTCGCCTAAATGAGAGGCTATTCATAGGTACCGCCCACAAACAACGCCCGCCAGCAATTCTCCACACCCTCATGTGAAGTCATAACCACTCATAATCGCGTATTTAATATAGTCTGCCCGTGTAAACACATCTTTGGGAAGGTACGAAAGAACATGTGGGCCGGTTCGACTTTCAACAGACCCTGTCCTCGGGCGCTTTCCTACCGAAGGGCCGATTAGCGTCACTACCCCATAGCATTCTGTCCTCCTTTACCCCGGATTATGGCTGGGATCAACGAACTTGGCTTCAATTAATTTTCCCGTGTACCTGGATACGAGGTGTATAAAAATGGGGAGGCAAGTGCTCCCCAGGGCAAGCAGTGCTCGTTGGCACCTTCCATCTACAACATGCGCTCCACCGTAGCAACCGCGGCGGCGCTTTTGCTGCCTTCGACATCATGGGCTTTCCTGAACGCGAGTCAAAACAATCGAAGTCTGACTATCGCCAATGACCGGCTCGTCGCGTCGGTGAGCAAGACAAGAGGATATATTAATGTCCTCACTCTTGACGGCCAGAACCTCCTTGGGACGGAAGACGGCAACACCGGAGTTGGTCCATATCTCGACTGCTACTGCACTCCAAGTGGCTTTTGGACACCCGGTCGGGGCAGCAATGTTCAGTACCAGCTGTTCAGTGGCAATGATTCTACTGGTACCCCATATGGTGGTATTAGCATGGGCGAGACCTACGCTCCAACTGGGCAGAGGTTGGAGCAATACTGGTTTTTAAGAGAAGGGGAGACGGGCCTACACACCTTTAGTCGTGTGATTTACAACAACAAGACCACTCCGTTCTTGCGCAATCTGCAGGAGTTCCGCACATTATTCAGACCCAACCATGAACCGGCACTTTTCACACACTTCGTCACCAACGAGAAGTTTGCTGCACCTCGCCCGGATACCGAGGGTCAGGTTACTGTCCAGGACGCTACGTGGTATCTGCCCAATAAAGAGAGTCCTTATGTCGAGGGAGTAGGAGACTACTTCACCAAGTACACTTTCCAAGATACGTGGCGCGATCACAAAGCCCACGGTATGTATGCCGACGGTACCGGTAGTGCCAATGGCTCAACTTACGGCGCATGGCTCGTACACAACACCGTCGAGACCTACTTCAACGGCCCTGTTCATTCCGATCTCGTTGTCGACGGCATTGTATATAACTACATGGTCTCCAACCACCACGGCATTCAAACACCCAACATCACCGATGGCTTCGATCGTACCTTTGGACCCCAGTACTTCCACTTCAACTCTGGCGGTTCGCTCGAAGAGCTTCGAGAAGACGCAGAGCAGTACGGTCTCCGTCCAGAGTGGAATGCCGAATTTTACGATTCCATCGCAAAATACGTACCAAACCTCGTCCCAACATCTGGCCGTGGTACCTTCAATGCAAAGATCAACCTGCCTGCCGGAGCCAAGAACCCCATCGCCATCCTCACAGAAAGCGGCCACAACTTCCAAGACAACGTCTTTGACACCAAAGCATACCAGTACTGGGAGGACATCTCCGCAGACGGCGAAGTAATCATTCCTCGTGTAAAAGCAGGAGACTACCGTCTCACCGTCTACGCCGACGGCATCTTTGGCGACTACTACCAGGACGACATCTCCGTGTCCGCTGGAGAGGAAACCTCCGTATCAGCGACATGGATCCCCGAATCCGCAGGCAAAGAACTCTTCCGTATCGGCACCCCTGATAAATCTTCTGGTGAATACCGCCACGGCTACGCTCAATCCTCCACGAAACCTCTCCTCACAGAAGAATACCGTCTCTACTGGGGCGCATACGATTTCGTCGACGAGTTCCCCGAGGGTGTGACGTACAAGGTTGGTCAGGACGATGAGTCTCAGGCACTCAACTACGTCCACTGGGCTGTCTATGGTGGAAAGGCGAACTACGAGCGCCCGGTACCTGTGCCCGATCATCCGTATAACTGGACTATCTTGTTCGATGCACAGGCGAAAGAACTGAGTAACAAGACTACTGCTACTTTTACTGTGCAGCTTGCTGGTGCGAAGACGGCAGCAGGAAATACGGATGTGTTCAACGCAAGTGAGCCGTACTCGAATCTACCTTTTACCGTCAATGTGAACGGCAAAGACCTTGAGCCATGGATCATTCCGTAAGTTCCTCTGTGCATTATACCTTGAGGTTGTTACTAATTGAGATTTCAGATACAACCAATCCTCATCTTGCGCTGTCCGCTCTGCAGTCATCTGCTACAATCTCGCACACAAGTTTCTTTTCCCGACTTCTATGCTGAAGGATGGTGAGAACAGTTTGATACTGAGCCTACCGTACAACGGGACAAACTACGAGAGTGCGTTGTTGCCCGAGTCGGTGTATGTACAGTATGATGCGATGAGATTGGAAGTGAAGTAGTTAGATCAATAGACAGGAATAATTGTATCATGATTATGACGTGTTCTAGAAGCTCAGCAATAACACAACTCCATAATATGCACCGCTAAATGTACACCTTCTGTTTCTCTTTATCGACGTTGTCCTCAGACTGCCATTAAGCTACCTCCTCAACCATCCTTCCACTGAATGGCTTCTGAGTCCCCTTCTGGATGTCCCCTGCGAATATACTGCCAACGGGAGCCTGAAGCCACTCGTCAGGAACAGCGAGCTGAGTTCCCTTGGCATTCTGGATGTAGCGTGTGAAGAGCGGGTTTGCGCGCTCAGGCTCGTGTTCTATCTCTTCTCCGTCTTCGTCCACATTCATCATAGATTTGCGGCCACGTTTTGGAGGCTGTTTCTTGAGGAGACGGTTGATAGTGTCGAGCTAGAGATGGGGATTAGTAGCTGTTTCTTCAGATAATGTGGAATGGGGGACGAACCTTTTCTTCTTCATTCCTCTTCTCGCTGAGATTCTTCCTTCGCCTTGCCATCTCAGCCCTTCGCATGGCGTGTTCTTCAGCTGTGAGGTGCTTCTTCTTCTGTGCCTCGTTGGAGAGTGCCAGGAGTGCGCCATCGCCTTCTTCGTTGATGAGAGCGCGTTGTCGCTTCGTCATCTTGGTGACATCAGGGGTCTGGTCGCGGCTGGCATCTTCGTCGCTGTCCATGTCCTCGTCCATATCCCCAGTAGGTGTGACGCCCATGTCGTCGTCTTCCTCGCCCTCGGCATCCTCGTCTTCGCCTTCTGCGTCTTCCTCGTCGAGGTCGGAGTCGGGATCGCTGAGGTCGTCGTCATCGTCGTCGTCCATGGCCATTTCCTTGGCCTCGACTTTGTCTTGTGCTTTTGTGAGTTTTATCGCTGGCGCTGGTTGGACGGGGATTCCTCTGTTCGCGTTTACGGTGATTCGGGGCGCTGGTGTGTCCTCCATATCGTCGTCTTCGTCCCCTTCGGCGTCCATGTCCTCATCCTCGTCGCCTTCAGCGTCTACCTCGTTCTCGTCCGAGTCGTCGTCCACATCCATGGCATCGACCTCCTCGGCGTCGTCGTCGTCGTCTTCGTCCGAGTCGTCGCTGTCGATTTCCTGCACTACACGACTACTCCGTGAAGCGCGTTTGCCCGCGACTATGTTATTCCTGCTGACGCCTGCCTTTGGCACAGCCCCGCCGGTGGCCTGTCTGATCTTGTTGGGGGATGACTTGACGGTGAGGTGTATCGACTGGCGCGTCTCTTCGGGCGAGGAGCGCTGTATGACGGCAGCAGCAGGCGACTGGTTCGCAGTCCCGCGGCGTGGACGGGTCGAGGAGGCGGTAGGAGTGGCACTGGAGGGTGTTAGAGGAGCTGGAGGTGCGCGCGACCGTAGGCGAGGCATGATTGTAGCGGCGTATGGGGAGAACAGAGCAGGACCGGCAAAAGCGGGAGAAGGCAGATAGGAAGGATTGCGACGGCGTCAGATAGCCCGTTCGTATCTCCGTACCGCTGACGTCGCGCAGGGATGTGCAAGCGGGTGGCACAGAGGTGGTGGTGCAGAGAGGGCCTTCTTGGGTCGCAGTTGCTCTTTGGGGATGATGTACTCGACGCGCTGCCCTTGGCGATGGGTGCAAGTCATTCGCTCGCCTTGTCAGCCACATACCTGGTGCTGTTTCCTCTCGCATCCCATCCGTCGCCCTCGGATTCGTCATATTCGGTGCTTATGCGTCGCATCCGTTTGGCCGCGCGATCTGCCATGTTTATGATTGGCACAGGGATATTCTGAAGTTTTGGTGTTATTCCAATTGGTAGGTGCGACGATTTTACGCGTGTTGGTCTTCGGCCATGTCCTAACCTTCAGATGGAGATTCGCCGGGATCTTCCCCAGGTGTCGAAAACAAGCTAGCGTGGGCCCGTCCCAAAACATGTGAGACGCCAACAGTGCTCTCTCGCCTCATCACATCATCACGTTTACAGCAGTACATGAGAAAGACGCGTGTTTCAGGCATATTTATTTAATCATTATCGTTATCACAAATTAGGTGGAAGGACTACCTCGAGACGCTATCCAGACCGACAGTTCTCGGTTTAACCCCATACAGCCTTGATGGTCTCCTCAAAACCCTCCTTGGGCACACCCAGCTTCTCGTTCCACAGACCCGCCGACGACAAGTCACCTAGCTGATGCTCTTTGGCAAATGTAGCACCCTGGATCAAGTACGGGATGCCGCTATGGTCTCCCGACTGAAGCTTAGCACGCCCTTGCTCGATGTGCTCCTTCGCGCTGGCCTTGTTGACAGTCCACTTCGCACCAGTGACCTTCTCTGCCGCAGCCAACACCTCGTTCTGCGTTGTCTGGAATCCACTGACGTATACGTATTGGTTCTTGGTTAGATCTGCGTGCTCGAGTGCCTTCACGGTTGTAAGGCCAATCTGGTGGAGGTTGGTCGCCGAAAAGACAGCCTCACCATCGTCAAAGATGGTCGCAGTCTTAGAGGAGCCGTCAAAGCCTAGGAAAGCGACCCTGAGGCCCCAATCGAAGAAAGGACCAGTGATGATGCTGGTCCAGCTAATCTCCTTCTCCTTGCTCTTGAGGTAGTTGACTGTGCCAAACTTGGCCTCAAACACGGGCACAATGTCGCGAGTGCGCTTATCGGGTGTGTTACTGCCATACTCTGAAGGAAGGAAGCGCTTGACTCCCGCTGCAATGGCGGCATCGATCAACTTGTTCTGATCGCCCAGTGCCATACCACCAACAAGTGAGACAACGGCATCTTGGCCCTGGAATGCCTCCTTTAGGCTGTCGTGGGAATCGTAGTCTGCGCGAATGACCTTGACACCTGAGGGGAAGGTAGACTTTGACCCTTGGCGGGAAAGGACGGTTGTGTTGAAAGAGGACTCTTTGAGGAATGCGTTCAAGATGGAGGGACCGAGGTTACCACCCGCCTAACGTTGTTAGTCCATGAGTACACGGGCAGTTTGGGAGAGATGCATACTCCAATGATGATGACATTCTTGATGGCTGCCATGTTGAAGTGTTGGTGTCGGTGCGTGAATAGACTCGGTGTGTTACCTGACTATAGAGTGTAGAGTAAGTTGAAGAAATGGATATCGCTGAGTTTGTGATCTATTAAGGTGATGAAGACGACCTCTTATATATGTCGCGACGAAGACGTGATTATGCAGTCCTATGATGCAGGTACAAGGCCCCACATCCTCAGTTCCTCACTTTCCGCGTTGCTTTCAAACCCGCGCTTTACAACCGCTATGCTTTGCTAATGCACGCGTAGACTAATGGCGTACCTGAAGCTTGTCGCAGACAAGGCATCCCTGCATGTGATCCTATCGTCGGTCGGTAGTTGGGTAGACACTCGGAGCGACTCGAGTCCTCCGCTACGTCGCTCTTCGACGAGCAAGAATTGTTGCTTTGGGGTCGGACTACTACCAGCTTTCTTTTGCGCTGGTCATCGAGAGTCAGTTTACTTTGGTACACGGTATGGTTGGAGCAGCTTTGGAGCACGTCACTCTCCAGAAGCTTCTCTGTAAGCGCAGCACAGCTCGAGACCCTGTCGCTTGACATCGGTGCCGTAGTTACACCGGAGCTATCATGCCACTGAACCAGGTTGGATGCAAGGGAAAGGACGATGTTGTTGGGTGTGCTTAGCATATCGTGCGGAAACTCACCGTCGTGCCAAGACGCTAGCCAACCTTAGACATTCAGTAATCCAAGTTGTCCCTTTTGCTACCTTGCGCCGTCTCCATCGAATCACAAACGCGAAAACCGATTTTGCATTAAACTGCTTTGATTATAAAGCCAAGCTTTTTAGACTTTGTCCGATTACTGTGTTCATACTTCAACAGCTCAGGACGACCGCAAAGTCAGTGTTCGGCATCTACCTAGGTAGACCTACTCGCTCAATCAGGCCCCTTCTCTCCAGCTGTATGAGCAACTTGAAGGGATCTTCTGCGTTCAAGCACTTATCTCCCATTACGTACATCTCATGGTAGCCAAATGCGACGTAGGAATGCCTTTTCCTGGTCCAAAGAAGAGGGTTGTTCAGACTCTACGGGGAGCAATTCATCGCCACACTTGATAGCATTCCAAAATCGGCCGACTTCAATCGGCTTTTCTGCCCACTCGGGCAGCCGTGTTTCAGTTCGGCTAGGATTGTCTTGAGTAGGTAAGTCTTTCGTAGTAAGATTAGCAGAGAAAAGAGATGTTTACTTACTGAGTTGTTTTGGTTTCATCATCTTGCGATTCTTAAAGGCAAGGAGGACGGCGGCTACGTCGACTGGTGCGAATGAATTTAGACATTTGCGCGCGATCTGAAGCGCAAGTTCGACATCTCTATCACTCGTTCCCTGCTTTGTTGACCAAATTTTTCGCAATTCCAGTGCTCGATTAGCCCATTTCGTTTTGCCTTCAGGGTCGTCGAATTCTGGATAAAGCTCAGAGAGCCCGGCTTCTTTCAAGTTCTGCAGAGACGTGATGCACGATCGATTGGCAATATTCGTCGTTCCTTGAGAAAGGTACTCGCCGTTGTAGTAGTCTGAGTTGGTTTGACGGAATCTGAAGAAATTTCGCGCCTGACCTTGCGGTAAGGTTATCGACTCGATTGCTTTGAATAACCACAGATCTCGCGCAAATTGCCCTTGTGGAAATTTCCTGGTATCCACTACGCAAATCTTAAAATCTCCCGGCTGGCGCCCTTGGCTTCTCCAGATTGCGCATTGTATCGCGAAGAGTAATGAGCTTGTCCATGACATGAGGTTGTCGTCTTCCTCCGCTGTACGTGATTCCGGGTCTAGATGCCAATGCAAGCGTTTCGCTGCATCGATTCTTTCTCGCTGCAACAAATCGATTCGACCCTGTTTGGATAAACCAATACGGCTCTCTACGGACGCTATTTTATTGTCGTCGTTCGTTCCATGGCTAGCCACATCAAATGCCCGGAAAAGGTACCTAGGGACGTCTTCAATCTCGAGGGCCCGACTGTTGGGACTCAACGGTGGATAAAAAAGCGTTGGTCCTCCAGGTGACCTGTTCAATACCGTGACCCAGAAATCAATCCAGCTCCGCTTGTACACTTCTTCTTTCTCAAGTTCGCGATTTATTCTGGCTTGGAAGCTTTTGACGTAATTTTCGTCTGAAAAGAGACGCTCCTCATGGTCGTAATATGCTTCTGATTCGTAGTCCTCGTCAAACGGCCAGCCTAACTTTGCCTCCCCTAAAGGGACTAAATAATCATCGGCATCAAGAGCGCCACGAAGCCTGTTGGCTTCTTCGTAGCATTTCTCGGCAACCTTCCACAGCAAGCTTTCATCACGAGTGCGATCAAGAACGTCTCGGATGATTTCCCTAATCTTTTCATCGAAATGCGAGAGGAGTTTTCCAACGAGAGGCCTATCGGACACATCGACTGTACTGTATCCTCCAAGCAATCCGATGCGCGTAATTATGGAATTCTCTATCATTCTGTTGAACGTTTTGATGGTGGTCTTCAAGGTTATCGTGGTATCTGCAAGCCTTTTGGTGTTCTCATAAAGCAAACAAATCTCCGTGGTGGGTAGAGCAGTAGAGAGGAATGCAGCATCAGCTTCAGATGTGTACTGTAGGATTTGAGAGTTGATGGCTCCGGCGATCTGAGCAGATGAGTGGACAGCATCTTGAAAAGAGGCTAGTGAATCGCAAAGCGAGTGGTGGGTTGATTCCTCAAGGCCTAAATCGCCGAGTGAAATTATGACATCCTTCGATTTGGTCGCCATCGCAGTATCTGGATTAACAAGTGAGGGTACACAACGGACTCTATTATGATAGAGAGAACGTTCGAGCGGGGACCACGTCTGCACTTATGTCGATCAAGTTGTGCTGTTGGCTCTGCATATGCAGAGATCGTCTTTGGGTGTAAGCAGTGACAAGGTGGATGAGTATCCTGCTCCAACATTAGACGAAAGCCGTGTATAAAGAGAAGTATACTTCTTACATACAAAAAATGGCGATAGAAAGTATACGTCAAGTTGGCTACACGTCACGTAAGTCCCAGGTTATCAGAAAACATCATACTTTCGGTAACTGACGTAGCTAGCTGTCAGTGAAGTTTGTAGATCCGGCCAAACATAGAGAGCAAACCCCTTCCCTGGGTTGAGCATATATCAATGCGAACCCCTCTGCCACCTTTTTCCTTCTGCAATACTCTCCTCAGCAAGGCTGAATAACGTAAATGGCCGAGCGCAGCCGGTGAGTACACCGCAGATGCAAGAGTCAAGGCAACAGTCCAACAGAGACATTAACTCATCTTCATTCGTTCGGAATAAAGCGCGTGACATGTATGATTTTGCTTAGTGTGGTTACACAGCATAATCTGACCAGGATATTTATCGTGCAGATCACTGAGAACGGATTAGATGCCAAGAATGAGGGACCTCAGAGGCCTGAAAACCAGCGCTAGTGCTGCAGTGGTATTCGTGCACAGGACAGGGCAACGTTATGGGTGGCTCTTTGGAAACACCTCGGCACATCAAAAGACATCTGGGCTGTCACATATATAAAGTGCCTCTTGCTCTTAGTATGACAACCTTCCCTAGTGTTAAATCTTTACGCTACTAGTAAATCTGCTGATCGTTCGTGCTTGGTTGGGAGGCGTGAACGTCGCCGTGATGGGTGTGGTGAAAGTTGTGCTTGGAGGAAGGCTGGAGATATCGGTACATATGAGATGCCATGGAGGGAGGAAAGAACTTGTCGGTAATCGGAGGAAAAATCGCAGTGCGGATAGTACTCCAGGGAAGCTACCAAAGAAGTCGCCAGTGGATCTGATTGAGAGACACGTTGTTGAAGCTTCAAGTAGAGAGAGCGACAAGGTTTGTGAGTGTTATGAGCTCCTACAACATTTGCAATTCATTTAGTGGGCCAAAGTCTGGTGCTAAATTGCTGCATTTGGTGGTAGATACCTAGGGCTGACGGATGTGACAGTGGTTGGGGAGTCAGGTCTCGACGGCGGGATACTACTGGTAAGTACAGAATGCGGAGGTGGATAGGCGATAAAGGGAAGGATATATTGGATAGGTGGCGCACCTACAGCAGGTACAATTCTGGTGCATGGACTGTAGGTGGGAGGTGGAGGATGCTTGGTCAGTGGGACATGTGAAGCATCGGCAACATGTCCCTGGTAGTTAGAGTTATAGACTATAGCGTGGCTGAGTGTGTCGGATTTTATTATTTATATGTTAGCGCAGATTTACTAAGAACCCTGGAAGGGTAGTGGTGTATGAAAGAAACCTTTGGTTTCTAAATACAAATCTAAGGCGTCCATTTGCGGAGAGTTGTGATGACGAAATAATGGCAAAGGACTACAACGGAAGGTCGAGGAATGTTCATACTGAGCGATTGAGTGATCCAAATGTGCCTAGTGTTGCAAATGACAAGGCCGAAAATATGGCGAAGGCTCAAGTGAAGGCGCCATCTGAATCATTAGCTGGGGACATGATAAAGAAACTCTAATGAAGGATTGTGTCGAGAACGGTAATTAGGATGCCTGAGAGTGAGATCCGTGATTATTGTGATCTAGAAATTTTTGGCGTTAGGCTGCTGCTTTGGATTGGCGGTAGTGATGGAGGCTAATTCATGGCGTAGTAACTAGAGAAGCAAGTTCAGGTATTGGGGGGCAGTCACCATGGGTCTGGGCCCTTCCCGTATACCAATCGCAGTGCTCTCGTCTTTACACTAGACTGTGTAGGAGTGTCTGCGTGCCAGTGGCGCAACTATGCAGGTGGTTTCAAATAATCTAGTATTCATAAGGTGAAGGCACCATGCCTTTTTGTATATTGAGATGCCTTCTTTTCGATTACAATGGGAAGAATTTGATGGAATTGCTAGACTATGACGATTGTTAGCGCTTGAAAACAGACACGAGTGCACCGCAGATTTCACTGTCCCGTCCACTTCCCTCTCGATTCCATTCGTTACCTGGGTATTCCCTCGCCAGACCACTACGTCACATCGAAGAGCACCTTGCAGATAGGCTGCAGGCGTTGGCACGGAACAGGTGAAGTTGCAACAAATACCCTCGCCCTAGGTGCTGTTCACTGCCTTAAGTTTCTCTCTTCGATACTCCCTCACTTTCTCACAACGACAACAGCAACAGCAACCACAGAAATATTACCCTACTTAGGTACGCGCACCTAGATTAGTGAAGACTGGACTTCGCGTAGCGATCAACATGAAGTAAATATGCCTCGCGGCTCGGGACTTTTCTCGTTATCACTAACACGTATAGCCCGAGCGACACAATTATCCAGCTAGTAGTCGCGCGATGCGTTGGCGATACCGAGCGTCTCAACGTTCACCGTGGTGTTCTTTACAAAAGCTCAAAATTCTTCCAGAATGCTATGAAGCCAGAATGGACCGACATGCAAGCGGGACCGAATGTCATTGATCTTTCAGTAGATCCCGTGGACATAGTCAGCGACTACATCAAATGGTTGTACTACGACACTATACCAAACAAGCAGTACGAAGCAGTCGCAAATACATACGAAGAGAGGGAAAAGGTCTTTGTTGCGCTTGCAAAATCATACGTCTTTGGAGAAAAGATTATCGATGTGAGGTATAAGAACGCAGTGTTGCAGGCGATCTTCACAGCGCAAAGGGCGCTTCATTGGTACATGGGACCGGAGAGCGTTAAGATCGTTTATGAAGGTACCCCTCCACAATCTCCACTTCGACGCTTGATCGCTGAGAACGTTACGTACATGGCGTATGATGACTCAAAAGAAAGTGTTGGCTGGATGCAATTCTTCGACACATGTCCTAGAGAAGCTTTGGTTGATGCACTAAAGACCACGGTGAAGGTCCGCCCCGAAGATCCTGAGTCCAGGCCTGACGTCGGATCGTATCTTGAGAAAGAATAGATTCAAGCTGTCTCCTCTAGAAAGTTGTCGAAAACTCCGGAGTGGCTCAAATAGCGAATTAAACAAGTCCCAATCGGGGAGTGATGAACCGCTGTTATTAAGAAACAAAATCAAGACCTATCGTCAAAAGCGTGCTTACCTAATCCAGGAACCTCTTTCTAATCTTCACTAGGCAACACGCCCCATCGATCGTAGAACCTCCTCTTCAGCTCATTACTCAATATATCATTCGCCTGGTTGATTTCTGCCATCTTTTCAGTCGCTTCTTTCTGTTCCTGCTCAGTGCGGCGATCGGGGTGCCATCTCAGACTCAAAGCTCGATGAGCTTTCCTAATTTCAGCCGCTGTAGCGTTTCGTGTAACACCGAGTACAGTGTATAGATCTGTGGTTGGCTGGACGCCTTCTGGTCGTGGAGGGACAGGACGACAAGGTGATGAGGGTCGGGTGTAGGGATACGAGGGAGGTGTTCGGTCACGGGAGGAGTTATTGAATGATTCAAACGCCGAGTAGAACGTAAAGCGGGGTGGTGGTGGTGGTGGTGGTGGTGGTGGTTGTCGTCGGGTGTAGAAGGCAGAAGGACGAGTACCAGAGCAAAACGAGGGCCGAGAGTCGGTGGTACGCGAATCAGGAGACGCGTAGGGTTCAAAATGGTCTGGTATTGGGGGATATGAAAAGTAAGTCGAGTCCGACGCGTAAGAATCATAGGCTGATGGTGGCTGGCGGCCTTCCGTGGTGTAGTAAGACTCACGAGGTGGATGAGTACGAAGATGGTAGGAAGACTGGCAAGGTGGCGCAGGCCTAGTATGGCTTTGAAGGTATCCACAAAACCTATCCTGCAATCCTGTGGCATTATATCGGTAGTCGTAGGGAGAAGGAATGTATTCTGGAGTCGAAGAGTACCGAGGTCGTGATCTACTACTTTGAAATACCTCTTCAAGATATGCTGTAGTGGTCAGAGACATTTTGGCATTGTGGATCTGTATGACGTATTGAAGGCTGCGTTCTGAGGCTTCGTTAATGGTACAGCCTTCATTGCGGCAACAGATGTAGTAGAATTCTCGGAGCTGCTCTTCTTCTGCAGGTGTGACCATGGCTGTTGAGTAAGAGATCAGTCCCTGGAAACTAAAGGTCCACTGGGTGATTCAAGCTGTCAGACGGGAAATTTCTGGTTAACGTGTAAAAATCTAACAGTGGACTAGTCTGGCTTCTTATGTGGTCGGCGGTGCATTGTGAGAACCAATGCTGCTTCACACGACAACACCCTCGTGAGTGCTTCGGACGATCATTGTAGTCACACTCGACTTGGCTCAATGCATAGGTCAAGTGAAGAGATCTAATGCTCATTCTATCAGCTTTACTAACAACAAGAATATTAGATTGCTTTGTCCTGCACACGTCGCATGACCGCACTCGACCAGTTCAAGGGCTCTTCCAAAAGTTGAAAGGATTGGAATATTCGAAGATTGTTGGAGAATGCCATCTTCGGACTTACGAAGGCCGAGAGCGACTCAGCCAGACGGTATTATTCTCCCTTTGGCGATGTTTCGCAGAAATTTCTATATATCCAGGACTGAGTTCAAGATAATCATAACATCTTGATAGGCCTCTTAGCTCCAATCTATCGATGTCTTATTTGCTTGCCATTCGCTCGCCCATGGAATCGGGCTGCAAAGCTGACTAACTGCAGCTTGATAACGTGTCACAAGGTTCCCCGCACGATCACACTTCATACAATGTCAAACTAACGAGAACTATTGCTTACGATGACTGAGTCTTTTGAATGGAACCGCCCCGACCTGAATTGGGCGCACTTCCATTCTCTCGCAAACCTTCTCTCACTTCGCAACGGTGGCCAAGCCGAACCTGCCGCATTTTTCGAAGCCATACTTGAGCAGGATAGAGAGATTCGCGACGACGGAGATGAAGATTCTCATAGCGTGAATACTGATGTCGTGAATCAGATATCAGATTCAGGGCATAGCAAACTGAAGAGAAGGTTTCTCGACGGGTTAGCTGGACTCGCAGCTAACGAGGAAGGCGGTAAAGCAGTTGCTTGCTCGGCCATGAAAGAGGCTGAGGATGATGTTGTCATCTGGCTAGCTCGTAATGGGGGTTTCTCAGGCGAGGACAAACGTGTGTTCGATAGTATCGCAGAGCTGCTGAGTTCAATGTCCTGCGGGAAAGGTGAGTTTGGTCGGAGAACTAATTTCCGAATACATGCTAACACACGCTTGTGATGATAGTCCAGGAATTCGAGTATCTCTTATGGAAAGAGATGGTGTCTTACCATGGTCGTCGGATCAAACAACACTATATTCCTAATTTGAGATCAAGCTTTAAGGCCTACGATGCTGTCCCAGCTAGAAACATTGCCAATGCGGCAGCGTACAATCCAGATCCCCAAAGCGGGATTTCAGTCCTGCGAAATCTCCTTTTCGATAACCCTTTTGGTAGTGCTGACGTCTTTGAAAAGCATGCGAACCTGATAGTGGCATCGTACAACCTGCGTCGGACAAGATCCGTCGAAGAGGTGCTGAACAATTCCACATATGCGACTCGGGAATCGAAGAGATTGTGGCAGAGAATTTGTCTACTCTCCAGGCTTCGTGCTGCTTACCAAAATTTTCTGGACATCGCCCAGACACTCCCAAGCTTCGCGCAAGTCAAGTTCGTCCTGGTACCCCTTCTGGTTGCGCCTCCAAATCCGCCTCAACCGCCACTCACGTTGAAGCAAACGTTCAGAATACTCGATTTAAACCTAGATGACACTACGAGAGAGGCAGTTTTGACTAAAGTTTGCAAAGCCACCGAGACTGGAAAGAAGTTTGCGAATTTGCAGAAGCAAAAACCCTATGTGCACGCCGAGGTACAAATGATGGTCTTCCTTGCTGCCAATGAACCAATCAACTCAAAGTTTCTCCCATACCTCGGGTGTAGCAAGCTGAGCTGCTTCATGTGTAATCAATTCCTACAGGCATATGATCTGTGTTCAACAAGAGGGTGCCACGGCCGTCTCTTCAAACCATGGACTGTTCCGAGCGCAGACAGATTATTGCCGGGTCATGCCGACCGAATAGCCAGAGCACTTACGTCAGTGCAAGAGCATGTCAAAAACAAGTTACGGGAATCGGTCAAGAGCCATGTCCGACTTGAGCGAACTTCGGTCGTCGGAGGAAGCAGCATTGCGCGTGAGCAACCGGAAGATAACTCATCAAGAAGATCGCAAATCGATGAGCTGGAGAAGAAAGCCACACACGCGAGAGTTGCAGCAAGCTTCAGAAGGTCAGCAAGCTACCAAACTCATCGCGTCGCCTGTTTTTGCTTGTACTGACACCTCGTTTCAAACGTTACAGACAATCTGAGGACACAGTCACCCCCTTCATACCAAGAGGCTTTGACAGAGACCGATTAGCCTTGGAGTGTGACATATGCGACAGGATGACGAGAAGAAGCTGCAGTATCTGCAATAAAGGCTCCTTCTGCAGCGAAGGCTGCGAAAGGAAGAGGTCTGGATCGCATCTGTTCACATGCTCAAAACGCTCAATCACATCAGCTGATTATCTATGGATGTCATTAGCAGATGATCGCATGCCTGATGAGGGGGATGTTCTTGAAGACTTTGGGTTCAACAATACGTCTTCTTACCAGGACAGAACGTACCTCTTAGGTCTTTACAGAGGTCTTTACCTTTCCGGCAGCTTCTCAGCGGAGGATCTTCACAAATGGCGTACCGGAGGCATCCTAGCCGAAAAGATCGAAGAGTTTTATTATGGCATTCCTGAACAATCACGCGGGGGCTATTTCCCATGGTACTTGCAGAACCGCCATGTTTTGAGTCGTCCTGGGACGGAAGGAGAGGGGAGTCAACATCTCATAGCCACCTTCTACGACAAAGTTAAATCCTACCTGGATGTCAACGATCGCAACAAAACGGCGAAAGAATTGAAACCAGAAGCCAAGAGAGATGCTTACAACTTGCTAGCGACAGTGTCACATCAATTCATGCCCAATCCCATCGAGAAGAACTGGTACTCTTTCGGATTTGTAACTTGCCGAGGAAAGGACGAAGAGAATATACTCGCAGAGATCTACCGGTGTCTTCTCCTCAAAAGCGGTGGAGGCTTCTTCTCTGACGTCTACCAAAGCTTAAGGGCCCACAATCAGCCTGTCAATTTTACGCAATTCTGGAAAGCGTATGAAGCCGGCACTCTCATACAGCTTATGGACGCGAGTAGCCTCAAGGATTCCCGATCCCGTCTTCCGTTCCTGGAAGTCTTCCTGTCCGTTCCGCGAGCCTGTGGCCGTCCCTCCGTATGGGGTCTGAAGTGGATGCTTGAAATCAACGACCCCACGAACTTTGAGCCCATTCCTTCAGTCAGCGTTGACTATGGCTTTATCAACTGTCACACATTTGAGGAGACCTGTACACTGGTCGAAATTTACAGAAGAGTGCTCCTGAATACAAGTCCACTGGATCTTCATCAAGCGTGCATTACAGGGACCCTGTGGCAGTTCGCAAGCGGTCGTATTCGGATGGAAGAGCGGTGGAGGCCATTGATGAAAGATGACCATTTACAGGTCGAATCAACAGCGTCGGAGGTAAGCGTGGATACGGAGTCAAGAGCAGGATGCGAAACGGACGGAGATCCTGTGGAGTTTTCACCTTTATTATCGAGACTGTTACGTTCTATCGGCATTTCCTGATTCAACTCTTTATGTCGTAGTGGCTGTTACAAATCTAGTGTCACAATGGCTATTCAGTGTGGAGGTCGTTCGATACCAAGAAATAATCAGACCTTGCAACAAGGCGGAAGGATACGTTGGCTTCGAGATACGGTCTCTGCCTATATGCTTGCCTAAGTCTGAACACATGATGATGCATACATTTATTGTACATACCCCCTTCTTCCGTCACATTGGCACAGGTGTTAAATGCCCATCCTTATCGTACTTCGCCTTGAAGAACGTATAACTCAATGTGACCGTCTCGATACCCTTCATATTGATGTCCTTTGTAAACTCCGGGTCGATGTAGAAGAAGACTGGCATATCCACTGTTTCTCCTGCATTCAGTCTCTGCTCCTCAAAGCAAAAACACTGAATCTTGCTAAAGTACGGGGCGACCTGTCCAGGCGTAACAGAATAGGTGGCTACGCCAATGATGTCTTCCGCTGATTTGTTGGTTGCAGTATAGAAGGCGAGGGCAGTTTCGCCTGGGAGTACACGGACTTCGCGTTGTTGGGGAACGAATTTCCAAGGCAGGACGTCAGATACGGAGCCGTTGAACGTTATTCGGATACGTGGGTGGGATTCTACAGGCTTAAGACGTTCGGAGGGATCGACGGACGTATCGCCGCCGTGGGCTGCTGACTTTATGGGCTGGCCTCCCCAGCCAGTCTCCTGGCAGATCTAAGGAGCGAATTAGATTAAGAGATGTAGGCGAGACAATGATCTAAAGCCGCACCATCTTGTAGAACGGCACTGAGCCATAGCTTAGTGCTGTAAAGCCTATTATTACACTGAAGACATAGTTCCTAGACTATCGTCAGCAATTGCGCCCCTATTGAATCAAGGTATACGCATACATGACTGTCCGATTCTTTATCTTATACTGTGCATGCATCTGGTCCATTCTTGGCACAGTGCCATGCTGCCGCGCAGGTTTTGTAGTGTTCAACCATCTCTGTGCGGTAAAGGCCGGGTTGCGAGCGCGCGGTATCCTAGTGATCGAGCGAGAGCATGCTAAGCAAGTCCAGGAGCCCAGCGACCGTGAAGGCAATTGTCGGAATGGCGACGCGACAGACATATTGTGTGGTAAGAGTCAATGTTCCAATCGAGGAAACCTCGGTGGAGTGATGAGCAATGGAACCCGAAGTTCGCCGCGGGATTTAGCCCGATTGGGAACGCGTCTCGGAGCGCAAAAGTTACCATCTGAACGCGAACGTCATCTTTGATACTCTCGTCGCAAACATTTCTCCTGCAAATACCTGCGTATCAGAGAGTCGCGATCCTTACCTGTTAAGACACGATGGCGGAAATCCTCTGCGGCGTCTGCAACGCAGAGCCCAAGAAGTACAAGTGCCCGACGTGCGCGCTCCCATAGTACGACACCGTCTGCAGCGTCTCAATCATGGACAATCCTAACTACGAACAGCTGCTCACTATCATGTTTCAAGACACATAAAACAACGCATTCCGACACTACGGAGGTCGCGCCTGAACCAGCAGAACCAGTTCTTCCACAACCACCACCACCCGCCCCGATACCACGATATCTAAAGCAGCGCACCGATTTCTCCGTCCTAGCAACAAATCCGAAATTCCAAGCACTACTCAAGACTCACCCGATGTTACTGGCCTCCCTCCAACGCGTCTACGCCAAGACTATACAACCAGATCCTGAGGATGAGAAACGGCGGCGCATGCTGGAACGAAACGCTTTCCGAGGTCGGGGTACACGAGGGAGAGGCCGAGGGGGGAGAGGTGGTTGGAATAGATCAGAAGATAAGCAAGAAAAATGGACTCAGAAGAAGGGCGATAAGGACGCGATGGCCGAATTGAAAAGAATAAGAGACGGGCAGGGGAAAGAGGGAGAACAAGATGCCATAGCTGAGTTTGTTGGTTTAGTTGAAGAGATGTTTGCGAAGCATGAGAAGGATCCGATGGAAGAGGTCTGATGAAGGAGCTGTGGTACCAGGATCTTGCGACACCACACGGACGAGGCAGGCTATACCAACCGCCAGGATACACAATGGATCCCGCTAGCGAAGTGTGGCTTCGATGACAAACTGAATACCGGAAACATTCTTCCTAAAGCTCACGATTCGAACATGACCTGATATCGATACGCTGGATTTTAGAACCAAAAATTTTCTCGACAGAGGAGCCCTTCTACATGTCCACGAGCTAGCAGGTATACTTGATATCTAATTCCACCTTCGGCACACCCTGGAACTCCTCAGGAACCACATACGAAATGTTGTAAAACAAGTGGTTTCTCAGCGCAGTACCATACGTCACGTTTTGCTTCACCAATCCCTCAGCCTCAACCTCAATCTCTACACACGGCAAATTCTCAAATCCCATTATCCGTCTTCCAGTACCCAGCGTCCAACTAGGCGGCACATTTGACAGTGCAAATGTGAAGATATCGCTTCCCTCTTGCGTGCGATTGGGGTAGCTGACGGAAAGGTGGTTCGGTGAGGCGACGGCATGGATCGACGATGCGGATGGATAGAGGGAGAAGAAGGTATTAAGCGGATAAGGCTTATGCTCCTTATCTCCCGCCCAGTGAACGATAGCAGGAACGAATTGATCCCCTCTGTTTTCCTCCTCATCAAGCTGCTGTCCACCAATCATCAGCTCTTTGCTAATCCAACTCGTCACAACCCTCGCTTCTCCTCCGTCAAGGTCGTCATAAACCGTTCGATTCAGCCATCTTGATTCCCCCACGAGGTCCCTTGTCGTAAATGCCTCTTCCACACCCGTAGGCAATAGCGGCTTAACACCGTCAAGAACAAGGGCAATAGCCGCCCCCTGCGCAACATCGAATAACAAATCACTCTCCATCTTCTTCGGTTGCGTCGTCTTCTCCCTCCCCCAAAGTCCCCAAAGAACCAACGACAAGACTGCAGAATGTTGCGTGATATCCCTCGTATAAGCTCTGTCGTACGGTCCCACGACATTGCCCAAATATCCATTGTAATGCTCCGCCAAATCACCCATCATCCTAGGCAGAATATAGTGAGCAGCTGCCGTCATACTAGAGTTGCTACCCCCGTATTTTATCTGCGCCCCCAAAGCCCAGACATCGATACCATAATACGTTGGCGCATTGTACTCGCTCAACGTCTCTGCTCCTTCTCTTTGAAACAGCTCTAATATCTGCCTTCCCTGGTCTTCGGCGAAGGAAGTAAATGTGCTATTCTGCCTCCTCATACCAATATACTCGCAGAGTAGGGCGCGCATCATAGCCGGATTTGTATACCCAATCGTCAAGTTATCGTCTTCAGTGGGATAAGATCCATTTCTCCGCATGCTACCCACAGCCGCTATCTCAAGGCTATCCTCGATCGAAGTTATCAGTGGAGCGGATAGCAAGTGCGGGAATTCAGAGAGAATTTGGATGAGCTGAGTGCCGATGAAATCGCGCCAGTTAGGATCGTAGGTCGTGTATATCTTTGGCGGATATAAACCGGAATCGGGTGTTGGATCGGGTTGGTCAGGAGATAGTTTGTATGTTCCGTACCATGGAGCGTCGAAGTCGTCTATCATTTGACAAGCCAGTCTGTTGTCGCATTGTTAGCCTCCGTTTTTGCTCTCCTTCTCTCTGCACACATATGCAATTTACATACATGTTCCTGATGGAGGCTTCTGCATGCTTTACATCGTCTCCTTGGTTTCTATGAAGCAGTCCAGCTACATACCAAGCTGTGAAACGAACAGACCATGGTCCTTTATCGGAGTATTGGATGAAGTTGTAGGATGCATCGTAGCGATTATCTTGAATATGCATGGACCAGTCGAAGAGATCTTGGGCATCTGAATAGCAGTTGTTAGTAAAAAGCGCCAAATTGCCGAGTCTGATGGCTTAGTCGAACGCACTTGGAGATAGTGCAGTGTTGACGTGCTTTGTTGCCGCAGCACTTGCCTGCGCGGCGAAACATGCCGCTATGAAGCTGACTGCCTTCATCTTGGTTTCTATATGATGCAGACGCATGCACGAGATTCATGATAACATCTGTTTAAATACTCCCTTGGCTAAATGCACGACCAGACGGATAATTGTACCCGCAAACAAGTACCTCCGCATCGTGAGCGACGATCTACCCCAGACTTCAAGTTTTCGGCGCAGTGCCCGCCGAAGTGTAACTTTGTGTGTTCTAGTGAAGCTTGGAAGGATCAAGTAGTTGCATGTGTAGTGTGAGTTCAGGTTGCCGCTAACGACGCAACCGGGAATTTCTACCGGTTATATTCCCTTGTGTGTCTAGACTTCCGGGACTAGTATTGAATGCAACTCTTGGAAACGGCATTGATCTATGAGGGAAAACGCGTATCGCGGATAGGATTCTGGTATCTTCATACTAAGAGTAGGTCACCTTGTCATGGGCCCCATCTCTTCCATCTTTCTTCGATTGTAGTCGTGTAGGAAGATTATACCGTCTCGATATATCTTCTGACTTCCCAGTCTGTCACTGCCTCATCCCAGAGCCTAATCTCATGTTGCCTAGTTCCACCAAAGTGGTCCACGAATTGGTCACCGAAAACTTCTCTTGCAACGCTCTCTTTTCTCATAAATCGTTCAGTCGCTTCTTTCAAGCTCTTCGCCAGTCGTTCACCCTTGTCCGCTTCTCCACCAACGTCTTCGCCCTTGCCCAGAGGCGGTATGCTGATCTCCATCTTCTTATCAATACCTCGCCAGCCGAGGGCTAGAATTGCAGCAAGAACGAAGTGCGGGTTTGTGTCTGCGCCTGGTACACGGACTTCGAAGCGCGTGGCCTTACCGGATGAGGTAGGGGGAGAGATGAGGCGGATGGAAGCAGCGCGGTGCTCGAGACCCCAGGATACGGTGACGGGTGCCCAGAAGTTTTCTACCAACCGTTTGTAGCTGTTGACATTCGGTGCTAGGATAGGCATGATATCAGGAAGACCGTCGATCAATCCTGCTAGGAAATGTCGGCCAAGGTCTGAAAGATACCGGATGTCTGAGTATGGCGCGTTCTTGTCCTCTTCACCTCGGTAGAACAGATTCTTGCCCTCTTTGTCTACGATGGAGACATGCATATGTCCACTGTTTCCAGGGAGACCCTCGCGCGGTTTAGCCATAAAGCATGGTGTTATGCCGAATTTGGATCCGAGAGACTTGACGACAAGCTTGAACAGCGAGGCTTTGTCTGCCATTGCTTGAATTTCGCCGAATTCAAGAGCCTGTGTCATGTCAGTCGACTTCAGCCGTACCAGCTAGGCTGATATGCCTACCGCTTCAAAGACACCTGGCCCGGACTCTGTATGCCACCCTTCAATTCCACAGCCGAACTGGGCGCATGTGTTGAAGATGCCGTAGTAGTATTCTTGGTTGTGGACGGGTCGCGTGATGCTATATCCGAACATGCCTTCGGTAAGACTTGGAAGCGAGTTTACGGGGTTCTCGCGCAGGAAGACGGCGGTGCTCGACGTGTTTTTCTCTGAGCCATCGTGGCTCTGAGGTGCGCGGAATTGGTAGAACTCGTACTCAGCTACCCCATTACACATCAGCTTCATTGACGACGCGCAGCACCCGCTCTTCTATTGGCAACGGACTCACCTCCAGCCATGGCACCGTATCCATTCTCCTTCAGCTTATCAACAGCGCGTTTCAACAGGCTTCTTGGGCATGCGCTAAGGGTCTCTTTGGTGTCTGGGTCGTGGAAGCTGATGAGGAAGAAGGGTATGTTGTCCTCCCAGGGTATCCTCCTGAACGAGGTCAGGTCTGGTATGGCGAGCAAGTCGCGGTACCCGTTCTCCTTGTTCGAGATGGCCAGTTCCTTGAAGTAGGTCTGGTCATGCATGTCCCATCCGAAGATGACGCTGCAGAAGCCGAAGCCGTCGTTGGCTATGCTGAGGAACTTCTTCTTGGCCATGAGCTTTCCACGCAACACGCCGTCGACATCGATGCCCGCGACTTTGACCGCGATGTCATTTTTAAGCAGTTCGGGCAGTTGTTCGGCCGTCAGCGTGGAGGCATCGAATTCGGCGGCCATGGTGGTGAGTGCGGGATGTGGAAGGAACGTATGCTGTTGAAGCTTACGACTGCAGACAAAGGAGTATCTTACAGAGGAACAAGTATGGCCGCGCAATCAGGTTTGGGGCAGATATCGAGCTTAACGGCTCGTGACGGTTGGAGTGCGATAGAGCTTAGGTGGGCCAATGAGGGGCGATCGGAATGCGGGCTGCGACAGATGCATCCAACGACATCATAGCCCTGCTTCCTGCATGCGCTCACAGGCTATATATTGCATAGTCACACGTGGGTTATCTCCCTTACGCGACATCCTCTGTATCTCCCAATGCGACCAAAATATACCCCTATGCGACAACCGTGATGATGCGCCGATATCGAAAAGACAAGGAGGCACACACGTCATCCATCATGGCGGGGTAGTCAGCCCTACACTGTCTTTCCGCATGACGGCCGTTTGGGGCATATATCGTGCACCATGGCTGTTGAAGCGAGGCTGCTATCGTGCACCTGCCCACCGCCCCTTTGCAAATTGCCCGAAGATGACAGCTGCCAACCCGATAGCCCTTATCATGGTCCATCCTATCAATGCAATGGGCCGATTTCGGGACCCTGGATTGTCTGAATGACTACCTTAGCTGTCCGAGACTACCCGTTCATCATCTTCCTCTCTTCGCACTCTGGATCCCGACACGCGCCTCATACGCCCACTCGCACTGAAAAGTCCGATTCATAGGTAAGTGTGGAGACCGTTCAGACTGTTTGCGCATTTGGCAAACCTTTCCCATTCACGGAGCGGAGTGCTGTCCTCATGACGCTTTCTCTAGTAAATATTAGTCATATTTCTACAGCTTCCACAAAACTTTGCCTTGCGCTCAATATCCATTGACCCCATTACAGCACCTTTACTACACCTGTATCAGCACAATAACCAGACCAAACATTCAACATGGGTCGTCTTGAAAGCAAGAACTGCATCATCACTGGAGGCGCTGGGTAAGCACCGATCCCGCACGTACCACAGCACATTTTCTATTGGTATTCCCTACAACAATCTGTTATGTACCCATGTTCCTTTGAGGGCTTCAACGCCATCTTTCATATTCATTGATCTGGGAGCCAAGAGCATCCACAAAATCATGCTGCGACGCCCAACTGCCCACTAACGACACTTAGCGGCATCGGTCTCGAGACCGCCATCCTCTTTGCTCGGGAGGGCGCCAATGTTCTCCTCTGCGATATCTCCGGCCCGGCGCTGGAGAAGGCTTCAGCCAAGCTGAAAGAGATAGTCCCAGAGGCCAAGAAGGTCGAGACCAAGATTACCGATGTTTCCAAGGAGGCCGATGTAAAGGCCATGGTCGAGCACGTGGACTCATGGGGTGGTCTGGATGTCCTGTTCAACAACGCAGGTATAATGCACGCCGATGATGACGATGCTGTCAATACACCCGAGAAGATCTGGGATCTGACACAAGCTATCAACGTCAAGGGTGTATGGTTCGGCTGCAAGCACGCAGTCAACAGCTTCAGGAAGAACGGCAAGAAGAAGGCGAGTGTTATCAACACCGCAAGTGTCGTCGCCTTGGTGGGTAGCGCAACACCACAGCTTGCATACACAGCCAGCAAGGGTGCCGTATTAGCCATGACACGGGAGTTGGCAATGGTTCACGCACGTGAGGGCTTCAGATTCAATGCGCTGTGCCCAGCACCATTGAAGTACGTTCTTTCCGGAACGACATGATATCGCAGACCACTAACAGCAATAGCACACCACTCTTGCAGGACTGGCTTGGTGACGACCAAGCTAAGCGTCACCGTCGCGAAGTCCACTTCCCCACTGGCCGCTTTGGTGAGGCCATCGAGCAGGCCCAGGGTGTTCTCTTCCTCGCCAGCGATGAGAGCAGCTTCGTCAATGGTACCGACTTTGTCATCGACGGTGGTATGACCAGGTGCTACACCACACCTGAGGGCGCGCCACTTGAGGCGCCCAAGAACAACGCACGATGAGCGCGTTTAGGGGTTTGATTTATCGAGGGCAGCGGGAGAGAGACGACTTGTACGGATAGGAAATGGTACTCATGAGGGATGAATGGTATATTACATCAGATATGTACGATGAATGGCACTAGTGATACATTTACTCTTGCTGCTAAACATTTCGTGATCCACGACAGAACATGCGGTTGATAAGGGGAACAGCGATAACACAGCAGCTCTCAGCATCCGATGAAGGCGAAGATTCGGCTCATGCATCTTATCATAGAAGCGTATGGACGACTACTCAGCGCGCAAGAATGCGCTGAGTGGCTACGGGACTCTTTCCACTATAATCGACGCTTCTTCCAAGTTGCCTAAGAGCGTAAGGAGGAAGAGATATCCAATTCGCTCGGGCATGTCTGACCGGGTCTAGTTGAGGAGAGATGGCTGATGGCATTTATATGGAAAAGTGATTCGTTCGGTGAAGTTTGCCATGGTCGTTTGAAATAGGAAACCAGGTTTCAGATGACCACGCGCCTTAGCGTTGGATCGCCATTCAGGGTCCAGAGCCAGGATGCGACTTTCTCGGACACGTGAGATCTGGCCGTCAGCCCGTCGTCAGCCAACATGGACCGCATCACCGCACGCGCTGACAACGACTTTGCTGTAGTCTTCTACGGCACGCTCTGGGTAGCTGCGCTCTCCCTCATTTGGTTTACTTGTCGCGCGGATCCCGAGGAACCTGTCAAGTATGTTATTGACACGCCTGAGCAAACCAAGAAAGGATGGAAGGGCCAGGTGCTCGAGAAGCCTCAATTGAAGGTTCGTATACACCATATCCATTCCAGAGACGGCAACTGACTTGTAGTAGGTATCAGGCTCATCCTTGATCCAATGCTACGCCCCTGCAACCGGTGAAGCTCTTGGGCGCATCAACCCCTCTACGGCCGACGGTATCGACCGCGCAATCGCCAAAGCCAAAGCCGCGCAGGTACAATGGGCTCAGACAAGCTTCCTCAGACGTCGCAAGGTGCTGCGCACTATGCTTAAGTTTATCCTCGAAAACCAAGAGGAAATTGCGAGGGTGGCATGTCTGGACTCGGGCAAGACTATGGTGGACGCGGCTCTGGGCGAGATACTGGTGACGGTAGAGAAGCTGAGGTGGACAATCAAGCATGGGGAGAAGAGCTTGAAGTCCGAGAGGAGAGACACCAACTTCCTCATGATGTACAAGTGGAATGAGGTCGTATACGAGCCGCTGGGTGTTGTCGCAGCTTGCGTGAGCTGGAAGTGAGTACCAAGCGCTGCTGGAATTGGTTGACACGTCTAACATCCTAACAGCTACCCCTTCCACAACCTCATAAGTCCCGTAATCGCCTCTGTCTTCGCCGGTAACGCCATTATCGTCAAAGGCTCTGAGGCGACTGCCTGGTCCTCATCGTACTTCGCCTCGATTGCTACTCGCGCCCTTGAAGCATGCGGCCACTCGCCCGACATTGTCCAATCTGTCGTCTGTTGGCCTGACGTTGCCGACCACCTCACATCACACCCGTCAATATCACACATAACCTTCATCGGATCGCGACCAGTAGCGCACCATGTCTGCGCTTCAGCGGCAAAGGCATTGACACCAGTTTGCGTGGAGCTAGGCGGCAAAGACCCAGCCATAGTCTTGGATGACATCTCCAACAGCGACTTTAAGCGCATAGCCAGCATCCTCATGCGTGGTACCTTCCAGTCTGCAGGTCAGAACTGCATCGGCATCGAGCGCGTCATCGCCCTACCCAAAGTTTACGACCGCTTCATCGAGTACCTCACACCTAAGATCCGCGCGCTCCGCCCAGGATCCGTACTCAACAGCTCTCCAGACAGACCCATCGATATCGGTGCATCCATATCCGATGCAAGTTACTCCAAGCTCGAAAACCTCATCCAAGACGCCGTCAGTAACGGCGCCCGCCTCCTCGCAGGTGGAAAACGCTACTCCCACCCCGACTATCCCCAAGGCCACTACTTCACTCCTACCTTCATCGCCGACGTCACGCCCTCCATGGCGATTGCCCAAACCGAACTCTTCGCCCCCGTCTTCCTCCTCATGCGCGCCGAATCTGTCGCAGATGCCATCTCCATTGCCAACAGCACCACTTACGCTCTCGGCTCCTCGGTCTTCGGCTCTTCGACTCGCGACCTCGAACTCGTTGTTCAATCTCTACAAGCCGGCATGGTTGCTGTAAACGACTTTGCTGTATACTACATGGTTCAGATGCCGTTTGGGGGTACAAAGGGGAGTGGATATGGGAGGTTTGCTGGCAAGGAGGGACTGAGGAGTCTTTGTAATATGAAGAGTATTACGAGGGACCGGTGGGCTTGGGCAGGGATCAAGACAGGAATCCCACCACCAATGGATATTCCGTTGCAGGGAGAGGGTGCTGGGGAGAAGGCGTGGAAGATGGCTGAGGGTATTGTTTGGTTGGGTTATGGAGATTTGAGGGGCAAGGTTAGGGGGTTGAGGGGTGTGATAGGTTTGTAGATAGTGACAGTATAAGATGTGCTTAGACGAAGACAGTATATAAATAATAGTATGACACCGTCGTTCGACATGAACAGTAAATCGTATGCATTGAAGTGCGTAAACTGTTCAGTATCGGCTCTTGTCTAAACCTTAATGTTGGAGGAGTGATTCATCTGAAAAGTAGCATAAGGGTATCTAATCTCCTTCTGGGAAGTTTTGACCTAGATCATCCAGCAAACACCATCAACATTGAAGGCGGACACTCCAGTTTTCCCCTCGTCTCATCCAAGCCACCTGCTCCTTGAACTGCTGGTACAACATTAGCATGTACTCGGCACATTACTTGCAATTATTCCAACGCCTGACCACTTACGGATGTCGTCAATCACAAGGTCGATGTAGAGCAACAGGTTCAGACCAAAGTTGGCGAAGATAGCTGGCAGCCTACATGACCTTGGAACATCTTGGTGCCCTTGCTCTCGAGGCGCAAATATTCCAACTTGGTATCGATTTCTGGTCGCTTGCTGAGCTTCGTTGCTAGCATCGTTATGCCTCCCATGAGACCTCCCACCTTATCATCGTTAGCGTGAACAACACGCCTGCTCAGGTTAGGTGGCAAGATGCCAGCTACGGAATCCAAACAGTGCACTTCAAGTTACGCCAGAATTGGTCGTGCGTGGCGCAACTACGCTTGTAAAAGCAGCAAGAGAAGTTCAGTGTCGTTTACAGCATGATCCACGGTTTGCCGCAGTATAATTCGTGACTTCTCTTGCGGCGAACGAAGCGTGTGAAAGAGCTGAAGGCCCTTTGATAGTTGCCCCGAACCCATAATTCAGGCGTTCATGTAGCGAATGAGGGATGTGAACCACAATGTGAAGTTGATTCAATCAGTACCCGCGACCAGGGTAGTGTCTGATTGACGACCATCTTCCGAAGTAGATTTTGACAACGGAATTGTAGAAGTGGTCACCCTTTTAGGCTTCTTGAGTTGTTTTGTTGCGCCTACTGGAAACCGCTTCTTGCCACCGCAAATGAGGCAAGTAACGACAAGAACATCTGCCCAGGGCTTCCTGCCACCCTTGCTCGGGTTTTCGATTGTCTGACTAACAGTACGTCCAGGAATCAGAACAGTGTTACAGCTCTTGCACATGGAGCGCTTCAAATCGACAGCGAGCCGTAGCTGACCTTTTCGCGATACTTGCTGAAGGTCGGATCCAAGCTCGAGTGCGAGCGGTAAATGTCGTTGGGTCGCGGGCGCAGCGTGGGGAGGACTTTCTTTGTCTTGTGCGACATCAATGGCAAACTCGTCTTGGGTGGCCGTTTGCAGAGTCAGGTATGTGGCTGCTTGGTAGAGAAAAGTAGAGCGAGCATGCAGGTGCTTGTTGGGCATGCCCTTTGATTTTGGCGCCTTGACTTTGCTCATGATGATACCCGTGCTACCGTTCGATTCTTGTGCGTGAACTTGTTGTTTCACTGGTGAATAACGAGAGGTACAAGGATATGTAGGTGCTGCTCGCAAACATGGTTCGTGATTCAGCGCCGTCCGTTTGCGGCCTAGTCTAGCGCCCAGCAAGGCGCCCCGAGCTTTTTACCTCGACATCAGCGACCAGCGACCGCTCTTGTCCACCGCCCACCACGAACCTCCACCGCCTCAGCAACCTCGTCGAATTCGCATAACTGTGAACTCGCGAAACACTTGCTGATCTCTTCTTTTCGTAGCTTTTAGTATAATACCGCGCTTCGGCACCCTCACGACTCCACTTTGTTTGGCAGCCTTCCTTGCGACACGCGCAACCGCCAACTCTACACGACACCAGCACTCTTATCCCAACACATAACTCATCATGTCTCACGAGGAAGATCTCATCGACTACTCCGACGAGGAGATCCAGACGACTGATGCGCCCGCCAACGGCAGCGCAGCTGCCAGCAAGGGCGGCCTCACCGCTGGTGACGCTGCAGGCGACAAGAAGGGCAGCTACGTCGGCATCCACTCAACCGGTTTCCGCGACTTCTTGCTCAAGGACGAGCTCGTACGAGCAATCACGGACTGTGGCTTCGAACATCCTTCCGAGGGTTAGTCTAATAATTCCCCTCAGCCTTATCCACCTACAAGCGTCTGTCCATCTACGAAACGAGCTCTGTCTACAATGCGCCCTGGTCTGTCTATATACGAGCGAAGTGGCGAGGGACCCAGTGCCTTCCGCTACCTACGAGCGTCGACGCGCACTGCATTATGGCGTGCGCAGCGGTATATGCATCAAGAAGCCTAGTGCTGCCCATTGGCTCACTTTCGTGGTCCCGAAGGACTGGTTTCCGAGGAGGAGTGCATGGTGCAGGTGTACAAGAGGAGGCACACCTTGAGCGTATGGGGAGGACAGACAGACTGGCACGCGCGCTAGATGGAATACCTCGGCTGCTCAAGATGGACGGACGCTTCGCTTCCCACGCTTCGTTTCGACCGCTTTAAAGACCTTTCTGACATAACGTGTGCCCTACAGTCCAGCAAGTTACCATTCCCCAGGCCATTCTAGGAAACGATGTCCTCTGCCAGGCCAAGTCCGGTCTCGGAAAGACTGCCGTCTTCGTTCTCGCAACTCTCCAGCAGATGGACGAGAAGCCTGAGCCTGGCGTTGCCACTATCCTGGTCATGTGCCACACTCGCGAGTTGGCCTACCAGATCCGCAACGAGTACAACCGTTTCGCCAAGTTCCTGCCAGACGTCAAGGTCGGTGTCTTCTACGGTGGAACTCCCGTCCAGAAGGACATCGAGCTCCTGAGCAACAAGGACACTCACCCCCACATCATTGTCGGTACCCCCGGTCGTATCAACGCCCTCGTACGCGACAGGCATCTTCGCCTTGCCAACCTGAAGCACTTCGTCCTCGACGAGTGCGACAAGATGTTGGACCAGCCCGGTCAGTATACATTCTCCATCCCGGCTGATTCTTGCTAACACTTTCACAGACATGCGCAACGATGTCCAGGCCATCTTCCGTGCTACTCCCCAGCACAAGCAGGTTATGATGTTCTCGGCCACCCTCAACAAGGACGTCCGCGTTGTCTGCAAGAAGTTCATGCAGAACCCGCTCGAGATCTACGTCGATGACGAGAAGAAGTTGACACTTCACGGTCTCCAGCAATACTACATGAAGCTTGACGAGAAGGAGAAGAACCGCAAGCTCAACGACCTTCTCGACAGCTTGGAGTTCAACCAGGTCATCATCTTCGTCCGTTCGACTCTTCGCTGCTCTGAGCTCGACAAGCTTCTTCGCGAGTGCAACTTCCCCAGCACTGCTGTCCACTCCGGAATCAGTCAAGAAGAGCGGTATGTACTTGACGGTTTTCGCTTGCTGGCTCAATACTAATTCGTATATAGTATCAAGCGCTACAAGGAGTTTAAGGAGTTCCAGACCCGTATCTGTGTCTCCACTGACATCTTCGGTCGTGGTATCGATGTCGAGCGTATCAACGTCGCCATCAACTACGACATGCCCGACAAGGCCGACGCCTACCTTCACCGTGTCGGTCGTGCCGGTCGTTTCGGAACCAAGGGTCTCTCCATCTCGTTCGTGAGCAGCCCCGATGACGAGGCTGTCCTCAAGTCGATCGAAGAGCGCTTCCAGGTCGAGCTCCCCGAGTTCCCGGAGAACGGTGTCGACTCCGGCACTTACATGGACAACTAGTGGTCACTTGGATCAAGTGACGGATGGGTGCGGGAACGGTTTTCTTTTGGACAAAAAAGTCACCATTGAACTTCGATAGGTGTCGTTGATCGAAGCAGAACCGCTTTGCAACGATCATGAAAGCAACGGCGCAGGTGGTTCTTGGCTTTAAAGTCTGTTCTGTAATTTAGTTCTCAGAGGCAGCAGAGAAGCTATTGCCTCGCTGGGAGGAAACGAAGAAATTGATATGTCATCTCCCGTCCATGATAAGCTCTGTTGTCCGAACATGACTAGTTACATGACCGTTGCTGCTACTTTTTGACAACGCCTGTATAGCTTGCTTACGTGTTCTTCTCAACGAGAAAAATCGACTTTGTGCACAGTTGTTGATAACGCGATCTTCACTGACAGACGTTCTAGCCTTTCTTCGTACGCGTCGGTGTATCTTGTTTTTCTTTGCTTTACACGCGGTGTTTCGGTTGGGCTCCATGGTCTTCGGCTCGGTTGATCGTAAAAGCAAGTGGTGGAGATCTCGTTTCAAGGGCTACTGCGGGCGGGAGAAGTAAAGAGGAGAAGGCTAGGTATAATGGTTCAGAGCTCTCGCCACCTAATTATAGCGATGTTGCGTTTACTTCTGTTCAACAAGTTCACGTTCACGGTGGAGCGACCGCGCCTGCTGTGTTTTGTATTGAGACATTTCATATGTTTGAGTTTAGAAAAAGTTCAGGTCAGAGAGGAGCTTTGCTTGTTTGCTCCCATCAGAGATAAAGAGTTGGTACGGGCAAAGGGTATGCGTTTTTGTTGGAGACTTTGACAGGCATGATCCCATAGTCAGCAGACAACAATGTGTAGGGAGTAGACCCTTAATTTGTTTGTTCTATACATTTGCTACCAAGTCGCGTCTTGAATCATTGGCGAGCAAATGTACGAACTAACAGGATAAGGGTTCGAGTAGTGTTTCCGGGGCGCCACATGGCTTGGTGTCAAAGCGGTATCGACGTGAACCAGCGGTCTGGTATCACCAGACTCTTTTTTGATGCAATATGTTATCCAAATGTCGTGATTGTGTCAGACCCAACAACGGTTCTTTACCACAAGAAAGTATTTCTGAAACTTATGGAGGTAATGAACTTGCGCGCTCTGGCCAGGCTAGATCTTTGTAATTGTCTCTGGTGTACTCTGGGTAGGGCTTTCTAGTCCTATCGTGATTCTAAGGTCACGTTTGCGCGAGACTGTAACGTGGCGAGGCAATCGTCTCCAGAGTCACTGGTCATGTCAAGATCTCAAGTCTCTTAATATCCAACAGTATTAAGCCACGTACCTAACAAACATTAGCTCATGTTACAACCGTTTTGTCCGAAATGGCCAGACGAAAAGCCAGAGCCAGAGCTTATTCGCCATCTTGCCTAAAGGTTCATCCTCCACTTGGTGTATACTAGATAAATCTATATCACAGGCATTTTATAGCTTACCCACTGTGGATATAAGCACAGTAGCTTATCAAGAATTATGCGACGTTGGGTCAGCGATAGAAAGTTGGCAGGATGCCTGCTGGTCCTATATACTGGACCTTCTCACAGGCAAGACCTGTTACAAAGGCTCATCTCGCTTCTGCATCTCGTGTGAGCATTGGCGGCGTCTCCGCACTTGCATGTAACCTGTCATTAAGATTAGATAGACGTTGGAATATGGTTGCGGAGCACGGCTGCGTAAAGTTCCGAGCAAGCGATCAAGGCCGCGGACCCCTTTTATACAAGGCGATTGGTGAGTTCGTCCTTTACAGAACATAGCCAGCATAAGGGGACTATTGGCATCCCTTTAGCCGATAACAAGAACTTAGCAAGGTTGGTGAGCGGTGTGCGCGGAGGACAAAGGTGAGAGATGCATGCTGCGTATCGCGACCACAATCCGCAAGGTCGGGCCCAACATTAGGCGAAGATCACCACGTTTCTATTTCGATATTTCTGTTAAGGAAATTCATGATGTGAAGATCGACGGCGGCGACCCAGTCCCTTGTTCGGCAGCCGCGCACATTACCGGCCCGCAGTGGCGCCACATGTCAGGAACAAGACCGAGGTGACTCGCTTGGCGGGGCGGCGTTCAGGAGCACGAGCAAAGGCGTCGGAAACGGTTAGTGATGTCGAAATGAGACATGGGTAGCGAAGTGTCGGAGGGCTGAAGCCGCGAAGATTTGTGATTCGATAAGAGGCAACGGGATGCAGAGTCGTGTTTCAATAGATGCAGTGACGATCGTAAGACATGGAGTCAATTTGCGAGGACGTGGCAAGCTTTAGTCGCCTCTGTGCAGCAGGTGAGATTCCGAAGAGAGAGCAACGACGCGCGATGAGTATGCGGTTCTATTTTGAGACTTGGGCGAACGTCCCTTCCGAAAGTGGTTTCCTCACCGGATATGATATGGTTTTGCGCTATAGGGCAGGGCTAGAAATCGCAATTCTCATTTCCCATACGCATTCCATCGCATTCAATCGCATTCACGTGGCGTCTCGAGTGTTGTGTTAGCGCGTACGTGATTGCTGTGGAGGCGATTGAAACGCCAAACATCCCCGTACCCCGTGTATACGTCGCGTATTATCAGACGCAGCAGCCGTTGGACGAACGGCATGGATCTTAGTCCGACGCAGTTTGTTACGTCCGCGATGTTCTGTTGGCCATCCCAGGAAAACTTTCAACGGCGGGAGGATACGAATACGAGATCCCTTCTTCCAGGCGCCAGGGATGATGCACGAGGCGCGATTGC